TCGATTAGTGGAGGTATACCTTTGTTCCTGTTTGACTGGGCCGGGCCAGGTGGGATTACTTATCTGCGGGGAGCTGTTCAATTGTATTTAAGAAGCGAAGTGAGTCGCACTGCAGTACTCAATTGACAGTTTGAACTTGAATTTGAAGTGCGTGCCTGACCGCACTGGAGGGAGGTAACCATGAAGCCTGTGCTTGACCTTTTGACGTTCCTCAAGTCTGTATGTGAGGGGGGAGGGGGCTGCCTGAAAACGAACGCATCATAGAAGACGGGGGGTGAGGGGGTCGCTTTTTCTTCAATTTGCGCGATCCCCTTGGACTGACACTAATCGAGGACAGCCCGATGGACGAGTGTAATGGTGAATGGAACATTTCCTGAGAAGGTACAGGGACGATGACCAGCGACATGCAGGACGAATCGCATTCGGGTGTGATAGGAGGTGTAGCTAGCACAGAAGAAAGGGGAGTAGTCGTGGAACTAGCATTTAAGCTCGACGAATGCATTCCCTCACAAAGGGAGTTGCTGCTTGACCTTCTGGCTGAACCGCAAGCGTTGGGAGCCACAGATGCGGGACCAGGATGAGAAAGCTTGCGAAGCCTCCTACACCCCATGTCGTTCCATCGGCAGCCGGAGGACTCCCGGACAATGGGAAATGCACTGCATCTGTCCAAGTTAACCTAGATGAGTAAGAAGACGGACCAAACAGCGAGTGGGTATGTGAGACATAGCTCTTCATGTTGCGGACGCTGCTGGAGCTCGTGGGAGATGCGGAAGAGTGACCGGGATCAGAAACAGTTTAGCGAAGCTGGTCAGAAGGTGGCACTGTGCAGATCGCCCTCGCCCTAGGCCGAAATTCCGACTTGGGAGGAACGGATGGAGGGTGTGTCAGAAAAGCGGGCGGGTTCTCCTTGAGCGCGTCCACTATCTGTTGATAATTCGACGCGACTTGAGTATGCATGGAAGAGGAAGATCGCGCCGAAGGTGTTAGTGCGGCATTGCCAACAGCTGCGCCATTGTATAACCGTTTCTGCAAACGAAAGTCCCACTAGAGTCATATCTCGACGTTTCTTTGGGTTGCACTTAGCTAGCTCTGGACCTGTTCTGCATGCGTGCAATGGCTGGCGAAGAGGTCCAATCTGACCGTCACTGCCGTGTGACAGGAAATACCGTGCGTCGTACGCGAGGTCATGCCTCCAATATCCTCCAGTGTTGTTCCAGAACAGTTTACTTCACTCTTTTGCAATTTCGAACCTATCACCCGTGCATCCATTCAAGTTTCAGATCGCTCCTAAGAGACTCACGAGTTCTTGGGGGAGTCATCGATCGGAGCTATGCACCCTCCTGCACAATGCTGCAATGCGGGTGACTGCGGCGTTAAGGCCGAACCTATTGGCACATTAAAAGGGAGAATACACGGGCCTCCATAGTCTCCACACAGCTGGAACACGGCCATCTCTCCGACATTCGGCACCGCCGCATGCATCACAGGTGATGCCTGCTGGTGCGCTATCTGCATTCAAATTTGTAGTGTGTCAGCGGTGAAGAGTCGCTGAGGACAAAATATGATCGTAGCAGATGTGGATAGGACGTACTCGTGGCTTACTGTTCCCCGAACCAAGTGCATTTCCGACCCAGCGGAGACTGTCGGGACTTTTAACATCAAAGAAGGCACCCCAGATGCGGAGAAAGAAGAGAGGCCATTACGCGGTGTTGAGAGCCTTCTCTACTTACCTCGCACTTAGTCAAAGTAACAGCCACTTCGGGGCGACGATGTCCATGGTGTAAAGTAAAATAGATCCAGAAACGGTATTACTATTTTACACGACGGCATGGGTGATGAGTAGCGCGAACAGTGCAGGATTAACACGTACAGTATCTACCAATAAGCAGTGGGATATCACAACAAACGGACCGTGGCTATCAGACAGACTGGCCGAATTTTTGCACGCGTTTTATGCGGTTGGAAATCTCTGTCCGCAATTCTTTGCGTAGAGACTGAGCCCCGATGGGAAGCCCCTGCTGGGTATCCACTGCGGCGAGAACCTGGTCAATCAAGGTATATGGTAGCCAGGTTACAGACGCGGCCTTGGGCCTCTCCTGTGCGAGGTGAGCGTCACTCTGCAAGGAGGCAGCTTAATCAGAAGGGTGACCACGACGATGGAGAGGGTCTGGACACTCACTCTCCGCATTAGCGACAACGTGTGCTCCAGTGCCCCTTCGAACATCTCGTAGCGCAGGCATGTGCGAATCAGATACTCAGGGTGGTGCACCTGTGGCGGGGGAATTAGCGATGCACCCACAATGGCTGCGCATAGAAGACTTGCCTCTAGCGACTGAGTCAACCACTGTGGGGGTGGTGATGTGCGATCGAGTTCTAAGATGGTTTCCAATGTCACCTTGGTGTATCTGTAATCCGTATCCGGACCATCGTGTCGCTCCAGCGACTCTCGAAGGTATCGCCAGCCTCGGTCTGCTGCAGTGCCGGGCCACGAAGTCACTTTGTCAGTTAGCAGCCAGTCAGACGTGTCTTCGCCGCTATCAACGGAGGCTTCGAACCGGCAGACAAGAGCCTTACATGACAGCCTCCGGGTTGGCGCAAACATAGGCCGGTCAAATGTCCGAAGAGATCAGTCATGTCGACATTAAGTGTGCGTGCGCGCCGGTAGCCATGGCCATGTTGAAGCGATTCGCTTGTGTCAGATGCAATACGACGGACGGAGGCGATAGCAGCGCTTCTGCGGGCTCATTGTCAGCTCACGAGGACGTCAAGCTTGGGAACCGGACACAACTTACCCTCAACCGACAGAAGTGTGGGGTCGCGGTGGATTAACTCCAGACGGATAGCCAAAAGTGTACACTCGTATTGCATGTCCGCCAGTTCCACCACTTCCATGTCCCGCTTCCCGGGCCCATACTTGTCCTCCGGGATATATCGCGACAGCTTACGGCGCTTACGGGGCTGCACGCGTCAAAATCATTTTCAATTAGCATCATGGACAAGCGATCCGGAGCGAGGAAGCCCCGTTTACCTCGTGTTCGGATTCGGCCGTGACGAGCAGGACGATCCATGCGTTCTTCTGATCAGTGAGCACGAGAGCATTCATTCCAACAACATAAGCTTCAAGCCGCAACTCGGCAATTTCAATGAAGTTCGCCGGGTCTCCGAACAGGCTGGCGAGCTTCCGCGCCCGCTGGTACATTGTGAGGGCGGCTAAGGTTCGAGAAACATGGTTGAGAATGACGTTCCCTGGGGAAAAGGATGACGACTGACCATTGCGATAATCGCCATGAGAGATATACCACATGTAGAGTATCCTTGAGTAGAACGGTCGTACTCGCGGGTCCGCGTTCCGGGCCTTAAACGAGAGCGATTCCTCCACCTCGTCCACGAAGCCCACAAAATTAAGGGCCATGAGCCGGTCGACGGCGTGCTCCTCGCACATCCGGTACATCAGTTGGCTCACACATTCCCATATTCTGGTAAACACAAGACAGTAAGTTATCATGTGACACACGGGACGGGGACAGAAAGAAGACGCCCACACACAATTTCTCATAGCAGGGGGAGACTAGTGCGACATACGCATCTTCATAAAGCTCCAAGTCCGTGAGGCCTCTTATGACCGCGTGCCACAGGGACGCGCTGTCGACGCCTGGCGGTGCCACGGACAGAGCGAGCTGGGAAAACACCACTTCACTTGATGTCACAGAAACGGCCTTGAAGAGGCCGGCGACATGCAAATAGAAATCGAACACAGATTGGAAGAACACCGCGCCTGGCAGTACCCCGGCCAGAGCCTCGTGGTCCTCCGTGGTTAACGCGCTGTCACGTCCTGGCGGGCGATACCACTATTAGTGACGCAGTACAGGGATTACACCCTCCAACCCACTCACCGAAGCTGACTGCCACACCCTCCATTACAGAGGCTGCATCATCGTACCTACCCTCATCCAACCACAGTCGGCCAAGCACGTACGTCACCCCAGCTGTCCTGGGTAGCCATGCTAAGCTCTCTCTGGAAACCTTGCGGTATCCGAGAAGGCGAAGCCACTCACAAAAGAGCACCTCGAGCTTCGTCGCATTTGCAGGAGATAAGGATTCCAGCAGCCCGGAAGAATCTAAGAATAGGTGTGCAGAGGCAGGCACGATTGCTGCATCGCTGCCGTACTGCGTGAGGAGACGGTGGATGAGCGAGTAGCTCAGCGTGAATCCAGAGGCTGTTGAGGAGACATGCATGTCCCTCATCTTCGCGACGACTTCCTCGTCCGTCAAGGGCTCAGCAGCTGGTGTACTGACGCTGCCCGCAGCTGGCTGGCGCGTCGCGTACCGGAACATGGCGATCCCACGGAATACCACAAAGATTTCTGCTAGCAACGCAGGATCCCATTGTGGCAAATCTTCCGAGACGAAGAAGAGCAACGTAACGAGCGACAGACACAAGCCATATCGTGCTTGGACGGAAACTGCAACGTACGAAGACACAAGCGCCCTCCACCACTCCGGATAGGCGGATGGAAGCCGCAACGCCCCATCTTCATCCTCATCTTCTTTCTTCACGTTCTTTTCCAAGCCACCAATGACATTAAGCACCGATTGAATAGCGTCTGACATGTTGTCGATGCTCTGCAAGCGCCCGGCAATCCAACTCTCCATGCCTTTGTCGAGCTCCTCGCGGATGTTGATCCGCTCGGCTTGGTCCTGTATAATATCGGCGTATGGGAAGGCGATCTCTTGATGCACAAGGTCGACCAATCGATCCTCGAAAACAAGCATGGGCCGGGTGCCAATCTTAGCACGCAGCGTCCACAGGATCTCCAGGAGGGTAAATTGGGGGTCCAGGGGAGAAGACGCCGCGAGAAGCCGGCAGGACCTAAGAGGAAAGTCCTCATCCACGAGCGCTGCGATGCGTTCGCGTTCGACGACCAGAATGCCCTCCCTGGGTTCTCCCATGCCGATCACCAGCGGCCAGCGCACATGGCGCTCGATCTCGCGACACCACGCTACGAAGCCCTCCCAGTCGCGCGTTTCAGCGCGTTCCAGTACCTGTCGTACTGCGGAGCACCGGTACTGAGATCGCGGGTGAGCTCAACCGTGCCGCCCACTACGGCAGCAATCTGCTCGCCCACGCTGCCGTACGTGGTCAACAGCTGTGGCGTACATGGCGGGGGGAGGGAGCGGCATGCGTCAGTGTACTGATCAATGACAGTCCGAAGCGTCACAGGCGAGAATGTGCCTGGTCTCGAGATTGCTCCGAAAAACTTGTCAGCCATGGAGCCTGCGGACAGAAGCAATTCTTCGAGGTACGCCGGTGTGAGCTCCGCCTCATGGGCGTAAGTCACGGTGTTCCACACCACCTCGATCCTGTTATCATCATGAAACGAAATCTTGGCGTCTTCTATCATTGACTGGCCCTGCTTATCCCAGACGGTGTACAGGGTGGAGCCAATCACCACGAAGTCCTGTAAATGACAATGTGCACTTGTGACGGAGCACTCAAAAGTAGTTCAGAGGATGTAGATCGCTGGAATGCGAGCTGAAGAGATGGAAATAACCTCCCGAAGTTGAGGATGATTCAGCTGGGATGAACGCGAGAACATAAGGCACAGGGTCCTCCATTTCAAACTCTGGAAATACACTGAGACGCTTCCGCGCATCTGCAGGCAGAAGATTCGAGAGTTTTCCGGAGCTTGAGGCGGATGTCAAAGCAGGCGTGATGGCCTTTCCTGGAATGATCGCAGCGAGCGACTTCTCAGCGACACATCCGCTTCGTGCTGTCCAAAGCCGGAGGGTCCGATCTCTTGACAGAGTCCAAACGTGCTCAATATCGGTTGGCTGGGGGAAGGACGCCATCGAGATAATGTCGGAACTTCCTGGAGGACCGCCTTGCAAGGGCAGCAACGAGGTGATCGAAGTAAGGAGTGAAATGAGGATGGAATTTTGTCTCTTGCCAAACATCTAATAGCGGGTTAATAATGGCCGCAGCGAGACCAGGGGCGAGTCGAGAGCCGTACCGTCCTCGTCATCATTCCCGAGAAGTTCTGCTTCCAAACGTAGCAAGGCACCACCGGGCAAACTCAAAACAACACAATGTGGCCCAACCCCTCCATGTCTGACCGCATGTTCTGGATGTCGTACTGGCGAAACCAGTACTTGCTGGGGTGCCAGAGCTGTGCGCCACATTGAAGAGGGAGGACAAAGCGATAGAGAGAGCCTATGACTGAGACGGCAATAACGTGAAGTTCTCGCTCTTCCCACAAGAAAACTGCCGGAGAGGGTAAGATGGCACCAGGAAAATCAAAGTGCAGCTGGGGAGCATCGCGGGTGAGAGTGATGAGTTCGAAAAGGGTGGCACAGTGTGTGAGGCGAAGCAGAATGGTGCCCGTTCTGGAGGTATGAAAGAGGGTGGAGTAGCTGGCATGTTCTGGGGGAGCAGAGGAGTCCACAGAAAGGTTGAGTTCGAATATCCTTATGCGATGTGAGGACGGAGATGGGCAAGGACGACGTCGGGAAGAGGGAGGAAAGATGGGACGCGACGAGCACGCCGCACTCCATCGATGGCGTGGTTTGCAGGGTAGCGCAGCAGTATTGATTTGGAATCTAGAATTCGAACAGGGGCTCCCTTTGATCAAAAACACAGCAGCGAGCCGGCGATGACACGCGGAAGTTAGCCTTCGGTTAACATTCAGTTAACATTAACCCTGCGCGCCGTCACGCACGCGTCGTAATGGTCACGCATGCTTGCCTCTTACGGCCACTACACCTGCCTTTTCTGGCAACCGTTACTCGACGCTGCCAAGATCTGCCAGTCGCGAAGTTCACGCATGCATCCGCCATGAGCCTCCAGTCCATCATTTCCTTCCCAGCCTTGCCACTCAGTGGGCTATATCCCTCGATATGCATGCTGCAACACCCCCAGCGGTATATATTCCCCCCCCGGTCCTCCTCGGTGAGCACCAAGTTCCAGTTCTTCGCTCTTCGTCCAACTTTCTACTTCACTGTACACACTTCAATTTTCTCGTCTTTTCGCCATGGACCAAATGATTCCCTACGACGCGATTTGTTTTCCTTCCGACGACCGTCCCCCCCACTTGGTCTCCCTGATGACCACAGTGCTCAATGTGGTTCTTCCCAATCCGTCCCAGCCTTACCGCTGTGGTCGCATGCCACACCCAGAGATTCATATCGACTATATTGCCGAAGGCTTGGGGCCCAGGTCCTGGCGGTATCATGTGCGTCTAATGCGATCTCTCCCCCAGATTAAACACCGGCCATGACGCTCACTCGTGTTCTCCCGTCTCCCACACCTGTTTAGCTTGTTGAGGCCCTTGATGGCATGAACAAGAAGTTCCCCACTCCGTACATACTCTTCTACCCCATTGTCTCCCGTGATGGGATGCCCTTCCCAGTCAACAAGTGCATCCGCGAGATTCAGGGCGCCTCCTTCAACGAGGCTAAAGCGTGGCGTGGAAACACTGTTGTCGCCAAATACCGCGACGCAGACTATTCTCAGATGGCAGAAGTATCGATGGCCGATTTCCCGATCCTCAAGAACTATCTCAAAACCTGCCCTGCTCCGTGAAGGTAAATAAACATACACGTCGCTTGTCAGACATACGCTGACCGTCCCTTATGCCCTTGACCACAGCTTCTTGTTATCATTGCCGAGGCTATCACGCGAACTTCAGGACGTCTTGCGCGAGCGATGTCACACCGAGCTGCTGGGGTCAGAGGTAACCGATAACCGACAATCGCCCGATAAGAACACACTTAAGATGGCCACATTGCCCGTGGTGAAGTTTGAAGGCTCGCCAGCCACCTGTCGATTTAGCCGTGTTTAGCTTCCCAGTCATATGACTCTGAGATGAACACGAATAGGTCTCAATATAAGAGGCCCTGATGAACGGTGTACTCAGCAACAAATCTGATGAGACTGCGTGAAATGCAACATTGTTCGCACAACACCATAGAAGAAAGCCTAACGAAATGGTCTGAGAGGCGTGAGCAGCACGCCGCTTGCGAGTTTTGACAATAAAGGTGAGCGCGCACATTAATGATGCCCTGAACGTTCACGAAGTAAGCCAATTCAGTAAGCCAGTGGATTAGGCAAATACCAGATAAAGAGGCCCAAGAAGCTGGGTACAAAGCAAACCTTCAGGAAGAGGGACAAAGGAACGAGCACGTCACCTCAGCACGCGGAACCCCTAGCTTCATTGATATCGCACCACATCTATGACGGGCCCATCTCTGCCCAGACGGGTGACCTGCATAGTGGCGAAGGCTGTCGACCATGTCGTCTGTGCAAATCTGACAAAGTGCATGGCCACGATCAGTAGAGTAACTTGCAAGTATTAAGTGAAGCCAGCCAACTTACACTGTCTGTTCTCCAACAAACAGAGGAGGGGCACTTGAAGCTTCAATTCAAAGCCTATGCCTTCCTAGCCTGAGTATGCCATGTAAGCCTTCAGACATCACAGTCAAACTTGCCTTCAATGAGACGTGAGACGCGTTGTTGATGGCATACGGCGGATTGAGCACGTTGTAGTTACTCGTGTCGGCCCTCTTCCGTGTCAGACAGGTTCCGATAGCTGAAGATCGGAGCATTTGGGTCCAGAGGAACGGTCGTCAGCGCAGGTGGAAGGCCCTGTGCATCAGCCCGACCGAAGGGGTCGTCACACGACTAGAGGCAGAGCTACAATCGAACAAGAAAAGAGTGTTACGTCAAATATCCGGGAGTGAAGGAAACGAACGACGAACACTGAATGGCTCGTTCATGCCGATCCAAGCGCTTGAATGTCGAGACCTGTCTCAACGTTGTAGAAGGTGCTAAATCCGTATAACCAGAAGCTAGTTTACTGCGTGAGCTCGAGGATGGTGAAACAGAAGGGGTTGCATACCCTTGTGCAGCGGGGGTGAACCAGTCTGAAGCGATAGCCAGTTGTCTATCATGCGAAGCAAAAAACTTCGACAAGTGCCCGCCAACCTGTGAAATGAGATCAGCGTTCAGTTGGCCCTTCGCCCTTGGGACGGTATACCAGACCATCCGTACCAGGCCATACGACTCCCGAGAAGTCGTTACCTTTTGCCGCCTTGAGCCAGACGTCGACCGCTGTCCGCGATCAAGAGCATCGTATCCTTCCTCGGAGAGGTATACAACAGCAGGGTCAATCATCGTAGCTGAGACTCGGATCAGCGATGGAATAACTATGCGAGAGCGACCGATCGCCTACGCACCATAATGTTGGTCGTGAGCTGGAGATAATTGAGCCTCTGTAGAGGGAAGCAATCTGGATCGAGCGTGAAGACCCGACACTCGTACATGTAGTCTTGGGATAAGGTGGCACCGCACTGTCCATATCCACCCGTCTTCCAATTGTCCGCTTCCACTGCTTCCCAGCACCTGCGATACGTCCCAGTCGGCGGTCTCCGTCCATCGTACAGCGTTGGTCAGGAAGTAGATCTGATGCCGTCAAAGTAGCAATTTTTAGGGTTGAGGGGGTTGCTCCTGAGAAGAATGCGTGTATATTATAAATTTCCTGGTATGATTGAGACACGGGTATGTAGTGTAACATGGGGTAAGGAAACGGCTTAGGGCAACAGCGAGTAGAGTTGTTCTCCAGCACGTACCAAGGTTGTATCCAGTCGGACAAAAACTCCCGATGGACTGTGGACTTCATCACTGCACTGTCCGACTCCATGAAAGAGAGGAACCGTCCAGAGTATCCCATACCGTCGATGTCGACAAGATACTTGTGCTTCCAATGTTCACCAAGACTGACACCGCCGTCGTAGAATCGGTGGGCCCTGACAAGCGCCAAAAGACCTCCAGGGAAGTGGTACCAGTCTACCAAGTTCACGAAAGCGACGTCCACGATTTCGTCATTGAGCATCCCCACAGGTACCTCTGCATAGATATAGTTGCTTGAACCTGGAGGGTCCGCAAACACCATCGTGCGACTCGACCGCTCGCCATGCGGACGAACCTAAATTCACATTCAGCCAGAAAGAAATTTAATAAGTAAATTGGGCTTACCTATGCCGCTGATACTGTGCGGCAAAGCCGCGGGGGAACTACCACCACCAGTAGAAGTGCCTCTCCAGAAGATCTTGTCATTCTTATACTCCCGCGGGGGTTTTCTCCCATATCTCCTCTCGTACTCCAAAACGGCTTGCGCGAGCGGTATTCTGATATCAGAATACCCAGATGCCTGCGCTGGAGAGAACATTGGAAACAGAGCCGGTATTGTGCGCCAATCAGAGAAGAAGTGTCCTTGATTATAGTGTGCCAACGGGCTGAGGCAGAATGAACAATTTCCGCTCACGTCGGTGGAAAAAACAAATTCTTCGTTACGCGCTAGTAGTTGGCTCGTGCGTTCTGAAGAGGAGGCGCGGAACAAGCTGAAGAGACGTCGAGCAGGCGCGCCTGGAAGACATGTACAGCGGTATGCTTCCCAAACGTTGCCTTCCCCTCGCCAGTTGGGTGAGTACATCCCACTGAGCTCAGCAAGAATGTTATCTGGAATGCTATCTGGAATACAAGTCAAGGACTGGCATGGCGCGATGTCGATGAGTTTTGAGTCACCTGAAATCTCGTTGGGAAATGCGCGCTGCTCCCAAGGAACGAGAATACGCCCCTCCACCATAGCGTTAATAGGGAAGTCTAGGTCGGGAAGCTAGTACACTGTGATCTTTCACGAAGCATCTCAACAGGATTGGCATACATACCTTGTCCTGGAACTTCTCGATCATCCTGCGGAAGCCCTTGGCGCGAGCACTGATGTCTGTGGACATCCTTAATATTCTCGGCCATAGACTTTCCATCTCTAACCCTTACCATGTCGACAGAAGGAAGATGGCCAGCCTATGCAAAATCACTTCAAACTGAAGTTCGTGAACATGTATATGAAGACTTCATGACGCACCAGACTGCCCTTGTCCACAGCTCGTCAGCAGGCAGCTCCCAAAACGGCGCGAGGTCCTCAATGATTCCGTCGTATTCGGTAATCATTAGGACATCGTTATCCTGCGCAAACCTCCACCATTCGTCAAATCCTAAAACTTGGCTCGAAATGAAACCTCGTCATGACATACCAATCTCGGTCCATAGTCTCAAATCGACACTAAGGCGACGGAAGTTTTCTGTGTGTTCGCCCCGACCGTAGATATTCGCGTCCATGGGCAGGCTTGTCTTCACGCGGAAGGATTGAGCGGTGTAGAAGACTGGATGAGAGGCGGTTGAGGAGAGCACCTCCTGCATGCTTGTACGGTATATGGAGAAGTGGGAGCGTCGCCTAAACGTCACTCACAACTTGACGACGGAGGACGAACGAAGTAAAGGTGAGGCTGCTGCATTCGACACGGGGCGTTAATGAGAGCGTCGACTGCATTACATGCGCCCCCTTGTCTTTTGTGAAAGACAAGCTTACGCACGCGCCGCAGAGACACGCCATGGTGGAACGATGAAGAACTATAGTTAGGGACAGCGTATGTGTGGCACTGCGACGTCCGTACATAGACTTGTCACTTAGACAAGCGGAGGTTATCGCTCAAGCTTTCAAGCTTCAAGTCACAAGCTTGACAGGCGTAGGCTGAGCAGGTTTCACCAAGTACTCGGTCGGACCACGTGGTTACGCAACCTCACCGAGAGTCCAACGAGGGCTGCCAGGGTGCTGTTACCACTGCTTATAATGCCTTTACAATATCGACTCAAGTCTACTTTCGACTATGCACACGAAGATACCATCAACTGTGTTGCAATAAGTCCTGATGGCAGTCATCTTGCTAGCGGAAGTACGGACAAGAAGATCATTGTCTGGTCGCTGACATTACAGGAACCTGTTCACCGTATCGTTGCACATTCAGCGGTCCTATCGCTGGTTTGGTCAAGCAATTCTGCCAGAATTCTATGTGGAACTGAAGATGGGACTTTGTTGACCATTTCCTTTGACCAGGTAGCGTGCACTTATGTTTGATACTTATTGGGTCTGGTCACTCACTTAATGTGCTCTCCATCAAACTCAAGGCAACCATAACTGCCTCCGGTTTTGAGGGCCACCCTGCTCCTATTGAGTCTCTTGCCATTAACTCTCAAACCAATGCACAACTTGCGAGTGCTGCTCTCAGTGTTGTGAAAGTATGGTTCTGGAAAGATACATGTGCGCAATTTTTGCTGACAAGTTATTGTCTACTTACTAAGGAAAGCAGACTCTCAGTGGAAGCTAGAAGGCATTGTGGATGATCCAGGTGCTATCCTTTTCACCGCTGAGTTTCGTTCGGAGGCACCAATTCGAGTAACTTCCCTTCATTGGCTCTCGACATCACCTTCCAATAATCATCTGGTGGTATCCTACCTTCACCATGGGGTAGTGTAAGTGCAATTGCCTATGTTTTCTTAGTCCTTGACTTGAATACATTGTATTGAAGCTGCCTGGCTCTGAACTCAGGGTCATTCTCAGTTCTGTGGTCACTGCGTCTGCCATTTTGGTAAGTCGATCACACATTGTCCACTGTGAGACTTTTGCAGGAATTCATGAATGTCTAGTGGATCATGCAGCATATCTCCTGATAACAAACTACTTGCAGTCAATGATATAACTCATGGATTCACACTGTATAAGATACCATCAGGACAGAAAGGCCTTCAGTTTCAGGTACCTCTTGAGAATATAGGGCTAGTATTGCCTATCGTCTTTATACATGGTGGTTCTGGACTGGTTGGTGGTACTTCAGTGGGTAAGGTGAGATGGTGGAGGGTTGATACTGGTGAGCATATGGGAACTTTGAGATATGGAGGTCAGTCTTGTTATATAGTTGTATTGTTTGATTAATGTCACACTCTGTTTTTAGAGCCATGCATAGTACAAGCTATTGCAGTAGGTGGATGTTATCCAAAGGCTGGTCAGATACTAAAATTGATTGATTAGGTATATGAGCATTGTCAGGAAGTAAGATATAGCATTGTTACAGGGACTAGTAAGCCAGGTATTAGCAACTCCATACAAATTTGGGAGACAGTTGATGTTGATGCTTGAATTTTTTATACTTGTAATTCACTTCTTTTACACACCTGCAATGTCAAACATATTAATGATATCATGTTGGCATTATGAAGGGGACAGGAATCTGGGTCATTCGCACAGGCAGAAGGTATGAGCAATATGGTAAAGCTGACAGAAGATTTAAGTACAATAGGATAGTGGGATGGTTATGTTGTAAATCAATAAGTCTTTGACCTTCACTTTTCCCTTTTCCCTTCGCTGTATTGTAATGTTAGTTGCTCTTAGTTAATCTAATGTAGTATTTTAGTACAGTAATACACTACATTACAGTATTAGTTACTGTAATATACTTATCTAATACTGTATGTCACTCTAGTATACTATTTAGCACTACATGCCACTATAATATACTGTAATGGACTGCACATTGCTTCGGTGTACTATTTAGCATGATACACTACTATATTAAACTATATAGTACAACTTATCACTGCATTGTACTCTATAGTGCAACATATCACTGCATTGAACTGTACAGTACTATATATCACTATAATGTATTAAAATCTCATCTCGTTAAAATCTCATTAACTTTAATTTTAAACTGTGTTTATTCTTACTTTTTCAAATTACTTTCAAATAAACGTGCAGTAAACCAACTTGATCTGTGTTAATTATACCACAAGATGTTTGAAATTATATGGTAAAATTGTTTAAAATAAATTTTAAGTATATTTTAACTAAATTCTGCATAATACTCCAGTTTATATATTTTTTTTTCTTAGATCATTGTATACAAACTATAATGATTAGTTTTAATAACTTTATTGTATATGAAGAAGACTTGACATCATACATCTGACAGATATTATAAAGACAGAATTCAGTAATGTTTGACTTTATAACATGGTTTATATGAAACTCATTTATAATAAGTGTAGACTAATCAGTGTCAGATATTAGAGAACTTTGAGAAATCTATTTGAAACAATATTTGAAAGAAATTTTAGATGGGTCTATAATAATTTCAGTATAATAAGCCATCATTCATGGTAAAGTTATTTTTAACATGTTTGAAATAAGTGACACTGCTTACACAAATCAAGCTCACTCTATTCTAAGAATAGTATTACAATAATTGAACCAGTTTACAAGAAAATGTGACCAGTATATTTGAGTAAATATGAAGTAATCAGTGTCAGATATCGGAGCACTTTTCAAAATCTATTTGAGACAGTATGTGAAAGATATTTTGGATATGCTCTCCAATAATCTCAGATAATAAGCCACCACTTATTATAAAGTTGTTTTCAATATGTTTCAAATATGTGACACTACTTACACAAATCAAATTCACTCTATTTTAAGGTTAACCTTACAATAATTGGACCAGATTACGGGAAAATGCACCCAGTGCAGCGAGGCCTCTGCTACGGGGAGGCCGCACTTTACTCACTTTCAGAAAGAGACTGCAAGCGCGGCTCCCCATCAAAACCGGCCGGCTGTCAACGGTCTCCCTTGCACAGAAACCAGGTTGCTGAGCAACTTAAGGGGGTTTCTGGGGTTTCCTGGTTTCTGGGGGTTTCTCAATAGAATTATCCTCAAAAGGATGATGATGATGATGAAAGTCTTAGTATTTATACTGCGAGCAGGCAAACAAGTGCCAAGGTACAGTGTGCTACGTAGTTAGACTCATAACTACTGGCTGGCGAGACGGGTATGGTAAACGGGAAGCGTCAAAACATGCTGCGGTGCAGCGTGGCTTATGAGAACTGCATTGATCGGGGGAAGTAACGGGAGTGAGTCAGGTCAAGACGGCATAGAGAACATGAAAGCATAGATCAGAAAGGTCCACTGAGAACGTCAGCCCATCCTCCCATATCCCGGCCTTTACCACCTCCACCTCACCCATACGCCCGCAAACCTACGCTAGCCTCGGGCCTCGTCACATGAGAAACGCACCGTCAGAGCCGGTGCCCCGACATTGCGGGGGTGGTCTTGTTCGCACGTCGTCCCCGAAGGGACCAGTTGGGTAGTTGGGAAGGTGTGTTGACGATGGTAATGTGGGATGAAAACAATGCGGGTAGGAAAGCGGGGAGAGTAAGAATTGGATCCCGGACCCGGCGCGGTGCCTTGCCTTGGTTAGGGTGGCCTACTTGAAACTCGACGGCAGCGAAGGCTGGAATGCTGTCGGGAGAGGACCTGGGGACGATGCATGACCGTCGATGGGGTCTGTCGAGCAGCTAAGTTGTCGGGATGTGATGGATACATCGCGAGGGAGTCGGATGTACCAACTGGCTGGCGGTGAGTGGTCGGAGATCGTCCGAAGCAACGGCGACGGCTTAGATCCCAACGTTCTGGCGATACGGGGTAGCCTACAACTCTCCCATAGGTGAGAGCTGATCTGACTGGGAGTACCGGTTGGTACTCCCTCTCTTTGCTCGACGAGGAGCGTGGGAAAACTCGCACCAGGTGGTGGTACGAGTCCAAGGTGCCAGGACCCCCGCCGGACATCAAAAGGACATGTGGTGAAACACCAGCGAAGGGACATTTCAGGTATCTAGATGAGGTACCTGTTAGTCTGGCATAGACACAAACGCATAGAATTCGAAACGCGCCTTCCAATATTGTCAATATTAATGGCGGCCAAGCATGCAGTTCTGTATCCTTCTACTAGCTCTAGTACTTCTGCATACCAAGCGTTTTAGACCAGCCGAGCCAGGCGCCAATATCTGTGTATGTTGCAACCTCGCTGTACTCGCATTTTTCACACCCTGTCGTTCCGCAAATAGCTATAGCTGTAACATGTGCGCTAATCGAAACAACGAACGATCTAGGGGCCATACATAAAATCCCCACTACTTCCCCCTTCCCGGCCAGCAGTTCCCCATGTTCGAACTATCTGCAAGTTCGATACCCAGCTGGGCGGCCGCCCTGCTGCTGCCTTTCATATTCCTTCTGTGGAGGACATATCGGCCGTCCGACTCTCGAAGGGCACCTCTAGTGTCGTACTGGATCCCATGGGTTGGTTCGGCAGTTGACTTGGCTAAACCGGATGCCTTCTTCAAAGGCGCAACGTGAGTGGATCCTCATGGCCACGACGTTTCCGATAATGACACCGGAAAAGCGAGAAGTACGGTCCTGTCTTTCGTGTCAAAGCCCTAGGGCGAGAGTCAACGTATATCAATTCGCCATCGGTAAGGGCTGCCACTGTTGCCCTGACAGTCGAGGTTTACTCTCCTATTACCTAGTTGATAAATGCTGTATATCGAGACAACAAGGTGCGTATGGGACATGTGTTGCCGCGCATGAAACTGATTTATCACAATGAACGCAGCGTTTTGATTTCCAGGCCATCCGTCTGGACATGAACGAGTACTTGTTTTCGATCCCTACTGCCGCCAATCGAGGGCCGCATATGCTCGGCCATTGGTTCCCTGCACAGCATCGCTTGCTCTCACCGAATGCCGTTCCCCAGATCCTCAGAGCGTACACGCGAGAAGCGTATGACGCTCTGATGAAGGCAATCGAAATCCACGACGGTTGTGCTACACCTCTATTTCCCTTCATTATTCCATCAGCGTATGACTCGTCTGCAAAGGCGTTCTTTGGACATACTTTCCCTACAGAGAGAACTTTTGCTCCGTTTAACAAGTTCAATGATTCCTTTCACTTGATTGCTGCCGGTGCCCCCCGGTTCCTAGTGGCCAGCTCGCGTCGAGCGTGGTGGAATGTCGTCGACATCTTTACGGAGTACTTAGAACAGCTTGAGAAGTTACAGGACGAGGATCTTGCTCCCATTGTGCGGCTTGCAATGGATATACGAAGAGAAGGAGAATGGGTGAGTGTCCGCGTACCCTCGACGCCGACTGATTGTAGAATTGCATTTCTGCCAGGACACCCGAACGTCTGCGACTGCATTGGCAGCAATTCTATGGGCTCTCGAAGGAAACGCACCTTTGGCTGCGTACTGGCTTGTCGCATTGCTTCTCCAGGAGTCCGAAGGCCTTCGCCCACTGATCTCCGAGGTGGATGAGGCTCGCGCCAGCTGGTTGTCCGCGCATCCACAGACCAAGCTTGACGCTTCCACATTCTATGACTTCCTCGCCGACTCACCTTTGCCGCTGCTCAACTCCACAATCCAAGAAACCCTGAGGGTCACGTCGTCTGTCTTCTCCATCCGCCGGGTCGTTGCACCCGTTGAGATTGGCGGTTACCAGTTCAATCCGGGGGAAGAAATTATATGTGCGACGCGATCCGTCCATATGGACGAGCAAGTGCACCCTGAGCCGCAGTTGCTAAAGAAAGAAAGATACGTTGGCACTGTACACGCTAAGAAAGACGGGCAGAACGTCCCCAACCATTCGATGCCGTTTGGTGGCGGCGTGTCCATGTGCGAAGGCAGGCGAGTGCAAATATTTTGTGTGCCTGTGTTCACGCTCACCTTCATTCGACTGCCAGACATTTCGCACTCGGCGAGCTGAAAACGTTTATAGCATTGTTGTTGACTTACGCTACTATTGAGCGGGACCCTTCTTCCAGCTCGAAACCCGATTTGATGTGGGAGAGGATGGGGGTTGGCATCATGCCACCGCGAGGAGATATCAAGGTCATCGTTGGCAAACGCAAGTTATAAGTCATCCATTGTGTGATTGTTACGCCGTGGACTGACATTCTAATTGTGGACTGACATGACATCGTGACTGGTACACGCCTAGGATTGCACTGATTTCACCTCGTTACAGTGTACTTCTGATCGCTTCATAAATACATCCGAAGACGGTACACAATTTGAAGTCTGAAAATTTAGCGGTCGATGACCGCGTTGGTAACCCTAATACTATCTGTTTATGGTCAGGGAATAACCGGCAGAACCTCACCGCTGTGACTCATCCTTAAAGGCATCGAACAACGGTCAATAGGACTGTAGATCAAGTGAGGGCTGCCGGGTTGAAACTGGTCATAAACGGATCCGCGGATCAGATATAAGGAGCAGCGCAGAGAATGCAGTGCATTTATATGCGTCGCACAAGCGATGGAGTCCACAGCATGATCAGCAGTTTCCCGGAGGGAGTTAAAGGCTACAACATGTAATTGAACAACTCAAACTGAAATCGTCTTGAACACGTTGAACCCATCCAGAGCCGTGCTAATGACTGCGCCTGGGATCTGTGGATGCCAGTGCACCTCCTTTACGTCCTTCTGGCCTTGATGCACGAACAGCAGTTGCGGGGGCACGTCCCGCCCGCCCTCTGGAGTCTTTTCCATCGCTCCGGATTCCTCGTCATCCTGCTCGACGGCGAGGTCCCAGAGCGTTACCTGGTCATCTGCGCCCGACGCCGCGAAGATGGAGTCTTCGGTAGGATGCCATTCGATGGAGGTGATGGGTGCACGATGCCAAGAGAAGGTAGCCACCGGTGTGGGGTCCGGCGCGATTCTGCGAATCCTACAGGTTTAGCACAATTCTGTCGAGCTGGGTGATAGCTCGAATACGCACCCTTGCTTCTTCACGTTTCGCAGATCCCATACCTTGATGCCACCTTCGTCTCCGCCGCTCAGGAGCAAGTAGCTTGTTGCACGATTCCAGCTGATGACGTTCACGTCGGACTCGTGGGCTTGCTCGATGCCGGCGACGCTCTTCCGCCCTTTGCTCCGCACGTCCCAGATCTGCACGCTCTGGTCTGCCGAGCACGACGCAAAGACCGTCGCCTCCGAAGGACTCCACTGGATGTCCTCCACGCTCGATGTATGCGAGACGAATGGCTGTGTGAGCGCGTTGAACCCAGATGACGTGGTGGTCGTAAGGTATATCTTCGAATGGATGTCTCCTGTCAAGATGCGCAGCCCGGACGGGTTCGCGCCGCCGGACGACGCCCAGTCCATCGCGAAGCCCTCTGCCCGGCCGTGTGAGTTTATGGTGAACGCGGGCTTGTGTGTTCTTGATTTGTCGACTGTGTAGCCAGGGACGTCGAGTGCCTCTATCAGTGGTCGGACGTCCCATATATGCACTTTTCCTGTTTCTGCCCAACTGGCGACGTAGTATGGCTGTGACACAGATGGAAGGGGTGACGAAAGGGGAAGTGGTTGTGCGCGGACGCGGTTCACGCCGCCAAGCTGAGGTACAGAACGGAACTCTAGGATTGGGTCGTCGTCAAGCGCATCGTCGTCGTCCTCATCATCAGAGTCGGAGTCGTCTAGATTCAGAATGGTTTAGCAGGGTATCAGGAATGGAAGTTCATACCGAATGCTTACTTACCACCGTCCTTCTGCGTCCGCTGTAGTGAACTCATCTTATATACAGTGAGCTCGTTATTTTTTGCGACATCCGCTTGCGTGCCTGCGACGATATAGGCAGTAGCAGGGAAACGCTGCCGCTGATCTCCTAGATTATCTCGCAGGACGTCGAAGGAGAGACATGGCCAGTTGACGTTCATCGAGTGTCGCATGAGATATACAGAATCATCGGGCTCGAGTATCTCGTCTTTCCCGAGGTGGTGGACGCCTGGAATGAAGATATCTGGCGGTGCCGGCTGTTCGTCGGATTCTTCAATTGCAGGCAGCACCTCGTCGACCTCCATGTCTTCACACCGACAATGAGAACAATTGCAGGCGACCTTACGCAACACTTACCATCTTCTCCCTCATTAGCCTCGTCATCAATGACTTCTTCATCGCTCTCGAACTCATCCTCCCACCCGTCCTCGAATTCCCCCATTTCATCCTGCGCTGAGGGCTCGCGGACAGTGCTTCTACGAGGAATCTTTCGGGAGTCGCTCGTTGATGCCGACTGTACCTCTGTTACTGAACGTTTTGACATGGTGGGGAGCACTACGGTCTGGTGAAGAAACGCTGCGGACGAATATGGCTCGATCTCAGGCTCGATCCAAAATTTTGGTGAATGCATCCACGTGACACGCGACACGCGTTCGTCGGCATCATGCAGTCGCTCAGATTTACTGTTACTCAATTCCGCGCTTGCGAGGCTGTCCGGCGTGCTGCGTATTGCTTACTATGCTCCGTTGTGCTGACGAAGCGTTCATGTCAGGAAATTTGAAGCGAATGTTGAGGTCTCTCGTTGACATGCCATCACATCCTAGACGCGCGTCAACAATATAAAGGCTCGCTCCAGGTTCATAATCCCCCACCCATCTTCCCTGTCGTGTGAATTTACAGTATACATATACGACTGCGCAAGAGAATTTTCGAATTTTCCCGGGTATCGAGGACCATTCAGCCAATCCATCCACGTGCTACACGTTCGCCCCGGCAATAGGCACACACACTCGCATAAATTGTGCAGTCCCCCTCCAACAACGACCAACAACCTGTGCATCCTCTCGTTCTACTCGATATGTCCGCCATTACTATCCCTCGAGAGTTCGTACCCGCTACTTTGTGCTGGAGGTCGCGCCATATGTGCTTACCTTGACTGCAGGTTCGTATATCCTGTGTCTGCTGTCGTCTCGACCTTATGGTTGACGACGTGGCAGACCATCAAAGTTGGAAGGGCCCGCAAGGCAGCGAATATCAAGTATCCCCAGCGTAGGATTTTGTTGTTGCACCGTTCGTCACCGTACTAATTACACTATTGCGGCCAGTGTACGCTGAAAAGGCCGAGGCGGAAGCCAAGAAAGAGGCACAAATATTCAACTGCGCCCAGCGTATGTGACATGGTTTTGATGAGAAGTGTACCATGTAGCTTACGACATATCTCAGGTGCCCACCAAAACACACTCGAAAATTTGCCCTTAATTGTGGTTGGGTGAGTTCAATCACTGTATACGAAGATATCTAGTGATTGAACGCGTTCATACTAGCACACTCGTGGTGGGGACAAAGTACCCTGTCGTTGCAGCTTCTATGTGTGGCTTCTGGACATTCTGCCGCGTCCTGTACACCATTGGCTACAGCACCGGGGACCCCGCCCGGGTAAGTGGTCTAAGACGCAGTACAGAAAATGTACGGCTGACATCTCTCTCCAGCGCAGCTACATGGGCTCAACTGGCTTGGGCGCACTGGCAATGGTTGGTGAGTATACGTATCTTGAAATGTCTTGTCGTTTGTGTTCTGAAGCTTGTTCCTCAGGCATCTTGTTTGGCGCTACTTGGACGTGCGCTAAGGCTGTTCTTGAGACGTTGTGATACGGAGTGGGAGAGTGGTTGCCCCATTTTGAATATCGTCAAGTATCCCACTTTGTAGCGCAATACTAGTAGTGAAAGATATAAGAGAGTGAATGCCCGGATCGAGGTGGTGTAGTGACTTCGTCTGTGGCCGGTTTAGTTGCCGTCCAAACCTGCAACCACTGAGGCGTCTATATGCCGTCGCCTCATCCTCCTCTCTCCTGTCCCAGTTCTCATCCACATGCGCCACCATGTCGGGTCTATCGCGCCGCCCATCGCTGCCCACGACGTCCTCCGCCTTTGCCTTGCCGGCATCAACGTCCTCATCAGTGTTCAACAACCCGACGCCTGCAGTAGCCTCAGATGATCTTGCCCTATTCATGCTCCGTTACCGTCTGCACTCACCTCGAGGCTATTTATCCGAAACCCGCCTGCACAGCCCTCTCGCGATCTCCTTTACCATTCCGCGAAGGTACAGCACCAGCACCAGCGTCAACGGCGAGGAGTCCGAGAGCGACCGTGACAAAATGTCCACAGACAGCGACTCGGGTAGTGCTACGCCTCTCTTACCCGCGCCCATCGTCGGCTCGCTGAGCGACAGCAGCTTGAAGACGAGCAGGCCCCGCAGCCCGGCTACCCCACCTCCGCGCAGCGCCCCTGCAGCGATGCCGTCCGCAAGCAGCAGCACCAGCGACATGTCGCTGGAACCCCCGTACCGCGGCGCGCACCGCCGGCGGCCCTCGCATGCTGTAGCTAGCCTGCCTTTCTTACTCTATGCGCGCGGACCTGACCACGTTTCTGCGCAGTTGAGAGTCCCGAGCATACTCAGGCTCATTTCCGAGGCGCACCCCGAAGAGAACGAGGTGCAGTCAGAGGCACAGTTCCAGCGACTGGTCGCATCGGTCTCTGCGCTGCCCACTCGGCCGCGCACCCCACGCGCGGCATCGGACCGCGGACGATACCCAGAAGAGGCGGACGTTGAAGAAAACGCAAGGGAAGAAACGCCCAGCGACGACGGCGAACTCGACGACGATTTGTTCGCATACATTAACTCTGTCAATGCCACTAAGCCCGTCACGCCTGCGCAGAGCATCAACGGGGACGATATCTGCACGCTCGATAGTCCTATGGCGGTCGCCATGGACGTTGATTTGGTCTGTATCCACCTGCTCGTCCGCTGTCACCAGTTTAATGATTCTGCCAACAGCCTTCCATGTCAGGATCACCCATCATGTCCACATGGAGGTACACCCCACCTCCTACATCGAGTGCTGTGCGCAGCAACAAGCGGAAATGTACGTCACTGAACGCCAAAACTCGAGCGCAATCTCACAGACTCCGTCAGTGGAAGACCGGTATGATCCTTACCCAACAGTTTCCAAGCGGCGCGCGGTCTCGCCGTCTCTGTCCTACCTACGCGCGTCAGGTGGCGCGCCGCGGCTCTCCATGCCGATACCGATACCGGTCCCGCCCAGCGGCCTGAACTCCGGCGCCTCCTCGCCCATCGTCCCTTCGTCGGGTTCGTACTTCAGCTCCAGTTTCATCAACCGGACTTCGAGCGCGATGTCCAGTCCGACGTTGCGTGCCCAGATCGGACTCTCCAGCCCAGTGCTGAGGCCGATAATTCGCTCGCGACGAATCGCGGGCGATGAAGAAAGGGAGGTCGATGGGGCTGGTCACGCTGTGAATGGGCTAACCCTGAGCGACCCGCACCCTCCCACATCACTGTAGATATTAGCTTCTATTCACCACATTGTTTTTGTGCATCCCCAATCACTCTGCATTGCTCATCTTCATCCGGCCCCCCGCATTGTAACACTAGATGTTCCGTATTCATATTCGATAATGTCCGTGTCTTACTGCAGCAGACTGCTATTGTATACGTATACATATTGTAGCGTATTGTACAGGATGCTTCCTGCCGTGTAGGGAGACAGGTCGCACCATCTCAAGATAAGCGATGAAAAAGCAAATGCGTGATGCAGATTAATGCTGCAACCAATTGAACGCGCATACGTACTATGCAGTCTCCACGACCGCACTCGCAGCCGCACCGTCTGCTGTAACTTCACCCGTTTCGACATCAGCAGAGGTGCCCTCGTCTAGCACCTGCACCTCCCCACTCTCTGTGTTTTTCTCCATCTTGGGCTCGCTTTCCTGGCTGTCAACCGCCTTGGCCTGCGCCGTGGCATCGGACGTGCTATCGACACCCCATTCGTCGTCCGTGTACGTGTGCAGCGGCAGATGCTTCATGAGAAGGCTCGCGAGGATCCCGAGCCCGCCGATCCCGATCATCACCTCCCACACGACCTTCAGGCTTGTCGCAAACGCAGCGCGCACTTCGCCGCTGAGGCTGGGCGGCAGCTTCCCGATGATGGGGATGATGGAGTACGCGATCTGCGCGCCCTGCGGGAACTGGCTCGAGAAGCCTTCAGGAAGGTGCTTCAGCAGCTGGTTTTGCAGTACCGTTCCGCCAATGGTGACACCCCAGACCTGTAATTTGCAAACAGAAGATAAGCAGCAATTCCAAAACTCGATTGCGATTACAGACCTGGCCGAACGAACGAGCGAACGCGTATAACGCCAATGCGTATGCGTTTGCAGACACTGGCAGCGGCGCCAGGACTGGGAAATACGTTGTTGTGATGACGAGACCTATGCCGGCACCGACCAGGATAACGTATCCGATAGACTTGCCAAGGTTCGTGTCATCCTTGAGCGTGCTCATGAGGCCAAATGAGACGAGGACGATGGCCCAGCCGAGCCAGATTTGAGGCCTGTACCGCTTGGTCGCGGCTACACTCACTCCACCGATAATGCTCAAGAGCGCGCATGAGGTGAAGCCCAGCGAGTCTACACCGGACGCGATGGGACCGGCACTTTTGCATGCTTGGAAGTAGATTGGGAAGTAATCTACCGCAAAGCGCACGCTGGTAAGAAATTGCCGAAACGTCACTGACCGCAAGATGACCATGCTCACAGACGACACCTGTCAAGCAAAGTGCAAGAATGAAAGCCTGCACATATCTGACAGCAGGGTGTTCAATGATCACTGGACTCGGAAAAAATATGTGTACGTACCCGCTAAGACCTGTACGTGTGGACATGAGGGAGAATGGAACCTGCGCCCACCTGTCAGAGCACGTATAATCATTCGAGCACGAACGTACAATGGGATGCTTTGCAAGCATGGCCTCATAGAGCAGGAAGACACCGAGACCGACAATTCCAAGGACCAGAGGCACTAACACTCGCGGTGAGGACCACGGATACTGTACTCCACCCCAGGTGAGTGCAATCATGAGCGAGGTCGAAGCAGGAATGACCAAGGCGTTGCCGCTGAAATAGAGCATGGGCATTGAGGGACTGCGATATCATAGAAAATACGAACTTACATCCAATCCATTTTCGAGAGCTTCTGTCCTATTGTTCCGCTTGGCGTCTTTAGTTTCAGGAAGGTGAGTACGAGGACTCCAGCTAAGCCGGTGACGAAGAGGTTGAGGTCTGGAGAGCGCAGTATTGGTGTAGCCAATGCAGTAGATAATACAGAAGGACGAACAGAACAGCCATCTCCATTTGCCGTTTTCAGCAAAGGCTCCACCGATGACAGGACCAGAGCAGGAAGCAACAGACCAGGCTCTGCAAGATGTTAGAGCCCTAGTGACGTTAAGTACAAGGGTAGGACTTGCATGCCAATCAACCCGTTGAATGTGCCACGAGTTCGAAGCGGAACCAGGTCGGACAGGATGATCTGCGTAAGAGCCGTGATACCACCGGCACCCACACCTTGCACGGCTGGATACATTATGAGGATAGAGTTGATGACAATCAAACAATAACTCACTTCGTCCTGCGATTAGGAAGTTCATTGAGGTGGCAGCTCCACAGAGTGCGCTGCCGACCAAGAAAAATACCATGGATCCCAGCATGGTCGGACGGCGCCCGAAGACCTGCGCAAACGATCACATCTGAGAGCGGGACCCACATAAAAGTCTAATATGCGCACCTGCGCCAGGCCCCCACTCATGGGAAGAAACGCGGTGGAGGACATCGTATATGCAGAACCAATCCAGATGAACTGGCTACCATGGAGATCGTTTGTTATCGTAGGAAGGGCCGTAGATACTGCAGTCTGAGTTCCATGTCAGCAAGGGGCACAATTATAAGAAGATGGCGCTCACCGTATCCAACGCTGTCGTGAATGTTGCCACTGTAATGGAGAAGAAAATGGCCCAGAAACGCCAGCCCCGTCCAGGGACTGATTCGTGCTCAGTCATAGAGAATTAGGAAGAAGGGTATAGATCTGGGTAGGTTTGGGCTATTCTCCCAAAGGCAGACTACAAAATCATCCCTGTTAAGTGGAGGAGGGGACGAGGTGATATGATGTGGCATGTGCATTTATAAGTACATGACTTGCCCATCAGCATAGATCTCTCGGTTGGCATCAAGCCACTCCGGCGCTCTGGATGGCAGATGGGCGGGAATCCTGCCATGAGAAGCATGACTTCTCCAAAGCGCCCTGATGTGGCACTGCACTGGCTCATTGAATACATGCATACACGTCGCATTAGTGGACTGGTAGTAGCAAGCCTGCGACGTCGACGACAGGAGTCATTCCATACATACAACACTACTGTAGGCCTTGATTCATGAGTTGAGCAAATCCAGTGCCAAGATCAATGCCCGCGCTTCACCAGTGCCAAACGCCGGCTCGAGATGAATCTGGAGCCAGCGAAATCGAATCGAGTTCAGCCACCGGCGAGTCCTTTCTCGCGTGTACATGTGCACAAGACGTCGAAGAGAGGACGAACAACGCTGAGGGTAACTTAGACGGTTGCCCCATTTGTAACAGCAGTGTGGGCCCCGGTTGCGCCACGGACACTGACGAACGGTCTGCATATCGAACCGTTACGATTGTCTTAAGCTTCTACTCACATTGAAGGGCACTGATACTTATTTCGCACTACCTGCGCCTGCACACTGTGCCGATGCATCACCCTGCCGCAGCTGCAGACTGGCGCAAGTGTCGTGAACGTTAGGATTCCATCGCATATGAATGCTGAGGTCTCGGTCAATGTTCGGGGAGCTCCGATGCGTCTCCGAAAGTACCGTATCTTAAGCTTCGACGGAATTTATTCTGGATTTGACATCGGTCTCAAGCTCGTTCCGCTGATGTAATGATGGGGCCCTGACATTATCGATCAATGGATATAGCTTGGCAGAACGTTAAAATCTTTTCCAATGCTTATAATCTCGACACACTTGGTGCGAGGACTTTGAACTGAAAGGGGCATTTGAATCCGAAGCTCAATCGCTCAGCGCTCATGGACCATGGCCGTGTGGTATACCTGTGCGATGGATCGTCATGACGAGATATCAGAACACTGGGATACGAAAATGGTACATATGAATGGTACTGCACGGTGAGCAAGCAATCAATGACGAGGAGGTCATCACATACAGGATATCAGCAAGTATTTCGTGATTCGGGATTGAGATATACAGTACACATAATGCCACCTAAATTGAAGCTTTGAAATTGGAAGTGATCAAGATGAGAAGTTTAACGATAGGACTCGAGCACTGCACCACATACGAGAGTACTAGTAGACTCGTTTACCAGATAGAAAAAAGTCGTTCCTCTCTGTACCTCGCAGTCCTGGTCACTGAAACAACTGGACTTCCAGGCGATAGGTAAACCCCGGGCGCTACCGGTCATAGACGTGGTGCGCCTCCCCAAAGGAGAGCAAGCCTCTGGCTCGCAACGCAGGCAACTTGGTGTCCACAACCCTCCCCGCTTCTGCGAGCTTCGCATGGTACACCTCCAAGCCCACATCCTTAATGTTCACGTTGAGCTGGAAGTTAAATCGCACCGTCTGCAGCCTCTCAAAGCGGCTCAGCGCGCGTTCCATGGCCGCCCAGTGGAATATCCTATCTTCAGCGAGTTGGTGGTGCACGTCGCGGGGAAAGCATATCGTAAAAGTGATCTCACGCAGCGATTTGGCAGAGACGGTGGCGAGGATATCGATATACGCTAGCCAGAGGAAACCCACGGTGGTCATAAAGAACACGGTGAATGAAATCGATGCGAGGAATGTGCATGAGGCAAGGTTTAGCTGCGACCACTGCCACCCATTGATGGATTCGGCGTCTGGGTAGGTAGTTAGCTACATAAAGTTGACATGATGCTCACAAAGGAAATTTGTAGCTCGAATATTCATCAGAGCCTTTTCAGCGTTGAAGTCAAACCGAGTAATGGCAGGTCCAGCAGCCTTGAGGATTTTACCGAGGCAGAGGAAATCGCGCAATTCTAGGCCCTCTGAGGAGACGGCGCGGAGACTACGGATAGTAGGCCATCGGCGAAAGAGAGAAGTCATGAAGGTGGATGCTGGGCTACGGAGTGTCAGGGAGTGGATTTCCGTATGGGGAGGGAATCTTATGATCTCTATCACGTTGTCCTCTTCAGAAGAATCTATAAAACCCATGTCCGCCGGTGTGTAAAGTCTTCCGAGACGCAGCTCGCCGATCTGGGAAAATAGAGCAAAAACGCCAAACAGGGTGCTCTTGTCTTCACCGTATATCACAAGCCGGTCGAGTCTGTACTGGGTGGGGACAATCTCATAGTAGGTGAGTCCAGTAAATTGCACCAAGCAGAAGTCCAACCACCGAAGGTGAGATAACAGCGAAAGAATGGACGTTATTACTTACAGCAGCATCGATCTCCGGAGGTTCCGGACGGCGCCTTTCCAAGCTAACGGCGTCGGACATGGTTGGGATACAGTTGGGATGAAGCCGAATACAGTCAGACGTTGAATATACGGACTTATGTGCGGAGCAGAAGTAAGAAAATGGATTAAATGATCGTATCTGCCATCTTCTGCTGTGATTATGATGGGCTGGAAGAGATGGAAACGGCTGGAGCGGGAGACCGAGGAGGTTTATGATTATGGAGATGGTCGATGATCATGTCATGCAGCTCCGGCGCAAGTGTCGGACGCACTACCTCGTCCAGATCCTCCATCGTCGCAGCTGCGGGTAAGGTCGTCGGATACGATATCCTGCGCATGCGCTGGCACGAAGGTTGAAGAGAACCGTATCTACGAAGGCCGTGGGCGCCCACTTTCAAGCACGTCCCGAGATAACCGGTGAGACTACTTACAGTCTACTTACACGCCCAAGCCGGAAAGCCAGATCATGCAATGTTTAGAGAAACTCGCGTCAAACTTCGCTCTTTCTCACATCTCCGAAGAAGTCTGAGCACCATCAGCAGTAGTAGCGAACCAGATGTCATAACTAGACAGAAGTGTCAGAATATTGCCCTTTTTCTCGGCTGTCGATAACTTACGACACATCCGCGCGAATTCCTGAGGAATCCGTGACATACCACTGTAATCCGATGATTGTCTGTGGCTTATATCACCAGTTCTCACAACATTTCGGTTTCCGAACATTTGCATGCGCAGTACGAAGAGCAGTTTCGAATCTCTTCCAGGCCACCCGTATCCTGACGCACCTAGGCTTGACGGGCAAACTACGGAATGAAGGGGCCATGTCATCATCCCTCAAGTCATGGGAGACAGAGGAACACTCTTCAGCTCGAGACTGGCTACAGACCACCGCCAGGCTCTCTAACGCACTAATAATATCAGTCTGGCTCCAGTGCTCCACGTCCATAGTTCTAGATGGTTTTGAGTTTGAGGAGGCGGAGCTATAAGAGAGGGTGCTCGTCTCTGACACCACTTACTGCAAACACACTGTAAATAATGTCCATCTCAAAGATCCACGCCCGTCAGGTATGTTTATCACTAACGACGAGACCATGCAGCACTTAGCGTCCGGCAGATCTTTGACTCTCGAGGAAACCCTACGGTTGAGGTTGACCTCTACACTGCTAAAGGTATGTCACCCCGTGCTTCGTGTATTGTCATTACTGCACCCACTTTTCCTGATATTGCCCTCCAGGTCTATTCCGCGCGTCCGTACCCTCGGGCGCGTCCACCGGCGTGCACGAAGCAGTTGAGCTGCGTGACGGCGACAAGGCCAACTATCTCGGGAAAGGTGCAGTCCACACGCCCCTAACTGCGCATGCTCTCTGACAGAGTCTCCAGGAGTCTCCAAGGCCGTCGCGAACGTGAACACGATTATCGCACCCGCGCTCATCCGGTCCGGGCTGAAGGTCACCGCACAGAAGGGCATTGACGACTTCCTCATCAAGCTCGACGGCACTCCGAATAAGGGCCGCCTCGGCGCAAATGCGATCCTCGGCGTGAGCATTGCTGTCGCGCAGGCGGGCGCCGCGGAGCTCGGCTTGCCGCTCTACACGCACCTCGCAGACCTGGCTGGAGTGAAGCCGCCGTATGTCCTTCCGTGCCCGTCGTTCAACGTCATCAACGGCGGCAAGCACGCGGGGAACAAGCTCGCGATCCAGGAGTTCATGATCCTTCCCACCGGCGCGAAGAGCTTCGCCGAGGCGATGAAAATGGCGACAGAGACGTACCATACGCTGAAGAAGGTCATTAACGCAAAGTATGGCATTGACGGTCCGTCATCCTCTTCGTATCACGTTGGACACCCAGACTGACCTAGAGTGTTGCGTAGCTGTGAACGTCGGCGATGAGGGCGGGTTCGCGCCCAACGTCTCCGGCGCAGAAGAGGCGCTCGACCTGCTCATCGAGGCAATCCACACGGCGGGGTACGACGGCAAAGTCAAGATCGGCTTCGACTCCGCATCATCCGAGTTCTACAAGGACGGAAAGTATGATCTGGACTTCAAAAACCCGAACTCGGACCCAAGCAAGTGGCTCACTAGCGCACAGCTTGCTGAGCTGTATCGCGGGTACATAAAGAAGTACCCGATCGTGTTCGTCGAGGACCCTTTCGACCAGGACGACTGGGAGGCGTGGACCGAGTATAATAAGACGAACCCCGTGCAGGTTATCGCGGACGACTTGACCGTGACTGACCCGCATCGAATCAAGATCGCAATCGAGAAGAAGGCGTCCAATGGGCTTCTTGTCAAGGCAAGTATCTGTTGGTCTTCTCGCGCGCACCGCATCTGAAGGGATCGTTTGCGTGCGTAGGTGAACCAGATTGGCACCATCTCCGAGACAATCCAGGCGTGAGTCTGTCATGTCATTGCATGGATTAACTGTCACGGTAGTCACTGCTGTTCCCTCGCAGGACCCATCTGGCTCAATCTGCTGGGTGGGGCGTCATGGTCTCGCACCGCAGCGGTGAGACTGAAAGCACCCTCATCGCAGACCTTGTCGTCGCGCTGGGTGTAGGCCAAATCAAGACTGGTGCGCCTGCACGGAGCGAGCGTGTCGCAAAATATAATGCTTTGCTGCGCATTGAGTGAGTCTCCCGATTTCAAAGTTTCTAACTCCAACCAATGTGCGCGCCTGCAGGGAGGAAATTGGCAACGGTATCTACGCTGGCGAGAAGGGATTCGCTGTCGGAGTCACGCCTCCGGCGCTCCTGAGAAAGTAAGAATGCGATAAGACGAATATGAGGACGGGAATGAAGGAATGAAGGATATGGTGTAAGTTAGGTTACTGTGCGCGTGAATATATTAGCCATATGCAAATGGATTGATTTCGGATATGGACGATTTCGGCTGGAGTCGACGCACGAGCCTGAACGCGAATACCTCAGTGCCAACATGCACGAGTTCTGCTCTGCGTGAACATTCGAATGCAGATGGCCTAGTGATTGCACTGGCAAAGGCGACATCGCTCACGCCGCCGCCAGCCAGCACCCTCTGAGTCGTCCTTCATATTCGCCTCACCTAACTATGCCCACCCTCATTGTCACTTCCGTGCTCACCAGAAACCGCCTCCGGCCATCCATCGCGGTGTTCCAGCGAGACACCGCCCAGTCTGAGCCCAAGGCTGACGCCGACAAAGCGTATCCTGCCCCAGAGCCCGACTCCCTCACAGTGCTCAAGGCCTCACGTGGATACGAGTATGAGCGCCAGCGGGCCAAGAAGAGCGCAGAGTCGGAGCGGATGAGGGAGCGCAAGGAGCGGTACCGGCGCGCGTGGCAGCAGTCCGCAGCGCGGTCGCACAAGCTCATGCCCCACGGGAACGGGAGTGAGAAGCGCAAGAAGGCGTACGGGATGGAGATGGACGACGATGAGAACGTACCGCCGTGCGTGAACGAGGAGCGGGGGGTTACGGAGGACGCGGCCCGGTTCAGGGAGCGGCATGAGTTGGATATCGCGTCGCTGATCAAGTCAGCGAAGTCGACGACACCCAAGTCGAAAGGTGAGGTGACCGTTTACTTGCCTATTTCAGCCATACTTACGGTGCCTGCAGTCGATGACTTCGAGGTCATAGCCAATGTCCGCTCGGTCATTGTCCTGGATGACCAGGTCTCCAATGACTTTGAACTGGACGAACCGTGGGAGCATATCTCGATCGAAGATGGGTGCGAGAGTAAAGTTGCGGTCCCGTCGTATGCCCAGATCCTCTCAAAGGCTTGAATTTTTAGCTTGGACAATTGTCTGTACAACACGGACGAAGGAGTTGGGTTCCACTATCAATACCAAACAGTAACGACATAATGCATCGACTCCACTCACAGACTATTTATTACCCGCGTATGCCATGTATGCCGAATGCCCATGCGATACATTACCACCTGTATAATGTGTGTTAGACGCTCTTAAATACCTGTGTTCACGCCCAATATATGTCCTTAGGCAGAATTCCGCGCGTGAGGATTGATCAAGTGTGATTGAGATATTATATGCGAAGCGGCGATAGATATGTACTGTGGACATGGACTACGAAGGTTGACGGGATGGTGGTCATGAGAATCCCGTCCGCCGCATTGGATGGAATATGGGGAAAGGGTGTGCCTGCCAATCAGAATGTAAGGAAATGCGTGTGACATGGAGAACAGAGAGTGCTTACTTCCGTATTGAAGACGTATTCTGGCCACACGATGTCAGCGAAGTGCCAGAGATGGATAGGAAACACCTACTGGACAAAGGTAATACGCTGGCATCGTCGAACAACAGATACAGATACTTCAGAGTCTCGCTCTGCAAAGAACACTAAATATCAACATCACGGTAAGCTGAGCACAACTGACGCACCATTAGGAATGTCTCCATCTTGTCCTCATGCTCAACTGGCAGGCGGTCCACATTGAGCACGCTCGCATACCCGCCGGATTCGACGCGGCAATGTTTCTCGATCGCCTGGAATATGTTCCAGCCATACTCGCGGTACTTGGGATCACCCGTCAATCGGAAGGCAATGAAAAGAGACTCCACCGTCTCAGGACTTCGAGGAACGAAGGAACGAAGATGAGCGATATAAAGAAAGAATTTAGACGGGGGAGCATACCGAAGGATATATCGTGCATCGTACGAATTGGGGCCATCAGGACTGTGATCACGCAGAGTCAAACGCCAGATGAATCAATATCGTGGTTGGACACTTACCGTGCTCCTTTGATATACCAATCTTCTGGGGCATTCGACTCTGGGATATGATCTCCGGCTATTTTGAAGTGCACAATCTCGGGGGACAGCCCGCTGAGAGAATGGCAATCTTAGCAAAAATTCATTAGCCCGGTAACTTGTCACCTACGTAGCCGTCTCGTGCGTCTTCATGCATGTGCGTACAAGCTCGATGCCCGCCGTCCAATCCCTCTTGCCCTGCTCAGAGAGCTCGCCTGCAAGCGGAGGGACGGACACTGGCTGGACGACTGCACCGGTGGTGACCGCCCCGAGCATCAGCGAGCCGCCCAGGAAGCACACGAGATGGTCTTGCTTCGGCACAAGACGCCAATTGCTGCAATGAACAGTTCAGGACAAGCATGGAGAGCGGAAATGTAAACACTGACATCTTGCCTTGGCGGTTGCGTTCCGGGATGAGCTCGGAAGTGTATGTCAGTCCCGCACGTTCCGTCTTCTTGATCAGATGGGTGTACACTGAACTCATGGCATCGTCATACATCTGCGGGGGAGGCGTGAGTAACGCTTTTGGGACACTGGGAAGACGCTACTCACAGTCCGGTATACAGGTTCTGTATAGTCCTGAAATTGAGATTAGCCCTTGACTGGATGAGTACGCGTAACTCTGATTACCGTCTGTATGTATTGTTTCCTGATATGAATGTGAGGCTCATACATTGACTGATGAGAGAACACACATACAAGAGATATTCGTAGTATGAATCTGCGCGGGATCCTAGACGAATAGGCGCAACAGTGAAACGACCTTCATCATAGCTGTAGAAAGGCATCAGCCCGCGAGAATTGAAACAGCGTAAATGGCCTACCTCATGAATATTGAGGCTAGCCCAGTGGACATGGAGGTACGAGCGGCTTTGATCACCTTCATCGCCTGACGCTAAGGCGTGAGCTCAAGTGCTACTTGATATCACGAGCACGTACATTCTCCACCACGTCCCAGTATATGTCCTCTTCCGTCAAGAGACTGAGGTACTTAAACTCCAGCTGCAACGTCGATACTTCCGCTGTACTAACTAACTCCTTGTTGTCCTTGCTCGGGACGCCTTTGCGTTTCGCCAGATTCACCGACGACAGAGGTAGCCCAGACGGCGTGTCGAACGCAGGGAGAATTCGATCAGCCAAGTTCTTCGCTCTTTCGAGGAACACGGGGTCTTCAGTGAGATGGTAGGCGGAGAGCAAACCACCGAGAACTCGTATTGTGGTCTGCACCATGTTAGCCAACGATGGAGCACCAGAATGTGCATGCACTCGCCTCGAATGTGTTGAATTCCCCATTTCTGTCGAACGTCATGTTCGTGGCGATCCAGTTTCTAGCGCGCGCGTATTCGTCCTTCAGACCCATGATGATCATTGAGTCAATCGAATCGACTACCGTGTAGCCTATTCCACCAGCATCTGTGAGGTTGGTTCCTGAGTGGCCAATGGGGTGGTATTCGTCATCGCCCATGGCATCCCTCTCTGGTCGTGTCAGTGGTGCGACCCGTCTGGTGTACATGGATTAGCTCACCATATGCGAGCCATGCATGCTTCCATCCCAAGCCATGTAAGCATCTGCATGTTCAGACCACACTGACGACGGCGCGGCGCACCTTGAACGCTACCACAACTGCATTTCGTTTCGGCAAGTCTGCGGAAAATTCAAGAGGACCGCTGCTCTTCGTCGCCGCGTCCCAGTCGGCGCTCTTCCTCCATGCCTCCAAGTAGCGTTGGATAGCTTCTAGGTTCTACCGTGGGAAGTGAGCGGTGTCCAGGAAGCAGCTACAACGATGAGAGTACCTGGTATGCGAAGAAGCCCAGGGCCAAGAGCAGAAGGCCGAGGACGGACGTGAACTTCACTGGGTGTCCATTCGCACTGCCCTGGACGTCCACGACATTGACCTCGCGCGACAGAGCAACGGGAAGGAGTATTCATACCGCTGGTTGTTTCTGCTTCCTCGAGGACTGCCGCTCAGTTGCCCTTTTCCTTTTGCGAAGAGTAGGCTCACTTGAGGTCATGGCAGTGTGAAAGATATGAGCTGGCACCGGCGCCGGCAGACGGGTGGCAGAAGCAGGCTTCGTCTAACTTTCTGGAGTATACGTGTACAGTCGTGTTCTCGCAGTGGAGGAAAGAAGATGGTACCAGCGTGTGGTAACATAATTGGGGAAACTGCGCAAGCGCAGTTGCGGACAACATCAGACGGATTGCTATCTAACTATCGTGCACACAGCACTGTCTACCGATGGCCCGGGAAGAGCTTGCATTTCGGAATCATAAGGATGTGTCTAGGGTGGATCGTGAAGCTTTGAAGCTCTGAAGTAAGTTCCAAGAATTCGAATATGTACAGTAGTACATCGATATCGACGGCGCCTTTCAGACACGGATATCCTGAGGAACGAAGGTTGAAGCAGAGTGTCAGTCTATCTTTGGGAGACTAGTCGCCCCAGCCGACAGCTGTGATCTTCGTCGATCATCGTGTCGATCGCCTTCATTACTGTACTAGACGGTCGGTGTGGCGTCGTGGCGGAGGAGGGAGGCCTGGAGGCACTGATGCCCCAAAGTATACGCAGTAAAGTCATGTATAGACGTACAAACAATATCGTGTCTCTGGTTCTCTACACAAGGTGACAAGCCGTATGTTTTTGAGCCATCTCGTGATCATGTCCCTGCGACACCGTCGACGTCAGTAGGCTCTGTGGGTTATCAAACGTACCTGAGTCACTTCGGGTTGGTCGTGAGGAGCCATATGACTAGTTTTGCGCCGTTAAGTTCGGGTTTTAGCCAGACAGGAAGAGAAACCCACCCAGTCTTGTGGACCTGGACAAACGTGACGTTTCCAGAGCGCTGCGCACTTCACCTCCCACCATGCCTGAGTGCAAGGTCTTCCAAGGCATCGACGGTGAACGTTGGAATTTCGCATGGAATAACTGTGCCACCCAGCGCTCGATGCTCTGACAACAACAGGTCAAAAATGAAGCATAAATATGAGCATCTTCTGGAGATCATACAGTGGGCGGCCACCGATCATGTAATTGCAGAGACCATCTGCAGGGCGCAAAACTTCAGCGCAGGGATACATAGAACCGTTGAGAATATTCTCTTCATACCTGTGTTCCCAGCATACACGAGCGAGCAAGCGCCACCGTTAATCAACTCCGGTAATAACTTGAATGCGGCGCCGTTATGCATAAACTGGCTTTGCTTGTACTAGAACGCCAGGTTGACCTTGGTGTTGCATACCTGAAACCTCTGCGGAGAGTCATCGACGTCCGATTCCTTCTTATTTAAAAGATCGTTCCTCTGTCAGCACGGAGAGATTAGTTCTCTTCACCCCCGGACGTGGAGAGAATTCCGGCTCTTTGTTCTTCTGATGAACGTTCAACGAACCTTGAAGATGAGCGATTGTTGGACCCCAGTGTCCACCCCAACTCTCTGCCGCGAGATGGAACGGTGCGGACGCATACCGAGAAAACCGGGTCGTGAAGAGCAGGAGAAATGCATACACGTCGACCGCCAAGTCTGCGACTGTATCGACCGGGATCCGTCAGACGCGTACGAGAACCCCAGTGGGCTCATCAAGAAATATCATGTTGGCATGCTGATTCCTATTGTAAGCCGTGGAGTTTCCTTCGTCGACAACAGTACATGGACCTAGTTCAAAAAGTAGCCCAGTGACAGTACGGGTACATACACGACGATACGGATATGATCTGGAAAAATGCAATGTGTATCTGCCAGTACAGCGGTAACCAAAATATGGACAAGCAAGAGGAGCGACGACGTAAGCAAAGCGTAGCGAGAAGCATACTTAGATAGCATTGACAACGAGTATATGAAAATGTGAGAAACGTATTGGTATGCATAGACGAATAACACCGCAGTGGAGTCCATTGAGGAGGGCAGGTGTGCATCAGCCCCACCTAAGCTTCACTGAAGGATCTCGTCCCGATCCTGACTCGAAGATGATATTGTCGAGAGAAATCAGTGCAGCGTTCGATGATGTACTAACTGAAGCCCGTGGTGCGATCTGATGCGATTGCGGAGGTTCGACCTGACCAGCTGCCGACCCTCTAGCAGATAAGGGAAGGGGCTCGACCGGTGGAGCTTCCCCAGAGGCGGTCGTCTCAACTTCGTCAGACGGTGTTGTAGCGGGAGCAGTGGCGGTGTCCTCCTGATCCGACATATCCAAGACAATGCAGTCGTGTTCTGCTCGTTCGCAGGTGCGCACCCTCGCGCGGCTGGCAGCGGCAACTGCGACTTTGGCATACGCCTTGAAGAGTTTTTTGTTCGCCATTTCTTCTCCCGCGTAGTTCGTCGAGCAGTCGAAGTGGGTCTGGACAGGCTTATGTTTCCTCAGGTGCTGCAACATATTGTCCTCCCGAGAAAATGGCTTCTGACAGAAACGATATCGACATTTAAAGGCTGAAAGTACGTGAGATATAAAAATTACTGCTAGAGACAGGTGAACGTACGCTTCTCGTGAGTATGTACGGATTGAATATGCCGCTCCAGATGGTAAGAACGTTTAAACACTTTGCGGCAGCTTTCAACTTCGCATGTGTATGTCCTACCCAGCCTCACGCCCATTGCTTTTGTGGGTACACTCCGTCCGTGCGTCTTCTTTGAAAGATTCGGGACAGGAATCTTCCCAGCTTGCATTCGCTGGGGACCGCGGCGGTATTCCCAATCGAGTTGTTCAAGTTCCCCCTTGTAATTATATGAGAACTTCCGACCCTGGATCCAGATCAAATCGTCCTTGTAGGCTTCCAATTGATCCTCCTCAAGTATAGCCGTCTTCGTCTTCTTGGAGACTGTAGGCAGGTACTTCGGAACTGGCAGAGATATAGGCTCTATCCTGGAACTGTCGTCCGAAGCAAGTTCTGGAGGTGCTCGCTTGAGTGGACCACGAGCAATGAAGGACAATGGCTTGGACGAAGAAGGCATCACAGGAGTCTCGTCCTGTTGTTGCATATCAGTGTGACGGCAGCAACACATGAGACGTATGGCTTACCCATGTCACTTGCAACGTCCAGTCATTCGGATGCGGAGGGTCGCGCCGCATTGCAACAGATATCCAGAGGAATGAGAATTCTGAGAAGGCATGAAGATTGATTTCAGAACGTAACAGTGGGGAGAACAGCAAAGTCCGACTCGTACTGTGGCGCAAGAATACTCTATGGAGCGGGAGGTTATCTGACAACCTTGACGTCTACGTATACCAGGGGGCACCCACCGGGACTTTCCGTGACTCCAACCCCTGTGGTTGTTGTCCCTCCACTGGTGTACGGGGTCCATTTCTATCTTTTTCAAGCACTTTCGCTCAACTTTCTGACTACACATAACCTGGGCCACTTTGTGCGCTCGGAATCTCGGGATATGTTCTTCACATGTGTATACAGTACCTCCGGCAAAACTTTGAGATATTCCTCCGCTGTTCGAGTTCACAGCCGTTGTCGAGGGCAGTGGCGTTCAGGCTTTGGACCCGATGAGATAAGATAAAGAACATGACGCCGTGCATCTCTTTCCTTCATATCTTCCAATGCAAATGTCAGGCATTTCCGTCCTGAATCCTGGATATCCACCCGTACTACTCGCGCTCAGAACCGGTGAACAAGCATGGGCACATTACAATTCATCATCTGGGAATATGAAGACCAATGTCCCTATCCATTGCTCTCTCTGTCCTCCCACAGCATCGGGTCAACCTCGGACCATATGGAAGTACAACACACTGTTCCACATCACTATGGAGCACTCGAAAGAGGACGGAACGCTACCACCAATCGCCCCGCAACTTCTCGTGGACATGCATATCTCACGAGCCGAAGAAGCATTCATGGAGATTGACGAGCAGGTTACTGAAGAGTGGAGGTTGGAAAATGAAATTCCGAATACTGATGTGATAGAAGAGACGCGCGAAGGGCTCGCGCAGAAGAGGAATAGAGCACCGTCGACAGTAGTTAAACAGCCTCGCAGGAAGGCGGCAAGGTATGGTACTTAGTAGTAGATCTATCGCGTTATCTCATCTATTTCCATATCGGGCTCGGGGTAGGAGATCCAGTGCACGGGGTCCTCCTCTTCACTTTTTCGGGTTGAGGTCGATAATTTCCCGGCTGGTTGCCCCCTGACGTATACGTAGATCTCAAACTAGTGTCAAACCGGCACTTGGCTGGCACAGATTCAACCCTGTCACGCCGGTGCGTGACTCGGAAGTGCCGTGTAGCACTTCGGATCATAACGGAATGAATGCACTCTCATCCCAATATGGTCGGCTAAGTTTAGCCGTGTGCAGATGGTCAGATATTGGCAAATGCCATTCTTTATATGTATATCAAGTTTCTTCGCCCATTGAGCCAACCATGACTGAACCGTCGTCAACAACGCTGTCAAAAAACCAGGCCACCGCCCTCCTTCGCCCCGTCCCAATACGAACTTGTAGTCATTAAGCACAAGGTCCTCTAGGCCGTATCCGAGAAGATTTAACTTACTGCCGACCAGGGGAATATGCGCACCGCTTGGGCAGAGTGAGAATGCGGAGACTCTTCCCCTACTTCTAGTGAGTGCAGTGGCAGCTAGTCCACAGACTTACGTGGCTCCCCAGGAGCATAGTTTACGTTGCCGGAGGCATCAGTGATGATTTCCGCTGAGACAGACGGAGTCGAGTCGAGTATGACTATACTGTCATCAGATACTTGATGTAACTTTCCGTAATATATCCATTCATGGTGGGACATGTACTTACTGATCGGACACACACCGATTCGACAGCCATGGGATACGAGCCACAAAACCAGAATCTCAGGTAAAAACGGTCGCTTCATTAGCTTCAGTAAAACAATATTCATTCCACGCTAGACACGCCTTCGACCGTGCGCTTTCGTGCTGCAAGTCATCGTACACCCGATGGGTTTCAGTGGCCGACATGAAATCTTCGCATAAAGGAGCCGTGGGACAGACTGAAAGTGAGACTCGCAGAGCTACGCTTACTCTGCCCGTTCAAGGTTACCACAAACATAGGCCGAATCAACCAAGGGGGACGAGTTCTACGGCGATAATATTAGTAGTGATCCGTTGGCAGTGCAAGAGGTAAAAATAATGTACCCAAGATATAGTGTCATGTATGGTGCGCGGGAACCCATAGCACTCACTCCCGATACTAACAGCATAGGACGCAGCTGTGGCGTGAATATGAAGTTCATCCATGGGGTTGTAAAAGTCGTCTGGCCGACCCACGATGACGTCGAGAAAGCACTGGTTGCCGGGCCGGACAGGAATAGCATAATAAGGCAGCCGAATGACAATATTCAGTGGCTTCCCTGAGTCCAGCATCAATTTCAACGGACGTAGTCCATCTTCCAAACTTTGGAGGATACAACGCCGGGCGAAAGACCGTCCCAAAGGGTTAGAAATCTGTCCTGTACGTTGCATGTTGCCCGTTTATCAGTATAATACATACTGTCGGAGCCGGCTGCTTACGAGCTGCAAAATGTATCCCGCCAAGCTTTCCTGAGTTGTAAATGTCTTGATACGGAACAAAATACCGAGGCGGCAATTATCTCCAATCTTCGTATGTAAAGCAGGATTCGAACTGTTCGGGGATATAATTGCTCCTGAGCACATGTGAGAAACCAGCAGCATGGAATAATTACCGCCAGCTACAACGACTTCGACATACGCATCTTGAGGAAGGTGTTGAGCAGCGTCCAACGAAGCCGTAATCACGAAGGTACAGTCTGGCACGTACAGCACCACTATGGGAGCACTATGCTAGGTAACAGATCTGCTCGTTATAGGCATTCACTTTGTACATTTACTTACCGTAGGTTTGAGCCTGGTGTTGCGCGAGAGCCGTATGCAACGACTGGCCTTGACCAGCGTAAGAGTGAGCAGCTTCACGTGTGGGATGAACAACAAGTGTGAAAATGGACGAAGTAATAGAGGGCGGCCAGAAGCTCGTTGACTGCGTCCACAGAGTGACGAAAGTCGCTCACACAAGGCGGACATCGTTCTCCGTATTTTGTTACTGATGCAGATGGACAGCAGCCTTTGAATGCTATTGATCGCTAGTGTGACCTTTCGGCCCGCGAGATGGGGACTGGGGTCAGTATGTACTTCGCGCGCGCTCTTCGTCACTTTGTTTTCGTTCATTCATGGAGCCAAGTACTGCTGGACGCATTGCTGAATACGGGTAGACTTTATTCACAAAACCATCCCAAGTCGGATATCTTCTTGAGGTTCCTGGGATAACGGCCGCTGTCACGGAGAAAACAGAGGGACAATTCGAAGGTCCTGGTGCACCGACCGATTCCTGCGGGACACCAGATCAACCGCTAAAGAATCGATTCGTTTGAACTGAGTCCCAGGGTGCACGAGAAGGGCCCAGAACACACACCACAAACCGACGCACTTCTTTCTGCATAGAAGACCCGGGTGACAGCAACTCAGGAGGCAGATATGCGGAAGCAAAGGATGTTGAGGGTCCGTGCGCGCTCTCCATGATCCAGGGACTAGTTTTAGCAGAAAAGAGACAGTGTTGAATCACCTTCTAATGGAATGTTGAGACAGGACGAGGAGTGCGAGAAGTAGCTGTGCCAAATAGGCGCCCAGTAGCCATGTGCCATATGTGGCGCCTACACGTGGTTATTCAACACCTCCGAGTCTTCGGCCGAAGGGCCTCCTTCTGGTCACAACCCCCCCGAAAATGTTCCTGATCACTTGCTTACCCCAAGACCATGCATACTGGATCCCCTCTGGCTCGTGGAAAGTGCTAGCGTTCAGGTACGATTAACTTGGCAGCAGCTGCCAGACAGTTCGCCCACTCGTGCGCTGCGGATTTTTTTCCACGATCAGGAGGGGTTGAGATCGATTTCATGCATGTGATAGTGGCCGCACGGAACCAAAATCTCAGGTACCGCCTCGCAGAGAGACTCTGTATCTATCGTTAACTTGGGCTGCTCGTACGATCAATGGTGGAGCGAAGAATTTGAGGGTACTGAAACGGCGTTCGTAAGGAGCCAATTTCGGATCCTGGGAGGCGCTATGCAGCACCTTGATAGTCTAAGCGCGCTCCCGACCCGATGCAGTGTTCAGTCCAGCCCTGATACCGGTATTTAGCTCGTGCGTTATCTTGTGCCAATAGTGGCCGCCACGAATTCCAGTCGACTTGTTGCCAATCCTCCGCGATAATGACGGGCAAAGATAAGGAATATGCATATTTTCCAGACAAACACTCTGCAGCCACTGCACCAGTATACGGGTTTGCCGTGTGAGTGATCTCGTACATCGTGATTCGTGACCTCATAGAATGCGATCTGAGTGCAAGCTCCTCCCTCAGATTGAGATCCCATTTCCGTGTGATTTTTCTTCGACCGCAAAAAGCTGTGGTGGGCCGTTTAACTGCGCTGGCTCCACAATGACTCTGCAAGATGTTTGAATGTGGATAATTCGATCGTTGCGTGGTTTCTGCGTTTGTGCATGACTGAAGGGTAACGTCGATCATGTTCTGCACGGGCCCGCCCGGGTCCGCCCGTGCGGGGCATCGTTCCTCCTCGACATCACCTCCTCTGCACCGCAAGTGTATTGAACCCCTCGTTTAATCGTCGCAGCTAATCTGCCCACCCGATTCGCTCATGCCGAACGCTGAATTCCGTTAATGTTGATGGGCAGTCCAGCATCCAGGGATCCGTCCGAATCCCGCCAAGCTGGCACCCGGCCCGTGCTACATGTGCGGACCTGGTAACTGTAGCGGCTGTCACTGGCTCTGGGCGAGCTGCAGTGGGCAAATTTAGTCCCGTCCTTTGGCTGCGTGTACGACGCGGTGCTGCCCTGCGGGTTGTGTGGCTTCGCTGGGTCCTTGGATGCTCATCGTGCTCCCAGGCTGATCGGGATTTTTCATCGCCGGCTGTGGACAGAGGATGGGAAGTATGGAGGACGTGCATTCTTCTTGATGTCTACATGCTGATGATTCCTATGACAGTAGTACGTCATCAATGGACCCACCCGCATACACCTCGCTTGACATCGGTCCTTCTCTGTGCAAAATTTCTGGTCGAAACAGAACAGAAATAGCCAGCTGGTTTATCTGAACATCTGTAGAACCCCGAAATATGTGTTTCAGGCCAACTTCGCATGGTGTCAGGATTTCTCACCGGATTTGCTCTAATACAGCATCCCTGCGACCTTGTATATCTCCAGCGCAAGCCTCCGGGTCTCCCACCTGGCCTTACCGTCTGTCAAACAAGCCTCGTTGAGCTCGTCGGCAGTCCTCCATCCCGATAATCGAGCCTTTACGGCATCACTCCGCGATACTACGAAGCGACAGCCCAGCGCGCTCTCAGGCGGCCCGACGGTCGACTTCTCCGTCCGCACACTTTCATACTGGCACATTAATCCGACGGCGTTCGCCCCCGCGCGGTCATCACTCCGCGAACCCATCGAGGCCTTCCATCCTTCTCTTCGCGCACTTCGATTTTTGCTTTGGACTTCGCTCGCGCGTGCCGCATTCCGCGGTCTCTCGCGCCAGTCTTCTCTCCGAATCGGAAATGGCGGCCCTGACGGTCTGGCGGGACCTCCGATAGTACCCTACAAAGGCGACATTCCAACGGTGGCGGTCTGCTCCGGACAAGGGTGTCTGCCAGGTCCTTCGCCAATCAGAAGGCTTGCAGGGATTCGCGGCACCTCCGCTCTTTTGAGTGTCTTGCGGCGATTTCGAGGGTGTTTGTGGCCGCCCGACCACTCCCGGATTCCGTCTTGCGGCGCGCTTCGCGCGCACCTCCCGTCCTCACGAGAGCCCGCTGGCAGTCTGGACAGGTATCCAACCATGGTCGGCCTGACCGCGTTCCGTCCGGACATTTCATCAAGGGTAGCTCATGCCCTCAGCGACTCCGAGTCAGTTTTGGTCTGGACGCAAATGCAGCCTTTATAGGTATTATCGAGGGTCCTGGTCAGACTGATTGCGATTGGAGAGGAAGGTACGCGAATCTGCTGTTCCGCTTCTTACTTCTCTTCGTAATGCCCGCCGGATTCTCGCCGGGATGTGCTAGGAACCGTCTTCGTCGTTTATTGTCATGGGCTTTTCGTAGACGCGAAATGAAGTCCATTCTGGTGCGTCCGTGCGTTACTTCCAGGTCGACCGGGCCACTGCGCACCTGACTATGACGCGCAGTTTGCTCAGGCTAATGATAACGGCCGGCTTCTATTACGTGTGCGACAAGAAGACCGATAATGATTAATGAACGCTGGACTGCGCTGGGACCTGCCTTGCGCTGTCTCTCGGTCCCGTCCTTCCGGTACGGGGGAAACTAACGTATGGCGTTGAGTAGCTCGTGCACCTTGGGCAACGCATGGCGTCTTTCGGAAATTACTCCACCATCGAGAGAAAGTGCAAAGGGAAGAACGGGCATCGTGGGTATGGCGGTGGGCCATGAAGGCTTTCGTACGTGCGTGGAACGGCGAGCGTGAGAGCAGAATGGTAATTTGCTACGTTCTGGTATGGCGAAGAGGGATGTGAGCACGGAAAGGATCACTCTGAATGGAAAGCGGGGCAGAGGGCTGTGGAGGGAGATGCAGAGCCTCGTGTCCGGTGCGACACAACGGTATCGCAGCAGGCAGATATGCAGTGATGCGTATTATATTGATCATATCTTACATTCGTGGAGGGCGACATCATGGATGCATCCGTAGAGCGTCGGGGGATTCGGGGATTGGTGGAGGCTGGTGGGCCAATAAGAAGGCCTGGAGCGTCGGGAGTGGATAGTGCTGCTGATGGTCCGAGCGAGCAGCCAGGCCGCCAATGGCACAGCATACGCGGATGAGAGCGTTTCTACGTGGAATTCAAGGCCAATCGGATAAGATAGGTGATCGTGGAGATGTGTCGAGGCCCAAAGCGGGATAGCCAGATTTGCACTAGACGCTGAATCGGAGATTGGCCTGGAGCTTAGATTCATACCGAGATGGCAAGCTCGACCGGAGCGGAATGAACGAGGCTCGGCCTAGCGCGGCGTCGCACGGGCAGCGGAGACTCTGAGAACGTGCGTCTGGGGACCTATTGCCGCTGGATGGCCGTGCAGCTCGGTGGGACTGGGACGGAAGGGGCAGATGTTGCCGGGAGACGCGGCGCAGGTACCGGAAAAGGGAATGTGGAGGGACAACAGAGGTACACACGATGGACTGAACTCGAGAGGTCCGCCGGTCCGCCAAGCAATGACCGAGCGATCATCCAGGTCCGAACGCGGTGCGTCTGCGCTCGAGCCCAGATTACGTTTGAGGCTCTGTTCCAATTCCGTCCTTCCGTTCTTAAAGTCGTTGGGAGCGGCACCGTTCAGAGCAGCACGGAGGAGGATATTTGCGCCCCGGGAGACACTGCAGCAGACTTGCGCCCCGTACACATCGCGCACCTGGCGATCGCATCCGCTGAACTGAATTGGAGCCCAGCCTGCCCAGATACTCTTTCCGTCCAAGGATCTCCACCAGGGCCCCGTCCAATCAGCTGTCGCGTCCGCCCCCGCGCCTCCCAGTCCAGGCCCAAGACTACTTTATATTCCATTTCCTTGTCGAATTATTCCTCGTTGCCCCCATGGACACTGCGATCCTCCTCCAACTCGCCCGCACTCATTCCCTCGTCAACCACTACGTGTACTCGCATGATAATACTTCCTACCAGCCGCTAGTTTCCTCTCCGTCCTCCTACATCCGCTCCTCCGCCTCCCGCCCTCTCCACCCCATCCATTCCCACTATTCCTCGTATCCCGCCCGCCCAAACGCGGATTCCCCCGCTTCGTCCCGCTCGACTTCAAACCTCACCGACGCAAGTCCGACAGACCCGCCGCTCGATTACGTCACCGACTCCGACTCTGCTGCGGGAGGCGGCAGTCATATCTACAGCGCGGACTACGTCGAACAGCCCCAACCCTCCTCTTGGATCTCCACAGACTCCAAAATGCATCCACACGAGTTCTACGGCTCCGGCTCCTACGACCTCCACGCCGTGCTCTCCTCGCACGTACCCGACGACGCTTTCGCGCACCAGTTGGCCAAAGTCGACGAGCAGCAGCAGCAGCAGCAGCAACAGCCGCAGTTTACCTCCGTCGACGATTTCGCCCTACCGCCCTATTATGGTCTCGGCGCCGACAACTCTTTCCCTGCCTACGCCACCTTCACAGGCCAACATTTTCCTTCCACGCTGCCGCTCACTCCTGACGGCATCCAGACAGTCCCCCCTCCCTCCGTCGCATTTGGCTTCGGTGGCCAAGTGCAGGAACAGCCCCAACAGGCGTTCGAGGATACTGAAGCCTCATACGTTCTGACCTCGACGCCGAACCTGCAGTACCCGCCGTCCCCCGACCATGTTCCCCGCTTCGTCCACCCCGCACAGGTGTCCCCGAACATCTCTCCCATCAGCGGTTATGCGCAGCTGCATGGCGCGGGGACGCCCCCCGAGGTGTGTGACCCGCGATTCACCATCAACAGCCCGTTAGCGGACGACGGGGTTAGCCCTGTCGATTGTGATGCCGATAGCGGCTGCGGCAGTTCGAGCGGCTCCCCTCCGATTAGCAGGGGACGTCGCGGCGGATCTACCGGACAGAAACGGCGCAGGGCGAATTCCTCGAGCTCCTCCGATGACGAGTACCGCGCAGATCAAAGCGGCGAGTCCGAGAAGGACGACGAGGACTTTGACGACGACGACGATTACGTCCAAGGATCCCGCTCGCGGCCACGCACGAGGCGGAGAGCCACCGTTTCGTCGACTTCTCCCGCCCCTTCGACCTCCTCGCAGGGGCAGAGCTCCATGCGCCGCATTGCTCCGCCGGTGCCCGTTCCCAATCTGACGAAGAAGAGCCGCGGCAGGCGCGTCCCCACCGCGCCTGTGATCGTCTCGCAGGGAGGCGTGCAGAAGGTGTGTATCCCCACGGCGATCTTTACGTGTGTCTATCTAACCGTGAGCGTGCAGAACGTCAGGATGTACATGTGCAAGGTGCCCGGCTGCGGCAAGTGCTTCGCGCGCGGCGAGCATCTGAAGCGTCATGTCAGGAGCATCCACACCAACGAAAAGCGTGAGCATCGTGTTTGATTTTGATTTTACTGATTCTTATTGACGCCGATGCGATCAGCGCACAAGTGTCCCTTCCCGGGCTGCGGCAAGGACTTCAGCAGACACGACAACCTGGGGCAGCACATGCGCGTGCACAAGGGCTTCAACGGGCTCAAGGCCGCACGCGCAGGAACCGCCTGATTCACGTTCGTTCGGTGTGTCTGTTGATATGCTCTCGCGCAAATCTCTGTCATTACCCGTGATTCTGGGACTTGAATCGTTGGATGGCTGTTTTGTTCCCCGTCCCCCCCCCTTCGATGTAAATGTTTGTTGGTTCGATGATCATTATTCCCAGTCGCTTTCGTATCTCCCAGGACCATATCTGTTGTAGCCTGTATCGTGTACCAGGATGACCTGTATTTTACCACCCGGGAAACCCACACCTTGTACCTGTACCGATTTCAAATAACCATCAACCGCCGTTAGATGGACGGTTCAATTTCAGATCTCGCTCGGGTTGGCAGTATCTATCAGTCGCGCGCGGATATGGTCCGCTCGGAGGTTTTGTGTGCTTCCCATCCGAAATGCGTGCTATCCCCAGGCAGGCTCGATGCATGCTCACCCTCAAAATCTTCGGGACAGCCTGGGACCAGCTAGATCGCCCGAAGGCGCGCAGATCGATGTCGGTCCTCGTGCCTCGTTTTTCGACGCCGCCTACCTAGTACCCATCACCCGTCATGGGGGAGCGCACGTGTCACCCGCCCTACTGCCGCCTCGGCCGACGCGCGTATCTTCAACTCACCGTTGCCGTCAAAGGCTGCGCACCGCCGCGGCGTCGTCGCCGTCTCTACTGCTAGATTCGATCGCGCGTCCAATTCCTGGGGCGCGGGAATCCTCTCGGTCCCCCTGCTTAAATTGCACCGCGCCTTATCTCGAGACCTAGGCTTCCTCTTAGAGGTCGACATACCTGGCAATGCATGGTTCGCTTGGCAAATGCGATTTGGATAGAGTGAGTAAAGGAATACATGGTATAGCGTGGTACGGGCTCTATAGGCGCATATGCGGACCTGTGGGTCTCGCGTTAGTGCGCATCGTCTGGGATGCGGACATAGGGTGAAACTCGCTGTGGCGTCATCGCGGAACGGCACTAGAGGCTCAAAAAAGCAAGTAGCGGAGCGAGAGATGGAGACTGCAGTAGACGCGCCATGATGATGAGATATGAATGTACTGAATGGCTGATAAGACAAGGGCAAGGAATGAAGGCTGCCGCCGCCAGCCGGGAGCCAGGAAGTTACGCATCGTCCGTCATAATTGCAAAGAATTCCTGCTCGTTTATTTCGCCGTCCTGGTCGAGGTCAAACTCGTCGATCATGGCCTGCCTGTGGGTGCAGCGCCGCAGGTCAGCACTGAGATGGTACGGAAAGCCAAAGCCCCGGAGGGGCACGCACAACTCGTCATCCGATAGTGGGTCGCCGATCTCTTTCGCCACCCGCCGCAGGTTCCGCAAACTGATTTTCCCGGTATTGTCATCATTGAACAGCTGGAACGCACGGCGTATCTCTTCCATCGGGTCTCGCGCAAGAATGCGCTCGCTCACTGTCGCTATCGGTTAGGCCAAAACAAGGACGACAACCGATTGCCACGCACTAATTTTCGCGAAATCCTCAAAGTCCATGAGCCCGTGGCCCGTCTTATCGTGGTCGCGCAGAATCTTGAGCACCTCCGCCTTCTTCAGGTCAAAGCCCAGAGCGCGCATTGCCACTTTGAGCTCGTGATAGTCGACGCAACCGTCCTTGTCCGTGTCGAAGAGTTCGAACGCCTCCTTGATCTCCTGCTTCTGCTCGTCTGTGAGCTCTGGCCGCGTATGTGTGCGCCGTTTTACTTTCTGAGCGGCGGAAGACGAGTACATGGTGGCAAGAGAGGTATATCTGCGTTGGAGGGTAATAGACAGCTGGCCTGGCGGTCGTGGACACTGAGGACGCGACTTGTTGAAACAGAACGCGTCGCGGGACGCGTCTCGGCTTCGGGCGGTGAGTCACGTGCATTTTGCTGGCCGCCACTATCGCCGTCGTATGATCACTCTCCGCTCACTCCACCTCCACGATGGCCATCGAAGTCGCGTCATTGCCCCTACCGTCCTCCGCAGATCCCTCCAAATTTGCGGACTTTGGGCGCGAAGTAAAGGGAGTTCATCCGGGGACCTTGACTCCGGAACAATTCATAGAGATTGAGCAGTTGCTGTACACGGTACATTCCAGACTAAGCATTTGTTATCTTTTCCTTCCATTCTGACTGGCGTAGTAGCATAGCGCCCTGCTCTTCCGCAATGTTGATCTCACCCCAGAGCAGCAGTACACCCTGACCAAGGTACCATGCTGTCTGCATTCTGGTCGGGCGCAATTCACGTTCATGAAATGTTCTGCAGGCATTCGATCCCACTTGCGAGAATTATGGTCATGGAATGGATCTCGGCAGCAACAAAAAGTCGATCCTGCATCCCGATCTGAAGACTATACCAGCCGTGCCGCAGGTGCAGCTCATCGGAAACGGAACCGTGTACGGTCACGAAGGTCTCGCGGAGGCAAAGCTCAAGCATCCGTCGCATACGACGTTCCACAAGACACGCGTCTCGCCTGAAGACGAGGCGAAAGGCGCGACGCGTTTCTACCGCTGGCACATCGATGCCGCCCTGTACGATCTCTCGCCACCGAAGGTGACGACTCTGTACGGGCTCAATGTGCCGCAGGGACCCAAACAGATTTGCCGCTATGACGACGGTACTGGTGATGAGCTTGAAGTCCCCCTTGGTACTACGGCATTTGTCTCGGGCAAGACCATGTTCGAGATTCTACCGCCCGAGCTGAAGAGCCTGGCCGTGCGTAGTAAGGCCAAGTACGCTCCGCATCCTTACGTCTGGATGGCTCCCGCCCACGCTATGTCCACTGGTCTTGGAATTGAGACCGAAGGTTTGGAACTCCCGCTTAGTGAGCTCCCTCCATGGGACGAGTCTAAAGTCAAGGTTCTGCCTGTCGTACGTTTTCTGCTTGCCTAATTATGGTATCATGCGCATTTAGTCGACTATCTCGTAGCTTTGGAAGAACCCCATCACGGGTGATCTTCACTTCCAGGTTCACCCGTGCGCTGTGTCTGAACTCTACATTGACCCTCTACCTGGGAGCGCAAAGAAGGAGGGCGCGTTGTACCCCGACGGCGCTCATCTCACTGATTTGGATGAAGTGAGAGGCCTTCTGTACAAGATGCAGAGACCGGCTATTGCACCCAAGGTGAGATTATTTCGCGAATAGCACGTTATCTCCTGATCAACGATATCACGCCATAGCTGGTGTACCCTCATGACTGGTGCGTCCAATATCTCATATGCTGACACAGGTCGCTTACTGATGGTTGTTCCATCTGCGTTAGGCACGAGAAAGATCTTGTCATTTTTCACAACCGCGGCGTACTGCATACTGTCGTCGGTGCATTCACGCCCGACCAAGTACGCGCTTTCCATCAGTGCAACCTCGCCGCTTCCGACGACCCCGCCGGTCCCAGCGCCGCGGATGTCAAGAAATGGGCCTAGAGCTCCTCATGGGCAACCACTTCGGTCTTAACGCTCTCTTGTGTAACTAACTGTTGCAACGACTTTACAGAGTCAGGCTGATAGATACCATGGTCTTGGATTGGAAGCATGGGTGCGTACTGTCGTATGTAGTTGTAGTCCTTGAATTCAATATATGCTTGTTGAGATTCTCTAGGGCTACAGTAGCCGGGTGAGACCATCACAGAGCACATACATAACTGCGGAGAGGTATTCAAGTGCTTACAATAAGCCCGAAGGTGTGAACCTCGGCGAGGTTCACCTTACGGACGGTTATCGGTTAGTCAACGAGTGGCAGTGGCAGAGCGGCGTCGAGCATCATAATGGTGCGTAGTATGTGCCTCAGAGTATTTCAGGGATATCATCTGTTTCCGCTACTTTCTGAGGCTTTGTGGCACATCCGTCTATTTCTTCAATAACAATCCGGGATAACATTCAAAAGTGAGCAGTAATTCTAACTATTACTCTTTACAAGACCACCGACATGCGCATCATCTTGACTACCGCGTCTGCACGTAATCGTCAATCTTCATCAGAAGACACACGGTCTCCGTTGCGAGTTCGAACGCGCATGTCGAGACCAACAGCGGCTGGACGACGCTCTCATTGATGACGTTGGATACCAAACCCTGGACGAGATCATTTGAGTGAACACCAACTACATAACTGTAACTTCAAAGACTCACTGTTCTCATATCTATGCCCGCATTTTTCTCACCAAGCGCATGCCGATTGCGAAGTTCCGTCAAGATAGTGATAGCGTTCAAGCCAGCATTTTCTGCAAGTGTGAGGGGAATAACCTCCAGAGCTTCTGCATATGCCTGAAAGCAGTAAGACTCGACTCCTTTTAGCGATCTCGCATATGATCTAAGCAGCTGTGAAACATGGACTTCTGGCGCCCCACCCCCAGGAATGAGAGCTCTTGAGGAATACGCCATGAGCACACTTGAGAGACGAAGTAAGAAGGATGTGCCCACCGCTTCTTGACAAGACACCTCATGACGCACAGCGCATCGTGCAAACTCCTTTCGACCTCGTCCACTACAACATCGCTAGGTCCCATAGCGGCAATGCACACGGTCGGGCGCACATTCTAAACACCGCTAACTCTAACATACTTTGAACCAAGCTCGTTTACCTCCTCCACAAGCTCAGCTCGTCCTAGTTTGTCCCCCGAGAACGCCTCGATATCGGAGACAGGCGTACATCCCAAAGTCTTGCTGAGAAATTCTATCTCGTCGCGTTCAATGTCCTTGATCACAAGAACATTCAGCATCGAGAGCATATGCAAGGCAACGTCGTCACTGCATCGCGCAAAATTGACTTCTGAATGAGGAGTACATTGCACCCAGCCTTCCGAATTTTGGTGCACAGCGCGAGCACGTAGCGACGATTTTCCTTGTTGATCTTATCCATTTGAAGATAGTTAGTGATGACTACGGTATTGTCCATCTATTAAGCTGATGGTTAGTACGCAGTATATGACTAAACTCAACAAATCTCATACGTCAGGTTTCGGATGGCTCAGGTGAAACTGGATTAGACCAATCTTCGCAGATTCAACTCTTGTTGGTCCCCCGTACTGTGTGAAGATATTCTGGTGAAAGACTAAACCGTTGTCGATGATTTTGGTGTCATCGATGGTGCCTCCTACTCTCTTGACAATGCGAATGTCGCGAAGATCAACGTTTGATGAGGACGAACGAACTGACCAAGCGTAATACGGCATCGACCGCGATAGGTGCGAGAGTGTTCCGAGTACGTGGAGATGATCTAATGATATAGAGATATTAAAACATTCCCATTGCAAAATATTTCCAAGTAACCTTGGAATCCTGAGACGTGATCGTCGCTTTGAGTAGATTGGCACGATCTTGTAGTCGTACTGGTGTCGACATTTCAGAGAGATAATCCACGGCCTTTGCAGACGCCTTCAAAAACGATTCCGAGATCAAGGTAGGATGGATGCCTGAGTACAAATACAATTACAGCATGCATTAGAAGATGATACGTTCGTCCCGACCTTTGAGAAGCATCTCATGCGCAGCGCCGAGCAAACTGCCCGCAAGAATGACGACAGACGTCGTTCCATCCCCAGCCTCCACGTCTTGTGCGATGGACAAATCCACCAACTGAGATATGTGACATAAGAGTCTAGCGACAAACGTCACGAAAGATTGCTTACCATTTTGGCTGCGGGATGAAAGGCTTGAATGCTTTTAAGAATGGTAGCACCATCGTTTGTCACAATAAGCTCTCCCCGAGCAGTTTGAATCTGAAGTATATCTGTCTCAAACTGTGGAAGAACTGAACTACAATGACGAGAGTAAAAGGGTTGAAGGAACCTTTTGCCGTCGTCATATTCGACAATCGCACTTCGATGGGTTTGCTCTTCGGGAACGGGATGAGACAACGACCACTAGAACGACAACACGCAGGGACTGTGCACCTTATCTTTGAAAGCACCACCATCGGTACTTCTAATTGCAGACTGGGGAGGTGGAGGTGCTAACGCAGCCATAATGACAGAGATCGCGTGTATGCGATTGTGAAGGTCGCCGCATCCTAGTAGCCTCGCTCCCAATACAATGCCATTGCATCACTAATCCCTGGCACACCGTGCATCGCATCAACGCCCAGTGGTGCGTAGCCGGATAATTTCACCGACGCGCACCACACTTGAAGAATGCTAGATACCCTAGACTTGCGGCCAGAAGATTTGAAGTACGTGAAGTACGTGCGCAAGAAAGATTGGCCAAGAAGCGGCAACGGCGGTATGGCCAGTCCAGCACACTGTTCGAATGAGCTGGGATTTGCATCATCAAATGTCGACGCGGCGGCGGAGTAGTTTTGGATGAGAATGATCAAGGACCTCTTCCCGTCACGAAGCAAAACTGTTTCGCGTGAAATAAGTACACAAGGGGCACTCAATTGTTACAGGATTTCAGACATACCCATTCGATGAGCTGGGCATCCAAGCTATTCCCAGCGGGTGTTAGGATCGCGAGAACTAACAATCGGAATAAGGGGGAGTGGAGAGTCCTTGTAACCAGCAGCCAGCAAGACTTTATAGGCAGTTTCGAGCTGATCATCAGGAACAAGTAAATGCATATGCTGCATCAGGCCCGTCAGATCGCTGAGCTGGCCATAGGATATACCGTCGACTCACGTTTTGGCTGACTGGGACGCCATAGTACAACATTGCACATTCGCCCCATAAGATGATCGGACCTACGCCAGACTGAGCGAGCACATTGGTAAGCTTTGCTGGGAGCTTCTGGCGGAACTCGTCTGAAAATATGTCTCCAACGGTCTGAGTAGGCGTCAGCAGTTTTGTGGAGTGGCCCATTGAGATGGTAATGGCTTCAGTCTTACATAGCGTGTACGGCAAGTTGAACGATCCTAAACACTCGCCACTCCCAACACGTGGGCGTTCATCTATGTCGTCATGACCCTGCGCACTCTAGGGCTTGGAATTCATGTGCCAGTGCTCCCATCACTGCAGCAGTCTACTGCTACACTGTTCATGTTGGATTTCAAGGGTGTGTAAGCGATATTTCACGTAGGTGCAACTCTACTCAGTTCTGTTCAGTTGTCTCTTACTTCAACCATCACCATCCTCATTCCGTTTCAGACAGAATCGCTTACAAACCACATACTGGCTGACCGTACATGTCTGGAGAAGCGCACTCGGCTGTTTCGCCACTAGCTCCTACTATTACAGTACCGACGAAGGCCTTACAGCCCATAAGCGGGAGCAAGCGAAACAAGAGGAAACGCAGCAGAGACTTTCGCGTTGCGTGCACTACGGACTCTAACATTGCTAGCACCACAGAGCCCAATGCCGTTCGGAATACTCGCTCTGATGTTCCTGGCACCACGGAATTGAGCGTCGCGCGAACTACAGACTTTAACCTCACGCGTACCAAGAGCTCCACTGTCACGTCGAACGTTGACGCGGAGTCGTGGGGAACTCCGTGGTCTGCCTCGCTTGGGATGACGGAGTATGACACCAAGGAACAAAGGTCGGCTTAATGACCCAACATCTCTCGGGGCTAGATACTCAGTTGAAGATCATGTTCCAGGCTTCATGACGAGATTGTCGCGTATGTCACGTATATACTGCCCACAAAGCAGGAACGGCGCGCACGCGCTAAAGTCATTGCCCGCGTCGGCGATGTGGTGAACAATCGATTCCCAAACGTGACATTAGCGATCTTCGGCAGTGTAGCACAGGACCTGTATCTTCCCGACGGGTACGTCCAGAACCGTCCACCGTACACACAGACATGCTGAGTTGCTGCACATTTGATGGATCAGTGACGTTGACCTCGTGATGAACGTGGCTCAGGACCTTGACCCGGCTGCAAAAAAAAAGATGCTCTTCCAACTAGCGCACGCCCTAAGGATGTCCCACTTATCCCCAAAGGTGCAGGTTATTCCGCACGCCAGGGTTCCAGTGCTTTCCTTTGAGACTACGCGCGAACTTGGTATGTGGTACATTATGTCGGACTGATTGCATTCTCAGTGGACCACAGGTTCCTTCAAGATCGACATCAGCATTAATTCAGGTGGTGTGGAGGCAATACCGAAGATTGCGAGCTACTTGAACGAGATGCCAGCTCTCCGATATCTTGTGACACTATGTAAAGGCTTCTTATCATTCAAAAATCTGAATTCTGCATCGGAAGGTGGCCTAAGCAGTTACAGCATAATCTGCATGGTCATCAGCTTTCTCCAGGTCTGTGTTCTCAAAAGCCCTTCCCACCCGGTTAACACTTGTTTGACGTCGCCCTATTCCAGCTTAATCCGAAGGAGAGATCTGTTGCTGCAATTGAAAATCCCCTGGAGAATGAATCACTGGGTACTCTGTTCTTAGATCTGCTAGACTACTATGGCAACACCTTTCCGTATGCTTCCTCATACATCTCGGTGACACAGAAGGCGCTCCTTCCAAAGAGAATAAAAGGGTGGAACAAGGAGAAAGATAGTCTCTCAATTGAATGCCTTGTGAATCCAGGTATGTCCTGCAGCTCAGTTAGCTCACAGCTACCGCGCAGAGCCAAAACGCGTTTGAATTCGACTTGCAGAGAATGACATCGGCCGGCCAACAAGCAAAATCGCGAAGGTACGTGGAGCGTTCAACGGGGCACACCGCTCTCTGCAAGACTACCCACTTGGCGTTGAGCATGGCAATGTGCTCGGGACAATCCTACGCGCATCTGGAGAGGTAGGCCTCGAACCCTTTCACCATGATTTCCTCGGGTTGATGACAATTTTCGGTTTTCTGTGTAGACATTGGCGCACCGCGAACACGTGCGGAAGATTGTTGATACAGGCAGTTTGGAGCTCGCCCTCACCCAAGTGAACCCTGCTGCCTGGAGAGCCGCTCGACACCCGAAATCCAATCCGAGGACGAGACCGCCCACTGTTCAGTCTACGCAGGTGACAAGCACAAGAATGTCCACTCGGCAGTACATGCAGGCACCGCCGTCTGCATCCAGCTCTCGCAGCCTTTCGTACGATGTTGGGTACGTTCCATACATCAGCAGTTTATATTCACTGTGGTGCCTGTGTTCAATAGTGCATATAGGTATTACGACAGGTATGAGTATTACGACCGCCTCGGTGGTGCTAGGTACTCTTACTATGGCCAGCGAACCCCGCGCTGTTGATTCGGTCTAACGCCGACCCCCGAACATGGCGATGATGCGCATTGGGTGAAACAACGGCGTACATAGGCTGTTGAAGCTTGAATCTTGAAGTCGCATGTGCATGTTCGTGGAAACTATCGTCTGGTTGTACCTAATTCTAATGTCTCATCAGTTCGCTTGTCGTTGACGTCGCGTTTCGCCCGGCACGACAACCGCGCACTGCACCGTGAAACCGCGGATTTTGAGCTCCCGGTTCGGCCATGCGCGAGCCATCAAAGGATCAGCCGACTCGCGTTATGGAGGCTGTGTATCTGAATATCAGATGTCGATAGGCGCTTGCAGGATGATCGCGGGCGACTGCCAGCCGACGATCACCATGTGCGTTGTTTGCCTCCGCCTATGCATGTTTCGAATTCTGAATTTAACCTGCGCTATGCAAGGGCGCCTTTGAGGCAGCACGTATAAAATGAGCTGACGGAGCCGCTACTTTCTCCAGCTCCTCAGTTTTTTCCGGGCTCAACTTCCAAGTTCAAGTACTGGATAGTGAGCTCTTGTCGTCGATTACTATGCGACCTATGTGTTTTAACCAGATTTTCTTTTAGCTTGACTTGTTCCCTTCGCTTTCGACACTATCGTCAATTAATTTTTCTTCACGATCCTTCCCCTTCTCACGACCCCAGCCCTTTATTTTAGTTCTTAATCAAGATGCGTTCTTCCACCGTTCTTGCAGTGGTCACTGTTGTGGCTACTCCTGTTCTCGTCGGGTGAGTCCGTTTTTTTTTATTCCACTGTACAGCCATTGATAGTCCTCAATTCAGCGCTGTTCCCACTCCGGCCGATGGCTCTGAGGCTCTGAGCTTCGGTGACGGCTTGAAAATTGGCAAGGATGTCTTGGGCATTTTCCACAGTAGCAGCAACAACAAGAACCAGCAGCACTCCCGGTGAGTATCCGTCAGGGATCACTTGGTTACATCGTTGGGTTAGATCTCATTCACGGCTAGTGACTACGACGAGCTTCTGGCCCGCAATTTCGAAGACATTATGGCGCGCGCTGAGCCTGCTCCCACTCACGCCGCCGTGCATGAGCATGTTCACCAGCATGCCCACAAGCATCATGCTCATAAGCACCAGAAGAGCCACAAGCATTACCACGGTCACAAGCATGCTCCCGGACACGCGCACCACGCCGAGCAAAATGCGGAGCACGCTGCCGCGTATCCTTCTTCCAAGCACGCCGTCATTCCCCCCGCGCATGTCGCGCGCGAGCCTTCTTACTCCATGCCCAAGGGTCAGAATTCGTTCGGTCACGCTGGCGAGCATGTCGGGGTAAAGTCGCACCACCGGGATGTTGAGGTGCGCGAGCCTCACTACCCTAGTTTCCAGGGCTATAAAGGCGGACAGCACGGCGGGTACGTCCGCGAGCTCGAGGATCGCGAGTTTGACGATATCTTCGCGCGCGCTGAGGCAGCCTCTGCGCGCCCCAACGCGCATGCTACCGCTTACACCCATGAGCACGTCAAGGGTCACGCATACAACGGCCACAAGCACTACAAGGGTTACAAGCACGGTGCGCAGGAGAACGTTCAAGCGGATCCCGTTGCTGCCCTACCTAGTCACGCCTCTGCCCAACCCATTCACACGTCTGTTCACGCTGCCCGTGGCTCCACACTTGGGAGCCCCGGCCACAGCTCTGCTGGTGGCCCCAAGAAACCCCATCGCTCAATCGACGAGATTTTGGCGCGTGAGGATGGCAATGAGGCTCACAGCTGGCGCCCCTCTGCCCAACCCATTCACACGTCTGTTCACACTGCCCGTGGCTCCACACTTGGTAGCCCCGGCCACAGCTCTGCTGGTGGCCCCAAGAAACCCCACCGCTCAATCGACGAGATTTTGGCGCGTGAGGATGGCAATGAGGCTCACAGCTGGCGCCCCTCTGCCCAACCCATTCACACGTCTGTTCACACTGCCCGTGGCTCCACACTTGGTAGCCCCGGCCACAGCTCTGCTGGTGGCCCCAAGAAACCCCACCGCTCAATCGACGAGATCCTGGCGCGTGAGGATGGCAATGAGGTTCACAGCTGGCGCCCGACTTTGGACAGCGCGCATTTCGTCCGTGGTCTATTCTACGACGGCAGAAATGACCTAAAACAGTCCCGGTGCGTTTTCTGCTTCCTGTTCTTGCTGTTGCTCATGTCATGGTTAGCGTGTACGACGAACTTATCGCGCGCGAGTTCGACGACGTTATGGCTCGCGAAGACGATGAGATTATGGCGCGCGAAGACGACGATCACATGGCTCCGTCGTTGAACACCAGATTGGAGATCCTGAAGAAGAACGGCGGTCGCACAGACATCTTCGCTCGCAACATGGCACTTGCTGAGCTGGACTGAGTTATTGGGTTTTGCATGGTCAGATAACGGGCTGGCCATGTAATTAGTCAACGATTGTAAGTTAGCAAATGCCTGGATATACTAAGGAGATCACTTTCGCATAAATCCTTGCATGTTGCGAGCGTGAGGTGTGTCAAATAGTAACGTTCCTCGGAGCCTCAGCCTGTTCCAACGCGAAGATACTAGCAAATGAAAGTTATAAATGCTATGCTAAGCACCAAGTGTCAACGAAATATTTTTGATGGTCCCTGCAAATCCCTGCCCACCAACGTACTGCGCAGGAGCCGCGAACGACATGTTGCCCACCGCCATATACTCTTCCCAAATGTCCATGATGGTCACCCAGAAGTATGGGTTTCCATCGTCACCATCGATGATTGCATATGTGTACTCTCGCGTGGCATGAATCGACATGTTTGTATACTTGCCGACGGGCAGCATATAGCCAAGTGCGTACAACTGGCCAGTAGCCTCGAATGTCAGATTGGCGACCCACAGCCGCGAGTCTTTCCCGGAAAATAGGAGGCCTGTATCAGGATCCGCAGCGTCGGGCATCACGCTGAACGTGAGGGTATAGGGAGGCCCGACAGATGAAACGGGAGTGATGAGCGTGTTATACGTCCCAGGATACTCGTAGACCGTGTTGCCGTATTCCGTCTTCACGGCACGGTTCAGGTTCTGGCCGGGTGCAGCGACGTTCAAGATGGGGTACGCGTTGCTGAATTCCTCCAGCGTAAGCTCCGTGTCGCGTACACCGGAGCCAGTCCATGTTTTCTCGCCGAACAAAGCAAGACTGTTCGCGAGCTGGTAGTAGTCCTCTAGCATCGTGGTGGCATTGTTCCCCCAGTCGCTCCAGAGCGCCATGATCGAGCCGCGTAACATTGGGTTATCTGCGGAAGTGTTATTCGTAGGGTCATTGGGGCTGAAGACGTTGGGCGCCTAGCCGGTTCCATCTGGCGCGCCAGAGAACATCAGCGTGAGGTCAAGCGTCTGCGGGAACTGCCCGTAGGACGACGTCTTCCCGTCGAGGTAGAGAAAGCATTGTTCGGAGTTTATGATGTAGTACCCCTTCTCCATGAGCTGGACAGGAATATCCTCGTCGGGGAAGTCCCAATGCTGAATGGTGACGTTGTGGGAGATGGGCGTTGAGCTCGGCTCAAGCGTGCCCCAGATCCTGATTGACTTGCCGGACTCCGCGTAGATATAGTCAGACATCTCGTTCACAAAGGCGGTGTACTCGTCACCTAGGCTGGCAACGTACTCGTCCGCACCGATAGATACCTCGGGGGACGTGAACCACGGAAGAAACTCCTTCCAGATCGTCTGAATAGTAGGAATTGTCTCGGGGTATGAGAGGTTCAGCATGTCGGGCGAGCCGCTGAGCATGAGTTCAGGCTTCCACTGCGTAATGACGAGTGAATGGCCAGGAGTGTCAATCTCTGGGATGATGGTCACGCCGTGATTTGTGCATATCTCCTGCATCGCGGAGTACTCGCTCTGCGTCCAACTCTCGTTCACCCTTTGATCAAGGCCTTCGACCGATGATCCAGGACGAGCCTGGAAACGGAATGCCGCGTAGAGCTCCTTCCAGCTATCTCCAGAACCATACAAATAGTCAGGGTTCCAGAGATTATCGGAAGCATGAACGTGAAATTCGTTGATCTTGAAAAAGGATGCGTAGACGCACAAGTCGGCTTGATGTATACGAGTTACATGAGAAGTGGACTTCCAGATCAGATGATTCAGGATATCACTTACCGAGGAAGGTAGAGTCGAACCAATGCCTGCCGGCATCCAGCATGAAACCTCGAATCTCCCAACCCGGCGAGTCCGAACCTGTCCCCGCAGGTAATGTGATGGTCTGGAAATCATTAGCAAAGTTCAAAGCTGTTTGTTGCAGCAGGGTTCTGGTGCCCCACCATGCCCCGATAGGTGCCGATGCAGTGATGGTGTATGTGTACTCTGTGACCTCGAAGTTATAACCTTCTGGAGTGGGTTTGCCGTTGTATAGCGTGAAATTAAAAGTCGGGTCTATGAGTATGTAGATCACGGGAGTGGACACGGTGCCAACGCTGTAATCCGAGAGCGCTACTGGGGAGATATAGTTGTAGCCTGCCACGCCCATGAGATCGGTGCGGAAGGTCTCCCCGAAGCTATACGCGGAGGGCGATCCCTCGAGACCATGCTCAGCGTCCACTATGATCCTGACATCAGGAAGTAGCTCAAAGGTGCCCTGCCCAGGCGTGAAGAACGCGACCGAAGGGATCTGAGGTTGAAGACCAGCAGGGGGTAATGCGAAGATAACTGGTAGAGACAACAGCCAGAAGCTCACTATCCTCCAAAATATCACCGACATGACTGCACGAAGCAACCATGCCCTCTAAATAACAGAAATGCAGAGCAAATCTGCTCAACTCACGAGATCGCACGAATGGCGGCATAGGGACAAAAGAACCGGTAAAGGAGTAATGGAGCCCCGAGTCACAGTTGTTCCAGTCTCCCGAGGATGCCGCAGATAACGTTGCGTTTGCTATCCCGTAAGGTAGAAGCCCTGCAGCTCCTCATGCGCAGATACAGGCAAGCGGACTATTTTGAGGAAGCATTCATCCATGTGATGCCCTTATATCTCCCATACTTCTGACAGTCGGGAACCTAAAAAGGGTGGAATGAACGGTGTAGGACAATTGCATCGCAACCGGAAGAGTGGATGACTTTCCGTAAGGATTTAGCGATTTCCTTAATTTTGGAAGGCATTCCCAATATAGGTTAGTTCATTTTTGCAAGATCTGGGATTTGCATGTCGAGGAAGTCCCTCCTTCAAAATTGGTTTGGACAACCTGTAACTGCTCATTTCAAGCATCCGAACGATATACAAATCATGTAGGATGGGGGGAGACACAGTGTTCACCAAGAATTGGTGTCGTGAGGGTGTGACCACACTGTGGGCGTCAAAGACGACCTCGGCGATCAGATTTCCTGTTATGGCATGCCATCAATCCTAAATTTGCGTGGTTAACAACGTGGAGGGGACCCCCTGAGCTAAAACCTCGAAGAAGGGATGTGACAACTTCTTCCTCCCTTCACAAAAACTCTCAAGGCTGCAGGATTTGTCTTTGTGGAACTCCAGCAAACAATTCCAGGTGAAGAATTGTACACTTCCCCTGGAGGTTGCACGCTCGACATGCCATCGGCGATGGGCGCCAAAGGCATGTCCCCGGCGCTTATTGAGTGTGGAGAAGCGCCAGGTCCCGGCGAAGGCCGCAGTCGTATTTGGAAGGTTAGCCTTTGCCGTGGGCTGCTCATTGGACGGCGGGCATGGGAATGCATCAAAATTAATATATTTTCTAGCATTCTGGGAATTTAGAGTATGCTCTAAATCCTTAATTTCCTTACGGAAAGTCATCCAGTACTTGGACAAACCGGGGAGAAGGATGCGGGAGAGACCCTGAAAACTCCACGATCGACATCGCGGGTTCACAATTATACCCTAAGATAGGTCTGACGACCGCCCGTGGGAATCAAAGCACAATGCCGTTGACAGGCTGTCACGGCATCCCTTCGCATTTTGTGGTTTTGGGACATTGAGAAATATTCGGAACTACCGTAGAGAAGTTACAATCTACTGCAACTTTGCTCATGATTGATCATTTATTCTTCAAGGATGACCACGAGATTAAGGTACGGTAGTTCGAATGTCCCCCGAACCGTGACCTACCACTGCAGCCTGCCGGTGGACTGAGAGTGCGCGAAGTCGAGAACCTGCACTTCGAAGGGTGGGACCTTAATCATGAGGATGATCCTGTGCGCAAATTCATATCAGATGGTGCTCCTCATCATTAGCTGTCGCAGTGAGAATCCGACGACGGCACAGCCAGTGCAGGACACACCGCCAATACACAGGCGAACATAGACGGGGAAAGCTAGAGCGTAGAAAACGCAGAACAATTACATAGAGTTCACATTGTGGTTGAAGACATCTGATATAATGCTAGTCAAACACACAGCAACTGTGAATGCAGGTTATTCCAATCGCATTCATGATGATGCACCAGTAGCAGGAGAACCTCCTCACTCCCCCGGTGGCCTCGGCACCAGGCTAAGACTGAATTTCTGAGAACCGCCAGTCCCCCACGTCAATTCGCTCGAACCCTACAAAAAGCATCAGGCTGATTTCCGACTAACATAGCAAGCATCACTTACTGCGGATACATTAACATCATAATCAATATCTAGATTTCATGTAGGGTATAACATCAGTTCATTCTCTTCCGAACCTTCAGAAAATTCAACACACTCATGGATATTTCATCGATACGCATGCGTGTACTGAAGACCGAGAAGCCGCGGATGGGCATGATGAAGCTATCCCACTGGAAGAACATGTCATTCAGCAATGTAATTGAGGAATTTTATGAGGCGTTCAGTAGTTAGGCAAGCGGTTGGATAGACTTACCATGCCAGTGCCCGAGGTTGTGAATTCCACTCCCTTACCATCGAACGTGACTTCGCCACTTTGCTGTCCGCTCAAGTAGATATTGAAGACATCCTCGTACTTTGCGTCGAAGGAAAGAGAATCCATCCCACCGTTCCGGATCAACGTCATCAAACGATCGTATTGAATGGTGACTGCCAATTGAGGACTGCTCCATTAGTAGTGGGAGGTATGCTTGCGGCATTACAACGTACATCGTGTATAGCCTGTTCGCTCTCCGTTTGGGTCGTATTGCGGTTCTCCCGATCCAGTGGGCGGCAGTTGCTGTTCAGCCTTGAAGGAACTCGTATCGCCCAGGAGTAGACCATCGATGGAGGCTTTGACGTTGATTTTTACGCTTTGAAATAATGGCGCAGCCTTGCAGCTACCACTATGGACGAGAATAACCCAGATTTCGCCGCCGATTGTCGTGAAATTGGGGTCCTCGATACTCGCACCGGTCACGTACGCATACGCAGTAACCGTGTAGTTGATATGATCGTCCCATTGTCTGACCGTGTAGTCCTCTCTGGTTCAGAAGGAAGTTTAGCGGCAAAACCACCACGCCAGGCTGAACCCGGAAGTGGACTACAAACTTGCGGAAGGCGTTCGACACGTCCGCTGCCGGAGGTGTCAGTTGATTGATGTTGTATGAGGGAGGGGGCGGCAGAGACGCAGATGCTGCAATCTCAGAGGTCCCAACGGGGACGACAGTGCCGGGAGCGGGAGTGGCTGAAGAGGACATTGGGGTGGACATTGGGAGCGTCGCAATCGTTCGGGAATGTCTACACAGGGTGGGTCCTCCTTATGTATACAATGCCCTCGTAGGCCGGGAGACCCATATCTCCGCTGCCAGTGCACACCACGGGACCCATACTTGTGCTTAATGTATAGCAATGCATAGCTACAAAATCAGTTAGAATGTGCTCAGTGACAGTGCTTCCATAATGATTGACATACTTGGGCTATCATCTTCCCATGACTTATCCTGCATCCGTTCGGAGATGGACCTACCCACGGCGTCTGAGGCTGAGACTGATTGTGCGGATATATAGTGGTCAGATGAAGTTCCCTTATTCGAATCATGTCGAGTCGTGAAGACCACACTCCCACTATCACAACAGACAACGGCTTACCACCAGCCGCAACAAGCATCGGATAGCAGAGATGGAATTGTCTTAAAGGCACCTTTCTGAGCTTCTTGGTGTGCACTCAACAAATAGTTTTTCCGGCAACAGGGTATGTTCGGCCTGAGACGCCAGCGTCTCAGGCTAGTGCCATACATGGAAGGTGATCGGAGGATGTTACAACTGTCCTCCGAGTGACAAGTCATTGCAGCTGATCTTTTGTCCACCGGGCATCACTGAATCCGGGAAGATTCCATAACACAGTTATAACGAGTGTATTCTACATAACGCCTGTAACTGTTACAGCCAGCGCTACGATGGGTTATATGGCTGAGCAATTGCCCAACGACATAATCCAATATAACAACAGCATTAGTCGCAGGGCATTATAAACACAGTCAGATCTAGATGCAGAAAAATATATGTCACGGTTTCGACTGACATATAGATGGTAATTGGATTCCTCATGTTCCGGGAAGATGCACACATCTTGCACAGAAATCTTTCCAACATATGCATTCAAACCATTTACATAGTAAAACTAGACTAAGCAGTGCTAGAACATTTCACAACACTACCGACAATTCTCGATGCATCCAGAATTCTCTGCAGCCCCACATGCATGCCCTATCATGGCTCACCTGAGCGCCGCCCGTTGCACGCAAGCCTTCAAATGGCTGCAGCTGCAACTTGAGGAATTAAGCTGAACAGCAGGTTAATTAATGACGCACCCGAATTCGAATCAAGCGACACAACTCAAACGAAACACACCACATACCAATAACTGGAGCGCGCACACCTGCCTGTTTTCAATGACGCAGTGTCAGCAAGGTGACACTTCACAGTTCACGAGAGAATACAAAATACAAAACGCACCGCATAACTAACCGGACCGAGAACACCTACCTCTCTTCGACGACGCAGTGTCAGTGAGAACCCACTTCCTGATAGAGATACAAGGCTACTTGCCTCATACTTACGAGCACACTGTAGAGTACTACTAACTGGAGCGAGAACACGTACCTCTTTTCGACGCAGTGTCGGTAAGAACACACTTCCGGGTAGAGATACAGGGTTACTTGCCTCATACTTACGAGCGCACTGTAGAGTAAAATCGTCAACAGATGAAGGCCATCGCTGAAGCGGCGAAGGAAATCAGCGCAGAGTTCGCGTCTTTTATGCCGACAGCAGGACTATGCTGACAAAACAAATTTCAACGGGTAGGCTCCGAGGAACACACCTCGACTCAGCCCAGTGCGGTCGTCAGATGGAGACGTATTTAACGAAAGCAGCCCGCGAGTGAGGCTGAAGCTCCGAACATGCCTGGAAGTTGGTCGAGAGTCTCTTGAGATGAGATAGATTTGGAGCCCCGTGTCACGGCTATCACAAAATGTCACAGTGTGTCACGCAGAGTATCGCGGTGACGTGGATCCCATTCCGGCAAAATATTTTACCTCCATTGTGAGCCAGAAACAATATGGGCTGCAATTTCAATCACCTGTGTATTGCCTTACAATTTTTGGCTAGGTCATGTAAGCGTTACAAATGGTAGAAATGTTGCTGGTGCATTATGCAGTACCCAAGTCTTCCGGATGGGTTGTGACTGATGTGACGCTCTGTGATTCTTTCCCGGTTCCAGTGATGGGTGCAGCGCGATGGACAGTTGATGTCCATCAAGATAATTCCATCCCTGCAATCCACCTCCATTGATAGGTTGTCCGAGGCCATTGCCCGTTGTGTATGTGCAGTGGACTACGATCACCTGTCGGAGCGAAGTGGCGGGCTACGTACGCGGCAGGATCGGGGCCGACGTGCTGTAGGTGACGCGGATATTGCGGCCCGTGAAGGACGAGAAGATGGTGGCTGTACTCTTTCGTTGCGTCTCGGTCTTTTGTTGTTCCTGCTGTTGTACTTTGGTGACGTTGGTACTATGAATATTTTCGGACATTTACCAGCTCGTTACTGGACAGAAGGACTCTTCGTCGATGCTCGCATCGTCGGTACTATGCCCTCATGGACGGAAAAGGCGGTAGAAGACCTCACTCTTTCATGCACATATTACACCAGACTCCAAAGATCTAATTTTTAGCAGAGACAGCGGGAGTCTACAGACATCAGTAACGCGTAGAACAAAGAGGGTCTGCATCAAGCATCATGTAAGCATATCGCGCACCTAGTCTACACGATCGATAACCTCTTCCTGAGTAGGGGACGGGCGCACACTACACCGCAGTCCAGTTATAATAATACCTCTTGGATGATGTCCTTGCAGGCCTTGAGGCCTATATTCACTGTGGCACCCTTTGTTCAACGGTGCTTGTGGGTATTACGGCGGGTATGGGTATGACGACCGCCTCGGTGGTGCTGGGTAGTCTTACCGTGGCCAGCGAGCTTCTCGCTGTTGAACCGGTCTTACGCGACTTACGCGGACCCGCGAATAGGGCGATGGCGCACTTTGAAGCTTGAAGTCGCGCGTGTGCGTTCCTGGAAACTATCATCTGCCTGTATCTGATTCTAATCATCAGTTCGCTCGTCGCCAGTGAACGTTGCGTTTCGCTCGGCGTGACAATCACCCATTGCACGATCAAATCCCCCGTTTTGAGCTCCCAGTCATTGCAGTGAGTAACGCAGCCCGTTAGAGGATCAGCTAACTCGCCTTATGGAGGCTGTGTATGTCAATGTCAGATGTTGATGGACGTGCACCATGATCCGCGTGCGTCGGCCTGCCGACGATCAGCATTGTCTCCACCTCTGCATATGTCGAATTCAACATGAGCAATGCAAGGGCGTCCGGGACAGCACGTATAAAAGGAGCTAAGGGAGCGGCTACTTTCTCCAGCTCCTCAGTTTTTTCCGGGCTCAACTTCCAAGTTCAAGTACCGGATAGTGAGCTCTTGTCGTCGATTACTATGCGACCTATGTGTTTTAACCAGATTTTCTTTTAGCTTGACTTGTTCCCTTCGCTTTCGACACTATCGTCAATTAATTTTTCTTCACGATCCTTCCCCTTCTCACGACCCCAGGCCTTTATTTTAGTCCTGAATCAAGATGCGTTCTTCCACCTTCCTTGCAATGGTCACTGTTGTGGCTACTCCTGTTCTCGTCGGGTGAGTCCATTTTTTAAAATTCCACTGTACAGCCATTGATAGTCCTCATTCAGCGCTGTCCCCACTCCGGCCGATGGCTCTGAGGCTCTGAGCTTCGGTGACGGCTTGAAAATTGGCAAGGATGTCTTAGGCAATTTCCAGAGTGGCAACAACAACAAGAACCAGCAGCACTCCCGGTGAGCATCCGTCAGCTTGGTTGCATCGTTGGGTTAGATCTCATTCATTGCTAGTGACTACGAGGAGCTTCTGGCCCGCGATTTCGACGACATTATGGCGCGTGCTGAGCCTGCTCCCACTCACGCCGTGCATGAGCATGTTCACCAGCATGCCCACAAACACCATGCCCATAAGCACCAGGAGAACCTCAAGCATCACTACGATCAGAAGGACGTTCCCGGGCATGCGCACCAAGCTGAGCACACTGCGGAGCACTTTGTCACGCACCCTACTTCCGAGCACGCTGTCGTTTCCCCTGCGCACCTCGTGCGCGAGCCTTCTCCGTACAGGCTAGCGAGCAGCCACGCAGGCGTCAGGCCTCGGGATATTGAAGAGCGCGAACCTTCTCCGTACAGGCCAGCGAGCAGCCACGCGGGCGTCAGGCCTCGGGATATTGAAAAGCGCGAGCCTTCCCCGTACAGGCCAGCGAGCAGCCACGCGGGCGTCAGGCCTCGGAATATTGAAGAGCGCGAGCCTTCCCCGTACAGGCCAGCGAGCAGCCACGCGGGCGTCAGGCCTCGGAATATTGAAGAGCGCGAGCCTTCCCCGTACAGGCCAGCGAGCAGCCACGCGGGCGTCAGGCCTCGGAATATTGAAGAGCGCGAGCCTTCTCCGTACAGGCCAGCGAGCAGCCACGCGGCCGTCAGGCCTCGGAATATTGAAGAGCGCGAGCCTTCCCCGTACAGGTCAGCGAGCAGCCATGCGGGCGTCAGGCCTCGGAATATCGAAGAGCGCGAGCTCAAGGATCGCGACTGGTACAATGACATCTTCGCTCGCAGCACGAACCTTGATGAGCTGGACTGATGTGCTGGGTTTTGCATCGCCGTGTAGTCAGTTAACAGCCGTAGCGAATGCTTGGATATACCGAGAAGTTTACTTTTGCATAAGCTCATGCACCATGTCGTGAGCATGAGGCGGTGTGTGATCATCCAGTCTGTCGGTAGGACAATTGCATCGCAATTGAAAGAGTACTTGGACAAACTAGGAAGAAGGATGCGGGAGACACTTAAAACTCCACGATCGATGTCGCGGGTTCACAATTGTACCTTCATTAAATATAAGATAGGTCTGAATAAGGCACTGAAGCTGGAGAGCAGCTACACTTTAAAGCTTTACGGCTCACAGCAAACTTACCGATGCTCTGTACGGCTTTACACTACGCCTCAATTTCTATGGATTCTAAGGAGATCATGTGCACCGGCGGAAATTTGCGACCTAATGTTGCTTCTACAAGTACTCGACGAAAGGTATTATGCCACTTCTTTACCTTAAGATTGCACTATGATATAAGCGAATATGAGGTGCACGAGGGAAGCATACTGCATAGATAACCATACAGTGTCACATGATAGCAGCGGACATACGACAGCGTGTCTGATCGACAGATTGTTTACTCGTCCTCTTCCTCTTCGCCACCTTCCTCCTTCTTCGCAGCCGCAGCGGCGCGCTTGCGCTTGACGCGGCCGGGGCGGCCTCCACCGTACGGCGAGGTGAGAGCGAAGTCAATGTGTTTTTGGGAGTCAAGTCGGACGATAAATGAAGGGACATTGACAACTTGCTTGCCAACGCTGTAGGGTAAGGTCATAAGCACGATATCTAAAAACAAAGTAAGACAACCGGGAACACACCGGATATGTCTTTGTCTGATAAGCACACGCGCGTGGTGGATACTCTTAGCCAACCCACTCTTGAAGACCTGGGTTTGTAGCCTTCGCTCCAAGAAGTCCTCAATCTTCAGCGACAATACGTAATCGAGACGCATGCGGGATTCGTCGAGCACACCAATGCGGACGAGTCGGCGAATGAGGGCGTTACCCTCGAAGAGACGCTTGGGGTCCTTCACGTCGAGCTTGAGAAGCTCACGCGCGGCACGACGGATCTTGGACAAAATAAGACCAATGCGCCAGATCTCACGCTTGTTGCGCAGGCCGTACTCTCCGGCGAGCTATACACAAACGAATTCCTCTAGCATCCGAACAGCGCAGAAACGGGTGACGGACCTTCAGCTCGGCATCGAGACGAGGGGCCTCGTAAGCACGACGCGGTGGCTTGTAACTGTAGTTATCATCGTGATGATAATGGGGCACGGCTTTCAATCAGCACGGTGCATCCCTCCACTAAAGTGGATCTTGAATGAGAAACGCTCACGTCTTGCTGTGATTCCGCGGGGCCCTAAATAACGCAAGTCAGCACAAACGCATCTTGCGAGACGATAACGCAGGAATTACCTAGGCATTTTTCTTGAGGATGGCGGACGGAACTATGAGAGAGCCTAGCGGGATGCGAGGGAGTATACAAATCCGTGCAAACAGACAAGGTTAGCCAGCGCCACAACTGTAAAGCACCAATGCCCAGCCACTCGGCATTTCCCGAGCCGCCATTTCACAGACGTCGATCCCAGCACCACCGCCAACAGCGACCACTGTGAGTGTTCTGGTTGTACGCCGTGTCTGACGACCGAATTCCGACCTTGTTGCAGCCCTCAAGATGCCGCACTCATTCGGTTACCGGGCGCGTACGCGCGACATGTTCAAGCGGGGCTTCAAGAGTGCGCAGAATTAAGTATCCGATATATGCTGGAGGAAGTTGACTCGAATATTTGCAGAGCATGGTCCTATCAAGTTGTCGACATACCTCGTTACCTATCGCGTCGGAGACATCGTAGATATTAAGGCGAACGCTGCGCAGCAAAAGGGGATGCCCCACAAATACTACCACGGGTGCGTTGATCCGTCTCTGGTTACGCGGTCTCCGTGAGGGTGCTCACAATTTACTTTCGGTGCGCAGTCGGACTGGTATTGTGTACAACGTCACACCAAACGCTGTCGGTGTTATCGTCAACAAGGTCGTCGGCAACCGCTACATCGAGAAGCGTGTTAACATCCGAGTGGAGCACATCCGGCACTCGAAGTGCAGGCAGGAGTTCTTGGACCGGGTGCAGAAGAACCACGATGAGCACGTAGCGGCGCGTGAGCGGGGTGGTAAGTCATCGATCTGCGCTTCGTCGCAGTGAAATGTGCGGTGATTCTGACGTACTACTATGTTGTCAGAGCGGGTTACCCTGAAGCGTAGTCCTGTCCTTCCCCGCGGCGCGCAAACCATATCTACCAGCGGCAACGAGCCCCAGACGATGGTGCCCGTACGCTACGAGACGACCATTTAAAATCCCGTTTCATCCTCCATCCGACGTATCGCTTCTCCGGGTTATGTCTTGCCATTGTTTTCTTCATGTATGTTCATGCAATGATAAGCGTAACATGTACAACATTGCAAGTATGCTTGCAAGCAGTATTGTCATCGACCCCGTCAACGGACTCATGACGCCTGGAGTCAATGCGTGTGAACTTGTTGGAGTAGAATATTTCAATTATTTGGCACTACAGTGAACGGTGGAAACGGTGAACTACAAGCTGAACTCCTCGAAAAGAGGAGTGGAACACGATATATTCGCGCAAGTCGCAACGGGCTCAGCCATTTTGTCGGACAAATCGCTTTTACGTAAGGTGGCTGGTATGAGGCGTGAATTCGGCGTGGACGAACGTTACTCTGTGCCACCATGCCTTCAGAATCGTACCCTCGGGACCGTTCACACTCGCGCTCAAGAGATCGTTCGCGTTCCGGCTCTCCAGAAAGGCGCATTCAACTGCCCAGCGGCGCCTCACCCATCTCCGAGTCTGACTACTTCCTGAAGAGTGACGAGTTCAGGATATGGCTCAAGGACGAGAAGCGCAAGGTTCGCGTGGCATGAGTGTCTTTGAAATCTCTTCCTTACTGTTTCCCTGGTTGCCAGTATTTCGACGAACTGACGAGTGACAAGGCGCGAAGGTGAGGGTGTCGAACGCATCACACGGTGATTGCTGAACGATCGAGATAGATATTTCCGAAAGTTTGTGAAGGTGCCGACGAATTCTTGCGTTGCTGAATTTTATTCCTTACTGACAACTGATGACTTATACCAGGCGTGGAACAGTGGAAAACTCCCCAGTAAGTCATCACACGTATGCATGTCGCATATCGACGATTTGCGTTCCACAGAGTCTCTGTACGCTGGAGTAGATCCCTCGCAAGCAGCAAGCAGCCACACAGCATACAGGTGGTCATTCACCTCCAAGGCTTCCCGTGCCGAGGCCGATGCCCTCCGCGCCGCCCGCGAAGAAGTCGGCTCAGCGACATATAATCGACCCTCACATACCGATGCGCGCGCGTCCAGAGGTGCGCGGCTGCAGGGCCCCACACTCCCCTCCGCGTCTGATATGACGCTTGCGCGCGAGACGGCGGACGAGGCGCGCGCGGCGGAGCGCGACTACCAGCGCAAGCGTGACAAGCGGGAGCAAAAGGAGCGCGTCGAGGAGGTGGTCGGCCCGAAGCCGCTCGGGCGCGAGGGGATGCTCGAGAAGAAGCGCACACAGCGGGAGAGCGACCGCGAGTTCCGAGAGCGCGGGGACGAAGGGCTGGAGTTGGATGAGTCCACACTGCTGGGCGGCGGAGACAGTTTCAAGGACAGGTGAGTACGCTATTGGCTCGGTCAGCTTTGGGTTTCTAATAGATTTGAACCGGTGTCATAATGGGACAGGATCGCTAAACGAGACGCGGCGCGCAAGCGCTTCGAGGAGAAGAAGTTCGGCGGGAGGGACGAGAGGTTGTCTGCGGCGCGTGAGCGCGCCGACACCATACGGCAGAAGGACAAGGCGACTATGGACATGTTCATGCAGCTGGCGAAAAATAAGTTCGGCTGAGATTTTGCCCAATTTCCCTGTGTCAGTCAGTCGCCAACAGCTGCTTATGGTGCATATCGTCGCTAAGCTCTGGGTGCACTACACCAGGGATTGTCGCGTAGTATTATGATACGATGTGCGAAATATATGTACCGGATCCTCGCTTTACACTAACAAGAAGTGAAAGCTTCCGCGAACCGCTAGATCTCGATCACGGAACCTCAGCTTATGAGTATAACACTAATGATACATGTACAGTGCCAGTTGAATTCTCAAGAAAATCAGTACGTGCTTCAGCCTATAGTCTCTGTCACAGTCTGCCAGAACCGATTGCTATCCGCAGATAATCCGTTAGCCATGCGGAGCATGACAATTAGCCCACTCATGCTCGAAAACTAGCGGAAGGAAATTATCTCGTCAGTCCTCAGCGACACAAGACACAAACCAGAAAACTCACTCCATTACCTACGAAGACTTGTGCACGTTGCCCAATGAGCATATCCACTGCATGTTTTACATACCGCTCTTCGTGGTTCACGACAAGGTCCCTGCTGCTCGCGATGTTCGCCCAAACGCCCGTTGCGCGCAGCGCGCGCTTGAGCTGGTCCACCCACGCGGTGTCTCCGTTCGTCATGATGTATATGTACATCAGACCACGCCCCGCCGGCGTCGCTCGCACCTCCTGCACGCGCTGGACGATCTCGCGGATCGTGGGGTAGCAGTTCTGAAGGTAGAGCGGCAGTCGGGCCTCTGTAGTCGGGTCTGTGGGCACCACGAATTTGTCTGGAAGGTCGGGGAACGAGTTGTATCCCGTGTAAGATGACCGCCACTCCGCGAGGTCGTGGCAATGTTGTTTGAAGTCGCCCCGCCGGATATGCAGCGCGAGCAGCCCCGGAAGTGGCGCGTACCTTTCGGCGCTCGTCGTGAATGGCGCACCGGTAAGGTAGGGCGCCTTCCGGTTGAATGGAGCAAATACCAAACGGTTCACGTCGAAGGCCCGTTCCACGAGGGGGGACCAACCGAATTCCGTCAGAATTGGAGACTTGGAGAATTCCGGCCAGACATCGAGCAGAAGGTTGGGATCTCCAAATGTACTAGGGTATGTCTCAGGGGGGAGAACTACGAGGGATGCTGGGACGCTCACTATATGTCGAAGATCGACCACGAGTGCCTGGGGATCTGGATACATGGCTCGTCAGTGGCGGTAAGTACTTCCGCCCACTTGTCCACCATCTTTTTAGCGGAGAGTCCACCCTCGATCTTGTCTCTGAGATCCTCGTTCATCATCGTCACCGGGCTGGGGCACACTTGGTCCCAAAATTCTTTCTTCACAGACCGTGGAAGTCCTGCCTCAGTAATATACGGCGCTCCTACGGTCGGCCCTGAGAATCAATGAGAAAGGAAGCGTAGGAAGGATTAATCAATTGTTCGCACTTACCTTGGATCAGGGCGGTAAGAGGTATACGAGAAGGAATAAGCTTCCCGTTGTAGTCACTATAGTCAGAACCGTCCTCGTTCCAGGTATAATTGTCGAACACAAGACTAGCAGTAACAAATATTCTTTCGATATTTCCATCGCATGAAATTTACTGCGGACGTACGTCCTGCCAGACCGATAGGTCAAGTAGTGAATGAGCAGCAATTCTTGCATGACGTTTCCCCAGCCCGACGCTGCCGAAGTGAGGAAATGAGCTGACGCAACAGAATACAACTCCTGGTGCTCACATCGTGCATGATTTCCGACCCAAAAATATTTACCATGTCGACCTTCTGGGAAAGGCAGGCTAAGGTTGTGCTGCGGAAGTTGAAGCTCTCGTTGGTGGTAATCAGAGTACAGCGGCGGGTTCAGTGGGTCTTCATGCGCCGTGTAATAGTGGCCAAGATGTGCATCGTTGAGTTTGGACTTAACCAAAAGGGTAACGTCGATCTGACCGTCATAGTACTCAGCATAAAAATCGAGAGTGTGGTCTTGTGCAGCGCTTTCCTGGTCTTCAGGGTTGTAAACACCTAGATATTTCCCCGAAGAGAGGTAGGCATTCTTCCAGGGCCTGAGCTTCGTGGAGGGAATCAAGAAGGACAAGAGAAAAAGAACCGATAGAAACAGAGCGAAGACAGCAAGGATGTTGAAGTAGCGTTTGGTAAGCCATAGCGATGGTCTTCTTGGGGGCTGCTTCGAAGTATTCGAATAAGGAAGCGAATCGCGTGGCGACAATGAGGGGCTACGAGACAGCATGGGGGACCTGAACATTTGCAGTGAACGGATGAAAACGAAAGACGTACGGTAGAAGCAGTGAACTGCTGCGGGGGGCATTATTCGTACCGAGGTGGACGGAACCTAATCGATTGAGATAAGTTACCTCACTTGGTGTTGGAACTGCCATCCTGGCCGCTGCGCGTGGCGCTGGCTCTTATAATTAACCCTAAGTGAATATAAGATATCAGCCAAAATTCTAAGCATGCCAGGATCCCAGCTCACACGAGCGATCTATGCAACCATGGAGGTGCGGTCCAACAGCAGGAATAGGGATGTCTGGCCGCCGACGGAGGCTTTTCCCCCCTCCACGTGAAGATAACGTTTCAGCACGTGGCCGCGAACTTTGACAACGACGCCAGATTTTCACTTATTCTCAACAGTGTTATTTGACAAATTGTCCCCAAATTATTCTCTCGAGTAACCTCGCTGTAGAGTTCCGCACACAGGAACTTCCCCATGTAGTTCGGCGAGTTTGTCATGCACTTTTGCAACATGTTTACGGTTTGACCCAGCCCCGTGTCGCGTGTCACGTGCTGCCGGCATCAGACTCGGAGGGCCTCCACGTCCACCTCAAACAGAAACTCAGGCCAACGACTTGGATTTAGCAACGAGTTATCACTCAGCGTCTATCGATGAGCATGCGGTAGTTCTCGTCGCAGTGTGCCACGGTCTGCAGCGCATGTTCTCCGATGGCGCACCTCGTCCGCCCTGGTAGTCGGCATCTACGTACCTCTCTATTCCTCAATGGACTGTCACAATTTTGCAGAACAAGGCAGTTTCTTTTCTGGCCACATCACAGGGGTATTCTGGGTAGAATAGCCTAGTGGGAGGGCAGATACTAGCGTATCTTCTTCCAAGAAGTGTCTTCATGAGTAGTTTCACCGCAGAAAAGACATTGCGAGCCTCGGGACCCAAAGTTTTACATAAAGGAGTATCATCCGACATGATCGACACTGTCTATTGCAGCAGTAAACGACAAACACGACGCTGTCATGTGGCTGACGACTCGCCAACGAAAAAAAAAACACGATTGTACGGACCACCGGCTCTGCTCTTCCTACGCGAAAAAAGGTAAGAAAAGCGCGACAAATGTCGAGCACTAAGATATCCGGTTGATATCCGCCCTGTTTTGGCACAGACCAGCCGTTTGAACATAAGAGAGGCAAGGTCTGCAATTTGACTAGAGGTGCGTTGAAAAAGGCTCAACGGGCGCTTTTCTGGGTTTTATCCAGAATGGGCGCCTAATTCGGAGAGAGGTAGTCTCCCGTACACTCTGCTTCAACCTTCGTGCCTCAGGATATCCGTGTCGGACGAGAGAGGCCGTTCTGACCTGACAGCAACATATGGACTAGTCCGCGGTTTCATTCACCACAGTGCTTCAATAACACAGGATACTACCTATCTTTTCTGGAAACTTCTTGGCCAGGGCTTCCAGCTACAACATAACACCGGGACCAACATTCCAACAACACAACTCATCCCCGGCCAGTGTCAGCGAGCCCGGACATACACATGGTTCGTTCAGTTTCAGGTTAGAACCCCTTTGAACAGCAGTTGACTTTACGTGTTTATGCCATCCCAGCTGCACTTGTTGTTGTGTCCATCTCGCCCATAACACCTTTGCAAGCCCACCCCGCTCAGTTGATGCAGTGCCAGACGTAAGTAACATCCTCGTGCTTCTCTCTTCTTCTGCCAGTGCCCCACCTCTGTGCGATGAGTCGACAACGATAGACCGCTTCGAACCCCAATGCTCACAGCGACGTAAGGTGCATTTGGGGTCCTTCTTTTATTGGCTCGTTCCCGGCGGTTTCTGAAGACGCACGCAGGACGAGATGCATCTCATCTTCACTATTCATGTTTCCGCGTCATACCCGGTGGCGTCGTTCCATATTTTCTGGCTTCGTTCTGTGTCGATTGCCATGGAGTTCATGTCGGACCGTCTGCGACGCGTCGATCTGCAGCCCTGATCCTCCCGTTTTTACCGTTGATCATCCAGATTGTGCCCGCCTCTCCCACTAAACATGGGAGCGTGCCCCGAGACTCGTCTGTCATGTCGATCTGCTATGTATCGAGACGATTTTGCCCAAGACTTTAGTTTCGCATCTTGTGCGCCGGTGACGCCCCGAGTACCTGTGTTCGTCGCGCACCGGTTTACTCCGCTCCACAAACTGTGTTTTTCGCTCTGTGTGTCTACCAAGATTTCAGGCGTCTATGGTTTTGAATTTAGCTGCCCGCAGCTTGTCCAGAGTCAGTTTTCCCAGTGTGACGCTTCAGGAGTCTGCGAAGATCCTGCGAGATTGGTGGAATCCTCGGTGGCGGTGACGGTCCCTTTTCCGACACTCTTGGCGGGAAATTGCCGTGGATGGATCTGCGGCGCACTATTAGAGTTGGTGGTCTACGGTACGGTGTACGCGAATCGGCAATACGGTACGAGGGCCCTCAAGATTGGTTAATGGTCTTTCGGACGTGCGACACCGTAGAGATCAACTCTGTCTCGTCAGGACGTAACTCCCTGGCTGCGATCTCATGCATATGAAGAGACGCACGGCAGATCGCCCATAAATGTCTGCTCTGTCTTCGCCTATTCCCATCGTCGATCTCCCAAACGCGGTGCTATACTTATCTATTCCCTCGCATTCAGAGAATAGAGAACAAAGAAGAGAGTTGATCAAAATCTAGAGCGCGCTGTCCACGGTCCGACGCAGTATGTGTACTTCCAAGGTGCGTAGAGTGGTCTCCGTTATCTTGGCACAGGATTCGCTTCGCGGTGATGCTGCGTCTGTAAAAGCTTCCCAGTCACTGGCGTGCTGATGGTGGCATCATGCGTGCTGCAGGTGTTATCCGTGTCCCGGCGCCGCCATCATCTTCGACATCGAAGATCGCGGCGACGTAACGCACGGACGAGCCCATGAAGATTCGACGACTGCCATGTCATATCTAGGCTTCTACCTAAGGCGATAAATGTCCAGCGGCGCATGTTGTGTGTGCCCACTCGTATTGATGTTGTAGGCCTGCTTCCGCACGCTGGATCTCACTTGCAAATAAGGGCGCACTAGAAGGCGGGCATGATTGATGAGAGCAGTTAGATTGTGCGTCCCTGCGACCCGTGGGGCACCTCGCGGTCGTCGCCGCACCGATGATCTCTCCAGTCTGGTACGCACAGCAAGGAGACTCTTTATCTCGTCCATTTTGTCTAACCTTGTTCCTTAATGGAATGATGCACCGTATGGCTGATATATCTCGTGCGGACCGATATGCCCTTAGTTTGTGAGTCTTCGCGCTCTCCTTCCTTTTTGCTGTTAATGCTGCTCAGGGTCGGTCGGTGAGATACAGTGGCAGATGCGGCGGATCTGCTCCCCGGGCCGGAAGGTGTGTCTTGTCGTTCCAACACAACGAAGTCCGGAAACTCACATAGGCTCGCGCCAACTTACGGGCATCTCCCGACGCGCTGTTGTTGATAGTCTAAGACTGATCCAGATAGCACATGTTGCCCTCCCTTCCGGCGCACGTTGCAGCCCCACGTGTTGGCTGCTCGCTATGTGGTACGCATTAGGATATTCGCACAGAAGGCGGGCGTCGAAACGCTTTGGTTTCTTGGTGAACTTGCGTATCTGCTTGATACTCATTCTTGGGATTTACTGAGTGCATAGCGTCCTGTTGTAAGTTCTCATGTTCTGCGCCTCATATCGCATTCAACTCGATCGTAATCTGCAGGCATTATGGGACATGCTCGTGCCGTGAGCTAGTCAGGTGCGCTCGTGTTGCGACATCAAGCTGTTCCAGTGCTAGCGACGAATACATTTCAAGTTGGTCGCGCACGAGTTACCCGATTGAGATCTCACATTGGTGGCGTTCGGGGAGACGTGGTGAACAACGTTGCCACCACTTCTTTTGTTATCTAACGTCCTTGCATCAGGATATCTACTTCTACGGATAATCGCCATGCAGTGAGGTGGAGGTGAGAGTTCTCCCGTATGATATAAAGCTTCAAGGCACCCACAGTCGATTGGCTGTATACTGATGTCAGAGAGGGCAAAGGACAGGCTCTTCACGCGGCCATCCTAGGAATCGAGACTCGGTTGTGAACGTGCTCCGTCCCAAGTGTACTAGACTACCAACGAAACACATTTCAGAGCGGCCCTGTGCGTGTCGTTGTGTACCTCCTGGAGCCCAGATCAACACAATGGACGCGCCCTCGCCGATCTGACAGCTCTTCACTATCGTGCGCGTCTGGCCTGGACTTCGTTGGAGTTCTCGGTGCCCACCACGATCAACTCTCGACGTTACTAAGCGACCATGTCGATAGCGCAGTCCCGAATACGCCCGTGCAGACGGTCTCCGGCTTCTCTCTGTCATCTCCGCGCCTCGACTCCCTCCGTCATACCTACTCGTGGCGCGAGTTTGGCTTTCTTCTGTGTCACGATGGAATACCACGCATCCTGCGCCACCGCGGCGCGCGGCTAACGATATCATCGGCCATCGAGCGCCCGTGCTCGAGGAGGTCAATATCGAATTTGGCAGGCGCCACGCCTGTGTGACCGTCTGCAATATTAATGTGCCTTCTCGGCTTCCCACCAGCCGGAGGAGGGTCGTGCGTGCTGACAGCGACAGAGTGACAGGTCTTGCCTGGTGCGAAGCCGGCGCCGGAGGGTGGAGTCCCAACGGACGCGGTTGCAAATTTGCTATGTCTGTTCGATCTCTGGATCTAGCTGGGAGATTCTGGGACGTGTCGTTGTCGTGGAGCTGGAGCTGTTGTATGTCACCCCGCCATGACTAGGCTCTACTCGAGCGGGCTTCTGCGTCGAGCGGGGCGCTACCTGTGCTATGTGCTACGCGGTGACGCGGGTCTATCGATAACGAGGCAGGCGTGGTTGAGGAGCTCGATGACGGGTGGCTCCCTGCTGTCACTATTGCTATTGCTCTTACTATTGTGGTGCTTCCCAGTGGGTACAGCATCAGCAATGACCAATGCCGGCTTCCTCATTCGCATTCTTCATCTTGTTCTTTTTCTGGCGTTGGCTTTATTGAATGCCGGCGGTGCTTCGCTGCCAGAAGCCGCAGCAGCGAGTGCTTGTTCAGTATGGCAGACACAGGACATAGGACGCCGGATAGGGTAGGGAAGCAGGCAGGCTTCTTTACGATCAAGGAATCGGCGTGTCGATGATCATGAAGCGTGAGTGCAATAATGCCCCGGTGGTCCCAGGGTGGTCTCCTACCTTCTCCTACCCTCCCCCGATGCTTGCGCTTCTCGTACTATCAGTAATCACTCTGGCGTGGCGTCCGACTGCTTCCCAAATCCATCCGATATCTATGTGCGCGATAGGCGCACTCGGCAGCCAGATACTTGTCGACAGTGGGGCTGTTGCTCGTTCACGCTCCTGCGCTTCGGCTTCGCGCTCGATTATGCACATGCATGACTGCGTGCGCTTCGGCTTCCACTCTTCGTGATGGCGCATCTGTTTGTACGTACGCGTGCGTAATCCTTAGGTGCTGAGTGGGGGGAACCGTACGCACTGGCTGAACCACGATACGATCAATCCATTCAAACCGGATATAGACACGCTTATAGCAACGGCCTCCGTCGACGACGGTACGAGCGAGCGTGCAGTCCGCGCGGTAGGTAGTAAGAGCACAATCGCGAATCACGAACCAGGACGGACGGGGAGTCCCACGCTGCGACAGAGGCCCTCCGCTCCTGATGGCGGTAGATGGACAGGACGCGTGCAGCATCGCCTCGACGATTCGACCCCGGCCTCGCACCAGGGAGCGCCTGAGCTTGCGGGCCCGCGTGCGAGCGCACCCGCCGCGAGACGGGGCGCGCCAGCGGTCGGAGGGCCGCCTGTCAAGCAGCGGGACGCAGTACGTACCCTTGTCCGCGGCGCTGAAGTGCGGAGTGTGCGAGGGCGAGTTCTGGCTCGCGTAAATCTTGTTGCACGTACAGCACGCAAAAAAAAAGAAAATGCCTCTCACCGACCCCCGAGAGAAAAATTCTGTGCTGCGGCGCGCCTCCGTCCTTCGCAGGTACATAATCGTGGTCGTGCGCTCTGCGCGAAAGTCGTGCGGCCGTGCGCTTGCGGGCGAGAACCCGACGTGTGCCAGCCAGATGTCCGTTTTGCCGATGGGACACCGGCGTGCAACCCCTTCTTCTGTTCTTCGTCGTTTGTGCCGCCCGTTCCTCCTGACGAATCTGGGCGAGAATCCGAAGGCGCGTGCTGTCCTTCGTTTGTGCGCCCTTCGTGGTCTGCTGCTGCACTGTAAGCACGACCAGCGCCGGAGCGAAGATTGCTTTGGCATGTCAGGTTCCAAAGAGTGTGAGCAGCGATAATGAAAAATGCCGCCAGGGGTGCGGACTGGGATGACCGGAGACTCAGGTCGAAGCAGTCGGCGCGCCAGGAATCGGGGAGGCGGCAATCGGCTCTCCGACTTTTTCTCCTGGAAAGCGCGAACACAATTACCTCTGGAGAGGGCGCTGCGCAGCAGAGGACGTTTCTCGCGAGGGGTCCCGTTTTTGCTGATGCAGACACCGGCGTGGAACACCTTCTGTTCTTCGTCTCAGCCGCTCGTTCCTCCTGTCAAATCTGGGAGAGAATCCGAAGTGGCCCTGTGGGAGTGGCCAGGCCAGTAAGCACACGCACGGCCGGAGGTGCGAGCGAGCTCGCTTCTTGTTCAGAGGAGTTCGGAGGGAGTCGATCAATCACGTCCACTTGTGCGCCCTTCGTGCCGATCAGAGTCCATCGCGAAGGGGGGGGGATGGGTAGGCTACGGCACCAGATCTCTCTCTGGACCCTTCTCCTCCTCGTGGAACTTGGAGAGGTATTCAAGGGGCTCGCTGTCTCGCCAGGCCAGCAAGCCGCGGGAGGCGCCACGCTCGGCATTAGGATGAGAGGCGCGCGCGCTACGCCACTTGCGAGATCTCTCCCTCTTCATTCTTGTCAGATCGGGGAGTCCGAAGGGGAAGACCTCCAGCGGCAGATCAGTCAGCGGCGGAGACGCTCTTATGCTTCGGTTTTCGGCGGGTCGGAAATATACCTGTGAGCGAGGGGCGGTCGACGAGACAGCACACGAGACGCGAGACACTCGTCGCCGCGCAACGATTTCGGCCCATCTGTCCTTCAAGTTCAGTTTGTGCGCCCTAGCTGGGTGGTGTGGTGTGCTGGATGCACGACCGGCGTCGCAGCGATTGACTTTGCTTTGGCGCCGGCCGGGGTTGTAGAGAGTGAGTACTTGAGTAGGGAGGGATAGTATACAATGCCGCCAGGGGCACGGATTCGGATGACCGGAGGGAGAACTCGGCGCGCCAGGAATCGGGGAGGCGGCAATCGGCTGCAGGTGTATCCCAGCGTTCAGCGTTCAACGTTCAGCGCGCGAATCTCGCTCTCGAATGACGCTTAAATTAAAATCCAAAGTCCAGGCCCGGGTGGTAAGAGCGGTTTAGAGAGAGAGGATACGAACCCGTACGACCGATAACAGCGTAGCAGTCGAGGATACGACGCAGACGGAACGGAGGGCTTGGAGAGTTCGGACCCGCCGCCGAATTTGGAAATGAGAATTGAGGATTGAGTTAATATTTGGGGATCCATGCGCGGAACAGCCGGAGCAAGGCGCACGCCAATGACGCTGGGGCGGAATATGGAAGGTGCGCGATAAGGCGTCAGTCGGACAATTTCGTATTCCAGTCAGACTCGATTATCGAATCAGGCAATCGTGCTGACGCGAGGAGCATTAGAGGAGGCTCGGTGCTGGAGAGGGCGTGCGGCGAGAGCCCCGGTATGAACGGGGAGGCGCGTGTGGGTAAGCGCTGCACTCGCCGGGGGGGCGGGAGGCGCGCGATCGGAGGGCGGGGCGCAGCCGGCGGCCACCCAACGCAGAGCCGGATACGACGGCAAGGGGGACCCGTCGTGCGGGTTTCAGATGCACCGAAGCGGATAGGCGATCTGTTCCTGGATCTGGTTAGCGGGAGGCAACGGGCGCGTTCTGCGTCGAAGCAACTCCGAATCAGCATTCAGTCAATCTGCGCGAAGCGATCTGGCGATAGGCGCCGGAGTCTGTGTGCTTGTTTTGGGATGGCGAATTCGAGCGATGCGCGCTGTGTTCTGTTCTGTTCTTTTCTGTGTTCTGAGCTGGTGTGAGAGGCGGATGGGATCGAGAAGACGGGGGTGGGGCTCCGCGGGAGTTATGTTGTCTGACTGTTGCATCCGTGGTGGACCGGGTGCGGTGGAGTGATTTGTGCGCGAGATTGGAAATGCGAGTGCCTGGGCAGCGATGGCTGGATGGTGGTGGACGTGAACGTGTGTCGCCGGGAGGAGGGCGAGGACAGGGGAGTGCACGCGATGCGAGGCGAGGCGAAGGGGACCAGGGTAGGCGTACGGTGGAGGGGACGTGGATGGGATTGCGATGGGCTAGGGCGAAGACGAGTGCGGGGGATGGGAGGTGGTAGAGAAAAGAGCCCGATAGGGGAGGAGGAGGGCGGAGGAGGGGAACGACGATTGGGGCGATAGGAATTGAAGCGACGCGGTCGAGAACGTGGCTGGGCGGCTGGGATTGGTCTGGGGATTGGAGTGGGAGGATCGAGAGGAAATACACCCGCCGGCGAGTTTGGCGGGCAGCGCAGCGGGGCAGAAACTGGGGACTGCAGAACGGGGAGGAGCAGTACTCGCTCGAGATGGAGGGGACTGGGAGGAGGCGAAGAGGGAGGTGTGGAGCGGAGGATTGCCTGAAAAGGAAAGGATAAGGCGGGAGCACGTGGCTTGGATAAGTGATGTCAGGAGAGAGAGATACGAGAGGCTGGGCGCGATCCAACAAAAGGAGGCGCACCGCCCTCTGCTCGATCCCCATCTCTCCTCCTCCTCCGTCCGCAGACCTGAGCTTGCTCACCCAACGTCTTCTGCGATGCCCTACTCCACGCCCCACGACCACAGTCCGTCCTCCTCGCCCCCGCGCCATCTCTTCCAGCACAGGCGGACTCGCTCCAGCGGCGCATTCTCCGACGAGCGAGGTCCTGGCGCATTCGTCTCGCTGGGCTCTCTCCCGCGCTCGCACAAACGCGCCGTCTTCCACATCAACGTCCCCGACGACGACCTAGACGACAGACCTCGTTCTGCCCTCTCCCCGCGCAGCTCTCTCCGTCTCTCCATGAACGCGGGCACGTTCTCCCCCTCCATCGAACCACCGCCCCGCATCGATATCCCCCCGCCCGCACCTACCTCTGTCCCTTTTCCCACGTCCTCTCCGCTCTCCCCTACTGACCGCAATTCCCCATTCATCCCCTCCTCCTCTACTTCCCGCACCTCTCTTCCCCGCACCCCTTCCACTCCCGTCATCCTCTCCAACGGCAAGCCTCTCAAGCCCTCTCTCAAGTCGTCCTCCTCCTCCCCCAACATCCAGGGCCTCGCCCCCCATCGCGCCCACTTCCGCGCCCAGTCTGCCCCGAGCACCCCCGTCGGCCCCAAGAACGTCCACTTCGCTGAAAACGACGAGGGCCTCGCGACCGTCCGCGTCTTCTCCCGCTCCGGCAAGCCCGCCAGTCTCTCCGTTCCCCCAGGCGAGGAAACAGAGACCGAGACAGAGGCCGAGTCTTCCGCCCAGCCCCCCTCCTCCTTCCCCTTCCCCTCCCTCTCCTCCTCCGAGCCCGTCATCTACGAGATCGACTCCGCCGTGCAGCGCACGTCCCCCGTGCCCGCCCCCAGCCCGTCCCCCTACGCGAACGTGCACCTCGAGACCCTCGCCCTCCCCCGCACCCACCCACCGGCCCTCCGCGGCACCGTCCTCGTCCGCAACATCGCCTTTCAGAAGGCCGTCGCCGTCCGCTTCACCCTCGACGACTGGCAGACGACCAGCGAGGTCCTCTGCAGGCACGTCGTCTCCCTCCCCAGCCTCCCCCCGCCCTTCCCCCACCCGAGGACCCTCGGCGACGTCGCGGGCAGCATCGCCTCCGGCAGCAGCCCAGAGAAGGAGGAGCAGCTCGTCCCGACATGGGACAGATTCAGGTGCGTGCCGCGCGGTTCCCTGCTAATAGTTGTTTCCTGACGAGTCCCCCCTCGCTGCAGCTTCGTCATCCGCCTCGAGGACTACGCCTACAAGCTCGGCGAGCGCACCCTCTTCCTCGCCGCGCGCTACAACCCCGGCTCCGGCGGCGAGTGGTGGGACAACAACGCCGGCGCGAACTTCCGCGTCGCCTTCCGCCGCGCCCCCGCGCCGTCCTCGTCCGCGCGCACGTTCGAGGGATCCCTCGGGCTCGCGGGCATGGGCCTCGGCATGGGGCTCGCCATGTCGCCCCCGCCACCCCACGCGCCGTCCGCCCACGCGCACGCCTCTTCCAGCCAAGCGCACGCGTCGCCCACCCACGCGCAGCAGCGCACGTTCAGCCCGCCCAGCACGCTCCGCGCGACGCCCCCCACCGGCGACCCGGGCCCGTCGGGGCTCACCCTCACGCGCCCCGCGGCGCCGCCCGCGCTCGCGCGCTCGCACTCGTCGCCGTTCCCCGTGGCGACCTCGCCGCCGCCCCCGCCGCGCGTCGTGCAGCCCGAGGCGTCGCACCCGTCCTCGCCTGTGCTGCGGTTCGTCGCGAAGCGGCTGAGCTTGTCGAATTATGCTGCGCCGGCGCCTGTGACTGTCATTCACGACGCGGAGCCGCAGGAGCAGGAGCGGGGGAAGGAGAGGGAGCAGGGGGCGAAGATCGCGTTTGCGGGTGTGGACGGGGAGATGGTCACGCCGCCGTTGACGCCGCCTGGGAGCGTGCGGGTGCGGCGCAAGGCGCTCGTCCCGCCTGCGAGTGAGGTGCAGCGGGAGCCGCAGCAGGAGCCGAAGAAGGCGGCGTCGCCTCCGCGCGAGCTTTCGCCGCTGGAGTTGCCGGCTGCGGCTTTGACTGTGTCGCCCGAGGGCTCGGGTTCGGAGGAGGACAAGGCGGCGGGGGAGGGTGCGAGTGCGAAGAAGACTGCGAGTGAGAATGAGAAGCCGGGGATGGAGATGGGGATGCTGAGCCCGCCGAGCTCGCCTGTGCGCGGCCTGGGGCTGCAGATCGAAGAGCACGAGCAGGAGCAGGGGGAGCGTGGGCACGAAGAGATATTTGGAGAGGTCGACGGTGTTGTGGGCGTGCGTGGAGCGGAGCACGAGGGTGGACGCTACGAACATGAGGATGCGGAAGAGCGTGACCGCGAGCACGAGCACGAGGCGCGCGATGGCAGGCACCTGGACGATGACTTTGGCGAGCACGAGCACGAAGAGCACGAAGAAGAGGAGCACATACCGGACGCCGACCGCGACTACGCCCGCGCAACGGCCGCCCCCGCGCCCCCCTCGCCCTTCCAGTCCGACTCGTCTTACGCCGCGCTCATCCGGCAGTGGTGCTTCGGCGGCGCGTCGCTCTCGCCCGCGCCGTCCCCGGCCGCGGCGACGCCCCCGCCGAACGGCAACGGCGTGCTGTACGGCGCGCGCGCCTTTGGGTACCCCTCCTCGGTGGGGTTTGGCTTCCCGGCGGCCCCGGACGCGGGCATGGTTGGCGGTGAGTGCTCCTCCCCTCCCCCGTCCTCCGTGTTGGAGGAGTGAGCCGGGCCCCCGGGGTGGGGGCCGTGTGCGCAGTGTGCTGATCTCCGCTTGCTTGTTTTGCAGCGCACATGCGGTGAACGCCCCCCCCCCCCTCCGAGCGCGAGCGCCGGCGCGGGTGCACGTAGTCGAGTCCACGATCACGAAAAGCGATGAAGTTCACGAAGGATATACGCCCGTCTCGATGTTGTGTTATACTATATGAATGCTTGTTTCCGGTGCTGCCGCCGCTTGCTGTTTGCTGTGAACGCAGAAGCGGCCGCGCGTCCTGTCTTTGCTCGACCTCCTTCCTTTTCTGCGCGCCCTCCCGACGCGCGTGACCCACCCCCCCGGTCCCCGGTGTGCGAGATCCGTCCGAGGGCGACACGGAGCGCTTGCGCTGTGGTGCCGCTTTTGGGCCTGCGGATGGCGGGCGTGGGCTGCGTTTTAGCGATGTACGTACCGTCGTTTATCGCCGTGCGCCTGCTGGCCGTGATGCTCATATCTGTCTGTGATGCCCGTAGGACGTCTCTCCCACCGCTTGTCGCGCGCGTTTGACCCACCACCACACTTTGCTTGGATACGCGAATTGGTTGTCTTTCTTACCCGTCTCCCTCTTCTTCCTTCTACTCCTCCCCCTCGTCGCGCGGAGGATGACGCCTCCGCAGAAAAGGACCCGCGGTCCACAAAACGTAGATGCTCCCGTCCACCCCCCGCTCCTCTCTCACTCGTTCGACTTCGTGTGCGTGTATGCTCGTGGGCTTGACGGCTCGACGTGTGCGTGCGCCCGGCTCGGTTACAATACTGTCTCGCTCGTCCGTATATCTCTCTATCCGTCGCCCCGTTGCTGGGGCGATGTCTTCTTACATCTCATCGTCTCGCCGTCCCGTCACATGTCATCTCTCTCGCCTCCGCCGCTGTGGTCTGTGCCCGCAGCTGGTGTACGATAATGTGTTTTGTGCTCGTCGCTTCTTTTTTTTTCTTCTCTGTGCGTCGTCTCGTCTTGTCATATGTACTACTACGCAAGCACCGCCCTCTATCGATTCGATATCTACCCGTCCCCCATCTTACACCATTTACCGACTCGTGTGCACTCCATTTCCGTTTCCCGTCTCCCGTCTCCCGTTTATCGTTTCTGCAATTTGGTGCCGTTGCTCTTTTTTGTGTACTACTACTTACTACTACCCGCCTATGCGGTTCAACACACACGGGACGGACAGTTCTACCTGCGCGCCCACCCACAGAAGACGTATCGCCGCTCCGTCTCGCGTCTATACACGATATACATAGTACATCTGCTCTTTTTATCGATATCTCTGCGTTTCTTGCTTGCAGCTTTTACCTACACACGGGTGTATTATACACGACGTACACATGCGCGGCACGTAAAACACGTATTTATTCGTAACCCGCCCCACGGTGGGCGGGGGCACATCCAACCTGTCTGTCTGTCTGTCTGAGTTACTACGCGTGATTCGGACTTGCCATGAGTGGTTGCATCTTGCAGTTCGACTTCCATGGGTGCGAACGGAAGGTGGCGCGAATGGAATGCGAACAGCCTCTCTCTGGCTTCGTACGCATGCACGGCACGTAACACGTATTTATTTGTACCCGCCCCATGGCGGGCGGGGGCATACCACCTATCTATCTATCTGTCTGCCTAAGTTACTACGCGTGATTCAGACTTGTGAGTTGCCATCTTCGAGTTCGCCTTCCATGGGTGCGAACGGAAGGTGGCGCGAATGGAATGCGAATAGCCTCTCTCTCTCTGGCTTCGAACGAACTCGCTTCTCGTTTTAGCGCGGAGGCCACCCAAGGTCCTCCTCCTCTTCTGTGCGGCTCGCCGTGGGCCGTCGCCGACTGCGCAATCGTCTTACGTCTTACGTCTGCGCTGGTATCCTTCACGTTCTCCGACTCTCGCACGCGAGGGCACGCGATCATATACGCTCCATCGATATCTGTCAGACCTCGAATGGAGGCACAGGCCGAAGATGATCACTCGTGTGTGCATCATACGCTCGTCATGGGCCCGGGACATACATATGTAGTACAGCTGCTACCCAAGCGTACCAAGTCCGCCGCGGGACGGGGCTTCGCGAAGGCGGAGACGGTCAACTGACGGTGCGTGCGCGCACACAGTGGGAACGCGCGCCGTTTAGGCGATTTGAGAACGATGGTAAGCGTAGAGTTGGTGGGATAGACGGGGGGTCACGCGGCGCGGTTGCTGCTGCTACGTGCTTATCTCTGCGTTGCGTTGCGTTCTTCGGACAAGCTTTGCATTTGATCGATGAAGACTCGGATTGGCCGCAAGAGGCGGTCCTCACCGACTGGCTTTGAACTCCAGTTGTAGACGACTCGGCGGGTACCGCACAGGTGGGGCTGCGGCCGACCGTGACTGTGCAGTGCGTCCACATCCACAATGACATTCCACATCCGCGAAGTCTACCACAATCGAGAGGCGCGGAGGCGTGCGTCAATTTGGAAATCGGCTCGGGCAGGGCAGGGAACACACCCGGGGCCACATCTACAGTTCCAGAGGTGGCGCGCAGCTGCTAGATAAGCTGCGTTTACGGCAAGGTGAAATCGCGCACATCGCACCTGGATGATATGACGAAAGATGGCGATGACGGGTCGACGGGCGTTTCGTGGGTCGGTCCCGAGGGCGCGCCCTGCATGAAGAACGATTTACCACACGACTGGCAGCTGGCGCGCGCGCCTTGGAGCCCCACAGCGATCGCTCCACACCGCCCTCGTGGGGCAAGGTGAAAGCCTGGGATACGGAGGCGGTGGCAATCATGGCGCCGATTGAGAGCTGGTTCGTGACCAAGAATTCGGGGGCCCTTTATTGTGCCGTGGCTGGCGTCGATAAGAAGCACCAGTGACAGCGAGGCAAAAACACCCGGCGTCCGGGAAACGCTTGGTGGAACGCGTAGTGCTTGGAGCGCAGACTTCCCGACCGCCTTCCACCTTTCAAGTCTGGAATATTCGCTGTGAAATACTTGGCGAATGCGACGGTGGTGGGAAACCTATAGGTAATATAGTGCTGGCGACTAGGCCAGAATGATCAGGAGGGTAGGAAGCGCGGTCACCAGTGGCGGGCATTGTGCGGACGAATTCATTCTAGACAGAACGTTGCTCAGTAAGGCCAGAGTATAAGGGTGAAATTCGCACTGGGTTCACCCTTGTCGCGCTAGTCTGGTCATACAATTAGTCGGGCGACTTGACTTGACTCTCGGCCGAGGAGCAGCAGCACTCTCGCTGACACAGGCCGCAGTCAACAGACGACAACAGAGATCTGGTAAGGATCGAGGTTCTGCGGACGAAGGATCGACATAGAGGCCTAATTTGGCTAGGCCGCTAAGCCAGATCAATTGCTAGATCTGCAACTTTGCGGTTTTCATTTTCCAGCACGCACTTGGATACATGAATTTGCAAAGCTTGATGGTCCGCAGCTCGTGGGACCGATGGACGCGTTTTCCAGCGCCGAGACGATCACGTATGGTGACGGAAAAAAACAATTCCTGCCAAGGGGATTTAGGCAACTTCGAGAGAAATAGTATGGGATTGGAATCAGACAGACTGGTTTCTTGCTGAAGAGGGATTGGAGTGGGCTTTCATGGCTGTATGATGCGTCACAACGAGCGCATAGGTCACGACCATTCTATCGCTGACTTGACAACATTGCGAGCGAACGCGTTGCAACGCAGATGGTATTTACGATCCCGAACTGCCCCGGAAAGCATTTAAATATCCTTGCCGAGACCCAATCGAACGAAAGCGAACATACCGCACGAGAACTTTCTCCACTCTTCGCTCCTTCCACAGAGAACGCTCAAAGATACAGTTGTAGCCTAGTGGGATCGAGCCATGTATGTGGTCGGAAGAAAATCTAGTGCTAGCACTGTAATGCTAGTACGCTCAATCTCTCGTGAAGATTTGCAAAATTGAAGGGAAGACAAAAGGAACTTACCGGATACCACCGATCTCTCAAGCTCAGGATAGAAGATGATCTTGTACGCGGTCCGAAATTTTCAGCCCGGCAATTCGGAGGGACAACTGAAGAAAGTACAATATGACTGGGCCATGATCGCAAAATTTTCCCTTCAGGCGTCTGTATCGATCTGAAGTCAAATGACAATCACCAACACCGCATAGTATACAAGACTTTTAGAAGCACACCTAAATGCAATGCTGAGTGTGACCAAGGAATGATTTCTTGACGCGCAAACATATCACATCGCACCAGTGCCTTAAGGGCAGTTTTTCCTTCCGATGGACTTGAGGGAAAATTTTTAGTTGCATTCAATCCTGGCGACTGATGATCTTATGCCCTTCCTCGCTAGAAGAAAAAGACACAATCCAAATGGGATAGGCACAGCGATCTTGAACGAAGTAGCAGGAAATTGCGAGCGTAGTGAGGAGATATGTACATCCGACAGGGTCTTAAGTTTTACTCTCCCGTCTGTGATCATCCCGAAATCAGTCAGTTACTGGTAGCGAGAGATAGCATAGCGACAGTACCTTCAGCCTTTGAGGGCTTGTTCTGTCGATGGAAATGTCTCTTGAAGCACGACGCGGCTGAAATGACGGTGGATATTGATCAGAGGCATCTAATCCTGTACGTGGCTTCACTTAGTGGACTGTATGTGACAAAGTTGATGAGTTCGGTTTTGACCAATAATGCTTCGACCACGTCAGGACTCGCCGATTTGCCAGGTGCAGCTTCTTCAATCAGCAGTACGACCAAAATACTGCCAAAGTAGCTACAAGGCAAGTTTTGTAAATGCATTGCTATAGCCCAACCAGTGTAGTTACCCGCGGCGAGGTTTACACCTGATGATGGTTTCAGTCCTGCAACGAAATTCGAAACGTAAATGACGGGAAGCACAACCTACCTCTATCAACCGCTTACGCTGGCTCTGCTCACTTCCAACTACCGCACAGTTACAGCATTTCACAACAGAGTTCTGAGAATGTAGCTTGGACGAATGGGTGGGCACTAGTAAGCTTCAACCAGTATTGTTTACGCCAGTGGGCGTCTATGGGCGTTTAGGGAAACACGACGATCACGTGGGAAAGTTTAGCGGGGCCACGTGAGGACGCGACGCGACGCGCCGCACTGGCGTGACCGACGCGACGCGTTTGTTGTAGAACACGCATTTCCTTGTACGTACGCGCAGGTTCGTCCTTCATAAATCAACACGCGCTTCTGTCTTCTCCGTCTTCCGCTCTTCATCCTCCCCACCTTCTGTCGAGACCTCCCGTCGACACCGACATGTCCTCCCGCGCCCAACCTCTCTGTCGCAGCTCTTCTGCGTCCAGCATCGCATCTGATGATACGACCCAAAGCTGCGATACCGTCGACACCAGTGTCTCCTCCCAGAACAATGCCGACGTCATTCGTCGTACACGAAAGAGGTTCACGAACGTCCAGCTCATGATGCTCGAGCATCTCTACCACGAGACCTCCCACCCGACGAGAGAACAGCGCGAAGGTTTGGCAAGATCAGCAGAACTGTGAGGTGCTCCTCTGGATGTATCATGACGGGTCTCTCTTCGCTATTGTTTTTCCTTGCTCTATTGTTCCCCTTGTCACACAACGAGCAAACTAACGACGCCTTCCAGGGAAACGCGCTCCGTCACGGTCTGGTTCCAGAACAAACGTCAAACCGAACGTCGCGTCGCGCTCCACAATGCGACAACTGGTGCCCCACAGTCCGCTCTCTACTCCACCCCCTCAGACTCCACCAAGCACCCACGTCCAGCCCGACGCGCCTCGACCGACAAGCACACCCACACACAGCGTCCCCTTCTCGCCGGCCACCTCTCCCTCGACCGCGTCGCCGCGCGCTCCGAGCGTCCGTCAGCACCGTACCCCTCCCGCACGCCTTCTCCGCTCAGCACCTTCTCCCCAGCACCCACTGTCCCCACGACTCCCCCAAAACGCTCTGCCTCGCTCTGGGAGATGCTGCCGTCGTCGCCTATGGTGTCCCCTTCTGCGTTGGACCCCAAGGCGGAGCGCACCCTCGTCGACTTTGGCCGCCGCCGTCTCCACGGCATGCGCACGCTCGAGTGGGCATGCGCCGCGGCTCGTGTGGAGGGCCGTGTGGAAAAGGAGCCCGTGCAGGAGCAGGAGTCGGCAGAGCGCGAACCGTCCGAGGACGACATGGTGCTGGACCTCGGCGAGGAGGACGTGCACGAGGCAGTGGCCCCGAAGACTACCGTGTCGTGCAGGCTGCACAATGGCGTCGAGAGCGAGAAGCCGAACAAGGAGAACATCAGAGTAACGGCGACATTTGCTGTGTACGTCCCCGTGAAAATTCGAAGAAAGTCGGGGCGGGAGGCGCCTGAGCTGCGCGATGAGGACGTGATGAACGCTGCGTTGGCACTGTGCGGGCTGGGAAGGAGTTGAGGGAGCGGGTCAGTAGTATGTGCACGATTATGCATAGGCATATGCGCACTATGATCAACCTTAAGCATCGGCTCGCGTCTGCGCAGGCAGACGATGGCCGGATTTACGAACCACTAAAGTATGACGTTTCTTGTCGATAGCTGTATACACACTATACTTTACCGATGTACCGCTCCTTGACTTTATCCTCAATTGTAAAGCCTTTCGAAACCTAGCTGTGTCCGAAAGGATAGAAAGCCGTGCACAGACCATCGTCCAGAAGTCCTCTAGGGGTCATGCTGACACCAAGAATCCTCATGAGCAAGATTCACAACCGCTTCTGAGGGCAGAACCTCAACAATGATTAGTATCGTAGGATGCAGACATGAATGCAGATCACCCAAACGACATGAGAGCCAGTAAGCGTGAGCATCTGCAACCAAAAAATTAGCACGACACCCATCCGACCTTGTATAATATATATCCACTCTCGTCCGCCCTCCCCATCGACTCATGCCGGCCCAACCTCTCCATCTGTAAAATAGCCAACTTCAAATTACCCCCACCGCCCTCATGCTTAAAAGAACCGGTACTTGCAAGCGGGAACACCTCCGTAACGGTGTCGCTCATGCCTTCGTGCCGACCCGTTGGGCGGAGTGCGATAATGAGCCAAAATACGCCCTTGGGTGCAAGGAGACGCTGTACGCACGCGCGGATCCACTGCGGGTGGTGCGGGTGGTACACGACGTCCGCTGCGAGGATGACGTCAAATGGGGACGCGAGCGCGTCCTCGTATACGGGGAACTGCCAGTCCAGTGCCTGTAGGGAGATACACGGTGGGGACAGCAGCGAGGAGGACGGAGGGCAGGGGAAGTTGGCGTCGATGTTCGTTTGCAGATTCGCTAGGACTGACTGGTGGAAGTCCGTCGCGAGCACCGTCGCTGGGTGTACGTGAGGGTGCTGCTGCTGCTGCTGCTGGAAGACCTTTGCGGCAACGATACTCAGCAAACCCGTGCCTGCGCCGAGTTCGAGGACGCGCAAAGGATTGGCGGCAGAGCAGGACAGAGAGAATGCTTTTGGGTCCGCGCAGATGCGCTCGGAAAGGACGATGGCGCTAGCCCAGCTCTGCAACCCCACAGAGGTGTGGTCTGTGCTCAGCAGCGGCGCGTCGTTCAGTTCCACCTCAACCGGGTGCGCGCCGGGAAACGCGAAGATACGCGTAATCGGCTCTTCTTCTTCGTCGTCCTTACCAGTGAAGAACGCCAGGAGAGACGCAGCTGCGTCTACGAGTTCCATGCGCGCGTCTGAGTCAGCGGAGTCGGCACCGGACGCGACCCAGACGTCGGAGCGCGCGGCGAATCCTGTGAGCCAGCGAATCACAAAATCGCGCTCAAAGGAATCCGACCGGAGAACATCGACATCGAACTCGTCTGCGTGTCCCTCGCATTCATCCTCCACCAGTTCGTCCTCGTCTTCTTCGGCAGAAGCGTATCCGGAGTCGGGCACGGAAGTGTCGTGTATAACGTGCTTCGGAAGATGCTTTTCTGGGAGTGCAGCGGACTCAATAATTGGGGGTCGTTCCAAGTAGATCGAGCGGAGGTTCTGAAGCGCTTGGGTGACCTGCTCGGGCGAACAATGCTCGAGGCGGGCGAGCGGGGGCAGGCTGGATGTGGGCGAGGTCGGGGTCGGGATCGGAGAGACAAAATAGTGTCCCATCGTTAATATGCTCTTTTCTATCTTCTATAACTTGGAGTATATGCGTACGAATTGCCTGGATCGTCTATGGATATAGGTGCTGGCCGGGAATTTGAGCAGCAGGCTCGGTGCGTCTAAAGGGTATTTTCTAGTTTTTGATGCTGGGCAGAGCAAGAGGACGGTGAGACAGCCAAGGGTATGCGTAGAGGCCTGACCCTTGGCCGTCATTCATCCTCCATGAGGACAGGCATGGTGATGAGAGTAAAGAGACAAGAGGCGCAGGCGCACCGCGCGCCGCCAGAAAATGACAACGTTGGAAAGAAGTTTTTAATCTTATCTCATGCGGCTATCTCCGGTACGTAGAGGCTCTTGGACAACAACCGTAAACTCGTCCTACGAGATCGAGACAGCATTCGTCCTGGCGAAGATTCACAGTTTCACTATGTCAGCTGCGATAACCGTCACCTACGAATTGCATCCTCCTCCAGACACACTTACAACGGGACTGTTAAGCACGAAGACCCACCAGTTCCCGGTTGCTGACGGTGTGCAGTCGGGAAAGGAGTATTACGAAGCACTCAGGCGGGCAGTAGCCGATGCTAAGAGTACTCTTGGGGACGAGCTTACAGCATGGAGGGATGCTGTGGGAACTCGTGAGCAGGAGAAAGAGAAGAAGTTACCCGCGAAGATTGAAGAAGACGACGAAGAGGAAGAGGAAGAGGAACCAGAGGAGTGAGGTGGACAGTAATATCGCATTGTGCTACTTGCGGCATCATGCCCAGTATCGGTTCGTGTCAGTACTACCTTATTCCTTCCGCCCAGATTGACATTATTGTTCAGAGGCGCCGTCAATTGGCGATCAACGCGATTTCGTGGAGCATAACGCGATCGACCAATATATGGCCGAAGTAAGCCTGGCGGGTGGGTCATGACCAACCTCCATGAGCAATGAAGACATGCATATGTGACTGTCGAAGAATCCAGCCAACTGAATTCTATATGGCGTCTTATGTTCAGTCAGAGACCCGTGTGTGGAGGAATAACTTGAAAGCCGTACGACAGACTAGCACAATTGCAGAGAGCCCGGTGTACGTCGAGACAACAGGAATATAAGTCTAGTTACTGCGTTTCTCCTTGCCCCGAGGCCTCTCGCGCACCACCATTTTATTACTATTCTTCGGCCCCTTGGGACCAGGTTTACGCGTCCGCTTGCCCTTCGTCAACCAGCCCCAGATCGAGCGCGGCTGCTTGTTTCCTTTTGACTTTCCACGTCCACCTCCATGAGGATGGTCACATCTACTCCAAGCATCAGATAATTTTTAGGACTACAGTGTAACAGATTAACGCACCTGTTCATTGCCATACCTCTGACGTGCGGTCGGCGTCCAAGCCAGCGACTCCGACCCGCCTTGCCTAAATTCCGGTTCTTCCACAGCGGGTTGCTGACCTTTCCAATGGTCGCGACACAATCCTGCAGCACCTTCCGCACCTCACCACTCTGCAGGCGCAGCTGCGTATACCTCCCGGAATCCTCGTGGGCAATTATCTGCCCGAATGCCCCCGCTGAGCGCACAAGAATGGCGCGACCCTCGGGGTCCAGCGCTATGTTATGGACGATCGTGCCGGTAGGGATAAGGCGGAGCGGGAGAACGTTTCCGGGCTTGATGGTCAACGCACGCAGCATACCTAGCGCAAGCGAGGACGTCGAGGAGGACTGCGAGGCCTGCAAGGCCTCCTCCGGGACCTCGAGCGCCTTGCCGCGCAGGTTCCTTGAGTCGACGTAGCCGGGGACCAAGCCATCCGGGATGCCCTGGCGGAAGCTCTGCACGACATGCCCCGCGCGCAGGCCATCGCAGGCGAGGATGTAGCTCCATGCCTTTCTGCCGTCCACGCTCGCGTCGCGGTTCTTGATGAGCGCGATGTGTGCCGAGCGTCCCGGGTCGTACTCGATGCGCACGACATCGTGCGGACCTGGCTCGGTGCGCATGAAGTCGACCAGACGGATCCGCCGCCTATGCCCGCCGCCGCGGGAGCGCACGGTGATGTGCCCGTGCTTGTTGCGGCCGCCTTTTTTGCGGAGGGCGACGGTGAGCTCTCGGAGGGGGCGGCCTTTGTAGATATGGGGGTTCAGCGGACGCTTGAGGTGGCGGATACCAGGTGAAACGGGCTTATATGTTTTGAAAAGGACAGAGGTCCGTGTCAAGGCTGCGTTGATCTCGCTGGGCTTCAGCTGCTGTGTCGCGACCTCGGTAGCATATTTGCGCGACCAGGAATTTGTCTGTGAGAGAATGCGCGAGCTGGAGGACGAGGATGGAGAAACGAGAGAGGAGAAGTAAGAGCGAAGCAAGCTAGCCCCGCATCGTGCAGAAAACATGCCACCGTCGACGCTCGTCGCCGCTCAAGTCGATGAGGTCGCGAGCGCTTATTTGGACGACGCGTTTCTCCAGTCGCGATCATGGTATGTCCGCGCCCCCATCCCCTTCCCGACTCTTTCTGTTCTTACTCACTGAAAACATTCGATATGTGCTTTTATAGGCCGCACAAATTGCTACGGGAGCCTCAGAGCTCCGGGACATCACAAAAATGGAGCGGATAGGTGCGCCACAATTTTCTCTAACTCCGGTCCGCGCTCACTCTATGGCGTACTACAGGTGCACACTCGCACATCCGTGGACTAGGCCTCGATGACCGGTTAGAACCTCGCGAAAACTCCGAGGGTATGGTCGGGCAGGCAAAGGCGCGCAAGGCGGCGGGCATGATCCTCAAGATGGTACAGGAGGGGCGCATAGCGGGACGCGCCATGCTCTTCGCGGGTCCACCCTCGACAGGGAAGACTGCAATCGCGTTGGGTATCTACTTTGCAAACCTGAATTGTACTGTAAGCCGTGCTGATATGACTGCATTCAGGTATGGCGCAAACGCTGGGTCCAGATGTCCCGTTCACGATGATCGCCGCGAGCGAGGTTTTCTCGCTGTCGATGTCCAAGACTGAGGCGCTCACACAAGCGTTCAGACGGAGCATTGGAGTGCGCATTAAGGAGGAGACGGAAATTATTGAGGGCGAAGTTGTCGAGATTCAGATAGACCGGAGCCTGACCGGCGTGAGTGCCCATGCAAATATCTTGCGAACGGTGCTCTGACCTGTTGTAATCCCAGGCAACAAAAACAGGGAAGCTAACCATCAAAACTGTGGATATGGAGACCGTCTACGATCTCGGTACCAAAATGATTGACGCATTGTCAAAAGAGAAAGTCACAGCAGGAGACATTATCGCAATTGACAAGACGTCTGGAAAGGTGTCCAAACTCGGACGGTCGTTTGCACGCTCCAGAGATTACGATGCGATGGGCGCAGACGTATGGCTTGAGAATGCACTCGTACAAAAAATGCTCACTGACATCTGCTGTGGATTTCCAGACCAGGTTCCTGCAATGTCCAGAAGGAGAAGTACAGAAGCGAAAGGAGGTCGTGCACACTGTTTCCCTTCATGAAATCGACGTCATCAACAGTAGGACGCAGGGTTTCCTCGCCTTATTCGCAGGCGACACGGGCGAAATCAAGCCGGAGCTGCGCGATCAAATTAACACCAAGGTTTCGGAATGGCGAGAAGAGGGAAAAGCGGAAATTATCCCCGGTGTGAGCACACATATAATTTGGCCTCCAATCCTCGCATTGATTTTGCGCACGTAGGTCCTTTTCATTGACGAAGTTCACATGCTTGACATCGAATGCTTCTCTTTCTTGAATCGGGCACTTGAGAATGAGTTTGCCCCGCTTGTAATTATGGCGTCCAACCGCGGCATGGCGCGCATCCGCGGCACAACTTTCAAGAGTCCGCATGGGCTGCCCGCCGACCTGCTCGACCGGGTGCTTATTGTCACTACGCACCCATATTCCGACCATGAGGTGAGGCAGATCATGCAAATACGGTGCGTCTATCCCGCTCTTGCCCCGTTCCCGTGGTCTCTGAGTCTATTATGGCACAATGTCGCAGATGCGCGGAGGAAGACGTCACGCTTAGCCAAAAAGCAATCGATGTGCTCGCCCTGATGTCGAAGGAGACCACGCTGCGGTATGTGCTGAACCTGATCTCGTGTGCCGACACACTCGCTCGCAAGCGCAAGGCGGAAGTGGTCGACATCAACGATGTGCAGCGGGCGTATTCATACTTCATAGACGAGAAGCGCAGCGTCCAGTGGCTGAAAGAGCAGCAAGGGGTGGTGTACGAGGAGGGGGAGTCCTACATCTCGGCGAAGAATGATGTGATGGACCAGAGTTGAGCGGCACAAACGCAATTGGAGGCCAGGGTGTAGTGCCGCGTAGTGTATATTTTGGTGCGCTCATCCTCTCTTCCTGCTGCTGCGCATTCGCTAATGGCTTTGGGTGGGAAGGTTTGCTTGTTCGTCACAGGTACTTCTCTCGTATCGCATGGCAATGTCATTGAAATGAACATACGAAGAGACGGTAATTATCCGCGTCGCCACGAAGCCGTCAGATAAACTTTGAGTCTGCTAGCGCCATCGTTCCTGCACGTTATCATTACTGATCCAGATCCGAACCCGTGCCCAATCACTAATGTTGTCACGTACCACGCTTGGTACCACCGCATCTCGCGGAACCTTTCAGTACATTGGCAGCTGACGCTGTCCAATCATGACCGACAGACATGCATGTCTTAAGGCGGAGTCTTGGAGCCAATAGCAAGACGTTCTCTGACCTCTCCGGCCTTCCGCCGACCACATCGTTCTCCGGGACGTTCCAACGTGCTCGCGGTTCGAAACTTTACTCTTATACTCGACCAGCATGGTAAAGAGCGGGTGTATCACCGTCGTTCACGCTAGGGATCTGATGCAGAGTGCCCAGGTATTCCACCCCAATCCTGTCAGGAGCCTGTCCCGGTCTGCGCAAAGCGTTACGGTGCGGTCTGCGCAAGGCGTTACGGCGCAGTCTGTGCTGCGAGTCGACGAAGCCTTGAGCTCGAGTTCCGTGAGTCTCGGAGCTGATTGGTACGTTTCTTTTGCAGCAATGTCCTGACTATCTACAGCAGCGGCTCGACGGGCGTTCGACGTCGAGGAACATCCCCTCTGCTACCCCTTCTGAAACAAGCACGCTAGTATGTTTCATGGGCTGCCCCCGCTCGCACGAATGTCCCTGACCCATCGCTAGGTTGATTTTCCTCTCGCAGACGATGGGTCGACTGGATATGTCCAACAGCAACAACCGCCGCAAGAGGAGGCCGCCTCAGATGTACGTTCATTCATCTTGTTTCGTAGGTCGGCCTGTTGAGTCACCTCCCCCCTCGCAAGGACTCCGACGATGCCCTCGACGAAGACTTCCAAGCGTGGACTATGACGAAGAAGAAAAAGAAGACCGCGACACGGATGCAGGGCCGCGCTGATGCTGCGCGCACATCCAGGTCCACAGATGCGCAGGCGGCGCGATCCTTCGTCCGATGATCTGGGTCTCTCGATTATGTGGGATTCATGCATGCTGATGCTAAGAGGCGAGTGCTAGGGTGCCTGGGTGTTTCAAAGTAGAAGTGCGCCTCACCCCGGCGGCTGTGGGGGTATTCTTCAAGTGGCAGTGGGTAGCAGGGCTTCCCCGTCTTTCTAATTTGGCAGGTTTATTTTGTTCGTCAACAATGTTTATACGGCTTTCTTAAATTTCGGTGGAGTTACTGGTGCAACAACAATACGACAGATAACACATGAATATCCACTCTGCATGACGAGCCTCAGTGACTGCAACCATCAGAAGAATTGAATTCATCGGTGCCTTTTCATTTCAACGTCTCATGATCACCACGAGGACAACCATCAGAACCTTATCAGCATTCACCGATGGCAGTTCACCGCAACGTCATGATCACATGAAGATGTCTGAGAAGGGAAAAACATTCATTGAAGTGCCACTTTGGATGGACATAAACATTATAGTTAACTCGTGAACCCTAGCTTGAGCCTACACGTTCATAGCCTAGTGACACAACCGCAGTATAATGTACAGTGCCCGGTGCGGGACCGAGCGAGAGAAAGGAATGGGGGCACAACGAGTAGAATAAAAAGACGTCGAATGTATGGGGAGTGTCTCACAGCTTAGTACCTCTCGCCCCGGAGCCGGCGAGCCAAGGCCTGTGGTGGGAGAGTGAGTTGCGAGCTTAGTAGATGCAGAAAGAAAACATACGAGATCCTTGGGCTGGATCGTGACACGCTTGGCGTGGATAGCAGCCGAGTTGGTGTCCTCAAAGAGGGACACGAGATAGGCCTCAGCAGCCTCCTGCAGAGCCATGACGGCGGACGACTGGAAGCGCAGGTCGGTCTGTAGGTGGTCACGCACGTTCAGTCCACCATAGAGGTAAGGGGAGCACTGTAGCACTGACCTTGAAGTCCTGCGCGATCTCGCGAACGAGACGCTGGAAGGGGAGCTTCCTAATCAAGAGCTCGGTGGACTTCTGATACCTCCGGATCTCACGGAGGGCGACCGTTCCCGGCCGGAACCTGTGGGGCTTCTTCACACCTCCGGTGGCGGCCTAGACCGAAGACAATAAACAGGGGACAACAGAAGAACAACAGGGGAAAACACCACAGCGCAGCGATGCCCACAACCCAGATTCTGAGAGTGAGTAAGGTGCAGATAAGCTCCAGCGAGGATACGTACCGCTGTGGCCGTCTTCCGCGCGGCCTTCGTGGCCAGCTGCTTACGGGGGGCTTTACCTAGAGGACATCGTTGTGATGAGTTCACCACGATTTCTCGTGTCGAGAAGGGGTAAGAAAAAAACTAACCTCCGGTGGACTTGCGGGCGGTTTGCTGGAGGGCGATAACGACGGTCAGAAGGTGTAGCGACGCTGTGCGCAACGAATAGAACTTGCCTTGGTACGGGCCATAGTTATTCAAAGATGTGTTGGAAGAATAGTGGTTGATGGATGTGTGGAAGGGCAAGGGCGGGCTTGCTGGCGGGCTTGCGGCGGTGGTGGTTGCTGACGACGAGAGGCGGTGGGGCCTCGAGGGCTCTTCCACCCTTTGTTGAAGGTCCGATGGCCGTTTCCCACGCTTGGAAGGTTCCAGTCAACAATCGTGCCAAACCTTGCCGCTTGGCGCGTCTCCCCCAGTGGAACTTCCGCCTCTGTTGCTATCTTCCGAATTCTGCACGCTCACCACCTTCCATCCTCCTCTATATATTTTATATTGATCTCAATTCCTTCTAAGCACTCCTTCGAGTGTTCTCTGCGTCTTGGAGTGTTTGTGTGGCAAAACGCAGAGGAGAAGACGATGGGACTTTCCATTTTTACCAAATGCGGATGCCGCGTCCAAACAAGTTCAAGTGCCACATCATGCCACTCATGGCTCTCGCCGGACATCTTCCTTGACCGGACATCGCGTCTGATCTGATGACCTGTGTGTTGTCGTCGCTTGCAGTTCGTTGAGAACTTGGTAGCTGGCTAGCTTATACAGTTTTCGCATATCAGTTAACTTTCATTGGTCGAGTTCAGTCTCTACCACAACTCGAGATTGGTACATGGGTTTGTCTCTTCGAATTATTCATGCAACTTGTACTTGACGGTCATTGAATAAAATCCATCTCCTTTTGTTTACAACACGTACGATACCTCATGCGGAATGAAGCTTGAAGGCTTCTGATTGGTTGTCTTGCAAGCATAAAGAATTCTGCGGTTGGATGCCTTGCACAGATGGTGCTGTCCGTGTGGTATCTTTTACAAAAAAGGACTATTGTACGTACATTGTCCTGTTGTTGTGGAGGCCACAGAATGCCCTCCGATACTATGCTTAAAGTGATTAGCAGGATTGTCTACGTCGTTTTTTTACGACACCTCTTAAGTACAGTATGTGCAGTGCCCATCCCTTCGTAGCACTGAATTTCCCCCTTCGCCACTGCTGCAGCATGCCGAGAGTCGGTAATTGTTCGTCATGTGGTGAACACCAGTCGGACTTGGATGCCCATCGCAGGGTAGTGCACCAGCCCAAGTGCAAGGTCACTATCCCTGGATCATCTGCCGTCAAGGTTGTCTACAAAGACAAAGATACCGGTCAGTTTCAATGTCCGGGATGCGATTACTCCTTCCCAAGCCCTCCGCCTTTGCAGGCAAGCCAGCCACATTGTCCTGCAGGGCTTTATTGCTGACCTTCCCGCTTTCAGATGCATGTGAGAACTTCTTGCAAAGGCTTCTCGGGGCGCATGACTATGACTGCTGGTGCAGCTCGTGTTGGTAGTGCTCCATATGGCCTTCGGTTCGTGGTTTCCCCTCCATCTGATGTTGCTCCCTCTTTTATCCCTCTGTTTTGACAGCCGCAGGGGCCGTCTGCCAGAAAGTGGGAAATCCATACGTGGGCGCCCTCCTGGACGGAATAAAACTCGGGTCTTCCATCCCCCAGTGGTCTCCGTGGATTGTGAGGAAGACCCCAATGCCGATTTAGCCAAGGACGAGATACAGGAGGCATCTAGCAATATTGGACTAAGTGATGATCACGAACTTGATCCCGACTACCTTTTTCCTCGACGTGGCCGGGCGCGTGCAGATGCAACATGTAAGGCACATCCTTCGGTCGCTTTGTTATACTCTCGCTGAATATTCTCTACGTGTCCTTCAAGTTCTCGTACCCCGGTCGTCACACAGATGCTCTAACGATGCAGCTAGGCACCATGATCAATTGCCTATCTCATCTCTGAGCCGTGTCGAGAAAGGACAAGGTACTCTTAGGAATCGCTCAGTCGCATCATCGTAAGGAGCTGTTCAATCTTCAGATTACCAGCAACTGACCTATGTCCAGCATGCCATCCAGTTTTCCTGGAGTATCAGAGCCAGAGCAAGGGTTACTGGCCAGAACGGCTGCACAACACACATCTGGTGAAGCACTCAGTTTACCAATAGCTCAGGGCTCTAGCCGTCCTCTGCTGGATGGAGCTCTGGCCGTCCACTCTTTTTTAGCAGGGCTCGCAAGGGATCTATCCAACGAGCTCTTGCCCGCATTTGAGGCTTTCGGGTGCAAGACTTCGCAGGATCTGGATGTGTTGTGTTTGATGGACCCAAAGGATGACTGGGGGATCCTTCGCGACTATCTCGAGAAACATCACAAAGTGGAATTCCTCTGCTGGGTTATCATCACAGCCGGTCTCGAGACGCGTAGGGCATCTCTCCCTGCCCCATTGCCTGCTGCTGGTGATGCACAATCTGGTTCTGCACCAATGAATGCCGTCTGTATGTGGCTGAGCAGGCTGAGACGCCCTCTACTTCGGCGTGCACCCCTTTTCTATGAGTGTGGACTACGGGAGGCTAGGGACCTTGATGCATTGTGTATGCTGGAGGCACAGTGGGATCCAGTGGTGAAGGATGAGATGTTGCGAAAAGGTCTGAGTCTGCTGGAGTGGCTGGTCATTAGAGATGGTTTGAAGTCAAGTGTGTCGAGCATGCAGTCCAGGTAGCTTCTCGTAGTTCTTTGTATGTAGTATGTTTTGGGGTGTCGTCAGGAGGTTGGGCTTCTCCATTGTGAGATACGATTGAGGAATTGTTCGAATTGGTGTGCAGTCGAGACGGATCCGGACTTGAAACTATCCTTGTCGGAAGTAGCCTTTATGAGTGTCTACACAATCCTATCCTCTCCTCCGTTCAAAAAATAATTATTCTGTACTTTACCATATATAACAAAACGAGCACCGGAGCGAGAATATCGATAGACTTACCTTTTGCGTCAGCACGGAGACATCGTCCCCAGATGACGTCACAACCACGGCTCTTACTGACGTCGGCCGCTGGCGATGGGGTGGTATAAGAGCTCGAGCGCGCCGTCTAATGACCCCCTCAACAACTTGACTTCCGTCTGTACACATCCATCTCGTGGAGTATTCAATCCCCAAGCCTTCCTGAACTTCTGAAAGCTTGTCTGGAGCGATGCAGCCTAAAGTGGGTAACCCTCAGGTGTACGACGACGGCGACCAGAGACGGTTCGGCTCCTACTCCTTGAAAATATTTTTGCTGACATGCTGGGCAGAAATGCCCCCAGAGGCGCGGATGCTCCCGCTCCGTTTGAAGCCGGCAAAAGGAACGCGCACGATATCCATGATCCCAAGTCAGTAACTCATTCACATATGAAACTTTGTCCGACGCAGACTGACGCATTGTTCCAGAGATAATCGCACCCTGGGAAACAGGCAGAAGCAGGAGGAGAAGGCGGAGCATGACCGCGACTTGGAGTTGGAGTCGCACACTGTCACCGACCCCCTCGAACCAGCACAGAGCCAGGGTCACAAGCCGTCGAGAGGAGCACAGGTAGATGCAGAACTGCAGCAGGAAGACGAGGAGATGCTGAAGAAAAAGGGATGCCCCAAGGACACATCGTAGATGAGCAGTCAAGTCACAGTCAAGTCACAGTCAATTGGTCGCGACTCGGAGCCGCGGTGGCAGTATTCATGAAGATCATGTACAAGTAGCACGGTTTCACAGCATCCAAAACGCAGCATATTTAGATACCGATACGACACATTCCCTTTGGTTCACCTGCATTGATATTCTCGCCGACGTCTCCCTGAGCTCGCTGCGTGACATCACCTTCGTGGTATCCCTTTTCAGTGACGAGCAACAGTACTTCTTCGAGGAGGGCGTCATTGATTGGGCGACCGTGGAGCACGTTCTGAACCGCTTCGAAGGCCTACAGACAGTGCAGTTTGATTTCGAACTTGTGGAAACTCGAGAGAGGGCAAGCTTGGGGGTACACCAGTGCCTAGAGATGCGCCGGGCGCAGATCGCAGCCTTGAGGAGCATTGTGCAGACCAAGTTGTCTGCACTGCATGCCAGAGGCCTAGTCTCCTTTCGGAGCAGCACAGGTATATCTTGTAGTGTTGTCTACGAACTCCTTCTAGCTGTTTTGATTTTTGCGAAGTTATTCTATGTAAGACTCGTGCAGTGCAGTTTATTCAATTATTCTGGACTCTGCTCTCAAACTTGATGATGTCTCGGATGTTTGCACCACATATTCGCATATTTCTTATTTCTGAAGCACGATTTACTGGTGCCATACCTGCTTCAGCCTGCTCATCGTTAACTCATATCAACTTCGAACGATCCAGCAGATCGGTGGACAAATTTGCGCCATTGTGCTCGCCGTCCTTGATGCCGCGGGGCACCACCTGTTCCCTGAGCGATATGTATTTTACAGAATGTATTCTTTGTCAGATCACTAGACAAACTGCATTCAGTCTTCCTTAGACTTCACGTCCACTGATCCAGGACCTCGTTTACAATATCCCAGGTGTTTCCAGTAACGCCCCATGTCTCTCCCGCACACTGGCCCCAGATTTCGAGATCCCAATGCTCTCCGATATCCAGCATTGCATCCGCAACCTCCGTACCGTTGTATGGCGTCCTGTTCTTCACGCTGTCCTCGAGATACGTAATAAATGACTCCCATCTCTGCGTGTAGTATCCTCCAACGAGGCCCGCCCACGCCTTCGACGCGTAGTCGTTGATCTCGCCCGTGGGTCCCCACAGGGTGATTTGGTTACGCGCGTTGTACTCCAGATAATTCGCGTATGTCACGTTGTTCCCCGCCCAGCTGCGTGCATCGGCGATCCAAGTACTGAGGAGGAAGTATTTGTTCGTAGCAAGCAAGGAGTCGAGCGTGGACAGAATAGCAAGCAGGGGTTCGCCAGCAGCGGCCACAGTATCGGGCGTGGCGTACGTGGAGTTGTACGTCGCTACGAGTGTATTGTACTCGTCAATGAACCGGTTGGAAAGCACTTGGCGCGTGACGTCCACGACGTCGTAGACGAACTCGGGGACACACTCGAGCGCAGGATTCTCTTCGACTGCTTGAACGAGGAGTCTCAGCGCGGGAACGATGGTGGTGGATGTGTCGTAGGGAATTTCCGTCGGAAGACCGGTGCGGTCAATTAGCCCAGTCAAGTTCGGTGCAAGCTCATAAATACTCTTGATGGTTGCCTGAGTATTAGGATCCTCGTTACTGTACACTGTCGAGCTGAGGATACCCCAAGCCTCCTGGGCAGCAGCGGGGAGGGGGTTAACAGGATATCGGCGCGACACCCAGGATGCAGTGTACGTGTTGATGTCCAAGGGCGCCGCAGACCACGCTTGGTCGAGGAGAATATCGTACACAATTTCGTTCCCTTCTTGGCCCTCCATCGTCAGGCCCATGCCCTTCATAGTGCTTCCAGGGTAATTGAACGCAGTGATCGGGCCTGTGGTCACCGCAGGCAAGTTACCTTCCATGCCGATGTTTCCGCCGTAGTCGTGCAGCTCGCACCAAATCCAGTCCTTGCCGAAGTACGAATCTGTCCTGTTCCACTGTGGAGCGGCCTCCGAATACAGATCGAGGATGATCATGCTATCGTTGGGAACGCTACCGAGGAACGCCTCGATGGCTGAGTTCGTCCAGAACGACTCGTTGATGAAGAATAGCCATCCTTGCATCATCCAGATGGCTTCTGGGTCGGCAGCGCGGAGGCTGGCGAAGGTGCCTGCAGAGACGCCAGCGAGGTAGGAAGTGTCGTTGGTGAGCGGGTTGTTCTCGTTGTACTGGTCTAGCGTGTAGATGTGCGACGTTACGTTGAAGTTCTGCTGCTGCTTCGTGATGAAGGACTTCTGGAGGGTAACGAAGAGGGGATCCATAGGCTCCAGGAAGGAGACGTTCGTCAAAGTGGAGGGATATCCAGACCATTGCGAACCGCGAATGATAGATGCATTCGGATAAACATCAGCCATGGCCATGGGGACAAATCCAGTGAACGCGGGCATGACAGGCGTCATACCGAGCTCGGACATGCGCTGGAGGATCTGCTGTTGGAGTGCATACTGGTCATCGACCCATTGCTGTGGCAGCTGGCCGCCCCAATTCCCTTGTATGTTTCCGAAGCGATTCCATGCTTGGAATGCCGGTCCCGAAAGGTAGTCTTCGATATCAGCTTGTGTCAGGCCTGCTTCCAGGAAGACTTGTTCGAGAGTGTATTCATATCCGACCCATGCAAGGGGCAAGTTCACTCCGCGCAAAGCAAGCCAATCGAGCTCCAGCGACCACTGGTCAAAATTCCACCAGACGCAAGTATAATCAAACGTGACCGTGTTGAAGAAATATCTACAACGGTGATATCGTTAATTACGGCATGGTTGTGGAGATAATAGATAGAGCTTTACCTGTATGGCACAATGGCACTTCCACTTACTGGGCTGCCAACCGGGGGAAGCTCGGAGGGAAGCTGATTCAGCCGCGAGCCAGTCCAGTAAATGTCGACACCTCCGAACTCAGTGACATACCTGTTAAGATATCATTCAGCCAGAGAGCAATATGTCCAAAGCGAAATACCTACGTGTAGAGACCTCTTGCGCATGCGCTGGTGGTGGTACAGTCAACGGTGATAGCGCCATCCGACCCGGACGTGTCGCTGATCGTGAAGACGTCCCCCTCGCCTTCGACCAGGTTAAAGGTGAATGAGTTCTGATGCTGGGGTATGAGACGCTGAACAAGAGAGTATATTCCTTGCACATCGCTCGAAGACGCATCAACGAGAAGCATGCCGAAGGACGCCAGAAGCAACAGCAAAAATACCCGCATCTTGGTGGGACGCTGGTGAGCTCACTGAAGACAATGTTATATCCAGCTGAATATATAGTGCAACGGGAAGACGTAATGGCCGTCATACGCACTTGGATTCCTGTTTTTGTGGAATTCTAAGCGATCATATCTTCCATCAGGGCCTCTTGACATGGCGGGCGAGACATGCGAGGGTTTGATGGCTGAGTAAACGCACCGCTGTACCGCTCACGGAAGTTATCTGTCTTCTATCGATGGCCGCGTTGGCGCTGCGCGCGTTTGCTACCAACGTGACCATGGCGTTGAGTATTGCCAGAATATATGTGGATGCAAAATGCCCGGCTGAGAAGATAGAATTGAATTTGGTTGGGATATGTAGATTCCAGGGATGTTCTTAGTATGTATGATGTTGCGGGGCAGTGCTGACACTGACAACAGGAACTCCCTGCTTGCGATGAGAGAGAACGTGGAGGAGAAGAGGGCTTCTCTGAAGTAGTACTTACTAGCATCCGTAGCAGAATGCAAATACGTGTCTGCACTCCAATATTTCATGCCCGGGATGTTCGTTGCCAGTGCGTGTTGCATGCCGCGTCACGGTACTCGCGGTGAGTCCTTGGTGAGTCTGATTCTGTCGAGGCGAGCCGTCGCGTCATGTCGCGTCTCTCCTCCATCTCCTATCTCTCATCTGTAGGATTGTTGGCTGTCGCTCTCTGACACCTAAACATATACTGTCTGCAGCTATTTTTTATTGCTCTGGTCAATCTTGGTCCGAGATCAAAGTGCAGCTATAGCCGCCAACAGCTCACAAGATGAATTCAGGTCGAGCCAGAAGTTAGCCCGAATCAGACGCCGGCTCAACGTCGGGATGGACCGTGCTGGTATGCACACTGCAAATATTTTCCGCGTCATATACTCGCCCCTCACTGATTACATATGTCGAAAGTCGGCAGACACTAGACGAAATCTCCACAAAAGATGGACCGAACGCAGGAAACTCCGTTGCAGGAGCTTTTGCTACCGTCACTCCCCTGAGTGGAGAGTGTTTAAATCCTGACCGCTCGCCCTCTTCACCTACCGCAGCCACGTCCAGCCCTCAAGTGCTTGTTCTTGTGCCAGTCGAACAATTTGAAGTATCGCAATGAGGACGGCCGAAGGGAAGCAAGAACAAACTGAAGGATGACGATACAATGACTGCAGACACTGATAAGCGGCGTCCAGAGCGTCCAAGAGGGAGTAGACCCAAGCAGCTAGCACGCAAAGCCGCCGAGGCGGGAGCGGTTGAGGTCCTCAGCGTAGTCCAGGACGTCCTCGGAATGTCGCTCCGGCGGCGCTGAATTTTCTCTGTTGAGACACTGGCGGTGCGTTCTCTCTAAACGTGGGTTTCAATCGTGTGAATTGACCAATCATTCACAGGAAAAAATACGTATACCGGGCGCCATGTCCCAATAAACTTTTGCAAGAGAGGTGTCGCTTCAGCCAACACTCCCGCCTGGTGCTTCGACGATCAATGCAGCATTGAACGCACAGTGACTCTGGCACGAGCACGCTCGCTCCCCATTCAGATCTTCTGACTGCTTCTGAGAGTCGAAATTCAATCATTACTGTCGTTCCTCACACAACACCGACACTCACCACTGCTAGCCTGACGATGTCTGTGACCCATGTGCCGCGCTCTCCAACGTTTCGCCTCCCTCCGTTCGCGTGATAATTTCAGATGGAGAACCTACTCGCGAAGACCAGAACGACGCATATACCGGATTGGCCGGTGATGGCCTGGGTGAAGACGAGGAGGAGGAGGATGAAGGTGAAGTGGACGCTGGTGTCCGTAACCGCGCGGAGAATGCGCGCAAGGGTTTGCGACGTCCGCGGACACTATGACTGATGAAAGCAGAAGCTTCACGAGGCCAAAGTCCGAGTTGCCCAGGGACTGCCGCACACCTATCAAAGCGGCTCGTTCTGGTTTTTCCATCCGTCTTCGTATTTTCTTTTGAAATGTAATGATCTCTTGCCCTCGCTACTGTACAACTCGCGGTTCTTCTTGTGGGACCCAGAACCACTCATGCCTGCCCTGTCTGCTCGACTAGACCTTACCGCCATGGCACCATTCCCTACCCTCGTCGAGTGGTGGACTTTGATCAATCTTTCTGGGTCATTAGATATCGGTATACACATGCCTACAATACTTTCTCAGATGTTTGTACCGCATATATCTTATTTCTGAAGCATGATTTGCTGGTCCATACCTACTTCGAACGATCCAACAGATCCTGAGGACAAATTTGTGCCTATGTCCTCAATGCTGCAGGAGTCAATGCTCTTTCCCTGAGCAACATATATTTTACAGATGTTTCCTTCGTCAGGTCACATAGACAAACTTCATTCAGTGTTGTTAGACTTCACGTCCACTGACCCAGGACCTCGTTTACGACATCCCAGGTGTTTCCAGTGACGCCCCATGTCTCTCCCGCGCGCTGGCCCCAGATTTCGAGATCCCAATGCTCTCCGATATCCAGCATGGCATCCGCAACCTCCGTACTGTTATACGGCGTCTCGTTCTTCACGCTGTCCTCGAGATATGTAATAAACGACTCCCATCTCTGCGTGTAGTATCCACCAACGAGGCCCGCCCATGCCTTCGACGCGTAGTCGTTGATCTCGCCCGTGGGGCCCCACAGGGTGATTTGGTTACGAGCGTTGTACTCCAGGTAATTCGCGTATGTCACATTGTTCCCTGCCCAGCTGCGTGCATCGGCGATCCAAGTGCTCAGGAGAAAGTATTCGTTCGTCGCAAGTAAGGAGTCGAGCGTGGACAGAATAGCGAGTAGGGGTTCGCCAGCAGCAGCCACAGTATCGGGCGTGGCGTACGTGGAGTTGTACGTCGCTACGAGTGTATTGTACTCGTCAATGAACCGGTTGGAAAGCACTTGGCGCGTGACGTCCACGACATCATAGACGAACTCGGGGACACACTTGAGCTCAGGATTCTCTTCGACTGCTTGAACGAGCAGTCTCAGCGCGGGAACGATGGTGGTGGATGTGTCGTAGGGAATTTCCGTGGGGTGGTGGCCAGTGCGGTCAATTAGCCCAGTCAAGTTTGGTGCAAGCTCATAAATACTCTTGATGGTTGCCTGAGTATTAGGATCCTCGTTACTGTACACGGTCGAACTGAGGATGCCCCATGCTTCCTGAGCAGCAGCGGGGAGGGGGTTGACAGGATATCGGCGCGACACCCAGGATGCAGTGTACGTGTTGATGTCCAAGGGCGCCGCAGACCATGCTTGGTCGAGGAGAATATCGTACACAAGCTCGTTCCCTTCTTGGCCCTCCATCGTCAGGCCCATGCCCTTCATAGTGCTTCCTGGATAATCAAGCGCAGTGATCGGGCCAGTGGTCACCGCAGGAAGGTTGCCCTCCATGCCGATGTTTCCGCCATAGTCGTGCAGCTCGCACCAGATCCAGTCCTTGCCGAAGTACGAACCTGTCCTGTTCCACTGTGGAGCGGCCTCCGAATACAGATCGAGGATGATCATGCCATCATTGGGAACGCTACCGAGGAATGCCTCGATGACTGGGTTCGTCCAAAATGACTCGCTGCTGAAGAATAGCCATCCTTGCATCATCCAGATGGCTTCTGGGTCGGCAGCGCGGAGGCTGGCGAATGTACCTGCAGAGACGCCAGCGAGGTAGGAAGTGTCGTTGGTGAGCGGGTTGTTCTCGTTGTACTGGTCCAACGTGTAGATGTGCGATGTCACATTATAATTTTGCTGCTGCTTCGTGATGAAAGACTTCTGGAGAGTAGCGAAGAGGGGATCCATAGGCTCCAGGAAGGAGACATTCGTCAAAGTGGAGGGATATCCAGACCATTGCGAACCGCGAATGATAGATGCATTCGGATAAACATCAGCCATGGCCATGGGGACAAATCCAGTGAACGCGGGCATGACAGGCGTCATACCGAGCTCGGACATGCGCTGGAGGATCTGCTGTTGGAGTGCATACTGGTCATCGACCCATTGCTGTGGCAGCTGGCCGCCCCAATTCCCTTGTATGTTTCCGAAGCGATTCCATGCTTGGAATGCCGGTCCCGAAAGGTAGTCTTCGATATCAGCTTGTGTCAGGCCTGCTTCCAGGAAGACCTGTTCGAGAGTGTATTCATATCCGACCCATGCAAGGGGCAAGTTCACTCCACGCAAAGCAAGCCAATCGAGCTCCAGTGACCACTGGTCAAAATTCCACCAGACGCAAGTATAATCAAACGTGACCGTGTTGAAGAAATATCTACAACGGTGATATCGTTAATTACGGCATGCTATGTGGAGATAATAGATAGAGCGTTACCTGTATGGCACAATGGCACTTCCACTTACTGGGCTGCCAACCGGGGGAAGCTCGGAGGGAAGCTGATTCAGCCGCGAGCCAGTCCAGTAAATGTCGACACCTCCGAACTCAGTGACATACCTGTTAAGATATCATTCAGCCGGAGAGCAATATGTCCAAAGCGAAATACCTACGTGTAGAGACCTCTTGCGCATGCGCTGGTGGTGGTACAGTCAACGGTGATAGCGCCATTCGACCCGGACGTGTCGCTGATTGTGAAGACATCCCCCTTGCCTTCGACTAGATTGAAGGTGAATGAGTTCTGATGCTGGGGTATGAGACGCTGAACAAGGGAGTATATTCCTTGCACGTCGCTCGAGGACGCATCAACGAGAAGCACGCCGAAGGACGCCAGAAGCAATAGGAAAAACATCCGCATCTCGGGACGCTGGTGAGCTCACTGAAGACGTTATATCCAGCTTCATATACAGTGAAACAGGAAGACGTGATGGCCGTCATATGCATCTGGATTCCTGATTTTGAGGCATTCTGAGAAGTGATCATGGCTTCCATCAGGACCTCTGGACATGGCGGGCGAAGTGTGAGAGGCACATGCGAGGGGACGACGGCCGAGTAAACGCACCGCTGTATCGCTCAGAGAGCTTATCTGTCTTCTATCAACAACTGTGTTGGCGCCGCACACGTTCGCTACCAACATGACCATGGATATATTTGGATGTAAAATGCACGAGATGATATAGAATGGTGTTTTGGCACTATCATGTGGACAAGCTGGAGACGAAGCTCTGGTTTTATCTAGCCTGATTGCAAGCTTGTCAGTATCAGTCGAGCGAAGGGGTTAACGGCACACCAATATTCCCGTCTCCGATCCGAACAGAAAGTAGCTGCAGCCCGTTCGTAAAGGTTAAGTATGAGTCGGCGTTAGGCCTGGATAATTTTACGACACGGTAAGGCGTCAGGACGGCGAGGAATCGATTGCCGAGCTAGAAAACGTCCGACCACCTAAGGTTCACGATGCGTAGAGAAAGGTCGATGAAGATGCAATATATTGAAGGCTATTTGTGAGACATGAGAGTACAGAGGGTTTTAAAATGTCACAGGGAGATGTCGACATGCCGCAACATAGAAAAAATGAATCACGACACTTCCTAACCTGCTTATGCCGAAGCCAAATCTCGAGAGAACAGGACTGGAGAGTCACTGGCACTGTCTTCGACGGTCGAGCGAGCTGACATCGAGCAGCGTGGCATATCTCTCTGAGCAAGAGTAGTCTGCGAAAAATTCCGCCTTATATACACTCTCGGCGATGCCCGTTCCCACGCTCACTCCATTTTCCGATGCGGCTGTGGCTGCTGTCTTGATCACCGACATCGGCGACGACGACAATGTTAAGGGCGAAGCTCACACGATGTGCGTCCAGTGTGCTCTTCTTACGATGCTGCTCACGAGGTAACTGCAGGTCCACGCGTTGTCGCGTCGTCGAGCTCGCTACCAGCATCGTTACTTCACACCTCCCCCGTTCTCCAGTCCTTCCGCAAACGTAGGTCGCGCGTTCAAGAACAGGCTAATCTTTCGAAACGCCAGGAGAGAGAGCGTTTGGAACAGACAGACCGTCCCCATATTGTTCTAGGGACGCGACCTAGCACTCCTGAGCGCTGGGAGAACAGCGACCTGGCGAAAATATTGGTCACAGAAAAAGACATTCTGGATTCTCCCGTCATGCCTCTCACCCCCACGCTCGAGCACGACATACAAACGCCAACCTACTACAATTACGGTCTCGGAGCGCAGGAGAGGGAGTTACTGTTCGAGACGCTACCTGTATTGTCGGTGGAAGGGACGTCTATGAGGCGGCCGATGGATGACCCAAAGCAGTTATTGGAAAACCACAAGCTTGCCGATGAGCATGAGCGCAGGAAAACTGTGATGCTGGCACGGCTAGTGGACCTGCGGAATGCAAATGCACGCGGGATTGCGTTCGAGAACCGCAGACGAATTATCTCAGAATTCTCTGAGTCGGGAAAACCTAATGATACGGGAAGATCAGAGGTGCAAGGTGAGCATACTCATAACTGCGAATGCGGCGTGGTTTATATGATGCTGTGTCCAGCTGCACTGCTGACACTGCAAATTCGGAACCTTTGGGACCATTTGAACAAGTACAAGAAGGATATCAGCAACCGTAGGAGCCTCCGCCGGCTGGTGCACCAACGAGCGAAAATCCTGAAGTACTTGAAACGGGTAGATCAAGACCGATACGACAATGTACTCGAGCGTCTTGGGTTGGAGCCTGAGAGTGTCGAGGGCGAATTGGTCGTTTAATCTGATACACGCTTCCTATGCTGTTTGCTTCTAATATTGACAGGTAGTGCCGTTCATTGCGTCTGTATTCAGGTACTCCGATTATTCTACGTTAGCAATGAAGTACCAGGTCTCCAGTTGAGGTACGTCGTTGGTATGGATACACATCGAGTTCGGCCGGAGTCTAGTGAAATATCGCCACTGTAGTGCCACGTTCAACTCCTTAAGGCCTTACTACGAAGCCTTGCAAAGTTGCAAAGCGCAACTCTTCCTCTGTCCATACTTCTTATGTCCCATGTCGTCATCAATCTTGCAATAGAATATGTCAGGTCGACCAAGGATTTCGATCACCATCACATCATCCTGGAGCTTCCAAAGTCGTATTCTTCACGTGCTCGGTATGCAGTCCTCAATGAAGTTCACGATCCGAAGAACTGTGTACGGGACAGGCTCTGCACTTGCATGAAGCCCGCGTCACCAACCTCCACCAAAGTGACGAACGCACACGCAAGCGGTCAAATTGAACAGCGAAGACTTTGACAGTGTCAGGGAGGCTTGGCGATGTCACACTTTCGGGGCGCAGACTCCCGGCGATGTAGTCGAACTCGGTCGTTAAACGTTAAGGTAGCATAGCCGCGCTGCACGCACTCGACCCACACGATTTCCGTTACCCCGTTGTACCGACCCGTTCCAAGGTGAAAAATCGGAGGTGCGTGATATCAGCTGCGGTCTTCCGAATGACTTCGCGGGCCGCTTTCATGCGATCGTCCCAATAGAAGCACTACGCGAGGGTGAGATGCAGATGTCGTAGGCGTGATCGTCTATTCGTGGGCTAGATACCGATCTTCCCGAGACCTGTATTCAAGAACCTGTGTGCGAACTGCATGGGCGTGAACTCTCCACGGATGATGGGTTCTACCAACCAGGGCAGTCACGTTGTGAGAGGCTCCCGAACGAGATGGACGCTGCGATGCGGTGGACAACATGTCACAAATGTCTTGAGCGTTGGAGCTACGGAGCTCAAAATTGTGAGAATGGTATGAATATCCTCGATGAAGATGAGATTCCGCTGAGCGGCTAGCCGGCGGTATGGTCAAATAGGTTGCAGCCTGAGTGGGCTATGCACACGCCGCGTTCTGTCGTCCCTCGGAACGGATGACGATGCAGGTGCACGAGTCAGGCGGCGAATAGTGGGCACTGCAGGCGATCCTCTAGGCACAATCGCATCGAAAGACTCCGTTAACTGCGACGAGTCTCTAAACTCTGTGTATATAATTTCCTTCTGCCAATTCAATTTAATGTCGACGTCGCTGCCATGCATGAAAATCGAGATAACAAAATCACCGACGTAGTGGACAAAATCCTATATAATTATCTTAAACTTGACACACAACAGTTTAAATATTATGCCATGCGCACAGTGACCAAGGCAGGAAGATCACCCAACTTAAGCGGGCCGATACGGCTTCAAAAGCAAGGGCATCTGAGCTCCCTTCTCCATCTCACTGCGGACTAGCGGGCGGGAGACGATAAGAGCCCTTTTCACGATCTCCTCCACAGGCAGGGCAAGCGAGAACTCGAAGGCTCGCACGAGTGCGAATATTAGACATTTTATTCTGCGGCGAGGGCGTTAGTTTGTCCAACGTACAAAGAACGGGTGAAACTTACTCCACGATGGCGAAGCGGTAACCAATGCAGGAGCGGGGGCCCCCATTGAAGCTGAGTGTGTTACCCCATACGCCCGAGATGCTGGCTACGGCGTCTGGCACGCCTGAGATCCAACGTTCTGGCCTGTTGGGAGGACATGAAGACGGTGAATAATGTGAAGCGGGTGAAATCATACTTGAACTCGTGGGCATCTTCGCCCCACAGCGATTTTGCCCTGCTGAGAGCCAAAACGGAGATGAATATATCACTCCCTTTGTCGATTCTGAAGACAGTACATCAGACAGCGAATATTTACGAACACGTCAATGGCATATACCAAACGTACCTGATGTAGTTGTGCGTCTGTCCTCGAACGTCAACGAAAGGTGTCTCCAGAGGAATGACGTCGTCCCGAGTCGCCACCCTGAAAATAGCAGGAATCGGTGCGTGCAGTCGCATCGTCTCGCGCACGATGGCATCCAGATACGGCAGGGCCTGCACTTCTTCCATAGTCGGATTCTCTGTGGGGACGCTGAGGATCTCTGTGCGCAATTTCTGCTGTATTTTCGGGACTTGAGCTAGAGCCCAGAGACACCACGTAGTGGCGTTACTCGTCGTCTCATGTCCGGCCGCCAAAAATCTAGGAGAGAGAATTTCTTAAGTAGGAGGAGCGACTCATCGCGACGAGAGACATACGTTGGCACCTCTGTAAGATTAATTTGTGAGAAGAGAAGGCGAATTAGGATACAGTGACGGGAAACTCACGAGCTAAAACCTCATTATCAGAGAGTCGCTGACTCTCCGGAACGTTAGGCGACATATTGGCCTTGATGAGCAGAGTCAGTAAGTCACGGTTCTGTAATTCGCCACCCTTCGAATTTCCTTGCAGTGCTTCGACGACAGCCATCTTTTTGTCCGCCACCAGCTGCATACCGATTCTCTCCATCTTGGTTCGCGCAGTAACGACTTTCCTTGTTACTTTGTCAGGCTACAAAGCGAAAATAAGATAAGGCTAGACACGACGTATGGGTCTTAAAACGTACTAAAATGCGAAACACAGAATAATTGGCTTGCAACATACGTATGACAGAGAAGCTGGCGGTCGATACAGCTCTGAATGCTGATTTGAAGGCTTCATTTAATTCGTTGGCTGCGCCACTGGGGTTCAGAGCATCGAATTTGTAGTCAAATCCTGACGGAATGAGGAGGTCATTTGAGTATCGGTGATAATTGACAGAGCGTACCAGCTATTCCAATCACGTCCAGAGTCATCCTAGACAATCCAAGGGACACGTCAAGTCGAACTGGGTCTGCACTCTGAGAAACCTCCGCTGCCCAGAGATCTCGCAGCTTTCACGATATGGTGAATCATCGCGACAGAAGGGAGGGCGGGTGCATACCTCATTGGCCTTCGCCATGAAGATCTCAGTCAGATCACGCACTTGAGCAGAACCAAAGGCAGGGTTCTGGAGTGCAGAACTCTTCTGTGAAATTTTATTTCATGCAAGTTATGATTCATACCATGATCTTTCTCTATGTGGGGTCGGGAAAGAATAATTGAACCATACGTTCGATTATGACACAGAGCGACTCACCTGCTTCCTATGTTGTTCATCTTCATACGCCACAGTGAGCTGCAGCTTTATGGAACGAAGACTCAAAAAATACCTTCTACGACCACAAGGCCTGCAAATATGAACGTGAGTTTAAAATAAATAAAAATAGGATATGATTCCATACCATTACCGAGCACCCTAGCTAGATTGTAACGAGCTTCTGCTGTCTTGTGATAAATTGAGGGATGAGTGAGAATATGATTCAACGCCTTCGTATCCATGGTAGAGAGGCGATCGCTCTGTCCGATAATCAGGCATATTAGCGGTTTAAATACAAATACACGGGTGAGCGCACATTGAATAGCGTTTTATATCGGATGGTGGCACCGTACTTTTCGAACCACGTTTCATGGAGGACAGAATTGTCAGCATGAAATATCTCTTTCAGATTGCCATAGATCCAGCTCGAGCTAGGAGGACCGGGTAGATAGCGCAAGGAAGAGGTGTAGGGAAGGATAAGGAGATTGAGAAATTTCCAGAAAGCGAAAGCTGCCGTTGCTCCTCCCAGAGAGAGGGCCAATCCGTACAGACTAATGGCAAACATTGAATACCCAGTGTTTGTTAATACAAAATTTCAGGCCAGCGTCGACTTAAAAACCAGAGTAGAGAAGTGGTGGAGACAGGAATATGAAGGCCCTATGAATGTCTTAATCAGGAGCACTGGCTGGTTTGCGGTGCACCCTGAAACCGGCACTACCGCATTGCGGAAGGGTTTGAGAGGTGGAGTTTTCGATAGACTCGTCGTCATATCTCCCGCGCTCTCTTTAAAAGAGACCGAACGAACACAAACAAAAGGACCTGAAACAGCTGCAGGATTGTGTCGGCCCCTGTCTGCTCCTAACCATATCTCCGATCAGCAAAGGGATGAAACAACTCTGCTTCGTAGCTGGGTAGGAGAGTGAGTTCTAGAACTGCGGGTCGTGTTCCGCCCAGTTTTCGGGTCTTGGATTGGTCCCTTGTTGGTTCCGACGTGGTAAACGTCGCACGCGCTGCCCCCGAGTTTGACCTGATATCGCAGCTTGCAGCAGTTTCATGTTGGTACAAGGATCGAGGAGCCGAGAAAACGAATAGATTTAGCTGACTAGTGACCAATATGGCTAAGCAAGACGAGTCAGACCCTATTGTTTCAGTTGTGGATGTGGCTCCAGTTTGAAAACAAAAAAGCAGAAATAAAGAAATAGCTCTGGCAGTTGAATGTGAAAAGAACTTCACGATGACTTGATGCAGAGCTCTTCGTACATCAGCGCCCTTGGGGGATCGAGGCGACCGGTGACCGGCGGGGAATGTTCGATACCACGAGAGTTGCCTGATTTGGTTACGGATCGAGGCTGCCCTCGCCATTAATAGTGTATCTGCTGGAATGACTATATGTTCGTTGTTTCAGGGAGCGTTGACTGCCCTCGCGATGTGTTTCGTTTTGACTGCGTACATTATTTCTCACCCGACCGCAATGGTCGATTTTCCCTCTTCCGACTCTTACCTTTCGGTGAGTTTCTCCGACGACATTTGTTACTACCAGCGTTTCCAGCACCTCCCCTCCCCTCTCGTCTGCCCCAAACTTGGCGGATCCCCAATCCGTGGTCAGCACTGTTTCGTTCGAGTCATTTATCACAGCAGGTCCATCCATGCCTGCCGCAGCCCCGCCGATTTAAAAGAGTTCTGTGAGGGGAGCTTGGCATCGCCCCTCTTCCGCTAGACATGGCACGAAGGGGTGCCCGTAAAAGTTTGTCGCGACCTGTGGACGAGTCATGAACTAATTCTACGAGATGGAGGAGTCTTATGCCGAGGGACTGGAACTTATACGTTCAGTATGTGATATAATAGTCATTCCTCTCCTGGATCCTTAACTCCAGTCTACCACGACAGCCGCCACCGGAGTGACGCACTCTCGGGTAAATTGCTGTCGATGCTGTCGCTCATCATATGAGACAGCTCCACGGCGTTGATATCCATTAGCCTGGAAAGACCGAAGAGGGCGCTGTTTCGCATCGACGATGGGGCGGACTGCCCCTTGTCAGAGTGTAGTCCCCTTCGTGCCCGAGCTGCATACAGGTCCTGGATTACTTCCAAGAACACGAGCATCGCGGTTCTCACTCACGCAGTCTCAACGCATCGCGTTCATGACCCGTCGAGGACGGGGAGGTCATCATCGATGAGAGTGACGAGGGCCTACTGGATGACTCCCGGAGCGGCCTTGTAGCGATGCGGGGCTCAGTGCGCCTTCCACGCCGCGCAAAGAGAATACTGTGCACCGGCACAAGCACTTTTCACTGTCTGCCATAGAGCTGCACGCTAGTCCCGGTGACGGCGCGTCAGAACATGGGCGAGGGCCAGGGTCGCCGGTTTTCCTTGGTCTTGGGCAAGGGCGGGAGCATCAGGCATTCATAAAGTGGGGATAAACATCAGCAGGAGTGGGGGACGTTGAGTCAATTGTTGGCTCGAGGGCACGGCAGGCGAAGGAAGCAACTTGAAGACGATATCTCAGTCACGATCTCGGCCTCGATTTTATTATTTTGTCAGTCATGATTCCGTTGGACCCCATTCATGCTCATTCTAGTGTTGGACATGTGGGTCTCTTTGCATATCCTTCTCTTCCATCATTATCATTATGGGTTGCTATAGCTCAATGCAAGATACCATAGTATTCTCCATGATTCGACAGTAAGTGTACATGTCCATATTCAATTCTTAGGCTCTCAACGAATTCTCCGCCAGGTTCCTAGTGTATGCTTGCATCATATCCTCCCCAACGATATGTTCATTGTGACTTGTGAGCGCTTGAGCTTTGGGCTGGACATTCCTAGTTTCACAACGCAATAGGATTTCAAATGAGATGTCGGTCTCATGTCAGGATGCACGTTCTATCCCACTGTGCTGATGGAGAATCTTGCATCGCCGCCGATGCAGGTGTGCAGACTGACTCGTTATGTTACTTCTATGCCTCCCGAACATCGTCTGGACACATGGATGGCATCAATGTGACAGGTGGCGACTAGCTTCACAAACCACAAACACTCCGCTATCTTGCTATAGGACCATCTTTGGCAGAACACACAGCTGCAACTTGTTGTTGTTCAGCACATTAGTTAGAAGTTAGAAGGTCCGCCCGAAAGAAAACAGAAAACCCCGCGCATACCCCCGAAACCAGTGCCCCATGGGACAATCCGGTGCGGGACAAATTCGGGGCGTTGCCTGAAGTTACGTATTTTTATCACATTTCTGTAATAGCAGCTAAGAGACTGAGAGACAATAATGACGAAGCAACCCATCTGAAGCATGGCATTTAGTATCCTATTATTTCCTGGGTAAATCATGAACTGATCGGAGGCAACCTGCGGTAATCGAAACCCTACAGCATATTGTCTTGGAGAATGCTTCCTGCCTCGATAACACCAAAAAAACATTTCGGGCAGATGGAAAGAGACGCCAGATCCGAAGCGCCCAAGGCCCGATTCGAAAGCCCAGGAAACGAGAGCTGGCGCGATCCGATTTTGTTGCCAAGACAATGTACCTTAGAAGTCGGCTATTTCCTGCGTCTGTTCTTAGAGACCTGCTAAATAAGGAGCATTAATTGCCGAATGCGACTGCTACTCCACTTCGATCAAGAGTAGGCACGTGAGCGTCTAACCTTGGTGGACGAGAATTAGACGAGAGCCTCGCGGTCTGCTCTCACGGCTACGTATCATTTATATTCCCGCACATATAGCTTTGCTCCCAGTTTCTCAGCCTTGTTCGCGCTACCTCACCACCTCTACGCCCGTCGCTGGATGACCGGACGAATGTTCAATCTCAGCAAGAGGTCTCATGAGCGCAAGGCCAGTCTGCCGTTCATTCTCCCGATGACCTCGGAGCGACAAACCGGTAGTGTGCGCTCGATGTGGTCTGGTTGCTACACCAAACGCTACACTCGTGTCGCTCTCTGTGCTGTTGCTGGCCTGGCATTATATGCGTTCTTCCGCAGTCTTGACGGAGTAGCGGAGGTGGAGGAGTTCATAGAAGACGCCGTGGAGAGTCATCTCTTCCCACCATTATACACGGAGTACCATCAACGGGAGCTGCAGCTGCCTCAGCATAATCCGGATCTAACATACCCAGAAGGGCGGGAGGGGAAATACTTATGGACACCAAATCACGTACATGGTGCGACTGCTTGTCCTTCATTCACTCATTAAGTCCTGAAATTGGGATTCGCCGACAGCTTCTGGGTGGGGTAACGCAATGCAAGAGCTCCTGCTTAACTCGTTCTTGGCTTACAATTCAGGACGATCGTAAGACATTGCTGTTGTATCACGCGACCGGTTTGATTAAAATCCCCTTCATAGATATGTGTTTGACAATTATACATGGAACAGAGATGGATCGGATTACACAAGTTACAACGGAAGGCTCATCCCTTCAAGAATACCTCTTTCAGCATTGATACAAGGTATTCATAATTCTAAATTTGTGCGCTACTCAGCCACTGACGTCGGTCTCAGGTCCTGCCGCCGGAGGTCCTTTTCCGCGTGGTGATAAAGCCCCTCGCTCGGTTGCAAAGGAATATTGGGATCTCGTCTGTCCACACCCGACCATCGTCAGCAGTGATGAGATCACATATGCCGTAGATCCGGAAGCGTCCGCGCAGACACTGATGGACAAATGGGTGGAAAAATTGACTTCAATGGAAGACAGATGCATCGAGATAGACAAAAAATCCGGTCAAATGTTCTCCATCTGGTGCGTTCTCAGCTCGATGTGACCTTGTGTCGGCCCGCCTGACCTGCTTTCAGGGTGTTTGGATCGACCCGAATACTGGATATTTGGCCGACCTTCTCCAAGTCACCCATCGTGACCGAGTTTCGGTGGGCACCCCTCATCGAGCGTGCGGTCAATGTGAACCGGCATGTCTTCTCGCCATTGACAGGACTGGAACCGTATCTGCCGTCGTGGTTTACCCGGACTGATGATCCCTACGCACCTCTCTCGGGTCTCTTGGTACTCCACATCCGACGTGGTGACTTCGAAGACCATTGCATGCATCTCGCGGATTGGGGATCGAGGTGGAACGGCTTCAATTCGTTCCCGGAGCTCCCGGACAAGTTCGAACCTCTCCGTGGTGAAGGTGGCAACGCCTCAGAAGCAATGAAGCAGTTGTACATGCGCAGGTGTTTCCCGAGCATCCAGCAGATCGTGCAGCGGGTCGAGGAGGTACGACAGACGAAGGTGGCGCGTGGCCTGCGCAACATTTATATCATGACGAATGGTGCGAAGTTGTGGGTCAACGACCTCAAGACTGCCCTGCGCGATACGGGCCATTTCAAGACGGTCACGAGTAGCAGGGACCTGAGGCTGAACTGGGAGCAGAAGTACGTTGCTCAATCGGTGGACATGTTGATTGGCCAGAGAGCGCAGGTGCTCATCGGTAATGGGGTGAGTGGTTCTGCTCTGACATGCTCTGCCCCACTTCTGATAACTTCTGTGTAAGTTCTCGAGCCTCACATCGAATATTGTGATGCTACGCATGGCGAACAACAATATACCCCCAGACAGCAACCGCCTCTGGTAAGATCCAAGATATCCCGAGCATTGTCTCATCGTGTAGCACCTACTAGAATCGGCTCTCATACTTACAAATAATCGTAGCTCTCGGGTACTTAGGCCTTTATGCCCTACAGACTCAGAACTCTCACAGCCATTGTTTATAATGACATACATGCTGCACTCTGCACAATGATTAGCCTCCAATTGCGGAAAGGTGAGCGGGTCAACTTCGGAAGGCATGTAAGCATGTATTTGGTTATGTTTGTGACTGCATAGTTCCACTCAGCCACCACAGCTACCTTTCTGTCCCGCGAGAAATACGCGCCGCAAATCCGTCAAGATGTCTACCGATCTCGAATGGCTGCTCCTCCGCGTTCGTTGTATTCTGTAATGCCCACACAGACGCACTGTATTCAATGTCTCGGAATTTGCAGAACAATAACTCCTTCATGGTCAAGCGTGTCGAGGAGGGACCCATTTTCTCCAAGGAGCCCGTACGTCCTTCGTCCGCTGACACTTTCAACGTGTATTTGACCGTTTGCCATCAGGCCAATCTCAGGAATATCCACTCACACAAATACTCCGGTCTCGCCAATGAGAAGGTGCGCACATCGCATCCTTTCATGTAAATGACCACTGAAATATGTGTTCAGACGATCGAGGTGAGGGATACCGAGTCAGGTATCCAGCTTATCACCCGCAAGAAGGGCACGTCCCGGCACGCCGCCCATGCCGGTAGTGCGACAAGCACCATCCGACCCCGGTCAGGCGGCCGTCGCGCACTGGGCATCACAGCGAAGCTCGCCAAGCGCGGGTACCGCCCTGACCTCCGGCAAGTGAGTACGGCTCACTCTTACCTTCTTCTATACCTTTCGTTCTATCTTTTGCCTGGAACTACGTACCGTTCGCCCCACGCAGCAAATAGCCGACCAACGCACCACCTAGAGCCCGCTGGACAGCCGCAAGGCACTACGAAAGTTGGGTGTGGACATGATGTGCAAGAATACGTGGTCCGGGACGGAGTCGATCAAACTCTGCCTAGATACTCGCCATGTCGCTATCGGGTCTCGTTCGATGCCCGCCGCGGTTCGCCCGACTCTTTGGCGCTCACATTTTTTTGTTAGAGTTCTTTCTGTTTTTGTGCTCTCTTACTTACGAACTTGTAACGCGAAGTGAAGTGATGCTGACTTTGTACTCTTGGTTGACAGGCTGCTCTCGCTCGCGTTTCTGCCGTGCTCGCTGCGCAAAAGGAGAAGAAGCCTACACCACCAAAGAAGATCCGCGGGAAGAAGGCAAAGGGTTTCGGTCTCGCATGAGCTAGCTCTTCCTCGCGTCTTCGACTTCTCCTTATACAGAAGGAACAGCCCGCGCCGCTGCAGGGAGTCCGAGGGAGGAGAATGCAAGCGCATACGCGTGTTGTACTTCTGTGGACTCATCTGTATTTCTCCGTTTTGCTCTCCCTCGCCGTTACTGTTAGACGTATGTCACTGCCTATGTTTCAAGCAATCCATGGGCCATCCTTTGTGCATCTCGATGCATTGTAGCCCGTGCGGCGCGAAGAGCAGTACACCATCAAGGAAGGCATCGAGGCGAGAGTCGGCGATTCCAACCTATTAGAAGTACATGATCGTGCTTGAGGTATAGTAGCATCCCTATTCGTACAGTATGTCTTGCGTTGCTTCCATTCGTGTTTCATTCGACTCTGCACAGTTCAGGCCAACAAGCTTCGTCCAGCGGGCTGTCCAATTCGGCCTCCAGCGCCGATTGCATTGATGTTCTTCGCGCCGTGGACATCCTTGGATGGTCTGTTATGCTCAGCCCTCTGATACAGATTCTCCTGGAACCTCTTATCGTGCTCGGTGCTTCCCTTCTTCTTCTCTTTCTTCATGTGTTCTTCCTCATGAGGGGCGTGCTCTGGTGCCTGCTCGCCAGGAGGGGCCGGGCGCGGGTAGTCAACCGGCTCATTGGTGGGACTGGGCGGCTTAGGCTCTCTACAGCATAATCAAAACCTACCAACGAGGATGAAATAGGAACCACGCGCACGCATGGGGAGGATGCTTTGGCCTGGTTGTCACGGACATGCGTCGACCGCCGACCTTCACTGCGGGCGGTGGGAAGCCATGTTATTAGCGGCGCTTCCTTGATAGCATAAACATACTCACTTGCGGGCGCGCGGAATTGCTGTGCATCCTCCATCGGGTAGTGGTGGTTAGTCGTTGTGAGGATAGTGTTAATGGGTTTCGATGGACGGGTGAGGTGTAGCTACGTCTCACTTGTGGGTAGTTATACGACTCCTTGGGCAGGTGACTAGACCACCCTAGGCTGCGCACAGACCACGCGGGTTCTAATTCATTCCTAGACACCTGCCTTTCTCGGAATGCAGTGTTTGTCCGCCTGCCTAGTCTTGAGCAAGCCCCGGAACTTTGGTCAACACTGCGTATTCATGCAGTCCAGGCAAACGTCTGTCGCGTAGGGTCCCGACTCACAACATGCTCAGTGCAGCTCTGGCCCTGCTGATTTTGACGGTGACATTCTTGTTGCCTTCCATGGTGCGGGGCAATACCGAGATCGTGAATTTCGATGCCCAAGAGAGCCGTGACATAACATTCCCAGTTACTGCAGATTGGCAAGCTTGTTTCGTCATCGACAGTGGCAGAAATATTTGAATACCTTTCACCTTTAGGCCTGTGTTGAAGTTTGGAGAAGCGGAGAGAATCTGGCGTGTCTCTCCTGCACCTCCTCACGCTTCTAACCAATCCACAGCAGTCTTCGCATCCCCTCATGAGCTCTGGCTCATTCTAGACTTGGATAGCCGCGAGTGGGCGCGCTATACCAAATTCACTCTCCGGATATCGTGGCCGGCGTCGGTGAGTTTCTTGCGTCATATTTCGCAGCTTTACACCGGCGATCTTACTGTCATCTTCAGTCACCCGCCGATTTCTCAATCCAGATATTCTCACCTGAACTTCTCGCTAGCGTCGTCGATGATACTACAGCTCAGCAATCCTTTCAGCCATCAACCAGGCGGAAATACGCTCGCGTCAGTCTACACGATACAGCTGTTCGCACGCCTACCTCAAGACCAGACTCTGAAGCTCCCAGCGCGGAACCTGTTCCCTTCGTCGTGCTCCTCGAACCGTTGTATTTTGGCGTTCTTCCAGCCTCTGTTACCCCAGTCGTAGTTCTCCTCACCTTTGTAGTGTCATTTGCCGCAATGGTGGTCGTTCCCTTCGTCAATCGGTACATATTCGCCGTTGCTCGCCAAGCTCGGGAGGAAATCGCCCACTTACAAGACAAACAGCATACCTAAGAACGTACGTCTACTTGCCGTCGCAATTGGCTTTCTTTTGCACTGAGTAATTCCAGAGTTTTGCAGTCGTAAGGTTAACTGCGTGTATAACCTTAAACCATAGTACCAGACTCGCAGCACTGTACATACTTGGCCTACAATAGCGGATTATACAATAATCCCCTTAGCGGTGCCTCACACGAACCAAGAAGGGCACGAGATCCGAGTCGCGAATAGCAGTCCACAACCACATCTCAACAGCTAACACTATCCAAGTCATACAGATGCACAGCTCCCAGCCATGCGAGAATAACCTCGACGCGTGGCCCGTGCAGCGGAATATTGATGTTCAGCGACTTCTTTTTCCCCTTGGCCTTCGCCGAAGACTTGTCCGCAGCAGCTTGCTCTGCCTTGCCGCACTGCTTCGCAAAGACAGGTGCAAGCAGGATCCTCGCGCAATCCAATGACTCCATAAGGTCGACGCCGCTGGCACCGCCGGCGGCGCTGGCAGGCGTCTCACGCCCAGACGGGGCCGGCGACGCACGAATCGCAGTACTGGAGCTAGAGCCATTTACGCCTAACGTCTTGGTCGACGAGGTGGATACAATCGTAAGACGATCGAAATCTGGCGATGGCGGGGTGGGCACACGCTCGACCTCCTTGGCTTTGGATGACCTTGCCGCTTCGATCGCGGCAAGCTTGGAATTGGCACGGCTGAATGAGTGCGGCTGAACGCCGTTCTTCCACCCACCCGCCAGGCGTTCGAGAATCTCCAAGAACTCGGCTTGAGCCATTGAGCGCGGCGGCAGGAACACGGGATACCCTTCCAACCCATCGATGACGGCAGCGGTGCGCGCGAATGCCGGAAGTAGGGCGGGGAAGTCACCAAGCACGAGATGACATATGAGGAGGCTAAAATGCGACTCGACAAGAAGCGGATGGTACGTGGTAAACATGGCTGGAGACTCCGGCAGTTGCGACGGAGATGTCTGGCTGCCCGGGCGAAGAGACTCGACAAGGAAAAGGGCGTATTCCGTCCTCTGAGCAATGTCAGCATTGGCACCATACGCGGTGTTCGGAACACCCTCAAGCGTGTCAAAATGAGCGAGGAACTTCTCGTGGTCGCGCATGCTCTTCTTGACCAACGACATGATCTGCTCCCGGAAGGTCTCTTCGGCCATAACTCGCCTGTATGCCATGAGCTTTGCACCATCCCTCCTTCCAAGCGGGCCATCTGGGTTCCCGATCTCAACACCCCCATACTTCCCGTTCTCGACATAGCAGAGCCTGAGCTCCGCACCATCAACAGAAGGCACCTTGCGGATACCTTCAAGGTTGAGGATAGCGTCCTCGATGAGATAAACAGCATGTTGCAAGTATGCAGCGGCGCGGAGGAAGAGACACTGCGGCTCAATTGGCTCAGGCGCATCCGGCAGGACAGACGGATGCAGCAACAGTGACTCTCCATCCGGGCCGTCGACTGTAGGAAGGTCGCCAGCAGACGCACTGGCAGTTGTACCACTCGGGGGAGCCTGTCCCTTCGTCTTTCCGCTGCCAGATTTTCCCTTCCCTTTCTTTCCCTTCCCACGTTGTTTCTCATTAGTCTGATTACCATTCATGTGGTGCTTCGCCTTACGAACGGCACGAGCTTCCTTGATCGCATGCGTGAAATCCTTGACTGCGAGAGCGTACTCGTCGCGAAAACAGTGGACTATGCCGCGCGTCCGGAAGAATTCCAGGCGCTGCGGGTATGCAGCGATCAATTGGTCCAATATAGCTGTGGTCGTCGACTCTGCCAGCTGTCTATTACATCGTCAGTCAAAGCTTGAATCAACAGTAAAACAGCTTACCTGGAGGGTATCTTCTCATGGAAAAAATGTACATATCGTGCATCGACGTCGTGAGGATCTGGAATTGCCATTACAGGTGATCGTACCGGTACGTGGATGGCAGCAGACGACACGAACACCCACCAACTTTGAGCACTCGCTCAGCGATATCATCGAAAACGCTTCCTCCTTGCATCACCATGACGCTTGAGGCAATTTCATCTGTTCTATATGCAGCAGCCAACTTCTGCACTGCAAGTGCGCGCAGTCGGTGCACGCGCGTCGCAGACATAGTGACGTTCCTGCCCCCACCACCATTGTCTCCCAGTGGATTGATTCCCAAGGACTGCGCAGTCGCCCAAGGGCTATTGTTTGACCCTGAACCTCCACGGAGTGAACCTAGTGCAGCTGCAGACAGGCCGGAGCTCGCGCGCACAGATAGCTCTGAGGCTTCGTCGATGAGCCGCCGGATACTAGAGACAGAGCGGAACACGCCAGGGTCAATGGGTGGAGGAGTAGCCTTCCCCGGTTTAGGGGTGGGGAAAGGCGGAGGCGGAGGCAGGCTGGCGAACGTGCTGCGTGGTGAATCTGGAGGAGAATGGTCACCCAAGCTGGCAAAACCGCGGTCGCGTTGTTTCTGGCCAGCAATTGGTGTGGTTGGTGAAGGTAACGGGGGCAAGCGTGCGTCGGCCGCCGAGATTGTAGCTGGATCCAAGTTGAGTACGAGTAACGATTCTAATAACTCGAGTGGAAGTTGTAGCCATGGCCCCTGGATTAAGAGACCTACTGAGTGTGAAATCTTTGGAAAGCTTGCACAAACGACGTACATGATACGAGCTGATATAGCGCCAGTGTTTATTCCTGCTAATACATAGCACAGGAGGATGATCTTCGTCCGTTTCTCCTGCGACTGCAGGAGCGGGCGTAGCATTAGCATAGTCCTTCGGTTTGGCAGACTTCTTTGTCTTCTTTTTCTTCTTCTTTTTTTGCACGTTAAGCGGATCGTTTGGTACTGCTTCCTCCGCTAGTCCAACGGGGGACACAGAGCGCGAGGAGTGGATTGAGGGTGTCGGCGCCATGCAGACAGCCTTGTGCAGCTGTGCGGTCTTCGCTGAAACCTCCATAACTTCAGCTCGAGCAAGAGTCCGGAGCAGTGAAAGATCGTATCCGATATTTTATAGTAGCGAAGATCACTTGTGCAGGGCGAGTCGCGATCAAGTCGCATATACAGAAAATTCGGATTATTTGAGCCAATTTGTTGGGGAACTAACCGTGGGAAATTGTAGCGATGTAGCACAGCCTTAAATTTGGGCTTTCTACGCCTGCCTTGCTCACTCGGACTCTGCGGATTCATCAACCGTCTTTGACTTCTCAGGTCGCTCAGAGCCCTCGTCCTTGTCGCTGCCGTCTTGCTTCTCGCCGTCCGATACATCGCCACTCGTGTCACCAGCATCGTTTTCGCCTGGTAACATGCGCTTGGAGCTTCCGTGGCAAGTGTTCTCCGAGTCCAGAAGATCGTTGATGCGCTCGGAATCCACGTTGTTACTGCGCTCTTCCTTCGTTGCCTGCGTAGGTGTCTTCCTCTTCTGCGATCGGATCCTGCGCAAATCCAGTCAAAGGCTTTCACTAGCACTATCCGCTTGCAATTGAAATTGAGCCTTGCCAACCTACCTGACCCCATGTCTTCAGACTATAATCCGATTGTCGGTTGGCATTTTTCTCCGAGATGCAAGTTGACTCACCTGAGGGTATGCAATTCTTCCGGAGTCTTAGTGTCCTTGAGGTGGTCTTCCTGAGCCAGGTGACGACTGTTGCATCTGCGTAAATGTGAACTGTCAAGGACGAAAGCAAAATCTGGTAGTGAGGCACATACCTGACGACTTTCCGCATGTGGTCCCTCCTGCACCCAATATTAGCTCCCCTTCTCGGAGGTTTCGCTTGCATTGCAACTCACATCATCGTATGTTTCTGGTTTCTTGTCGGGATTTCAATTATTTTATATCCGCTTTCTATTACGACACCGGTCCCCGCCTTCTTGCTCATCGGGTTGTCCAGCCACCCCTCATACGATGGCATCGAAAGAGTTCACAATTTCTCTGCACGTCAAATCCCCAAATAAAAACGAAGAGCATTTCGAGAGCTTCAACATTGGCACCTTCCCTTGATAATCCCCACCTGACACAGTACGCATCGCAGTCATGATCAAGTCGAGAGAAGAAACGATCGTCCAGTTTAATGAGCTCGTGAACATGCCCATAGAGGATCTGGGGTCGCATATGATCGTACACGGATCGCACCGACATTGTGAAACCAGAGAGGCCCAGTCTACCAGGCAGATACTATTCTTTAGAACTTGAGATCTGTGGATCGGGCCTCAGGACTTTGACGGTTGTTGTGTATCTTCACGGTTGTCGTACCGCGTGTGTCTTCTAAGGATGCGAATTGACTCTGCGCGCTGCGTGACGCGGACGTCTTCAGAGTTGCGTACCCCGTCTCAAAGTCTCGATCTTCAAAAGAATGTCCACGCTCATAAGGGACGATACGGGACGGTGTATGCTAGGACATATCTTGGATATGACATAAGTCCCAACCAGGGATGTAAGCGACTGAGATTATGACGGAAATGCAAAGTTCGAGGGCAGAGCAGGGTGCGTAAAGTACAGATGGAGAAACTACGCGAACGCCATACTAACCTAACATGGTGATCAGAGAAAGAGTACGAGTCCAGTGCGACGAAGACATTATAAAGGAAGCGTCATTACACGAAGGCCTGAAGAGGTCCGTAAAGTTACTCCTGAGGAGATAAATCTACATTCAATACCCGTAGCCAGGCTGTGGGGGAGCAGCACCAGGGGGAAGGTTCGTGTGAGGAGATGACGATGACCGGGAATACCGATTCTGCGGAGGCGCCTGTGAGGACGCACGTTTGGCGTTTGACTGCCTCGCCACACGCCGTACGCCGCCGGGCCCTGGGACTGGACCATTGTCCGCTAGGCTGATGCCACGTTGCCTGGTACGAGCGGGCGACGCAGGCGTGGGTAAGATGGGCATGTCATCCGGATCGGTGGTGAATGGAATGGGCGTATCCTCGTACCCAGTGGGAGGTTGTTGGAAGTACGGATTGTATGTCTCTCCTGGATACTGGTTAGACACAGTGGCCTGCCGGAGGACTCCACTGTGCGCCCCCGCGGTGCGTGACACCTTCTCCTCGAATCCAGCACCCTGGTATGGGGCTGGCTGGGGAGAATACGGCGTGTTGTCGTAACCTTCATGATAATCCTGCGCACTAGAAACCAGCCGTTGCTGGGAACCGATGTCGGACGCGTTACCCTCCTCACTGGAGCGGGACAGGCCCGAGGTAGAGACAGATGCAGACGTCGAACCAACTGGACGATTGTTGACAGACAACGGAGCCGGAAGCATGAGTAATTGGTTGCTGTCGTACCGTGGACGTGGGTACCCATTGTTCGAGGATTCGTATGTGCTCTCATCAAATTGCTGAGGATAGGTCTGCCCGTCGGGTACCGACACCAAGGAGTGACGATCGTCACTCCTGACCACAGAAACAGTCAGCATAACCTCGTGATCGTCTAAAACGTACGTACCTCTTCGGAGAATACGAACGATGATCGAATACTGTGGAGTCTCTCGACTGCGTACCACTCTTCCACCGCCTCTCGCGCTCGAATTCGGCCCACCGCTTCATGACGATATGCGAGGAATCGAACTCTCCCTCTTTATCGCCATGGCCAGTATCCTTCTTGCTTCCGCCTGAGATCTGCCGCGTCTGACCCCACGAGAAGTCGTCGAAGTGCCAGAAGGCATACGCCGGCAGGACACCGTTCCAAATAGGCAGGGTCAGCAAATACACAATCATCCAGCCAACGTACGTAATCTTGAAGGTCGTGATCACGATGAGGACGCCAGGCAGTCCGAGAACGATAGCTAATAGAATGAGCGGAATCGTGGTATTAGGACCACCGGGTATGATGGATTCAATGATGAGATAAATAGTGAAAGAGATGGCAGCTGGAAGCACGAGCGTTCCAACAAGCTCCATGCCGACAACGAACTGCATAGAGAAACAAAAGGTACCACACAGATCACGGACAAGAACAAGTTCAGCGAGGTTATGTACAGTGGAGTTGATCCAACGACGACGTTGCGACAATAGAACCTTGAAAGTATCTGGTACGATTGTCTTGCAGACAGCTTGAGGACAGAAGATATTTTTGCGCTTGGGAAAGGTCTTGAGGAGGAGGGTTGTGAGGTATCGATCCTCTCCTAGCAGGAGCAAGTTCTTCTTGTGCAAGGTATCGACGACGTTCTCCGAATAGTGTTCCACGATATCGGGGTTCGCCAGAATCGGAATCCAGTAACCAGAGTCCCCCTTTGGTGCCTTGATACGGTACATACTGAAACAACCGGGGAGACAAGTCACACCACCGAACATGGACTCGAAAGCTTTCGTCATGTGATGGGAAATGTAGTACTCGAAGACTGGCAAACAGATCAATAAGTACAGCGACATCAATAGCGGAACAATGTTACCTTGCATCATGGTGACCCACGTCTCGGCCTTATTGGCAATCTTCGTCTCACCGCAAAGGCCCATGATTTCGTAGTCGTGAACCATACAAGACACCATCCGGCTTAGTGAATCGGGGAAGACCTTCGTATCCGCATCGACACAAAGTACCAGCTCGTAACGATCCGGACTGATACCCGTCACCCGCCAGATCGAATTGAAGAATTCGTACTCGAACGTCGTCATGCGCTCGTCGAACATGACCTTCTGGAGGAAGCCCATGAGCACAATTTGACTGTCACGCTTTCCACGATTCCCGGGCTTGGCGTCGTTCGCCTCGAGAGGGTTACCGCACTTGGCCACGAGGACCACAGGGACGCGCTGTTGCTTGGACCTTTCGACCGTCGCATCGTCGTAGTCGTAGTACCCGGCATAGACCTTCGCCATGTTGTGGCGCTTATGGCCGTCAGCAATAGCAACATAGGAATGCGGTTCCACCTCATTCGGCGGGACGATGCACTCTTTCATCATCGTCAGACAGATCTCCGGCGTCGTCATTGTGTTCCCAGCACCCTTCACGTTGCCATCTGCGATGATCAGGATAATCTTGTGGCTATTAGGGTAGTCCGTGGTAGCGAGGGAGTCTAACGTCGTGCGGAGACCTTCTACGGACTCTGAGTATGCAGTGACGAGACAGATGGTGTGGGCGAGAGGGTAGTTGAATGGTTCATAGTCAGGAGGTGGTTGGGGAACGACATTGTGCAATGGAAAAGGACACTGGTTGTCGGCAAACAGGCTCCGGGTTCCATCTATGAGCGAAGTCCTCGACTGGCGATATGCGGGGGTATCGGGAGGTATAAGCTTGGAGACGCTCCTCGCACTCGACGACCCATACACGCTGGCAGTGGCGCTCCTCTTGTATGGTATAGGTTCTAGCATACCGTATGCGGTAGACTGCCTGCCGTTGACTCCGGGACCTTTGATCATATTCTCCGCTGGTGTAAACCTAGAATGGCTCGGTAGGAAATTATTTCGCTTCCCGCCCTTGGCGACCCCGTTCTTGTAGACATTCGGCCTGTACTGACTCGGTGCAGGTCTGTAAATATTGTCCGTCCAGTTCTCGATTTCCAAGGCGCGTTTCCTCCGCTGTTCGTATGTCTCTTCGCCGAAATTGCCAATCTTCCACGAGAAAAACCACGCGAAGAATACCGCAATGCCGAAGCGGATACTGACGACACCGATGATGAAGACCAGGGAGACGTACAGCACGACCTGAGACGCCACGCAACCGATGGTCTCGGTATCGATAAATCCAACTGTGATGGTTTCTTTCAGGCAATTTGCGAGTTCCTTCTGGTTCGTCCGCAGGAAGTACATGCTGAGGTCCTTCCCATTGAACGTCCCATTCGCATGCTTCATCTCGTCAAAGACGGATGGATAATTGACATAAGCTGGACTGAGCCATTGCAGCAGATCGAGATTGAAGATTGATCTACATTCACATAGCGAATCAGTTAAAAATACATACTTTTCCACCAGTAACCGGACTCACGTATCATAAACCGCTAGATTACGATTTGGGTTGCTGACATTGCCCCAGGTGTAGGACACCCTACCCAACGGCTTCATGGAAGCCAATTGTTGTCTCGCCGCAGAGGAGGTGTGACAAGTCGTGTTCGTGCCGTAATTGGTTAAGTTGACACCCGATGTACCATACTGGTTGTAGACGTTGCATGGGAAATACCACTCCAGATTATTTGTGCTCCCTGTAATGGTAGAGTTGGCTGCTTTGGTGATGAAGCTCTGGCAAGCGCCGTTGGTATTCTGAAACATGAAAGAAATATCGGCTCCTCCGACACTCCAATTACCGACCAACAACGGGTTAGTGTGACCATTGAAATCGCCAACAGCGGGATGATTAAATTTCGAGAAGTCGTAGTCGTAGCCATGGATGATAACTGACGCATTCTCGACGGTACCAGCGACAAACGAATTTGCAGGAGTGCCACAGACCGTCTCTGTGAATCCGAAAGTGATGAAGCCGACCACTGCCATGAGGCATACGATGATGCCTATGAGACCCATCTTCTCACGCCATGCGCGCTGCTGTTCCGGGGTGCGAATACCTGGAATACTGTCAGATGGTAGTTCAAATTTTTCGGAGACATAACGTACCACAAACACGGAGTAGGAAAGGTGGGACAAGGCAGGTCAAAACATAGCAATAAATGAACCATGCATTCTTCGGTCCTGGACCCAAACCGTCCAAACAGCTCCTTGAGGGGGTGTCTTTAGTAGCTAGTGGCGTTGCTACTTCCTTCTTCCGCAAGGTCCCGCGTTTGAATAGAGCAAGACCAGATTCTTGTTGATCCTCCTCCCGACCAAGGATCGAGCGACCTCGGCGCATTTGCTGCTTCATAGGAACATTGCCGGTAGCTGCGGGGTTAGGGATACGATGCCATGTCACTATGTGTCATATATGCGACAAAGCATGTACGCACTGGATGGTACGGTCTTGCCACCTCCCTGATCTTGCATTTCGGCAGCATGATGACGATAATGCCACTGTCGATGGCCTGGGTCTATCTTCTCGCGGTCGGGCTTGACAAGACTCTTCTTCCTGCCCACTCTACCGTCCGCAAGTCCGCTTTCGGCAGCAGAGGGATCTAGCATGGAAGGCGACGTATTCTGATATGCCGTGTACGAACGTTGACGCGTTTCGTCAAGAGGTTCGCTGCGATCACCACGCTCTCTGTCTTGGAAAGAGATACCTCTGCCGGCATCTTGTATGAGTGGCGGTCGATATGGTACATTAGGGTGATCGAGGTCGACTGGAGGTGAAGTAGAGTGTGGAGGGCGAGCTGAGCGTGGGGGCCGCTGGCCGCGGTGATCCATGGTAAGTTAGACAACAAAAAAAGGAGGGATGCGATTCAACGCATGCACTGCAGAACGCTGAACCCTAGGCGAGGTCGCCAGGCAGCACGATGAGGGAAGAGCGTGAGACGGCCTACTGCAGCATGGCCCTGCCGAGCCTCAGGCCTCCGTAGGGGTGTAAGGAAATTCGTAAGGATGGTACAACTTGTAGGTAATTGGTTACTAAGGGGACTACATTTTGATTGTACCAATTTGGTAACCACTTTCCCCTCCGGCTAGTGTGTCCTCATAACATTATTCTGTGCTACAAATTCGACCCGCTTCATGGTAGCTCGTTCGCTTCTATTGAAGGAATGCCATACGGTATGGTATTCAAGACCTCCAAGTATTATTCCCCAAGTTGACAGCGACGGTGTAAGCAAAAGCTCAGTGGTAATTGAATGCGAGGTCGAGTCCTCGGAGGGGAATTTGAGGGGCATCAGGCAACAAGCAACATCGTGGCGACTGATTTCGAGCAATCCAGCATTCGACGAGAATAGTCTTCACCAATCCGTGTTCGATGCGCACCATATACTGCAGTAATATAGCGTCCTGACACGCCACCACCACCTCGTCACAATCATCCCTCGCGTCTATCCTGCTTGGAGTACGAGCATCGGGTCTGTGTACGACGAAAGGGCCGCCGATGACGGAGCGTCGTGAAGCAAGGCGTTTGCTATGCAGCTCAGAGCCAAAGACGAGCTCCTCGTAAATTTTATAGCGGTTTGGCCGGTAATTGAGTCAAGAGAATGCCATATCGCTTTTTAATGGTTACTCTATGGCGAGAAAACTTGTCGTCAGGAGAAAACCTTGCTGAAAATGGCAGGGATGGTGTTTTAGCCACAGAGCATGTTTTCACACTTCAAAATGCGCACCAGGATGGGCAGACTTCGTTATTTTGCCTCCCTCTGTAAGTTTCTGTGCAATGTGTTATTGAGCCCACAGACACTGGTCAAAATGGCTAAAACGACTTACTTTCAAGGTATAAATTCTGTTGCCCGTCTCGTCCAGCGTGTACATGAGATGCATGGCGGCAACTCGGACTTGGTCAACAGGGAAGGATCAACAAATTGGTCACAAGCGCCCAAGATCGGCGGCCGTGGGTGCATGTCGGAGGACGGCCGGCCTTTGGCCGTCGTTTTCTGATCCGAACCTCACGATGCCTGGACGTGTGTGTTCTGAATCATCGTACATTGTCTTCGACGAGCCTTGGAATACTGTCTCGAGCTCTGTGGTCCGAGAATATATATTATGGCGATAACGCATCAAGTACTCACCTCACCTGTATCGGGAACGAAAGTATATCCTGTCCGAGAATATTCGGATGAACAGAAAGACATGATCAAGGCCTTGCGAGAGGTATGTTCATACATTCTCTGTCGAAAGTTGTTATATGAAGACGCGAACAATTTATCTCGTAGTACGCTGACACCTTACTTCTTCCCGAGTCTGATCCATACCACGCATGGGAGCTGCGGTGGTTGGACAAGCCAGACACAATACCCCGGTACATTCGTGCGGCCAAATGGAAATTTGAAGATGGCAAAAAGCGTATTAAGAGCACGATGGAATGGCGAAGAGACTATAAGCCTGACCTCATCCCACCAGACGAGGTTTGTGGTGTGCGCATCGGTAACTTCTGACCTGATAGTGCGTGTAGGTGAAGATTGAATGCGAGACTGGCAAGATGTGCGTTTACTATTATCGCTGTCTGTGATTTTGAACTGAAAATTGACGGCATGTACACATAAGTATTTTGAACGGCTTTGATAAAGATGGACGCCCTATACTTTACCTGCGACCCGGTCGCGAAAATACAGCAACAAGTCCACGTCAACTCAGACATCTCGTCTGGTGTCTGTAAGCCTTACACTTCCACGTGGATCTAGCATAGGTACTCAACCTCAATGTTAGGGAGAGAGCCAAGGACTTTATGCCTCCAGGTCAAGACTCTCTGGTCATAATCGTAGACTATAAGAGTACAACTTTGCGGACTAACCCTTCCATCTCCGTTGCAAGCAAGGTATGTAACATCTGCATCTCCTGCATAAGAATATGACTCACCGGGATGCGCAGGTACTCACTATATTGCAGCAACATTACGTAGAAACTTTAGGCAGAGCGCTCGTTGTGAATCTCCCTGTGATTCTCAGCTTTTTCTACACCGGCATCTCGCCGTTCCTGGACCCTCTCACGAGAGATAAGGTGGGACTTTTCGATGCCTCACGGACCATCTCACTTATCTCGCGCACAGATGCGTTTCAACCCTGATTTGCTGGAACTCATTCCCAAAGAACAACTGGATGCTGACTTTGGAGGTGACTTCGAATATGAGTTCGAGCCAGAAAGTTACTGGGAACAGATTGTCTCGTACGCTAATGGCGCTTGCAACGTGACACGTGTCTTCTCATTTATATATGTGTATAGGTTCTGTGGGATAGCTCCTGATGGAACCAGAGTACATAATCCCGTTTCTGCTTCCGCTCCGTCAGTACAAGAACAGCCCGTTGACGCTGGGAAGCATTACAGGCGCTCGGTGGAAACTCAGTTGTGCGTTATGTTTTCGACTCATTGCAATTGTAGCTTATAGGTTGCTGTAGCAAAAGACGGGTCTCGACAGACGTCGTCGAAGCCATTCCTAATGAGGAGGTCGCAGTCGTAGCATGATCAGGGTAGAAGCATCGCTGGTCCGAGGCGACATATTGTTTTCTGCGGGTTATCTTTGTAGAATGCCCACGTTATTAAGTGCATGACACTTCGTGCGTAGTCGGATCTTTCATCGCGTCAGCTCAGGGTGCTCCATTCTATATGAGTTACTCCGCAGGATGGCTCGGTAAGTTTAACGGTGGCCGCAACTTACTCTTGCTTGTGAGGGGCTGACAGATAGGGATTAACATATTGATTGTACGAGGCCGAAAAACTTCCAGGGATACTTCTATCTGTCTACCTCCAATAAGATCATTCGTATCTCATGTGTTTGATTCTAGGTCATAGGTTCAAGCATCTGACCCTCACACGCAAAGATTGTGCGATGCTGTCAAGTGCGCTTTGAAGTGAACGATTGATGCTATAAGGGTAATACAGTCGTTCGACTATCTCTGACACATAGCAGCAGTTCGTCCTTCGAAAGCTCTACTCTCCGCCAGGTAATCAACGGTCTCATAAGTTGCTCATTCATTCAGCAGGGTACGCTTATTCTCTGCACTCAGGTATGCTCTCCGTATTGCTATCGTTGTCTATCCGTAGAAGTTTTGACGGGCGAAAAATCTGACAGCTCAACTTCGCCATGGATTTCGTGGAAATGGAATCGTTGGTATCGCTCATATCGACCTCTATTGCTCAGTTAAAAGACAGGGCGAATACAGCATCATCACCCGAAAATGCGACCAGGGCCGAATTCCTTCGTCCCTCTTTGCAGATCGTCGCTGCGGCATCGCAGTTGATTGCGCTGGTCCGTACACCTGAGCGCTATTTGATGGATGTAGCAAATGGAGTCCGTAGGCATTGGTCTGCAAACCGTGCTGGTTATTGACTATGTTATACAGCACGTGTTGTCTGAATGTCTGCGAACCACCGTTGACGTGAATGTACCAGAGATCATACGGGAATTCGGGAAGGGACCACAGAGAACTCTGCATGTCACGGAAATCGGTGCTGTCAACCACGTTAATCCTTCCAAACTAGGTGCATCTACTTCTTTTGAGCTTTGGATCATTATTGACGGTCTCTGAAGGAAGGGTACTTCGTCTTCTTTCGACTCATCATATTTTTGAAGAAGTGTCTCCCAATGTCTTCGCGAACAACCATATTTCCATCGCATTGGACACAGGCAAATCTTTATCGGAGCTTGAAGCACAGCCGGCTGAGAAATACGATGGAACCAATGGCGTTGCTGCCATCGTCGGTCTTCTGTGAGTCGGCATATTTGACCCTGAAGTCAATCACTGTAGATTGATCAATTGATTTAGTACAGATGACGCCTTACAGAATGCCACTTATCTAAGCGATACACTCAGAGACCCTGCTACTACTGATTCTTTCGACGCATACGATGCCCCGTTTTCGCGCGCTTGGGCCAAGGGTGCCCATCTCAATATGTTCGAATGGCTCAACTTGCCTGATAACGTGTCCCGTCGTAAGCGCTATCAGATGGCAATGAATGGTCTAAACAAGATGACGCCTCCAGACTCCATCCTTCGGGGTAAGCTGCACTCTAGAGTGATTCGAGCGCTTTCTCAATGCATTGCGTTCAGGTTTCGACTGGACCAGTCTTCCCGAAGGGAGTATTGTCATTGACTGTGGAGGTGGTATCGGCTCGGCTTCTCTTCCCGTTATCAAAGCATGTCGCCAAGTTCGTTTGATCATTCAGGATACAGAGAAGGTTATTGTAGAAGCTCCAGCAGTAAGTGAGACGACATATGATGATGTTCAAATTACAAATATCTGTGATACAGTTTTGGCAAACTGTTCTCCCCGGCGCTGTTGCGGAGGGTCGTGTGTCGTTCCAAGGTATGACATACAGCTCTCCAATCGTGAGCCCGTTAGGGTTGATGCCTCTTCATCCAGCACATAATCTATTCTACCCTCAGCCTCCCAATAACAGCGAGGCTGCTGTTTTCTTACTGCGGATGATACTGCACGGGTGGCCTGACACCGAGTGCATCCGGATACTCAACCATATCCGTGACTGTATCGGAGAAAGTATGGAAGCTCGTGTTCTCATCGTGGACAACATCATGCTATACGCGTCTCGCGATGCTGCTACGGTTGAACCGGACTTACTTGCACCTGAACCTTTACTGGCAAATTGGGGCACTGCCAATCTGCATTCCTATACACAAGATGTACTTGTGAGCGGCTTTCCCTCTATATCGATACCCTATTACTGTTGTAAGACTAATTCTCGTTTAGATGCTATGCAACCATAATGCGTGCGAGCGGACTCTGCCTGAGTTTGCTGCTCTTCTGGCGCAGTGTCGCTTCCAGATCCTTGAAGTGCATCAAGCTCATCAAAGCTGGCTACCTCAGATTGTCGCTGCTCCCATATAATGAAGACGCGTCGCTTGTCAGAGATCCGTATCGTTTCGTTCCAGGTCCCCTCTAAGGCAGTCGGCCGATGATGTTGGAAGTATGTGACTTTCTGTAGTACGAGTTCAATGATATCTTGAGGATCTGTTTTGCGGCATCCCTGAGATGCTAGTCTCTGCGACATGCTGGACGAGAGAAGCTCCTACTGCTGACGCATCATCATCCTTACAGCGCTCCAGCTTCGGACATGTGCATGAAGCTTCGTATGCGCCACAGAAGTTGTCGACAGCTTCGACGACCCACTCTGAGTCCGTGCCCCAGCCAGGTATCTATGCTTCCATCCCACTGTGACACTCGACAGGTTTGGCTGACGTCGTCTGTCCTATTTCAACTTCAGGCACATTCATTCGTAGCGGACACCGGCGATATCTCGAGGGCGTGATATGTATTTAACAGTGACTATTGACTTCTGATATTCGTATTCGGACGGACACAATGGAAGTATTCACAGCTCTTCACTGCGAGCCAATGCCCTCACGACATACATTCTAGATCACCTCGTTCAGTGCCGTGATCTTCCTCTTCAGTGTGGACGTTTAGTCCGAATACGTGCAATGGTCCGGTCGGTCGACAAAAATTCACACGTAAACATGTAATCTGTGAAGAGAAGTACCAGTGCCGTAGTGATTCTTTGAGGTAAGGCTTACTCATGACAACTGTGCGTTCCAAAAATACAGGTCGAATGTACTCGTCGTCGCTATTGTCTTACCTCTCCCCATCGCGGTATTTAAGCTCGGGCTGTCGGGGCGATTCCTCAGCCTTTTACCTTCGTACGTTTTCACAGCTCGATATTACCTGCGTCATGTTCCTGACATAGTTGCAGAACACCCGTTTCAAGTTCGTCCAAGCAAGGTTAGCTGCGATGGACGTCGTCAAGATAGAAGCTTTGGTTTCTCTCCTCTCGACTTCTGTCACTCAGTTGAAAAAACACCAGGACCCTTCGAGCAACGCGGAGTTTCTTGATCCCTCGTTGCAAATCGTAGCTGCGGCGTCACAACTCGTTGCACTGGTTCGTACTCCCGAGCGGTACCTCTTGGATCTAGCTTCTGGGGTCAGTGGGTAAACCGGTGAACGGGATTGCCATCATTGATCGGACCGTTTAGCATTTATTGTGCGCGTGTCTCCGAACAGTCGTTGAGACGAACGTCCCGGAAATCATACGGGAGTTTGGCAAGGGCCCCCGACACTCTCTGGATGTCAGTGAAATCGGTGCCCTCAACCAGGTCAATCCGTCGAAAATAGGTGGGCTTTCAGTTCACACGTTGATCGCCCTTCGATTCTCACGATCATTACAGCACGAGTTCTTCGTCTCCTTGCGACTCATCATGTATTCGAGGAAGTTTCTCCAAACATCTTTGCGAACAATACTATCTCAATCGCTATGGACACGGGCAAACTGCTCTCAGACCTTAAAGCCAATCCGATTGAGAAGTATGATGGTACTGACGGTGTTGCCGCTTTGGTTGGCCTGCTGTACGTTAATTCAAGAAAGGATACTAGCCTGTATTCACTGACCATTTCGTAAAGCTCTGATGATTCCGCGCGCAACTCTGGATGCTTGAGCGACACGCTCAAGGACCCTGCTACTACTAATTCCTTCGACCCTTACGATGCTGCGTTTTCTCGTGCCTGGGTTGGCGGTGACCACCTGAATATGTACGACTTTCTAGACTTGCCTGAGAATCTACCTCGTCGCAAGCGCTTTCAGATGGCGATGAATGGCATAAACAAATTAACACCCCCTAACTCCATTTTGCGAGGTGCGTGTGGTTTTCTAAATCTATTTAATGCATGCTGATTAGGTGGTTTGTACACAGGTTTCGACTGGTCGCGTCTCCCTTCAGGAAGCATTGTCATAGATTGCGGAGGCGGAATTGGCTCTGCCTCCCTCCCGATTGTCCAAGCAAATCCTCAGATTCATTTAGTCGTGCAGGACATGGAAACGGTCGTCGCAGAAGCACAATCAGTGAGTCATATGCACGATAAGATTTGATATGGGACAATTTGATGACTGGTGTGCAGTTTTGGCAGACCGTCTTCCCAAGTGCCCTTGTCGAAGGCCGTGTGTCGTTTCAAGGTATGACCCAAATATCAAATGATGGACCTTTGTTTCAATGCCTCGTGATACAATACAGCACAGAATCTGCTATCTCCGCAGCCCTCTTCGAATCACCAGACTGCTGTTTACCTCCTTCGGATGGTGCTTCATACGTGGCCTGATGCTGGATGCATACAAATCCTCGACCATTTACGTCAATGTATAGGCGATAATATGGCAGCGCGTGTTGTCATCGTGGACAACGTCATCCTCTACGCTTGTCGTGACCAGACGGTGAACGGCTACGATGGCGGCCTATTCGACGCAGGAGCACTCGCGCCCGAACCTCTGCTAGCCAACTGGGGGACTGCAAACTCTCACTCTTACAAGATGGACGTGAATGTATGTAGGAAAATCGTTGCGTCCCACTGCTAGTCCACTTTGACTAATTCGCCATCGTTCCTACAGATGTTAGGCAATCACAATGCATGCGAGCGCACGCTTCCTGATTTCGCGGCCCTTTTTGCCCAGACCCGTTTCCGCATCGTTGAGGTACACCAGGCCCACAAAAGCTGGCTGCCGCAGATTGTTGCTGCTCCGATATAGGACGCAATATTCCTGAAGTGACTTCGGAATTGGTCAGTGTGTAAGGATAGCGCGGATGAGGGAGTGTTAGCCGAGGATGCGCGCTCAACCGCGCTGAAGCGTCTTTTGTTGTTATCTTATTTGCTGCAGACTTGCCTTCGAATGAACCCGGTTCAGCATTTCTAGCAACTCTAACTTCAACCACAGGGCGCAAACTGCGCCCGTAGCGCCATTCTGTGTGTCCGAAGCCGCCGCGGCGGAGCCATGAGCGCTATCCCTGAATACAGATTGGACCTTCGCCGCGTTTGTTCTGTGCCCGAAGGCTCGGAGCAGCAGAACTCTCATAGACAGCCGATAGATTTATTTACCCTATTGAAGGTACTGAGGGCCGCAACAGGGCCTAACAGATATTCGATCATGGTGTGAGATTGGTAGGTGGCGGGCCGCCCTGGCCGCGAATGGGTAGGTACTATAGGGCGATGCGGGACCGCTACGGCGTATTGATTCTAGTGACTGCGCATACATTTAATTCGGAACCGAACATAGCAGAGCTGCTGAAGCGTAGCAACTTGAAGGTCATTCTGCGTGGCTCGTAGACGAATGCATAGGAACAGTCGGCATTCTGTCGGATCGACGCCGACTACGTGACATAGCCGGTATATAAGCCGTCGCTGCCAGTCCAACTCACGGCCTTGCGAATGGACAGAGGATACCTCCATCCGTTCCAGGATGGACGTCAATATCTATACGGTGTCGGTGAACGGCCTCGAACAGTGAGCCCTCCCCGTTCCAACAGTACATCACTAATCAGACTCACGGGGACATAGCTCTTAGAGCTGGCCATGTGCCAGTTGTCCGCTCACATACGTTCGACGAAGAACTGGTGGAAAGAATATGGGGACCACCAATTCAGGACTCGATGGGCCGAGGAAGCTGCGGAACGCTCATGGACCGTCCGTTCTCCTTCTGGGTCGACGTTGGTGACACTGTCCAGAAGACAGGTAACGCGAGCCAAGAAACTCTTTTAATCAATGTCCTGACTTGATTTGTTCGTAACAGATTAACTATGTACTAGATGAGCTGGATGGCTATGCTGCCCTACGTGACGAAATGCATGGATGGCAAGTGTTGCTCTTCTGCAGGCCTGCCTGCTCACGAGAACTTCAGTGAAACAGTGAAGTGTCCAGCATCGATCGTATCTGGCACTCGGATTCTCTTTTAGATTCAGAAACCCTTTCATCGCTTGATACTGGTCTTCAGTGCCTTCCAGGTAGGCCTAATGACGACTCTGTCTCCGTTGATCTCGTCGATCCGTTCTTCCACTGCTTGGTGTACAACCGGACGCAAGTTTATGATAGTTTCGCACCTGAGTCCTTCTCTCTGCAGACACGCCCTATAAACACTCCCCCTTCCTTCGATTACGCATGTTCTTCCCGCTTCGCTTGTATTCCTACGGCCTTTTCGGTCTCTCGGTCAGATGGCTCGTTAGAGGCGAAGGTGCTCTCTTATATCAACAACATCGATCCTTCCAATACTTCACTCTACCATCACATCGAGCATGTAGTCTCGAGATGTGTCACATTATTTGAATATGTGCTCACGGACCTCCACCGAAACAATCCTCTTTGCCAGAGGATAACGGGAAGCTACAGGTATACAGAGTGGAACGAGCCTGAAGAGCCTGAATTTTCTGACGACGACGATGGGTGGCTGGCTTACGAGCGGGAGGTGCGACAATGGACTCTTCACAGACCGATTCAACCTCCGGATGTACCGGAGCAAGGTTATCCTCGAGACTTACACACGAGACACTTCAAAGTGACCCTTGACGGTCGGGTACTTCGATTGATTGTTAGAGTAACGGATATCAGAGTCGTGAGCCTCTTCCCTTTCAAATGTCTCTGAATTGTGACGCATGTTTGACAGGCTCCTGGTGGACCCGTTTATACGGGAACCCCCTGGCATGTTGAGGGTATGCGGAACGAAAATATCGTTGCTTGCACAATGTTGTGCACGTCCATGGTCAGTCGCCTTTATTCTGTTGTCTATTCACGCAAGCCTCAGTTTGCCCCCTCCCTCCCGAAGACGAACCTTGTACCTCCATCCCTCGAATTCCGCATGGCAATTACAGCCCCGCGCATGGAGGCCGGTGACGTTGGTGCAGCTATCCGTACGTGGGGCCTCGATCACTTCTCTGCGCGCAACCAGTATCTTGGACATATTCCTTTGTCTCCTGGATCGGCAGTTGCATTCCCTAACCTGTATCAGCACCGTCTGACAGCCACTCACTTGCGAGATCCCAACCACGAGGGGTCTATGACCTTCCTCGGGCTCTACCTCATGGATCCTGAACTCGATGCATACGATGGCAAGCGTGACTCCGGGTGGGAGACGCTGAGTCCCTCTTCAGATACCGTCCCACCGCAGCAGAAAGAATGGATGAGGCGTGCGGTCGAAGATAGCATTGACGTTCGACTCCCCTTCGAAATTGTAGAGAGGATTGTGGAGGAAGTGGAGGGGGTGATGACTGCAGAGGAGGCCGCGGCATACGCCAAAGAAATGCGAGAGGAGAGAGAACGATTCTGGACCCTGCACGATGAGTATCGGTTCTGTTTGCCGTTTGATATCTGGGAGGTTGAAAGCTAGTGACCTGTCATCTCAAGTTTCCATATAATATGTTTTGCAGCAGCTGTTCCCGGGCTACCTTGATAATGGAACACCTATGTATGTGCTCTCTCACCAGCACTGACTGACAAAACTACGAAGAAAAATCTGAATTACAGCATAGTCAGAAGTGACACGATTCTTGGTCGAGCATGTGGGTCACCTGTGCATGTGATAGCGGGAGCACTACCGGTACAAGACGCTCTGCTTGGTCCCCCCAGACCATGAATTCCACTCGACCGTACAGATATTCTTGTCGAACCATTCCCTATCCTCCGGCTCGAGCGCCCCACAATCACTTGTTTTCAGCATGTCTATTGAGCTCACGATGAACTCGTCATCCCCTGGATCGGGAAAGCCTGTACGTTCACGTACAGCGCAGCGGGGATCGACCATGCGGCGGAGGTCGCCGCTTGTAAATTGTGCGCATCCGGACACAGTGATATTCATGAGGCGCGGGCACATCCAGTTGCCAACCGCATCAGGTTGAGCTAGCTCGGCGAGCAACGCAGTGTTGAATGAAGGGCAGTCGATAACGGTGAGGTCCTCGCCGCTCCAGCGCCGTAGAACAGGCGCAAGGTCTTGTTCTGCAGAGAGGTGAGCGATCTGCAACCCGCACGGAGGAAGCCGATCCATCTCGTCAGGTATCATGCAGCCTGTGAAGGTGATGTGTTCGACAGTCGACAAAAACAGCGAGAAAAGACCTCGCAGGGTCTCGGCGGATACATCTTCAAGCTCGAGCGTATTTAGACCCTTTTGCAAGACGCCGAAACCCGCTGGCTCGTCGCCGTTACGAAAGGCGACATCGACCAGTTTCAGATGCCGTAGATGCAGCAGAGCGCACAGGCATTGCACGAACTGGTGTACGGTGCCTATTCCGCTGGCCCCGCGGTAGCCTGAAATGGTCAATCTGGACAGACGTGAGTGTGCTTGGTGCGAAGAGATATGCGGTACGGAACGCGACGCCATCGATGTCCAAGTCCATCACATTAGGCGCGTGAAACTGCTCTCCCTCCTGAGTCCGAGTGGACCGCATCTCAGACTTATACTTATCGCCATGTCGCGCTAGGTAGATATCATCGGGGTAGAATCAGGTATATCTGCTTGCAGACGCGTCGCAACTGTTGGCGTGAAGTGTGCGGACGCCGGCGCATCGTGTAACCTCGACTGCAGACGCAAAATGCACAGGCATTTTGCATTGCCCCGCAAATTCAACAGGGGGATTGGGATTGAACTGTAGTGGAGGACATCCAGTCTGAAGCTCTTCCAGCGAGGCATGTGCGGGATGGGCACGCCCATCGCCGCAGCAACGCGGGCCTCTTCAGATGGATCCGCCTCTATTGTACCACGACGCGTGATTGTGATCTCGAGGAGACGCGTGCCGGAAAGTGCGAGCCGCTCACTGATAGTGGAGAGCGGGGTGGGATCATCGTCGACGAAGATGATCAGCCGAGTCCAGCAGGCAGATACTAGCGACAGCGTATACTTCCAGGATGCAGAGACGACCGAGAGGGCATCCGGGAACAGTGTTTGCGAATTAGGGTCCGGCTCTTCCCAGCATGTACATCTGATCTCCCAGCCGACCTCAGGTTCTGAGACGGAGAGGCGTGGTAGTGGGCCAGAGGGCCAGCCGTGGAGCTCATAATCCGGACAACCAACCACAATGAAGTCATCACGGTGGATTCCCCGTAAGGAGAAGAATATGATGTTGAATATTTTGATCAGGTCGGCAGGCAGATCTTGGATAGCTGCAGCGCGAACTCGGGATGTACGAGTCCCAGCCTCGTCCCTCGACACCGTTCGCGAGAGATCAACTTCAGAATCTGAAGGCAGAACCTCCGGGATATCCTGGGTGTGCGCGATATGGGTGACCAGTCAACCAAGTCCGAAACAGCTGCTCACCATCTCTTCGCACTCTGGCCAGCGTTCAATGCAGATCAGGCCCGACAATGGCTTGCGACAGATAAGTAGTGCTCACAGGAACTTCTGCTCCCCATCGAACGCAACGTCGCGACATGTGAGGCTCAGTCACTGGTACGATCCTGCATGCAAACAAATGATAAACGAGCTTGAAAGGATTAAAAACAGCAAGCAAGCGACGCGGTAGTAGGTGGTAAGAAATGCGTGTGAGAGTGAGTAAGAATGTTCTGAACCCAAATTGGCAAGCAGGAAACGTAACCCACAGACTTGCCATCGACCACACGACGCCCTAGGATGACCACAGCGCCATGGCGGAAATGCTGCGACCATCTAACGCAGTATCCGAGGCCGGTGTAAGCACTCTGACAGATATTCTGACTTCGTCCAGCTCGACGTTGTCCCCGTCGCGAGACGTAACTTCCTACCTGACACACCTGACTGACCTCCCACTTTCTGAATTGGAGTGCGAGCCCACCGTTCTCTCGTCCTCATCCGCGCAATTGACCAATGCCTTGACCACGTTGTGCCACACTTCATATCCCACCTTCCTGTCGCTGCGCTCCTCCACTTCTACGCTTTCCTCGTCTCTGTCGTCACTTTCCTCCTCGCTAGAAGCGCTGATCTCGTCCCTACCGTCTCTTGAATCGTCTGTGCGCTCGTTTACATTTGGGACGCGTGAAATCCAGAAGGAGCGTCGAAAAGCCGCGCTGGTACTCGAGCATCACGATAAGCTCTATGATGTCCTGTCTCTTCCTGTGCTACTCGATTCGTGTGTCCGCAACCACAATTACACAGAAGCATTGCTGCTAGCCAACCATTCCACCAATCTCGCAGCACGCTTCCCATCCAACCCGCTCGTCCAATCTGTCAAGGCCGAGTGCGATGCGCGCGTTCAGGCCATGCTCGGACAGTTACTGCGTATGCTGAGCGAGCAGGCAAAGCTACCCGCACTCTTCAGGGCCGTCGGATTTCTGCGCAAAATGGAGGTCCTCGAGGAGGAAGAGTTGGCTTTGGCGTTCTTGACAGGCCGAGCCACGTACCTGGAGGGCATCCTGCAGACAGTGGAGGTCCAGAAGTACGACAAGGAAGCTTGCGCCAGGTATCTGAAGCGGTACGTGGACCTCTGGCGCGAATGCGTGTATGATGTCGTCACGCAGTATACCACTATCTTCCTTGACCGCGCGCCATCCACATCAACGTCTACCACGACGCACCTACATTCATTACTGACGACGTTTGCGTCGCTGCGCCTGCAAACTTTACTATCTCTACTCCAGGAGACGCTCCCAGTAATTGCCGACCCATCACTGCTTACCTCCCTCCTCACCCAACTCACATATTGCGCGAACTCGTTTGCACGCGTCGGCATGGACTTCAAGGAGCTGCTGGCCCCTCTGTTTGTCGACGCTGTGCGAAGAGGCGTGACCAAGGAGCTAGAAAATGCTGCGAATGGGTGGTGCGATCTATTGAAGTCTTCGTCACCGCCGTATCTCGTTGCCTCAGCCGCACTCGTTGCTCCACCGCTACCATCGCAAATCCAGTTACAGGCATTAGTCTCTGGGCCAGCAAATGTACCCCCACCGATCCTCATCTCATACCCACCCCTCGCAACATACACGAACGCCGTCCTGACAGCACTGAACGGTCTACGGTTGATGGCGCCAGTGGAGCTGCTAGATGACTTGTCCAGCTCGCTGGAGGACGCCCTGGCGAGAGGAGGCGCGGCGTTGCTTGAATTTGCGCGCAAACGGAAAGGTAAACTCGGGGAAAAGGACAAGAAGGAATTAGACAGGCTCCGGGCTGCAGGGACGATCTATGTGACGATATTTGTTCCGTTCCTCCGCCGCGCGCTGGTCGAAGGCGTGTACGGGGTCGTAATGGCGGATGTGGATATGCCTACTGGGAAGGATCTGGCAGACGTGCTGCGCGAGTGGGACGTGTGGCTCGACGGGGAGGCGGACTCGAAAACTGCGCTTGCTCCAGATGCGAACGGGCGGTAGCATGTGAGTCCGTGATAGTCCTGTGGAAGATTGTCACTGATCAAACCAACCAGCAAGCAGAAGCGAGCAGTGCATCCTCTATGTGTTCACTCTAGGAGCCCGATACTGTTCACACGCACATTCCGTCTTGAGGGATTGAGGCGATTGTCGTTGCTTCCCCGCGGTGACGAAGAGCATGTATCAAACAGAGATGTGACCCTGGAGCTGTAGGCAGGTCATACTCTTTGACCCACAGCAAGCAATCAACCACATATTGACTTGTTTACTTGTACGACCGGTGTCCACGATCTGCTCGCCGGAGATGCAGTGCATTCGGCCGGGGAATATTCATGGGTTGGACGAGGACGGGTCAGACCTATGTAGCTAGACTTCATACCTTGCGGTAATCATTCACGTTCGCACAACCATCGTTTGTCTTCAACTGCCCAATTCTGTCATTCGCTAGGTGCTCAGGGAGATGCTACTACTACAAAAAGATCGTTGTATTGTTAAGGCAGCATGTATGTAATCGTGCGTGCTGGAGCCTAGCCAGGGGTCATTGTCTTGTGGTCGTGCATTGTAGGGTAACTCTGTCCAAGATTCAGAGAATGGAGAGAGAGCCGAAGACGATGCCGCCGACAATCGCTGCGACGCCTGTGAGCGTTGAACTTAATAATGTCCCGTAGCTGCGGAAGCCCGCATTGGCGGATTGACTCGCGAGAGCGGACCTGCACGTCACGCGTATCCTATTCAATATGCCGTACATCGTTAATGGAACTTAGGACACTTACAGGTCTGAAGGCGAGACAGAGGCAGAGGCAGAGTCCGCATTTGAGTTCGAGTCGGGCGCACTGGAGGACGTGGGGATGGCCGTGCTCGACAACGCGAAGCTCATCCGGGAGTAGATCGGGTAGAGGTTGGTGGGAATGAGGACGGAGCTAGTAGCGGGGGTCGACGCGATCGTAGTAGGCGCGGCTGTTGGGGCAGACGAGTCACTCGACGGGACAGCAGATGCAATTGAAGGGTTGGACGGATCAGCAGAGCTCGATGGGGAGGACGGGTCAGCCGTCGACGAGGCGGACGGGACATCCGAAGAGGACGACTCATCGGTAGGTACAGGGGAGCTGACCAATGACACCGACGGGGAAGCCGTCGAGGACGACTCATCTGACAAGTCCTCCGGAGCAGCGCTAGACGGGACAATAGACCATGCACCTATCGACGACGGGGACGGAGCGGCGGTAGGTGCAGGCGGTGCAGACGAGAAGGGAGTAGCGCTCTGGGAAGGCACAGACGAGCTAGACGAGACAGCGGTGGGAGGAAACGGCGCGGAGGTTGCGGTGAGGAGGTCCAAGCTCAGCTGGGATATGGACGACAATGCGGAGGGTGCGAACGAATCGGAGGACGAAACTGAGGGAGCGGACGCGGAAGCCGAGGAAACAGATGCAGAAGCGTCGGTCGGGGAAGTCGAGAGGGATGCGTCGGTGCTGGAGGACGAGGGTAGTGCGGTGGAAGAGAACTGGCTAGCTGATATTGAAGACTGCGCATCCGATGCTAAGGACTGGACATCCGAGGCTGAAGACGGGATAACGGAGGGTGTAGATGGAGCAACAAGTGGCATACTCGTAACCCCAGCAGACGTAGATGGCACCGTACCGGGAACTGCTGAGGAACTGGGTCCATCTGAGGTGGCAGTGAAAGACACGGCAGGAGGGGTGGTGAAGGAGGACGCGCTGTTGGCCACTGCTGGAGTCGCTCCAGCAGGCGGTGCCGCTGCTGAAGAGTAGGTCAGGAACGTGCACCACTAAAACCACGGTCGGGCTCACCATTAGTAGGCATATTATCTAAGAGCGAGGAGAAGAATGAGGCGATCTGGAGGCCTACGCCCTGCATCTGAGTATACATGGCCGGGTCCGGGGCTACTTATCGTTCGTCAATGAAAGTTCTATGACGTCTAACATTGTTCTCAATACTGACCTGCCTGCCGCTCTTGGTGGATCACGTACCGAGGCCGAGGAGAAGGGACGACGTAGGGATAGCCCGGCGTATCTGTTGCTACGAGTGCTGGCTTGCGCCAGTAAACTGGATTGACAGAAAATGTATTAAAATTGGCGGTTTTAACCTCGTACACTAGGCAAACATACATGCACGCTCCTCATGATCGTGCTCTTCAACGTCACGCCCCTCGAAATCACGGTGATAACGAGTGGGACGTGGAGCAATGGAAGCTATCCCAATAGGCTTGCGATCTGCATTGATAGATGAATACCAAAAATGAATACTCCCCACAAAAGCACCAACTTACAGGCACGCTCCTGAAGATCACGCTCTTCAACGTCGCGCTCCTCAAGATCACGAGGACGTTGAGGTACTGGCTTGCGTATGATTGGCTTGCGCATGATATCTGCATTGATGAGATGTGTAAACGTGACGATGTCCCCACCGCGAAGGAGAGGTATTTACAGGCACGCTTCTCAGGATCCGCGTTAGGGGTTCCGGGCTCCCCAGCCGGATGCTGCAGGTCTGTATAAAACATGTCATTAGAGCGTGGTGGTCAGAGTCAAACGAGCTTACACGAAGAAGCTACACCGCTGTCATCACCACCTTGAAGTTGATGCTGAGTGAGCCACCTGAGGATATCACTGTTAATGGAGGAGAGTATGGAATCTCCGCCCGATGTGTCTGTGGTTTGAGCGGCGGGGCTGATGGAAGATGCAGACTGTTCAGGGGGCTGCTGCTGCCCATGTTGCTGCACTCCTGACACAGACTCTGAAAAAAATTCTGAGGCCAAGCAAGCTTCATGCAGTCACGGAGAAAATTACCCGCATCACGTCTGGCGGGCGTAACAAATTCAATCTCGCGTTTGAATGCGACAGCAGAGGCCCCGGAGGCACACAACAAGATGGAAGGGAGAATGACTTTAGTACGCATGATTATTGCCAGATACAGTTGACGTTAAACCCGTGAAAAGAAAAGCGAACAAGCAAGAAAAAAGCAGAAAAAGACGTGAACCAGGGTTGGTACGCGCAGCGTGCAACAGGAAACATGATGTGCAGAGAGGGCCCATTTATACGAGGGCGGCTGTTGGGAACAGCACTAGTTGATGCGACTTGTGCTGGCATCAAGCACCGTCACGACATGACAGGTGTGACGTGTCACATAGCCTTGACCTGCGGTTTCATTAATTTGATTGACTGTTCCTCCTTGAAACATTCTTGCGTTGCATATCTGCCATTCCGAAGATTATGGACCCCTGAACGTTGAACCCCCTGCGCTGTATATATCCGGGATGATGAGTTCCGCCGGAGAGTCGTCCTGGCAATTCGTCTATGCATCATATGTATGATCTCTTTTGTAAAACTCACTAACTGGAATCAACGGCCGCGCAGTCGATCTTTGCGTGCCTGCATGGAGTCTACCTACATGACTGGCTCATCATGTACAGGTGGCTCCTTAGAATGTCCCTAACGACGCATACTGCACTGCTTGCACGCCATCGTCTTATTGAGTCTGCCGAGTCTCTATGACATCCAAAGTGCACTGAAGATACGCTGGGCACGTCCATCCTTCCTCCGTCCCTTTAGGGTTATACTCTCCTGGGGGTTGACCGGGCTTATCACCCACGACGATACACGGCCGGTTTCAACCACCGCCTCTGCGCCAGAGCAGCAGTCGCGCCCTTTGCTCATGCGACCCAGTCGTCGATCGCCGCTTACACGATGTGCAGGTTCTTATCCGAGCAACCCACTATCCCTCGTGAAGTTATCACCGTTCGGACGTCACCGGCCATGACCAGTATGGCTCTATTCCCATGTCGCGATCCGACGATGAGGAGGGCCACAAGGAGGACTGGGTTAGCGGTGGTTCTCCAGCTCCTAAATTTCTTTCTGGCTCAGCTTCTCAGGTACTGGCTAATGAGTCTCCCCAGCTCTCCCCTTTCGCTTTTCAACAACTCTATCGTCAATTAAATTTTACCTCGCGACCCTTTCCTCTTTCACGACCTCCACTTCCTAACTCAGGATGCGGTCCTCCACCATCATTCCTATTGCTACAGCTGTTGATGCCCCCGCGCTCGTTGCGTGAGTGCTGATTGTTCTCTGTTCCGTTGCGCAGTCATTGATGGCGATATGTGTAGTGCTGCTCCCTCCCCGCAAAAGGCTTGACATCCTAGCGGGTGCCGAGGCAGAGCACGCTGTTGCCTACGCCCACGCACATGGCGTGCCCCCCTATACGCACACTTACGCTCGAGCACGGCGTGCACCCCCACTAGCAGATAAAGGGCAACAAGCACCGAAAGAGCGCGCCCCACGGTGTTCAAGCCACGCAGGTCGCTCACCGCATGCTCACGCTGAGCACGTTGCCCATCCAGCCTGCTGCGCACATCGCCCGGGAGATCGACAAGATGCCAGCGAGGCGCTTTCTCAGATGGCCACCAGGCTTGCGAGTTCGAAAAAATCCTAGCTCGCGGTGTCGCGGCGCGTCGGAGCTCACGAAAGACGAGTACCGTGTCTATGAGGCCAAGCAGAAGCTTGTCATGGGCAGCATGAAGAAGGCGCCCGAGGACGTTGTCGCTGGCGACGAATCTGAGAATATACGAGTTCACTCATAGTGTTGGCGCTATTGAAGGGCGACTGAACTTGCGCGTTCGCATTGCGGAGGGCCGGCAGCTTCGTGCTCACCATCATATGTGGCACTGATATGTGCTACCTATACACTGCTTCTGACTGAACGCATTTACCTCCGGTTCGGAACGATCGGGTGGCCAACGATCAAGGGTGACGCGTAGAACGCGATCGAGAATACGCGACCACGTGACACGTGATCTGGAGAAGCCACCACCAAAGGGCCCGAATTCCACGCTCAAGCTTTCTGATTTCAGAAACTCATCATGATGCAACACGAGACCTCAGCTGGTATACCCATCAACCAACGATGAGTCTGCTTCTTCCTCCTCGGGCCGTCCTACTCCTGCTCCCGGACCGCGTCTGTATGATTTATGCCCCCGCTTTTAACCGTCCCCGCAGTGGGGTGCGCCGATCTCGCCTTTAAAAAAGCGGGGATAATCGTGAAAGTCCTCCAGAGGTTTCCTTCCATAGGTTCCCTTCTTGTTTGACATCCCACTCTTGTGACGCTCGGCGTGCGATAGGACAGCATGGCGATACCCACAAACCGAAGGGCGATTCTACTTGCCACCTTCGTTGCCTTTGGTACCACGACTGCTTCCGCCATTCAGAGGTGGAGTATCAGCTGATTGTGTACTGATCGTTAGGCGGTGAATATTCATCCCTTTTTGTCTCCTTTTCAATCGCTGTGAGTGTCAGGTCAACTCGGACGCAATCTGTCAATGTTGACTTTGTGTTGTCCAGAACAAACCATCGGATTGCATACAGGCTTCCTCTTCGGTTATGACATTGGAGTTATTTCGGTGCGCGTTTATCTAGAGTTTGTCCGATGCACCTCCTCAAGAAGTCCACAGGGATGTCTGATTATGAAAGACTTCATCTCTCGCTTTGGCCAAATCGACAGCGACGGTCAGCCATACCTCTCGAGCTCCCGGCAGTCCATCATCACCTCCCTCCTCTCCGCTGGGTATGCACACTCATGCTCGTCTTGTTCTGCTTCTGACCAGTCTCACAGGACGTTTATTGGCGCGCTCGCACAGGCGTACACCTCCGACCGCTTCGGCCGGCGGGGTTCTATTCTCATCTGGTCGGGGATATTCACCGTTGGCACCGTCATTCAGACGAGCACAATCCATTCAATTGCCCAGATTACCGTTGGCCGATTCATTGCCGGCCTAGGAGTTGGTGCTCTGTCAGGTTCGTCAATTATCTGCCTGGGAAAAACATGCGCTGAATTTCTGTGCAGCCATCGTGCCGCTTTACAATGGAGAAACTGCCCCGAAGGCGATGCGCGGCATGCTCCTGGTCTTGTATCAGATGCAGATCATTATCGGGTGCGTATGTTTATCAGGACCATCCGTCGATTTCTCTCAGTCGTGTTTGGCTATAGAATCTTCATCAGTTACGTCATTGACCTTGGAACGCACCATCTTAACGGACCCGCATCATGGCGCATTCCCGTCGGTCTGCAGATGCTCTGGGGTTTCATACTCCTGTCAGGCATCTTCTTCCTGCCCGAATCACCGTAGGTCGCACCATCATTACCTTCGTTCCGCACGTAACTGACGCAGACGGAGTTCAGCCGTCACTTATTAGGTCAAGGCCGCGAGGAGGAGGCCCGGAAGGTCATTGCGGAGCTCAACAGCGTCGAGGTAGACGACCCGGTTGTGCTCGAGACGATCGAGGACCTCGAGTACGGCATCAAGGCAGAGAACGAGGGCGGGAAGGCGACGTGGCTAGAGTGCTTCTCGACGCGCAACATGCTGTGGAAGCGCACCATCAATGGCATGATGCTCCAATTCATACAGCAGCTGAACGGCCAGAACTTCTACTGTGAGTGCAGGGTGTGATTGTAGCTGATGGATTGTGCTGATGTGGCGTTGATGGTCTAGATTATTACGGTGACACTTTTTTCTCGGTGAGTAATCGGAAGTTGAGTGAAGGTAAGTCGACTAATCGTACGTAGAGCGCTGGTACTTCACTCTCTCCATACGCCATACAAACCATCCTGGGCGGTGTATCTGTCGCTGGCACGATCCCCGCGCTGTACCTCATCGAGACCTGGGGTCGCCGCAGGGTACGTCCCTCCTCTCCTTACTCCTCGGCACGATCTCAGTCATCACTCTTATTCAGTCCCTCCTCACCGGCGCCCTCCTCGAAGCACCATGCGCGATTATCGCTGCCCTCGCGGGGCACTTCATGCTCGCCAAAACCGGTACGCCCGACAGCCAGCTCACGTCGCGGAATCGCACGGGTGGGGATGTCCTGATCGCCTTCGGTATCCTACAAGTTTTCGCATATTCTCTCTTCTGGGGACCGACGCCATGGTGAGGCATCGATCTGTCCGTGCTGCGGGTCGGTCCATGCTGATGTGTATTGTTCAATTGAGGGTGTATCTTGGCGAGAGCTTCCCGCTGCGCGTCCGCTCCAAATGTATCGCACTAGGCAGCGCGACCAGTACGTGTATATCCTACATCCTATAACGACACGCCATCTGAGCATTTGATCCCCCCTCGCAGACTGGATCTGGAACTTCCTCCTCAGCTTCTTCGCGCCGCGCATCGCCTCGGACATCGGGCCGCTGATTCTGCTCATCTTCTTCGGGATGCTGCTTTTCGGGTTCGTTTACGTGTACCTATTCATCCCCGAGACGAAGGGCCTTTCGCTCGAGGAGGTTGACGAGCTGTACCGCGCAAACGTCGCGCCGTGGCAGTCGGCCGGCTGGCGCCCGACCGAGAAGCACCTTCACGACAAGGCGCCAGAGGCGACGGAGGTGCGGGAGGTGCGGGAGAAAACCGAGAAGGGCGAGGTTATCGACGGGGAGAGCGTGTGATCATCTGTATCTTGGTTATGGATATACGACTGTTACGATGCCAGTGACTGGTGAAAATGTATAATTAGTTTCAACTTACAAGCGCGTAACGACTTGTGAAATGACCACCTATTCAGTCCTCTAGGTCAAGCTGTTGCAAGTCGCGATGTAACGTCAGTACTAGTTGTGGGCATCTGTGGTAACACGTCTACTTGACGCCACCACCATCAATCGTGATCACTGATACGGTGCACCACGGCTACCAACTAGACTAGGCCAAGTACTGATCTTGTTGCGTCCAACCCGTTAGTCACTAGTCACTAGTTGAATCTAAAGGCACCATTAATGGTGGAGAATGGGCAGCGATCGGTGGCGCGGTACGATCATCGTGATCTGGACTGACATCAACCCCTTCAGTTTCCGACTGGTCTGCCGGCTGCAGCATGCACTCATAGCGAGTATAAAAAGGCGCGAGCGGACGCTCGTGGTGCGCCAGATCTTTCTTTCTGAACCTCCACTACCACCTTAGTACACTCTTCTCGATATTGTGCACCATGGGCAACCAAATTTTTCGAGCGCAGTTCCTCGTAGTGTCCTCTTTTCTGGTCAACTTCAGCGTACAGACCTATGGAATGCTGTCGAGCCCGAACATGAAACAGGTAGCAGACGCGGTAAGTCAAAGTCCAGGCTGGGGGTTGCGTTGCTTACCCCTCTAGCAGAATCACTTCGCGTTCTCCCCGAATCCCTGGTTCATAGCCGCGTTCTTCTCGTGCCAGGCAGCCCTCCAGGTCTATTGGATTCGACAGCTATTCAACCTGAACGGCGAGGGATATCGCAGGCTCGACGTCCCTCCGCCGAACACCTCCAGGCCACTTAATAAGTCAATGGCCGAGACAAACGGCGACGAGGAAGCCGTGAAAACGGCCCTCGACTACGTTCCCGTCTACGCACTGGGCAACCTGTGCATCGGTGAGTCGCATTTATTTTTCCGCAAAAACAGATTGTCCATGGCGGGCGCAATGCAGCGGGCTGGCTGTTCTTCTGGCTCCGCGAGAACTTTGCCGCGTCGCAGGTCTTGGTCACTATCAACACTGTCGCGCAGCTCCTCGCGGTGACCCGCCTCCCCCCTCTCACCGCATCCAGCTCCCGTCTCTTGCTCCTCACGCACCTTGTCGCAAACACCTTCGCGGGCATCGGTGTGCTTGACTTCATCGACAACGGCGGGGTCGCTCTGGTAAGTCTCATACTCTATCCATGTGCATAATTCCACTCACTGGCTTCGAGCATTATCGTGCACCCCCCTCGACACTGGTTCAATTCCTGACGTGCATCCTCTTCCCCATCTCCACGGCCGCGTCGACCCCGCTCTTCGGCTCCATCCTCCTGTACGACGTCCTCGCGATCTTCGCGGGACAATGGCCCGTTGCAGGTGCGGGTGAGTGGACTGCACGTCTTGGGTGGACTGCACTCGCCATGGGCGTCATCGTCGGGCTCAACGGTCTGACGTCCTTGAGGAACATGCGCACATTCAGTGCGTCAGTGTGTTAGCGTGTCTTACTTTCTGTATTGTCCGTGTAGCTTTCTCTCGTGTTGTGTCGTCAGAACGATGTATCTACAGTTGTCTGTCGTAATGTTACCGAAAATGTATAATTAGTCTCAATTTACACTGAGCTTGCGAGCTGCGGCAAGTCACGAAGCTGTGACGTCAGTAATGGCTTGATGGCCTTCAGGAACAGGCGTGCAGCCTAAGTTCGCATGTTATTTATTTATTTTGCTCTGTCCATGTAGCCTTCCATCGCGAGGACGATGTATCTCTAGATGTCCGCCGTAGTATGCATATGTTCTTGGACTGCTGAAATGTATGTTAGCGAAGAAGCCTCTACCTTCTAGTTAGGTTCGATATCCTCTACGGTCTCGTAGAACTCCTTAATGAGCCTTTTCTGCGCGTCGACGCCCTTCTCAGTCTGAAGAATAGCGAACGGTAAATCATTCGACTATGGGGTAAATATCACTCCAGGCGCACCTCAGTGTCGCCAATTGCTCTGATGACAATGTACTTCCGCCCCACGAGAATGTCCTCGTTGACAACGTTGTCCAACGGCGCATCGTGCGACCCTGCGACAAAGCATCCCGCTTCCTGAGCGATTATTGCACCAGCACAGATATCCCAAGGCCTACAACATAGAATGACATCCACGCCTCAAATTAAAGAAGAGCAACACGCCGCGACTCACCAGCACCCAATCTCCCTACAACCCATAGTGAGCACATCGATGCTAGTAATAAAGGGAGAAACAACGGACCAATAGATATCCATACCGCCCTGCGCGACAAGCCCGTAGTTGAGCGCTGCGCTGCCGAGCGAGCGCAGGGAGTGCGCCATGCGCCCACCCTCTACGCCCTCCTTCGGGTTCCCCGCAAGGCGCTTGAACGACTCACCTTTCACGCGGATCCCGTTGCTCGAGCGGTCAGAGCCCCATTCGACTCCTTCATGAAGGCACGCGTGAGTGCATGTGAGCGCAGACTTGCGTCGGAGCGATGGCACTGCGTACCGATGAGCGCCTGGGAGAGCGACGGCAGCGGGCGGGGCTGAGCGAGCGGGAGGCGCGCGGCAAGGCGTGCGCCCTGGGCAAGGAACGCGCCGTGGCCCTTGACAGCGGTGTAGAGCTGCTCGAGGAATGGATTGTAAATGACGCCGAGCACGGGCGTGCGCTTGTAGATCAGGCCCAGCGAGATGCAGACATGAGGGAAACCATGGATGAAATTCGTAGTACCGTCTGTAGGTGTGTGAGTGGGTGAAGGGGAAAGGGAAAGGCAAGCTTGGGAGGGGAGGGGAGTTTACCAATCGGGTCGACACAGAATGTGGGCTCGTCTGTGAGGGGTTGTCGGGAGCCTGCTGCGTAGGATTCTTCACCTATGCTGGCCCAATATCAGCCTCAGTCCTCGTAAATAGCCCGATGTCGGAGCATACAACATGGGTACTCACAACTTGAACGTGGGATAATGCGAGCCCAGCTCCTTCTTGACGAGCTCTTCCACCCGCACATCGTACTCCGTGACGAGGTCGACCGAGTTCTTCTTCTCGTCGACGTGCCCCGACGCGCGGATGGCCTCCGAGCCTTCGAGTATCAATGCTCCGGCCGAGCGCGCGAGCTTGACCGTGAACGCAAGGATCTCTTGCAGGTCGGACGCGGACAACTCGGTTCTAGCAGACATGACGGTGTCGTTCAGAAGATATTTCCGGGACGGACTTCAGCTTGCGAGGTCTTTCGAACGTGCATCGATATCGTCAGCACATACTCCGCCGGCCGAGATGCACGGGGCTCAACATCGTTCTGAGCTCGTTCCGTCACGTCATTCATCTTACTGGGCTCAGAGGCCGCTCACAACTGTAATTTGCAGGTTTCGTAACACAGCTAGACTTGGGACTTGTGCTTGAAGCTTGAAGCTTGAGCTCGAAGTGCAACTTATCTTTGGATCATCCAACAAACAGAATTCGCATCTCATTTTTCCACCAAACGGTGACCTCCTGCGCCATACAATTTACGGACATCCCGCTGAATTACATCGCCTCTGCTTGTTACAGTAGTTATGTGGCCTTGCTCGGCTGAAATCCACTCTTTGCTATAGTCTCTGACATGCACAGATGATGGTTACCGATATGTCCGCGAAGTACCTAAGCTGTTCGAGATGCAATCGCTTGCTATCTGCGGGATCAAGCAGGCGCAGCAAATCACTGGAGGAGCACTGGTTCCTGGCACACTCCATTCCTCCACCTCTTATAAGCAACAGGACTTGTTGTCTATGTTCGGAAACTTCTCCAGAATGTCTAAAATGTCTGGAAGAGCCTCCTCCACGTCTCCTCGGACGAAATCTTTGTCCTTAAAGTTGACGCGCTCCCTCCGGAATAATTCCATATTCTATCCCGAAGCTCGTGGAGTCCTCAAGGACTATGAAGCTGCCTTTGGCATGTTGTCGTCGGAGTATGGGTTTGCTGGTAGGGCCCCGTTGAAGACTCTGAGGAACCTGTAGATGCTGTTGTAGATGCTTCATCTGCAAAACTGGTCTCCACGAATATTGTCATTTATCGGGTAAGTCTCGATAGTACAAAATCCGCCTTTGAGTTGACTGTGATATTTTTCCCACAGCGATGGATGACCTGTTATGCCTCGCTATTGTCTCGACCAGTAAACGTGCACTCGCTGCCAACTTGCGATCGGCGAATTTCCAGCTTCCGTGGAACTCGCTTCCAGAAGGACTTACGCTCGCGATAATAGCTTTAGGCTGCTGCGAAGTCACGCAGCACTCAGCTGCTCTTTCAGAACACCTGAAGTACCAGAGTGCGGGGTCTCATCCAACATGCTACCAGCTAAATTCAGAATGTTAGACGTTTTTCGTTGAAACTCACCTCCTGATTTCTGTTCGTGTTTTAGTGCGAACAGACAGTCCTAGGCTGAATATGGCAAGCTGTCTGTGCTGACTTGACCTGAGGCTCTGAGAGAATGTAAGTAGCCGGTGTCGCTGGATTGCAGCCGGATCTCCAGCGAGCGCGAGCATCTACATTTGGGTTAGGTTTGTTTGTAAAATGTTGCGCCACAAACAAGAATCGGGAGGTGAGCTTCAACGAGAAACGTCCAACGTTCTGAATTTAGCTGACATGTTTGCGTAGATTTATCTAGCTGCTGATACGCTACGGCGATTGTTAGGATTGCTGTTTTGCTGCCGAGCGGTCTTTATGGACATTGTCCAAGTGATGGACTTGGAGATCTGAATAGAGAACACCTATAGCCAACATAAATATGTGTATTGCACGTACTTGTGGCAATGGTGGTTCTAGATCTATATAAGATGCATGTAATACGTCTAATAATCATATTAATAAGTATGCACGTCCGAATCGTCATACTCTACAGTTGTCAAGGTTGAAGATCAGGATGTCCTCCGCACCGATCGTCACTAGTTTGTCCATGACATCCGCCGTCTTGCTCTTCTCTACCATGCTGCTGACAGCGACCCATTCTTCATCTTCCAGCGGACTGATGGTCGGGGCGCGTCGGCCGGGCGTGATGCTAGTCGCCGCGTGGAGCTTGGAGCGGAGAATGTTGTACTCGCAGACGACATATTTACCTGCAGCGACAACGCCTGCTATACGACTGGTTATGAGCTTGATGAGCGGCTCCAAGTATTCGTGCTTCGGTTTACTAGACTTGATGAGCACTGCCTCAGTCTGCTGGACCGTGGCAATAGCATGGAGACCCGCCGCACGCATCGTATCGCCGGATTCTTCGGCGGACACGTCAGGAATCAAGACGGCAGCTAGAGCCGCCACTGCTTACCGACGAGATCCACTGCACCGAGCGCGTCAATAGAACCATCAAAACGTAGATAGAGATCGCATACCAATTCCATCGGCCAGACCGAGCGCACACGCCGCCTCGACACTGCCTCCGACATACTCGATCTTGGTCCTGTTTTCCCCAGTCAACTGGAGACTGTCGTCGATCTTGCTGAAGTACTGTCCCGAAAGCACTTCGAAGCTCGTGACAACGCGTTTCCCGGCAAGAGCTTCTGACGTCTGAATCGGCCCCGCTTCTGGGACCTGTACCTGCAGCGCGCACTTCCCAAAGCCAAGCTGCAGCACCTCCGTTATGTGCTTTTCCATCTTTGCTTCGATAATGACGTCTTGCCCAGTAATTCCGAGGTCAACGTTACCCTTACCAACGAAAGACGGGATGTCTGACGCAGGGAGAAAAACACTGCACAACATTTAGAGAGAAACACCTGAATAGCGTAAACGGGTCTTACAGAGCGATCGGGTGGTTCTTGACGAGACAGACATCTAGTCTCTGGTGTCTCCGGAACTGTATGTCCGCACCTGAAAAACAGTTCTGAGGATGCACAATTAGTTTGCACCCTAGTTACCCACCTACTAGCAACTCCAGACATTTCTCGTGGAGACGGCCCTTCTTCGGAATAGCAAAGAGAAGACGACCGTCAAGAGACTCGGCATCTGCACCCGACAGGGTTAGCACTTCAGAGCCACTGCTGCGACTGCACGCACTCATCGTGGTGGTAAAGGACAAGATTTGGCGTGTATGGTAGTAAATGTACGAGTCGGTCTCCGTTTCAACAAGTTTCAGCGCATGGCATCGTGTTGATCAAAAAGTTGTGGCAGTGATGGTGAGATAAGATTAGATGGCCCGTAAGAGGCAGATCCAGATCTGACTGGGTGGCGCCCGCGCTTAACTTGAACTTGAAGTCCGTCGGGAATTGGTCGGGAAGGACTTCAATTTGCGGCCAAGGGCCAAGGCACTGAAGGCGTCCCCATAACTTAGTACTCTCACTTCTTCGCGAGACAGAGAGATCGCAACCATTACCAAGGCATAGTGTGCTGGGACTTGTCAACGTACAACGTGTGGCAAGTCGTAACCTACTCTTAGCTGTAGTAACTCGTTCAAATTCATGATCATCTAGTTTCATATGCAAATAACTGTACCTTGCATCGTAGTTCAGCCTCCCGGCAGGAATGATCATGATACTATGTGTATTTTCCCTAAGCTAGGCCTGCAACTGAAAGGAAAACCGGCATACATGGTCCTCATATAATTACAGTATTGTGCGATAGCCTATTGGCTTGATGGGGATCGGGTTTGTTGGCATGGTGCATCAAACGACAGCATTGAGTATAACGAAGATGGATAGTGCAGAGATAGAAGTCCAAAATTACATCGCGTCAATGAGCTCTTTTAGTCTTACTTCGTCTAGGATCTCAAACCCTTTCTCTGGCGTGACCTGCAAAGTGGCGTGGGTCATAGCTTCCAGCGTAAGGAAGAGATGATCCTCACCTGTGCAAGCTGAACATTGTGGTGGTCAAGCTTCTCCTCCATAACCTGCTTCAGTATGCGCAATGTGAGAACGTGCGCTTCTTGCAGAGTCATTTGCTATGTATACAATTGTCAACCAGTCTGGCACGCAAACAAATTGGAAATTAAACGGACCTTGTGCCACTTGTCTTGTAGTTCGCTTTGCGCCGCCTCTGAACCAGACCCAATTGCCTTAGCGTCATACCGCACAAACGTACCAGAAGGATCAGTGTGGAACCTGCAAACCAACAGATTTATTAAGCGCATGCATGGCCAGAAGCAACGCATCATACTCACAGCTGAGGCCCCAGCTCATCAATACCCCCAATGAGGAGCGCAACACCGAACGGCCGACTCATCATGGCGTCCTCGTCATGCACACTCTCTCCGAACCGGAGCGCCAGATCACACACGGCCTGCGTCACGCTCTCTACCTTTATGCGCTCGTCGTAAGTGAATGCGTGGTTCTGTGCTGTTACCCGTGCGTGATCGACCATTGTGCGTGCGTCTGCGGTGAGGCCCGACATGGCGCAGCCCAGGTGGGTATCGATCTCCATGATTTTCTCAACGGTTGATGACTCGAGGAGCGGGGACTGGACACGCTTCTCTACTGCGAGCACCACGCCCTCCGGTGTACGAATGCCTACGGTGGTCGAGCCGAGCTAAGGTGTGAATGCATTTAATGGATGGTTTCAGAGTTCCTAGCAGGTCTCATACCTTGATTGCCTCGATAGCATACTCGACTGTAGGAAAATATTGGTTGAGACACTTACACTGGATCGCAAGATGAACCTGCGCACCCTGGAATAGTCGACCCTCGGGAGAGAAGGTGTTGACACCTCGGTCTGTAACGAATATGGTTTTGATGTCAATGTTCCGCACGCACGAGTCATTACATACCGTACTCTGATCGTGTCAAGAACATATCTTACGTAGAAGGAGGACTAGCAGACTGAGGGATGGTGTCGAGCAGAACGCAGTGTTACGCACTCACTGAACGCGCGTCGCGTCATGCCAGGACCCCGTAACCTCCAAACGTGACAGAATGTGACAAAACCCTTGTGTGACTGTCACGCGTCAAGACGCGTCTCCCACGACAAGCGTTCGTTCAACTGCGTCGATTCCAACGAACTCCAGCTTACAACAACTGAACTTCGTCGTTGCGACCTGCTCGCTTCACACGACCTGAGTGCTTGGATATCTACCATCTGAATTTGGTGATTTTTCTGTGTCTGAAACTTACGGTCATAACTTTTTTCTTCCAGGAGCCGGCGTTACGGATTGCAAGGAACCCTTATTCCACTCCAAGGGATTAATGCGTCTATTCGCTGCGATTTCTTTGTTGTTTACCAGCAGTTCCACTTCCGTGTTTGTGTCGTACAGGAAAATTAACGCTCATTGCGAGCATCCTAAACAGGTGCAGTTCTATGCACTAGGTCAACCTTCTCTGGTTGAGTCGTCGCTACGCATTCATTTCTATCTTGAGCGCGCCTGCCACCGGCGGATACGCGTAATCCCTTTGTGCGCGAATTGACTGTAACGTTCTTCCAGCGCCAATGGTGAGCTCGTTCCCCCATTCATTTTTCTCCGCAATTCTCACCGAACGATGTTAGCACGCACTCGATCTCTTCGGATACGCCCACCTCTTCGATACAAGCCCCGGAGGAATCGCACTCCCGACTCGCGACTCGCGGAAAAATCAGCACGAACCTTCAGAATGTAGGTCGTTGAGCATGCCCGTGCAGCCCGGTCTTCCCATGTGTCTCTCTGGCTACCACCGCAGCTTCTGGTGTCATGTTCACCATTCTATCTTGACTTCCTATCTGTTCAATCGTTGTCGCTCCGGGACGATTTCCTGCGGCACACGCAACGACACCTTCCGCGGCGTGCGGCATATTACGTGGCCGCACATGCAGGGTCGTATTGCCATGTCGGTCTGTTTGATGCTCCCAGCGTAGCGCACGCTGGGGCCTTCTCTCCCCTACAGTCCGACAACTCGGCATCTCGACACGCTGTCTGTCTGGCACATGGACGCCCTGGCTCGTCGTACCTTCTCAGCTTCTCCTGTTGCCACGCTCGTCTCCCGCCTCCCGTGAAACATCCAGGTACCTGACAGCGGCGAGTTCTCAAATCGAGTGCCCAAGTTCCAAGGGACATTCTGAGGCCGGTTTAGCGAACTTTCGCATGTTCTAGCGCACGTAGATGCCACGGCAATCCGCGTCCCACTAAGGGACAGCCGGCAATTTGCTAAGAGCAAACGAGTCATCGTGACGCGCCGTCCAAGGCTTAGAGGTGCCAATGTACAGGTAAGTATCTACTCCAGCGAGCGCCCTCTGCTACGTCCGTGTCCACAGCCGGAACAGATCAGTAGCAAAAGCCTACTTATCTCCCCGTGTCGGAATCCGCAGGCCGCAGGCGGCTCGGCTTACACGTCGACAATGCTGTCTTTGGGCACTCCTTTGTGTGCAGAAGCACGATGGCGACGGCAATGCCCGCTTCATGTAGACGTCCTGCTTCTCGAGTATGTGATTTGACTGATAGCCTGCCGACTTCTCCAGGCAACACTGTCGCGAGACGTATAGAATCCGGGCGCCCACAGGTAGACGTCATGCTCCCACCCACTGGGCAGTCTCCTCTTCGCTGTCGCTTCTCCCCGCTGACCCCGGCACTCTCCTCATCACCGTGCTTTGCTCACTGCGCTCGTGGCAACGCGCGCGACATGGCGCTTCTCGAATGCTTCTCTTCGCTCGACTGAGGCTATAGCTGCCGCCCATGGAGACGAGCACACCGCATGGACGTTCTGCATTCTATATATTCGCACCGCGCCCGCGCGCGAACGTAATCTGTGCAACAGTGTTACCTCGCTCGCACACCTGCTCTCTCGCGCGGCCCCGTGACGCCTCTCCACTTGGAGCTCCGAACACCCGCAATCTCGCGCGAGACGCGCCTTGTTGCGTTATCGGCATATCGGAATCTCATTTCCGGAAAGCGCAAGGCGCTAGAGCGTCCTTGGCCGAGCGGGGGATCTGCGCCGCCGCTGGATCGCAGGGCGCTCGCCGGTGACTAAACTATCTATGGATGTCTGGAATCCACATCGCACAAGTGCGTCGTCGGAAAAATGGGATAGCGAGCCTGGTGCGCGCTGCCGTGTGCGACCGGAGCTGCGAGGTTCGAACGTAGAAGGTTCGGCGGGCCTGGCTGTGGAGGGCGACTTGCTCTGGCCTCCCAAGGGGCCGTAATTGGGGTGCGAAACGTGCTTGGGCTTAGTGCGTTTATATGCGCGCTGTCTGTATTCGGGGAACGTCGAAGTTTCTGTCGCCCTCACTAGTGTCATTGTGAAGCGCCGAAGTCTTGGCCGAGTCGGCGAAATGGGATATTTGGTTCCGCGACGCGCTCGCGCGTCGGGCGCGCCGTATCGTCTGGGGGTATTTGTAACTGCGATGCGGGCTCGAAGGTGAGTCATGCGGAGAGCGCAGCTGAACGTGCATTCTGGGGAGAATGGAAGCACGCTGCGCCGAGCTAGTTGTGAGGGATGTATTCGTATCGCGTTGGCGTCGGCGTTATGTCGTGTCCTCGTGTCGCAAATCCGTATTGCAATTGCGTCCTATCCACTTGGCTAACTTTCTTCGCTCGTCGCAGTATATAACCGCAGATGCGTTCCGGCCACGCAATTTATCAAGACTTTCGATGGGAAGATCGCGACTTGTTGGCCGCAAGAGGCTAAAATCATTCCATTTCGCGATGTGTGTATAGTGGCCCGCGACGGCGGCGGCGATTTTGACCTAGTGGGTTTGCCCGGGTTTGGGCGCGAGCGTGATGGAGACGTCGTCCAGGTTCGGGTACCTGATACTTATGCACATCCTCTCCCGCTGTCCTCGGTCCGATGAGCGCGCAGAGGGAGATCGCGGTGCAGGCGTGCGAAGACGACGCGAACGGTGGCGGTTCCGATGCAGAGCGGCTGCGACGTTCAACGTCCTTCACAGGAACTTACCTACATATGGAGGAGGTCACCAAGCGTCGGGTTACAGCAGAGGAATAATGGACGAATCTGACGGCGTGAGAGGCGAGACCAGAGCTGCCATAAACATGCAGGGGGTTCCACTCGACGTTCTACGAGGAGGGACGGCCCAGCCTTACGCCGCCACCCAAGCGAGCCGTTGACTCGCCAGCGCAGCAGGGTCCGACGACCGGCGTCGTCCGGTCTGAATTGAACGGGCACGGTGGGGGAAAAAGTGCCGGTGGTGTTCACGCGTTCACGCGCATGGACAGCAGGACTGAGAAAGTGGGCCTTGCTGGCCATGGCCGAACCTAAGTACTGAGTGGCAGAGTGAGGGAGACAAACATGGCCGAATAGGAGCCGCCGTCATGTGGGAATCAGTGGGATATAGTAGCCCGATATAAACGTTCTACGAAGAATGTTCAGTGCGCTGTCATTTACAAGGGTAAGTACTAGTACACGTAGACAAGGAGAGCTAGAGGGGCATGCAGGTGGATTGCGCCACCAGTTCGATAGCCTCTGATGCCCTCGTGGGCGTGTCGAGCATGGCCCGAGCGCGATAAGTAGGAAGGGAGAATCGCGCTCAGGTCGAGGGCATGTGGGCGGGCTTCGGGTTCCCAGTATTACGCTAGAGCGGAAATTCTAGAAATCGGGCGCGACAAATGGCTGGTGCGGCGGAAGAGGCTACTTATCGTGCATGGATGAATAATAAACTTGCGCGAGCATGTGCGTAGAGCTCTAGAGGAACAAGGACAAGTGAGCATGTCTGCATCTGATCAACCGTGCAGCCGCGCCACTTGCGGACATAACTGGTGCGATCTCCTTTCCGGGAACCGTGACTGCAAGATGCTCAGGCAAGACTTCCGTTCCTAGTCCCCGTTCTCTCCTTCCTCCTCCTCGCCGGCAGCGCGCCTCCTACCGTATCCCCCCAGGTATCCCCATTTTCCTTAACTCCGTAGGAGCACGCGAGCACGTCTGGTGCAATTATCGCGCTTCGCCGAATAGGTAGCCGGAGACTACGTTCCGCAGACTCATGCTTCAGAAACCCCGTACGGAACACAGCGAGCGCGGGGCCTAAGTTCCTCTCCGAAGCCTTTCTCGAAGGCGTACCTAGTTCCGCGTTCTCACACCCTGGCCTTCTCTAGCGCCAGACCCCTTCTTTGCCGCCCGTCCCTACGTTACTTTTTTGTCCATTCGCGGCCTACATACCAAGCTTGTCCCTCCTTCTTCCCGACCACCACATGCTGCGCGACAAACCCACTCAACCCGTCCAACGACAGCGCCCACCCCCTCGCCCCGACTCTGATCCCCTCGCCGCCGTTCTCCTCCCCCCTCCCGATGAAACCCCCGACGCGCGCGAACGCAGGCTTCGTGCTGAGGAGGAGGCCAAGCAGCGCAGCGAGAATATCGACCGCATGATCCGCGACTCAGAGAGACACCAGCGCCGCAAAAAGGTCGTCAAAGTCCTTCTCCTCGGCCAGAGCGAGAGCGGCAAGAGCACAACTCTCAAACGTGAGTCTCTCGTGCAATTGCCGTCCCCTTTTTGCGCGAAGGGGCATCGGAGGCGCATTACGCAGCCCGCCATTCGGGGTGCATGGAACTGCGCGTTCCCCCAACATGGACGACTAGCTTGGGGTAAATCCAGTTGGCGCGTTGCGACGGTGTCCAACACGTCTTCTTATAGTCCTGGTATACCTCTGCTATGTACACAGCATAACCAGGTTTAACACGGATGGCCGTGCTCCTCGTAGCACTGCACGGCCCAATTTTTGATGCTACACCTTGCAGCTGTGTGACTTGGACAATTACATCCGTCGATATTTGTTCACGAGGTTCTGGAGCCGTGCCCCGTGCCGTCTTATCTGATTCCTGCTGCCTCCGATGCTGCTTGTTTTCTCGCATCCCTGATATTTATATATTAACGCTTCGACGACAGAATTTCAGCTGCTGCACACACCGGCTGCGTTTCATGCTGAGCGAATTGCATGGCGCTTCGTCATCTACCTAAACCTTGTGCGGTCCATTCGCCGGTAAGTTGTCTTTGCTCCAACCGTCCAAACCACCGATGTCATTATCATCCGCAGGATAATCGAGGCAATTATGCCCGAGGATGCCCAGGGTGCGGACGACCTGGATGACTTCGACTCTAACGAGACCGCGTCGATTATTATCACTTCCAACGGATGCGGGCCCTCGAATGCCAGCCATGTGCCTACATCAGCCTACGACGGCTACCGACGTCGTCTCTCACCGCTACTCCCTCTTGAGCAGCGACTGATTCAGCAGCTGTCTGACCCTGAGGACAATGAAGAGCAGGAGCCTACGCACTTACCCTCGCCCCCGCTTCACTCCCCTTCGAGCTTCAGCATGGCGTCCACCTCCACTGCGACGCTCGCGCTGTCCTCAAGCGCCCCCGGGCGTCCCGCACCTCGAATCATGATTCCCAACGGCACGGTGTCGTCGCCGACTTCGCCAGTGTCGCCATCCGAGGAGCTCACTGTGCGTGTAACGTCGAATTGGAAGAAGGCGTTCTCCGCGCTGGGCAAGAACCAGAGCCCGAAGAGCGCGCACTCGGGCGAGCTGCAAGGCTGGTGGGAGGACCCGGATGACCCGGTGCATATCATCAACCGCTGCGCACCCGTCATGTCCGAGCTATGGCGCGACGTGCGCGTGCGACACCGGCTCGCAGAGAAGCGGCTCAGGCTCCAGGAGAGTAGTGGGTTGTGAGTGCGAATACGGACACTCTGTCTGGGTGGTGGGTGCTGGTGATGGCTGACGCTGTGCTAGTTTCCTTGACGAGATTGACCGCATCACTGCGAAGATGTACTTCCCGACTGACGGTGTGTGCTATTCCTCTCTGCTAAATTAGGCACAGTTTTGACCGTTGATCACAGAGGACGTCCTGAAGGCGCGGCTGAAGACGACGGGCGTCGTGGAGCACACCTTCAGCCTCTCGAAGAGCAGCGAGTTCCGCGGGGTCGATTGGAAGATATACGACGTCGGCGGGTCACGTAGCCAGCGCCACGCGTGGGCGCCGTATTTCGACGACGGTGCGTTCTCCCGTCTTCTATCATATTTTCCTCGTCCTCTGCCGCCGTCGGCGCTTCGCTCGTTCCGTTGGATTGTCGCTCAGCTTGTACTGATACGCGGATTTGGTGCAGTGAACGCCATCATATTCCTGGCGCCGATCAGCGCTTTTGACCAAGTGCTCACGGAGGTATAACAGAGTTGCCTGAGGCCCTGCTCACGGCGCTGACGGGAAATCTGTTTCAGGACCCAGACACGAACCGCCTCGAGGACACGATTTTCTTATGGAACAGCGTTGTCTCGAACAAGCTGTTGGCGAACGTCAATATTGTGCTGTTCCTCAATAAGTGCGACCTGCTCAAGGTGCGCCCCTTATCTCATGCTTTGAGACGTCGTTCGTGAAACATGCTCTGCAGGCGAAGCTGCAAAGCGGAGTGAAACTCAAACAACATATGACTTCGTATGGTGATAGGCCAAATGACTACGACTCAGTATCGAAATGTGCGTGTTGTCCAGGTGTCGACGTCCATCGTCAACGATTTACCCTCATTCTTTGTTTTCTAGATTTTCGACACAAATTCTTGGCGCTGCATCAGAGCTTTACGCCCAACAAGGCGAGAGAACTCTTCAGTATGTGTTGTATGTTCGTGCATGTTACTGGAGTGAGGTTGACCCGTGTGCGTCTAGTCCACATGACCTCAGTCACGGATACGCGGAAAACGCATACGATCATTACGAACGGTTGGTATTCCTAGGCTATTGGGTGTCTGTGCTTAATGAACTAATTTGATGTGTCGTCTTTGTTCTCCAGTGCGAGATATTATCCTGACGGGTAATTTGCGTTCCTCGTCTCTCATGTAGAGCGCTCTGTTGTCGATCTTGCAGTCAGGTGTGTTCCCCTTGTTCAATAATCGCACCCGCCTCCTTAATCTGACCGCAACGCAGAACACGAAGTAATTTGGAACGATCCGATACAATGTAATGTGCCGTACTCCCCGATTGCTTTCCTCGCCGTATCGCTCTCGCTCTCGCGCTCTCACTCACAGTCGATTGTGATACACCACCGCCACCCCATACCGCGTCGCGACAGACGCATACATATCACATACCTTAGATACCTGAACCTCCCGCAGAACCGTTGCGGAGTAATTTGCGCTACACTTACAGATTCGTGTATACCTTTACCTGGCACGAGCCGGTTGTCTTCTTCAGCACGTAATACCTTCCTGTATCCCTATCCTACTGTTCGCGATGTAGTTTGTCTCAGTTTGCATACTATGGCTCACAAGATCGTCGGCATGCCCTCCAAGTCGGCAGTAACGCAAAAGTAACGCATATGTCACAGACAGTAACGCGTGCCGTTTTGTTACTCCGCTCGGCAGCCTAATGCGCGAAGGTCGTGACCGTGTCGTGGTGGACGCCACCACTTGAAACCCCGCTGCCGACGCTCGCGGCAGACTTCGGCCAGTGACTAGCCAGCGTGAGTCTGCGTTACATTGCAGGTCAAGAAGGGACTCCTCCAATACCGATCCATTTGAGCTCGTTCAACCTCAAGGATGATGTAGTACTATAAAATCATACATATGAGAGGTAACTAAGTGGTAGAGGCAGGGGAAAGGGCTAATTGAGCAAGGTGCCGACTTGGGGGGCATGCCGACGATCTTGTGAGCCATAGTAGTACCTTACGTTCTCCACACGCCCGGGACCCGCGTGCAGACTAAGATTGGACTACAGTCTTTAAGGAGATAACTGGATGATCGTCACGTGGATATGGACCTTGGCGATCACGTCTTGATGTGCACCTTGGCATGCAGACCGCCATCCGCTCTGCCCGTCGTTCCTTCTGCGCAAGGACCCCCACCATCCTCGCACGCCAGCATCTACCCGCCAACGCCCACAGACTCGCCCGTACTATGTCGTCCGTCACCACGCACGCGTCTCTTTCTCCCATCTCCACCACTAGTGAGCGCGATCGCACTTGGCGAAGAATAGCACTAATCATAAGGCGCGGCGCAGATGCCCCCGCCGCCGTCGGGCCCTACAGCCAGGCCATTCGGGTGGGCGACCTGCTCTTCGTGTCCGGCTCCCTGGGCATCGACCCGTCGTCTGGCAAGATGGTACGTCATCCCTTGCAGAATTAATTAGCACGATCACGCTTGTGATCATCGATCTGGTGGCTGAACGACGATCGTCGCTGCTGTTGCTGCTGTAGGTCGCTGGAGGGGTCGAGGCGCAGGCGGAGCAGGCGTTGAAGAATACGAAGTCTATTATCGAGGTGGCGGGTGGTGAGGTTGGGCGTGTGGCGAAGACGACGGTGCGTCTTGTCCTGTTTGCGTGTAAGGAAGCGCTGTTCTGATCTGGGCGCTGTGGATGATAGGTCTTCTTGCAGTCGATGGACGACTTCAAGGTCATGAATGGGATCTACGAGAAGTTCTTCGGCGGGCACAAGCCGGCACGCTCCGCCGTGCAGGTCGCGCGCCTGCCGCTTGACGGGCTGTTCGAGATCGAGTGCATTGTGAGGTGTGTGTCTTCCGTGCTGTTGATTGTATGCGTACTCACGTCACGTCGCTTCGCAGTTTGGCTTAGATTTCTGCGACTCTGCGGAAAATCGCGGGGGAAAAATAGAAGCTCGAAAAAATGCTGTTGCTGTCCATGTACACGTATCATCTCACATATGTAAGGCGGTTAGTATACGGAGGTCCAAGTTTGCAACCGCGACTCAACGCGTGTGACAGACGCGTCCAGGATGTGACTTGTGTCACGCTTCACCGCTTCAGCTTCAGCCATCTATCTTGTTATAAGCTCCCGGAGGCCTATCTATCTGACCAGCCATCTGCTCACTCCTATTTCCACAGGATCTATTTTGACTACAGCTCTTCTCTATGTTTCTGTTTGTCTGCGAGACTTCTGTCAAGCCCCCGGGCACTGCGATTAGACTTGATCAAACGCACTGCCGCGGCCTCGACTCGGACTCGACTCCCGCATCACTCGACGTCGACATTCCATGATTCAAAAGTGACGATGACGTTCTCGTCCAGCATGATTGTTCGACTAACTAAGCTAGCTGTGTCCTATAAATCGGCATCTTCAGTTGCCTCTTTGCAGTGGATGTCATCCAGGCTCTTCACAACCGAGGCGTGAAACCCACTCAGGTGATGGGTCTCGCTATTGTCTCAAGACAATCAAATCACCCTCTGCAGCGACCGCATCAAGCGTCGGCGTGAGGACCGGGCATCCACAGGCACAATAATCCGGCCACCAGCGCATATACCTCGCGTTGCGCGCTCTGGAATTGCGCTGTATTTTCCTTACCTTCTTCCACTTGCACTAGGTTAGGCCTGTGCGGTTTCAATTTTCCCGTATGGCCCTTCTGTTATGGGACTCTTGGAAACGCACAGACTCCCTGCCTTCAGCTAGTTCTTCAGGTGGTCAGTATTGATCCCTGATGAGATTGGACGTGACGCTAAACCGCCTGCGCAGATTCTATCTTTTCTGTCATCCTCAAACAGACGGCCCACTAATGAAGTGCGCTTTCAGGGCCGGCAGCGCAGGACGCAACCGCAGTGCCTTCTTCTTCTGTGTCGTCTCCGTCTGTGCAAAGCTCTGCGGTCACTGTCCCTTCTGCATCTGCTTTGGGTAGTGCCTCCTCCGCCCTTCGAGCAGCTGCTGGTGTTCCCTCTGTCTCGCTGCTTACATCTTCTGCGTCCGTACCTGCATCATCTCTATCTTCGTCTCTCATGTCTACACCCTCATCCTCATCGGCAAACCCAGCTGCGGCACCTCTCATTGCACCCTTCGTTGAATCATCGTATTCTAGCTCTTCCTTCAGCTCCTTCTCGAGCTCTGTATCCTCCAGCTCATATTCGAGCTTCAGCGTGTCATCATCCAGCAGTTCGAGCTCTAGTTCGCCCTCCGCGAGTTCGTCCAGTACGGATCCAGCTACTGAGGTGCCTTCAACATCGTATGTCTCGTTTTTCTCTGCTCGTGAATTTGAGCATATCTTGATGAGTTACGCGGAACCTGTAGCCCAGGGAATTCATTTTTGCAGGAATTGCCATCCTCTTCATCATCCTCTCCGTCCTCGTCTTTTTCCGTACCATCCACGAGCGATACGCCCACCCCTACTTTCACCCCGACACCGACAGAAAACGCGGGCGCCGCAAATCCCGAGGTGATCCTATCCGCCACGTATTCGGGACCGATAGCGTAAGTGTAATTCCGTACTTTTTGTTCGTACATCAATCTGGAAGGGCTGTTTCAGTGGTGATGCTGGTATCAATGATCCCCCATCTGATCCTTCATCGTCTGGCACCACGCTGTTTGTCAACCCAACTCCAGTAAATGCAGGAACAGGCAGCGCCACGACAATCATTCAAACAGATATCCCTTCTGCGTTTAACACAGGACAACAGGCCGTCGCAAAGTGAGCATCTAGAGATACAGATTTTTCCAAGCAAAAATTAACCGAGCCTTCACCCCCCTTCAGATCGAATACTAAAACGGCGCAAATTCTGGGAGGCGTGCTCGGTGGTCTCTCCGCGCTTCTCGTGATCATCCTCGCTGCCTTCATCTGGAGGCGCTACCGCCGCAAACGCGTGCATTCGGTGCAATGGATAGGTGCGCTCCCGCCCGAGGCACTTTGGCAGCCCCGTCCGTCGCCGCGCTCGCCTTCCTTCATCATGCGCTCGCCGCCCTCGAGCGACTTCAACCACAGCTCACCGTACTCGCCGCCCTCGGCGCAGTCGCAGGCTGCGCAGATGAGCGAAGCATACGCGTACTCGGCGGACGGGCACACCGCGTCATCAGACGGGCACGGTGGGCACCCCGCGCCGTTCGCCCGGCGCCCGACCCCGACGATCTCGCCGCGGCTCATCGTCACCGGAGTCTCCGCGCCCGCGGGGGCCACAGGCTCGGGCACGTATGACGGCAGCACGACGGACTTGCTGATGGCGGAGGACGACCCGTTCGCGGACCCCGTCGCGACCGCCCGCGCGAACCCGCGCGTGATGGCGCCATCGCCGACGATACGCGCGCCGGATGCCGTGGCGAACCCGTTTGGTGAGTTCCGCGCGCCTCGGTCGATGGTGTCGGATTCACTGTATAGCGTGTCGACGCCGGGAGCGTCCCGGCACGACCTTTCGGTGAGCGGTCCCGTCAGCGTGTTGAGTGTTGGGGTGCTGTGCTGATGTGCGTTGGGCCGTACAGGTTGCATATGCGGTGTAGGATGATGCATTGTATAATGTATGTGATGCAGAGGACGACGTGAACGGGCATATCATATTCACTAGCGGCGAACGAGATGGGGACGAATCAGGCCATCCGCGGGCTATCCACACGACGTTCCTTCACTGCTTTCCTTCGTTGTCGATATTTATTCGCGGTCGTTACGCCGGACATACACTGCGTGTTGTTGTTGTAAGCATGTATTATGCTCATGATTGAGGCAGGGTCTTGAAGGCTGCTCGCGCGCATCGCCCACAATGAATATTGCTTCAGGACTGATGGTACGCAGTCGTCACTGCGATGTATAAAATCGTCGACGTCCCTATGGCTACATGGATCTTGACAGTTTATGCGTTTGTACAAACCTACGTGTAAACACGTCTCAGAGCTCTGGTGCGAGTCGGAGATTGCGAATTTCGTGTGTCCGTACCGAAAGCAAGACACGAAATGCGAGATGAAACTGAAACCCCAGAAAATGGTAGGATGAATCAGTGAGCGAAGGCGGCGACGAGGGCGTCGAAGAACACGTCGCCCCACGGGATGTCGGAGAGCCGCGTCTTCTCGCGGATAATGGAGAACGCCTGCTTGATCAGCTCGGCATCGCGAATCTGAAAGGCGTAGTTGCATAAGTTTCAGCCCCAAGGCAGTCTAAGCGGCATGCGTACGCGAAATTCGTCGAAGGTGATGTCGGCGCGCGTGACATAGAGGTTGATAGTGCCCATCGGGAACCGCAAGACATTCGACAGATCGAGCGGAAACTGCATGAGTGACGTGAACAGCTGCCTGCATATCACGGAGCATCGCGTCAGCGTCTTTCACTCCGGGGAGCAAGCAAAGGACGCGACGCACGTCCAGAACCCGGTGACCTCCCGCTGGTAAGTCCAGTGCACGCGCACCCAGCGCGCCTCCTCTGCGACCATAACGAACGAGCCCTTGTCCTCGTTCCAGTCGCGTCGCAACTGCGCGTCAACACGGCCGAACGTGTAGATGCGGGCCTCGGTGTTGTGGAGGTGCAGCTGGCGCGCGAAGGCGGACATACGCATCTCGTCTTTACCGTGCAGGAACACGGGGAGCAGTGGCTTCTCCCCTTTCCTCGGGTCGACCTCCTCCTTTGCTTCTTCCTCCCAGTCTGCATCTGAGTCGGTAATTTCCTCCTCACCTGCTGCATTTGCTACACGCTCCTCTCCCCCATCATAGTGGTCCGCAGAACCGCCAGAGAACTTACTAACTAGTACCGTGTCCGATAGACCCGACAACTCGACATTCGTCCAAAAGTCGTCCAAGCGCAGAATCTCGCCCGTACATATCGTACCGATAAGGTTTTCACGGAGGCGCCGGATCCACTCTGGCGTCGCGTTGCTTCGGTACACCCTGATCCTCAGCCCGTCAAGCACAACATTCGCCCACGGGCCCGCGGTCTGGCGGAGGAGCAGCGGGAAGGCCCAGAAGGTGGTGTCGAGGCTAGACACGGAGATATCGGCGGTAGTGCAGGTGTAGAACATGGACTTCGCGGAGAAGGTGAACCAGCGTGGGTGCCTGCGCGTGGGGAGGTGGAAGCGCAAGGCGATGTGCGAGCATGTGAACAAGAAGGAGTACGTGCCACTGAAAAGGCTGCTCTCGTAGCGGACGTCGTGCACGCTGAGTGTGAGCAGCGAGAAGTGCCCGATGGTAAGAAACTGGTCCGCGACACGCTTGCGCAGGATGTAGGAGACGAAGGAAAGGAAGGCAATGCGGAAGACGTTGAGATATGCGTACAGAACCATCGTGAAGCCCGAACAAATAGTATACAGAACGTACAGAGATTCAGATAATCATTTCATACAGACTGCAGAACTCTTGCCGCGTGTTGGAGAGAGACATGGTGGTGCCGTGGAGAAAGGCAACGTCGGCGCCATCGACCGTAGGCGCCCTTACAATTCCCGGTCACGTGGTGGGCGCTCTACAACACCCGCCGTTGCCTAATACGTGCTTGAATTAGTCGTCCTTTACCTTCATTGCGCCCATGAACGGCAGGTCTCACACCACCAGTGCAGCCATGGAAGAGGATTCTTCACTGGAGCCCACTCTGCAATCTGACATCTCGCTCTTAACTGCTCTACTCGCGCAAGATCAGTCCGACGAGAACGACCCTGATATTGCGGAGCTCTTGCGCAGGCTTGAGACTGCGGATGGCGTGGCAAAAGGCGTCGAGAGTCGCTTGGATGCGATTATAGGAGACTTGGACAGCATCTTGGGCACGCTGGAGCCGAACGAGCAGATCGTCGTCTCCGAAGAAGTGCGCATCTCACGGGAGGGCGACACCGTCACTGAGGAAGCGTCCAGGGTAGTAGTCAGGGAAAAGTTGGAACCCGAGGTTGGAGCGGACGCTAGAGAGAAATAAGACCCGCCTGCCCAGTGTGCAGGATGATGTCTCGTCTAATGTGCATGCGATCTCGTGAGTGTTGTGCACATCTCTTACTGATGCCATGCTCAATGAACCCAGGTTAAGTGGAACATGATGCACATATGCACCCCCAGTTCGAAGGCCGCGCCAGTGCACCAATTGGCCACGGTGGACGACGATCATGACTTTCTTTCGATTTCGTTTGCCGTCAGGAAGCCAGATCTTGAGATGTCCAGCCCCGCGCGATGGCTGCAGCGGCCCAGATACGTTTGGGTAATCACCTTGCAGGGAATGGGTAATCAGCGTTCAGGGAATGGATGGCGTGAAGAGCGGGGTGACTGTTCGTCAATGATGTTCTTGTGTGGGAGGGTGGAGGAATGTGCTCACCAGCTTTTGACCGTGGCTCTTTCAATTGATGGATGGTTCTTCCATAATCGTGTTGTTATTGTAGTTTGTCAGAAGATGTTTATGTCGAGTACTTGTTGAAACAGTGTACTTGTACACGAAGACCGGCGCTCGAAAGCCGCCCTGTGTAACTTTCACCGTAACCGCGTGCACGGCCACCTCGAACGCGCCTTTCTGCACCTTTCTGCGTGCAACAACAGGAACCCAACTCAATCGATCACTTTGCTGTATATTGTATTGCCAGCAAATATTCCGCCGCTGCTCTGCTATCACCTGTAACTTTATCTCAAACACCGCACGTCGCCACATGCAGGCCATCGAAGCCAGCCTGAGAGCACTCTCGAAATCTCTCGCCAGCGGACCCGTTGATCAACAAACTCTAGATGCGCTCGTGTCGAAGGCAATAGCGGGCGCAAAGAAGAGGTCGACCGTATCTCCGGAGACCAGAAAGAACCAGTGGGAGTTTGTGCTCCGCAATGAGATCTTCACCCTCGCGGTGCGTTCCGTTTTCTTTACTCATGCGCTGGTACATCTAAACGCGCACACAGGCTACTGAGGGCAATGCCCTGAACTCCTCAAACACGAAATACTACGATGACCTCCGGGCAGGGCTCGACCTCGTCCTAACATTCACCGAGCACGGTGCGTCCACCTCCTTACCCTCCCGCTGCCACTCACGTACGCTGACAACCCACCCGCGCAGACGCCTGCGAGCATGTGTTCCCCTTCAATGTGCTCTACGACCTGGTCGAGATGCAGACGATCGCGTCGTGCGAGGTTATTTTCTCGTGGATAGAGGCGCGCACGGACCGCCTCACGGAGGGCATGGTCCCGCAGAAGGGCAAGGCGCTCGTCCTCCTCCGCACGCTCAACGACCTCCTCCGCCGCCTCTCCAAGATGGGCGCGACCACGCTCTTCTGTGGGCGCATCCTCACGTTCCTCAGCCAGGTCTTCCCGCTCGGCGAGCGGAGTGGCGTGAATCTGAGAGGTGAGTATGGCCCGGTGTGGGATGGCCCCGGAGCGAAAGGTGAGAGCGAGCGCGGGCCGACGATGGACGTGGACGCGGAGAAGAAAGAAGTCGAAGAGGACAAGATGGTCGTGGATGAGGAGAACTCGGAGGGTAAGGAGGGCGAGGAGAGCGCCGCTGCGAAGGAAGCGAAGCGGGAGCAGAAAGAAGGTGCGTCTGGTCGTGGATCAGACATACGTCGACCTCTTCATGGCCCTCCCCAGATTTCTACCATACGTTCTGGTCGTTGCAGCTGCCGTTCTCGTGGCCCCATGCTTTCTCTGAGCCTTCCGCCTTCCCTGCATTTAAGGATGCCGTGGCCAAGGTGCTACCTGTCATCAAGGAGGCGACGGCGAAGGAGCGCGCGTTGATGGGCGGCAAGAATGTCGCGAGCGCGTCGAGTCGCTCTCTGAAGCGCAAGCGCGGCGCTGAAGAAGTGGCACTGAAGGCAGACAGGGAATATTTCTTTGCTAAATACCTGACTAGTCCTGAGCTCCTAGAACTTGAGGTTCGGTTTTCTCTTTGACCATTAACTACGACATCTCGTGCTAAAATCCCATATCATCTAGGTCGCCGACACACACTTCCGCCGCCAGTTCCTTTTCCAGCTCCTCATCCTGTTGAATCACCTACTGAACTTCACCAAGGGCGCGAAAGCGACATGGTCCCACCCACGCAACCGCTCGCTGCAGATCGACTTCACGCTCGAGCCTGCAGACACGCAGTGGGTGCATGACACGGCCGCGAAGGCGACCGAGGAACTGCGGCAGACCGCGCCGGGCGGGCGGGCGTTCGCGGAGACTGTCAAGGTCGTGCTCGAACGCGAGAAGAACTGGGTCCGCTGGAAGAACGAGCTCTGCTCGCCGTTCGATCGTGACCCATGGTCCGAGGAGGTCACCCTCGTGGACGGCACAAAGAAGCGCGTCGGGCTGGAGGAGGCGACGGTGGAGGTGCGCAAGCGGATGCGCGTGGAGCCCAAGGACTGGGAGCATAAGCTGGGCTCGGGCCCGTTGACGGAGATTTGGGCGATGGGTTATCGGGACATGAACGACCTGCGCCATCCTTTCCAGTTGAGCGTTTGCCGCTGCATGATATATTACCTGTTTGCTGACCGCGAGTTTTCGTCAGACCGGGAGACGTGAAGGACTTCGTGAAGAAAGTCAAGCAGGAGGACATACGGATCGAGATGCGTAGGACGCAGCTGATCAGGACTGCCGAGCGCATACAACAAGCTCGTGCAAAGGTGACTGCAACGCACAAGGAGGCAGCGGCCCATGCAGGTGCTGCGTCCCCTGCCGCCGGATCACCGATGCATCTGTCCCCTTCGTCATCGCAAGAGGCCATCAGCGCCGGGCAGCCTGCCCACCCACGCGCCATCCACGCGTCCCCCCTCCACCCGTCTCTCCCCGCCAAACCAGGCACTACTCCTGTTCCATCATCCACATCTCAGGACAGTTTGGTCGCCCTGTCATCCTCGCCTGCACGGGTCAGCACACCGGTTCCGCCAGCGCCCGTGGCGCCTACTGCTGCACCAGCACACGGAGAGACCGCGCCGGTAGTCCTACCTCCAGATGACCAAATAACCCAGTACGAAGAGGTGAGTCTCGGTCGGTGATGTAATAATATTCCCGCGCGCTTATCTGACCGTCCTACCTTGCAGAACAAGCAGCGCTGGTCGTGGCTGGCCCTGCGGACAGCGCGCGACCAATACATGCAGCACTTGGGCAAAATCGGCACGGGGGACATCACCCTTCTGTTGCAAGACATCGAGCAGGAAGCCGAGGAAAAGCGAGAGAGGGCAGCCGCAGAAGAATCCACCCCGGGCAGCGGGGTGGTCGGCGGGTCTGGCGACGAGCGTGCGGCGAGTCCGATTACCGCAGGTGCAAACGCAAACGCCAGCGGGTCAACGGGACGGAAAGCGAACGGGGATAGAGATGTGAAAATGGATCCGGAGGAGCGATAGGCTTTCGCGGATCTGTGGGCATTGGACCGGAGATGTTTTCTGGCCCGCGCTGCTGGCGTTCTGAGGCCACGGCTTGTATCCAATGTATTTTCAGGCTGGGACAATTCGAGTCGAGCCTGGGCGTGTTGTACGGTGCTCACTCCCCTATGCGCATGTGCATGAGGGCCAGAACAAATGTTTGCATGAGAAAGCAGACAGGCGAGATGTGTCTTGAGTTGGAGGGCTCCAGGCGGTCCGGCAGTGGTCCGGACCACATGGGCATCGAGTTCGCGACGAGTGCAGATAAAAGGACATTGCCTCCTCGTCGTTCGTTTTCGCCAACTCTTCCTCCCCCAGATTTAGAAATGTCTGCAACACAGTCCTCTTCTCTTTCCGTGGGTCGAGCTCACATTTTCTTTCACTCTCGCTCACTCTTTCGCACAGCGCGTGCTCGTTACTGGCGGCGCAGGCTACATCGGTGCGCGATCGTTCCTGAAGTACTTGGCTTCAACGTAGCAGGGTGTTTCTGAGAGACATTTTGGACACAGGTTCGCATGTCGTGTACGCCCTCCAGGCGACGCGGCGGTACAAGGTCATCTCAATAGACAATTACCATAACTCTTCTCCGAAGGCACTAGAGCGCGTCGCGCAGATTGCGCGAAGCAATCTCCCTCCTAATGCTACCGCCCAGGACAAAGACAGCGCGGAAATCGACGTATTCACGTGTGATCTCACCGAGCCCGAGCAAGTCCGGAAGGTCTTCGCCCACTACGGGAAGGGAGGGATCTGGGGTGTTATTCACATTGCCGTGAGTCCATATCTAACTCTACGGCTGTGCGTCGAAATTCATGTGGTCTGAAGGCGTATAAAGCGGTGGGCGAGTCGACGCAGATTCCCGTGACATACTACGCGAATAACGTGGGCGCGACCATCACGCTGCTGCAGGTCATGGGCGAGTACGGTTGTACGCGAATCGTCTACTCGTCCAGCGCAACGGTGTACGGCATACCTCCCACGATCCCTATTCCTGAGACAACGCGTCTGCAGGCACTGAGCCCATACGGAAAGACCAAGGTGATGTCTGAGACGATCATAGAGGATCTCTGTCGTGGTACGCCGTGCCATCCTTCAATTCCGAGGTTACGGCCACGCTGACGGACATCATAGCGGAGCCAAATACATGGTGTGGGCTTTTGCTGCGATACTTCAAGTACGAATGAGAGCTTTTCTACTGTTGTGTTCGAGATTGATGTGGTACTCCATCCAGCCCCGCGGGCGCACATCCATCGGGCCTCATGGGCGAGGATCCCCGCGGAAAGCCAGAAAATCTCCTGCCCCTACTGTCTGCAATTGCTGTAGGGCGCGTGAAGGACAAGCTCGAGGTATTCGGTAACGACTACCCCACTCCGTGAGTACACGCTATTTGCTTCCCGCTTCAGCTCATCCCTACATCTTATACTTGTCCTGCAGCGATGGTACCTGCGTGCGCGACTATCTCCACGTGATCGACCTTGCGAAGGGGCATCTGCTCGCGCTCGATGCTCTAGAGCCCGGTTCAAAAGTGTTCGACAACTGCCCGAGCGCCGCGCGCTTCAAGGCGTACAACCTCGGGAAGGGTAAAGGCATGAGTGTGCTGCAGATGATCGAGGCGATGCGCAAGGCGACCGGATTTAATTACCAGTATGAAGTCGTTGGCCGGAGGTGCGTGCTCCAGTATGGCGGCTACGGTTCTTAGTCTGATGCACACGTACAGGGAGGGCGATGTTCCGGACCTCACGGCCAACCCGGCTCTCGCGGAGAAAGAACTCGGCTTTACCGCGCCTGCCGATCTAGAAACGATGTGCAGGGACCTCTGGAATTGGCAGTCGAAGAACCCGAACGGGTACGACGGGCCATCCGCCTGAGCAATACAGATATTTTATAGAGAACATGAAGCAGACAGAGAAAGCGCATGAGAAGTGCTACTCTAAATGTATATGATTCGGACCTTCGCCATTAGCCCCATCATAGAATACCTTTTACAGTGTACACAGTACAGGGATACTGTACTTATAATCTCATCATTATAATCTCAGCAATACAGAAGTTCCTCTTAGGCCCGCCCCTAGGCTTGTGCGTCATGTCGTGAACGTCGACGGTATCGGAGATTGGAGGCAGATGAGGATCTCTTGCTTGTAGGGCTTTGACAAGCAGGTTCGTACCTTGCAATCGGACGGCGATCTCTATTACGGGCCGTGGCGACGGACCGAGGCCTCCCCCAATTTCCGAGCACTCAAGCGTGTGTCCTCAGCTGGGGTAACCTCACCTGCTGCTTCCGTTCCATGGCGTACAACTTGTCTTCCTCCCAATTTCTGATCCACAATTTTGCTGTCGAAATTTGGAGGTCGTTTGTGTCACTGCTCCTGTCTTCAGCTTCGCAGGAGTAATTTAACCTTGCTACCTACCACCAATGGCTACTTGCAGCGAGCTGCATGGTGAGTGTAAGCAACTCAAGTTGCTACCACAAGCCATCCAACTCGCTCGCACATGACTGGCATGACTTGTGTTGCCCGGGCAGCTCTCTCCGGTGTATTCTGTCGTGACAACTTGCTTTTCCGCCAGTCTTTGGTGCAATCCCCGATCCATTCGACATTCTCCGGTAGAGAGTACCGCCCTGAGCTCTCGAATCAGGACTTGTAGGTACGTCAGTATCTTGGGCTCAAAGATAGTAGGGTTCAAGCGGTTTCGTCGTAACCTTCGTCTACTACAGTGGGGTGAGTAAACCTGTGCCGTACGGTGGATTAACCAAGCCGCTCGACTGCCTTCTTATATGGTCGCTGGTATTCCTCTGTCGCCCACAGCGATTCTAGCAAGTCGTTCGCTTCAAGTTCCTTTCGATGTGTCTCTTGCGACCCGTGGGAGGAGGGCGACGGTCCGGCAGTGGTCCGGACCACATGGCCATCGAGTTCGCGACAAGCAGATAAAAGGACTTTGCCTCCTCGACGTTCGTTTCCGTTGACTCTTCCTCCCCTAGATACTCAAGTTTGCATATGTCAGCGACGCAGGACCCTTCTCTACGCGTGGGTCTGGCTCACATCATTCTTCACTCTCGCTCACTTTTGCACAGCGCGTGCTCGTTACCGGGGGCGCAGGTTACATCGGCGCGTGATCATTGCTAGGCTTCATCGCATCGGGCTATTATTTACGAGATATTTTGAACATAGGCTCTCATGTCGTGTACGCCCTCCAGGCGACGCGGCGCTACAAGGTCATCTCAATAGACAACCACCACAATGCTTCCCCGAAGGCACTCGAGCGCGTCGCGCAGATCGCACGCAGCAATCTCCCTCCCAATGCTACCGCCCAGGACAAGGACAGCGCGGAAATCGACGTATTCACGTGTGATCTCACCGAGCCCGAGCAAGTCCGGAAGGTCTTCGCCCATTACGGGAAGGGAGGGATCTGGGGTGTTATTCACATTGCCGTGAGTCTGCATATCTAACTCTACAGCTGTGTGTTGAAATTCATGTGGTCGGAAGGCGTATAAAGCGGTGGGCGAGTCGACGCAGATCCCCGTGACCTACTACGCGAATAACGTGGGCGCGACGATCAAGCTGCTACAGATCATGCGCGAGTATAGTTGCACGCGACTCGTCTATTCGTCGAGCGCGACTGTGTACGGCGTCCCGCCAGTGATCCCCATTCCTGAGACAACGCGTCTGCAGGCGCAGAGCCCGTACGGAAAGACCAAGGTGATGTCCGAGACAATCATAGAGGATCTCTGTCATGGTACGACGCGCCAGCCGTTTTCTCCAATTCCGAAGTTACCCCACGCTGACGAGAGTCACAGCGGAACCAAATACATGGCGCGCGCTTTCGCTGCGGTATTTCAAGTACGAATAAGAGTTTCTCTGCTGTCGCGTCCGAGACTGAACACGAAACTTCATCCAGCCCCGCAGGTGCACATCCGTCAGGCCTCATCGGCGAGGATCCCCGTGGAAAGCCAGGCAACCTATTGCCTTTACTGTCTGCAATAGCTGTTGGACGCGTGAAGGACCAGTTCCAGGTATTCGGCAACGACTACCCCACCTCGTGAGCGTGCACGTCATCTCTGGCTCATATTCACTCACCACACTTACGCTGCAGCGACGGCACCTGCGTGCGTGACTACCTGCACGTGCTCGACCTCGCCAACGGGCACTTGCTCGCGCTAGACGCGCTCTCCCCCGAGTCGAAAGTGTTCGACAACTGTTCGAGCGTCGCGCGATTCAAGGCTTACAACCTCGGAAAGGGTAAGGGCATGAGCGTGCTGCAGATGATAGAGGCAATGCACAAGGCGACCGGGTTTAACTACCAGTATGAGATTGTTGGTCGGAGGCGCGTATTCCTTTGTAGCGGTTGGCCCACGGTTCCCAGTCTAATGCTCTTGAGCACAGGGAGGGCGATGTCCCAGACCTCACGGCGGACCCCACTCTCGCAGAGAAAGAACTTGGCTTTACCGCGCATTCTGATCTAGAAACGATGTGCAAGGACCTCTGGAATTGGCAGTCGAAGAGCCCGAACGGGTACGACGGGCCCGGTGCCTGAGCACCACGGACATTATATAGAGGAAACGAAACCAGACAGAGAAGGTGCAAGAGGAGTGCCAAGTACTGTGACCGTACGAGTCGGACTTGGCCTCTTTGCTAAGGGCGGCGTCATCAAATACCTTTTACAGTGTACTCAGTTCAGGGATACTGTATTTATAATCTCACAGAATATCCTCTGGGCGACGCGCATCATCTCGTACATGCCTACGGAATCGGAGATTGGACAGACGTCATGTATTGCAGATTTCTTAGCTTTGACAGGCAGGTTCGAACCTTTCAATCGAACGGCGGTCTCTATTGCGGGCCGTGGCGACGGACCGAGGCTTCCCTCGAAATTCCGAGCGCGTCTTCAAGTGTTTGTAGGCATTGGGCAATTGTCGTCCCTGAGTAACCTGCTACTGAAGCCGTTACACGGCTTACAACTGGTCTTCCTCCAGTCCCTGATCCGCGGTATACTTGCGGAATTTTCCGCACCCTCAGGATCTTGGAATGTCCTGGTGGGGTGCATTATCCCTTCGCTCACTATCATCGCGACACCAGGCTATCTAACCCCGGCTTTTTTCTGCTGTCGACATTAGAGTCCGGATGTGTCGCCGCTCTTGTCTTCAGCTCCACAAGAATAATTTGACCTTACTACCCACCGCCAATGGCTGCCTGATACCACAAGCCATGCAGCTGGCACCCACATGACTAGCATGAATTGTGTTGCCCGGACAGCTCTCTCCGGTTTATTCTGTCGTGACAGCTTAGTCTTCTGGATGTCTTTGGTACAATCACCGATTCCTTCGACATTCTCCGGTAGAAAGCGCCGCTCTCAGCTCTCCATCTGGAACTCGTAGGTTTGTTTGTATCTTGTGCTCAGAGATAGTAGGGTTTAAGCGGTTTCGTCATAGCTTACCGAACCTTCTGTTAGTGATCCAACATTCCTCCACTAAGGGAGGTGAGTAAACCTGTGATCACTGAGCAGTGGTGGGACAAACCAGCGGCTCCACCACTTTCTTATCTGGCCCGGTTGCTATTTATCGTCCACGCCGATTCCAGCAAGTCGCTTCCTTTCAGGGTGTCTCTCTTCTTCGAGATTTAATGCTGTCTAACTAAGTTGCCCTTGAAGTTGCGGGACCCTCGCCAAAATAATCTTGCGCGAGTGCTGTTGGTTAGCCTTTTTGACCTAGATATGCATATATCAACCTGCCTTGGTACTTTTTTTTGCTCGAGCTGTGACGAAGGTCATAGAACATTGAAGATCCGGCCCAAGACGTCACACATGACCAAGACGTCCTTCCATACAGCTCCACCTGAGCAAAGTCCTGGGATACTGAGGTGCGTCGAAGTCTTCCTGCATATCTCTACCTGCGGCACGGGATCCCGGCCCTCAGACGCGATGCACACGAAGTCTTCTCTCTGTGGATTGCGTCGTGGCGAACTACCTGTTCCACCTCCTTCGGCTCTCCGTATTTTTCACCGCGGTGCTTGAGGGATATGCATTCGGAGTCAGTGTCAGGTGAATATAAGACCTGGGATACTCTCACTAGTCATCCAGCTTCCCTTCCAGCTGGTTGTCCTTCCCTTCCTCGCTGAACGACTTGTGGCATGAGACATGGCCGTGCCTACGAACCGCCGGGCAATTTTGCTTGCGATCTTTATTGCATTCGGTAAATTCGTTCAGTCGTAAGTGCGAGAATGTGGTGACTCATTTAGCTGGGCTTTTGCAGGAGGTGATCATTCATTGCGACATCCTATTTTTTTCCCTATGCGAGTAAGTACTTACCATGCTGACCATCGTGCGGGGTAAAAATTCTAACCAGCACTGTGTAGATTGACTTGCCTCCCAGGATTTCTGTTCGGTTATGACATGGGTGTGATTTCGGTGTGTTTACATGATAGTGGTATAGGATATATTTAGATCTGTTACTGAAACTCTATCTGCAGGGATGTCTGATCATGCCAGACTTCGCTGCTCGCTTCGGCCAGATTGGGTCAGACGGAAAACCGTATCTGTCTAGCTCTCGCCAGTCCATCATAACATCTCTGCTATCGGCGGGGTCAGTGAATCCCGATGCAATACGTTTCTATGCACATTAAACTCTCGCAGAACGTTCGTTGGCTCGTTGGCTCAAGCGTTCACTTCCGACCGGTTTGGCCGTCGAGGCTCTATCCTCATATGGTCCGCGGTCTTCACCGTCGGCACTGCGATACAGACCAGTACTATGCACTCAATCGTGCAGATCACCGTCGGTCGGTTCATTGCTGGGCTTGGTGTCGGTGCCCTGTCAGGTACGTGAGAGGTTTTTTGTTACGCTCTGAGTTTGTTCCGAGCCTGCCCCCAAGCCATCGTACCGCTTTACAACGGGGAGACGTCACCGAAAGCGCTGCGAGGAATGCTCCTGGTGTTCTACCAAGTTCAGATCATCTCAGGGTGGGTATCGTCATGTTATTCCATGACTTCATAGTCTTACGACAATGTTTCGCAGGATCTTCATAAGCTATCTCATTGAACTTGGGACACACACCATAAATGGCCCTGCTTCGTGGCGCATTCCAGTGGGCCTCCAGATCTTGTGGGGCTGCATCCTTCTCTCGGGGATCTTCTTCCTCCCTGAATCACCGTGCGCTTCCTCAGATGTTTCTATTGTACTTACTGATCACCTTCATCTCAATAGCCGTCACCTGCTGGGAACCGGCAGGGAAGAAGAAGCACGCGTGGTGGTAGCGGAGCTGAATAGTGTATCCCAAGACGATCCTGTTGTCGCGGAGATTCTCGAGGAGCTCGAGTTTGGCATCAAGGCAGAGAACGACGGCGGGAAGGCGACATGGCTGGAGTGTTTCTCAACACGGAACCTGCTATGGAGGCGGACGATTAATGGCATGATGCTGCAGTTCATTCAGCAGCTGAATGGGCAGAACTTCTACTGTGAGTGTTGGGCGTACAATCCCTACAGTCTCGTCTTAAACCTGTCGTATTATTACAGATTACTACGGCGACACATTCTTCTCCGTGGGTCTCTTCATTTATCCGCTATTCATGGCTCACACAAAAAACATTTCGGTCTTACTCCTACAGAGCGCAGGCGCTCAGTAAGTCCATATACATTATGGACTACTCATAGGCACTTAGTGACACCTTCGTAGACTATCACCATACGCCATTCAGACCATCCTTGGGGCAGTGTCCGTAGCAGGCACTTTACCTGCGCTGTACCTCATTGAGACTTGGGGCCGTCGGAAAGTATGTCTACTCTTCCTCCGAGGCTTTCTAAATTTACGCAATTATCGGCTACTCGCAGTCGCTGCTCGTAGGTGCCGCCCTTCAGGCACCCTGTGCTATCATCGCTGGCCTTGTGGGCCATTACATGCTCGCCTCGTCTGGTACTCCCAGTGACCAACTTTCGGCTCGCAACCGGCAAGGCGGTGACGTCCTCATCGCCTTCGCGATTTTACAAGTATTTGCGTATGGGTTGTCTTGGGGCCCGACACCTTGGTAGGTCTTCAGAACGGCCGCGATCCTGAGCAAGAGGAAGGCTTATCAATGATCTTGCGCAGGGTATACCTCGGTGAAAGTTTTCCTCTGCGAGTCAGGTCGAAGTGCATTGCTCTAGGAAGTGCAACAAGTAGGTCATCAGCGTTGAGGATAACTGATCGCTGTTGCTGAATTTCACGCAGACTGGATATGGAACTTCTTGCTGAGTTTCTTCTCCCCGCGGATAGCTGCGCGCATCGGCCCGCTGATCTTACTCATCTTCTTCGGAATGCTGGTGTTCGGCTTCATTTTTGTGTACCTCTTCATTCCTGAAACTCTGGGACTGAGCTTGGAGGAGGTGCGGCAAATTTGTGCCTTTGCACTGGATCAGACTGACACGAAGTGGCATGTCGCCCATAGGTTGACGAGATGTACCGCTCTGGAGTCAAGCCATGGAACTCGTCGAATTGGCGTCCTTCGGAGAAACATATACATGACAAGGTCGAGATAGCCGAAGTCAGAGAGATCAAGAACAAAGATGACGAGGATGACACCGCGGCTGGTGCATCAGCCACATGAACACAATCCCATAGATCTCTTCCTCTTCCTTGCACTCTGAACTGTAGCCATGTATACCTTCTCCAACGTACTTTTCGACGAACATACTCACGAAATGTATTTGTTTCCCAGTGAGGGGATGAATTTTCCGAATTTGTGTGCCGGTCATGCGCATCGCGTAGACGCCGGCAACGCGTCTCGCGACCCGGCGCTTAAAAGATTACAGTTCCTTCCTTCCCTCACGATGCCTCCGACACTGAAACCCATCGAGCCCAATGCTCGACGATGGGAACCAGCCGCAGATCCAAATGAAATTGTTGTTCCCGGGCTGGACACCACAGCTCCGGTGTACGACCAGATTGAGCAAATTGAGCAGCTCATCACGATCAAGTTGCAGGTCCATCTCGCGTTGCGATACTCTCAACCCATTCGTTGACATGTGCCGATAGAACATTGATGCAAACTTCTCGAAAATGCAGCAGATTATGGCTAACAGGATCTTACCTGCTGTGAAGCGGTATGCCGTAGGGACGGAGCCCGTACGAGAGGCGGCGAAGGTGCGTGTATTTGACCAAATATTGCAGGCTATTACCATCGTGCTAATGGTTTCACCCAAAATAGTTCTGGACAACTTTCTTCGAGCAAGCAGCTCAGATACACGTACCTACCTACGAAGATTATAGCGCTCTTCACGAACATCAAAGCGAGCCATCCACCTCCGAACGCACAGAGGAACCCGTAGCTGCTGAAACCTCGGCAGCTGATCGAAACGCCACCCGAGCGCGTTCACACCAGACATTTAGTTCTGAAGGCTCGTCGTCGGAGGTCTCGTTCATGCCCGGGCAAGCTGCTATCTCATCGACACCCGCGACGACTTCCCGGTTTCGGACGATGCGTCAGAACACCAGCTCGACGAGTCAGGATTCGGACCCCACTCCCTCGTGGTCTGCGTCTCTCGAGTCGCCGCTTGTCAGGCTTGACAGGGATGTGCAGAGCCTCTCATTCGATGAACAGCAGCCGGAGGCTTCAGCGGCGCAATCTTCGGTGTACGACGAATCTCAGGATATGACACAGCGACAAATTCCGCCCCCGAAAGCACGGGAAGCCTCGTCGGTCCGGATACCTGACAGTGCAAAAGGCAGGGCTCGAGAACCATCGCAACCTCTTCTGCACAGCGTCTTACGCCGGAACGCGAGCACCGCTGAGCCGTCTCCGGTCAAGTCTCGCCGCCATGCCGTCTCTCCACTCAAGGTGAAGCCCAAGACGCCGATCCTTAAAAGTTTCAATCCATATCTTCCTCCTGGAACTAATCCTACCGAATGGAAGGGAGTCGTCGATCTCGCAGATCCCGCAGTCGCCACGCCTCGGCGGGAACCACCGCCCTTGCTTCTGAAGGACCTTACTGCGCGCTCTGCAGTCAAAAAGAAACCGACTACTCCGCGGCCTGAGGACGATGATTCGTTCGACGTCGAGTTCGGACTGTCGCCGCCGGTGACCATGGCATTTGCGCGTCTGCCCAAACTGGGGAAGACACCGATGAAGGAAGCTGCTGGGCGAATTATGCAAAACCTGATTGATGCAGAGCAACGCATGCCAGCTGGTGGCAAAGGCGCCACCGTGGGAGGGCGGAAGGGGCACGGCACTGGGTCAAGCATCAGCACTATGTCGACACCGCCCTCGCTGTCGCGGTACACTCGCCGTCCGTATGCATCTGGGACGGAGACGAGTGGGAGCGTCGGCGATGCAAGCCTAGAAAGCATCATGCGGAGAGTGGGCCTTGATGTCCAAGGCTTTGGGTCCGGACATGGGAGCGCTGCGAGCGCGAGTACTCATAACTTCAGTGATTCCCAACTGCCTGCACCTGCGGCAGCGCCGGTTGCTAGTAACTCCACGTTCAGAAGCATCCCGCGTCCTCCAACCCCTCCAGCCGCTCCAGTTCCAGCTTCCCCCGAGTCACCCGAAACGCCACAGCAGGCGCAATACAACCTCCTTCACGTGCAGGACGAGGAGTTCATGCCCGAGCACGACCTGGACGACTCGGACTCAGACTCGGACGACGAAGTCAACAATACCGCGAATCCCTCTGCGGCATTCCTCCAGGCATCGCAGCGCCCCTTCAACGACGACTCGTTCGGGTCAGATGCGGACGATGACGACGACGAGGTGGACGACGAGGGCGGAGAGCCCGTGCACCCGTTCGCACGCATGGACGTGGAGGGCAGCTTCGACGACGACTCGTTTGAGGATACAGCATGTGCGGGCGAACCTGAGGAGGAGACGGTGTTTGGCGTGCCCCCTGCGCAGCGCTTGCACACTCAGAATCTACGGATGATGGGGCAGGGGTTGTTTGAGGAAACTATTGGGATAGCGAACCAGATGGCTGCTGCCGGGCGGGTGGATGAAACTCCTACCCCGTTCCCTCGATGATGGAATTTGGCACAGGTTGGTTCGTGATATTTTATCACTGCTGTACTAGAAGTTTGTGTGCCATGTGTCTTGCTTGAACAAAATATCGAATTAGACGTCATTTGAGCAGAGTTTGCAAGATTACACCGGCTAGATTTCGGTCACGGTACTGGTGCAGTTACTGTACAGTGCAAGTACAGTGTACATTTTCGATTGAGCTCCGGGAATAACACATCAGTTCTTCACAGCATGATTATCACCCGGTGAATTACTTAGCCTCTCAAAATAGGTGTGTATAACTCCAAATGGGGACATAGCAAACTTTTCACCCATCTGCATCATTCCCTGACACTTTCTTATCTTAGGCTAATGCTGTCACAACCCAAGTTGGGCACACGTTACTGTCTGTGACATATGTGTTACTTTTGCGTTACTGCCGGGGGGGATGCCGACGATCTTGTAAGCCATAGTGTTGGATGTTACCATGTTCGGAAAAATCCAGAAACATAATCTGTTCCTTGCACCTCGACCTCACGTGAGACCTACCTAATAAGGCTGTTGAATGGGGTACCCTTCAACAGCCTAGCTAGGTTAGAATATCTGACTACCTCACACTGCGAGTAATGTGGTCATTAATTCCGGCCCAGATATCTTGAGTAAGATAATGTTGAGATATAATATTGGCGGCCATGTGATCACTGAGATAAGGGCCTCGGGGATCTTCCCGCCAGTGTTGAGTGCTCCCCGCTGGCCGCTCGCTAACCATGTGTTGTCCGCGCCACACCCTGACTCGCGCTCATCGTCGCGCATGATGAGCTCAACATCTCTCCCAATTCTTTACATTTTTGCATCGGCCTTTGCTTCCCGAGTACCAATAGGCCATATAAATGCATTGAATACTATTTATAAAGGATAAAGGATATAGTTTTGAGTGTCTTAGCACTATGCTATTAAGTCCGAGGACTATGATGAGTATACCCGCCCGACGGCGCAAACACAGAACACCAATCAGGTGGCAGAAGAAGTGGAAGAGGAGGCCACCCCACTGATGTTCTCCTTGTTACCCATGGCCCTCTTCCCCTGCTTGCCTTTGTCTGAGCGCATGCGACGAGGCTTCTTTGCCACCATAATGACATGTTCATCGGGGGTCGTAACGGCATGAACAAAATCAATTGAATTGACAGCTGTCCTGCATCATTTTCTACCGTTGTGTACTTGGGTGTTCTGGGCAAGTTGATCTGAAGGAGAGAGGTTCACAGTTCTGGGCGCCATCTGAATAGTGGAGGGACAGTCAAGCTGAGTGGACATTGGCTCCGCGTCATTGGCGGAGTTGGTGCTGGTGTTGGCCGTGGCAGTGGCAGTGACCGTGCCGCATGGTCCTTCTCCGCTAGTGGTAGGCTCTGCGCTCCCACCCGTCACTGTGGTAGTGTCCGTGCTCCCACCCAGTGTTACTGAAGTAGTGTCCATGCTCCCGCCCGGTGTTGCTGAAGTAGTGTCCGTGCCCCCACTCATTACTGTCGTGGTGTTTGTCGTGGCACCGTCGTAGACCCCTTCAACCATATCCTCCATCTGTC